ATCTGCAGGCTGCATGTATCTCCCACATCTCTAAGGAGACTTAGTTCTGGCTCATCTAACTCCCATGAACGAACGGATTCAAGAGTCTGCAGCTGTTCTCGGATATACTTGACACCATTCGCAATGTCTTCGGCAAGACCGTATCTTCCACGTCGTAGGATTTTTGCGAATGTCCTCTGGGGTCTCGATGGCGACGTCTCACCCAGGTCCGGTAGTAGGCTGACATCCCAAAGCTCCTTTCCTAGGCGCAAAAGCAAGACTTGTTGTCCCAGATGCCGGCGAATCAGGCGGGCCCGGTGTGCATTTCGAGAATCTATGAGCGCTTCGTCTCTTGCCAGGGAGGCACCCCGCCCTCGAAAGTTCCTGTCGACAAAATCCGACCCAAGTGCGTCTCTGAGACTGGCCACTTCAGCCTGGCAGAACCCTTCTCGCAATCTGGATTCAGAGCGATACTGCCACTCCAGGATGGTCAATCGGAGAGCCTCCTGTTCTTCGAGTTTAACCTGTTTGCTGAGCCACAAGGCATCCTCCTTGAGCTCGTCGCGACTGTAGTGTCCATCTGAAGAGGCGGGTATCGCCAAAACTTGGGAATCGAAGGCATTCTTTGAAGAGGCTGAAGGCTGAGGAAAGGAGGGGAATGTAGACTCCAAAATTTCTTTAATGCGGTACTCAGATAGCAACTTGCTCACAAATTCTACCCTTGAGTCGTCATGGGAGAAGAGCGCGTCAAAAAGATCGTCCCAAGAACTGTGGTTCGTCGTTAGCAATGTAATCAATATTGCTGCGGAGGGACTTTACAGAAGGAGGAGCTCGCCAGCAAGACACTTCTCGACATCAGGAAGATAAGTCGGATTCAGCGACCTAGACGCCATCTTTTGAGGAGTAAGCAACCTTCCAGAAGTGACATTGAGGGAATTGTTGGTCGTTGAACAATTAGTTGTACTGGGTAGACCAAATGTTGCAACAAAGCGCGTCGCAGGCAGCCCTAATGCTCCGAAGTAGTTGCTGTGGCCAGCTCTTGGCGTTCTGCCATGCTCCTCCGTGCTACGTCTCTTTCCTCTTCTGTACCCGGTACCTCACCTTGTTCGCCCTTCTACAATAGCTCACCGTTGCTCACTGTTCATGATAGAGTCCTTTGTCGACCACAGACCTATTTATTGCCTAAGCAGGTCACACCAACTCTGCGTCTCGCACTCTGCGACCTCCAATGCAGGTATTACTTGGGTAGCAGAAAGGCAGGTAGGCGAGGTTTGGGCACCCTCCATTCCTAACGAGATTTCACTAGGATCATTCCTCAATGTCGTCCAAATGATCTGAACACTGACCAACTTAGATCAGGACTACTGGCACAGAGAGAGTCCTTCCGAATCTGACAGTTGCCCATGTATGTCCCAGACGCTGCTTTTTCTCTACAAGCGTTGCCTCACATAGATCTTTGCAGAACCCTGATCTCAGAGGAAGGTACGCCATACAACTAAAACACTCGCCAGTTCGCCAGTTCGCCAGCCGCCTCGAGTTCCCGTGGCTGGATTGAGACTGTGCATGATGAATTCCTGCTTGGACTTTAGGATAGCTTTGACTTTATAATGACCGTCATCTCTTGCGGCGCAGAGAATAATCCACATCAATTCGTGCACCGTCCAAACATCAGAATGCTTCATTATCCAGGTTCCTATTCCCAAATCCGAGGGCGAAGATCCAGTTCTTCCCTGCCCGTCCACGAGAGATCACGGACTACTTGTGCGAGGCTGCCTTCAAATCATGCGTCGCCGGAATAGCTCTTTCCTCGGCGCAAGCTGCCTTTGTATTACCATCTGACGGACCTTTCATCATTCGACTGATAAAAACCAGCTGTTCCTACCTCATGTCCATCTTCCACTGACCGGAGTTGAACAGCTACAATGGCGAGGACTTTACCTCCGAAGTCTATCGACCGCAACTCCCAGAAAACGGAATATTGTTCTATTACAACGAATGCGCCAAATAAAAGCGATGACAGTAAGCCTGCCAACTCCGTCCTAGGATTGCACTCTCTGGTTCAAAAGCTCTACAAAGATACGATCAGCAAGTTTGCAATGTCTTCCGGTCATCGATGTAACCTCAGCAATAACCAGAGTGATTCCAGTCAGAAAAGCACCGCAGACTGTAAAATCTAGAACAGTGGGGAGCGCCGACGGCGTGTCTGGGCGCACCGTGCATCATCTCGAGTCGAACACTTCTATCACCTATGTTTGTATCTTGAAAGCTTCTCGTCCTCTGTTACAGAATTCCAGTGAGATCAACCATCGTGGGGCAAGCGGTTTAAAAGAGCAATCCCAGATCTCAGAGACCCATCTTCCGTATGCTTCCCACTAGTGAGCCGTCGCAATCGGAAGATCGTCAAACTTTTGGAAGGTCTCAAGGCGATCTCCTTAGCCACGGCTGCTAATTAATTTCGCATAAGTTTTGCTTTCCTTCCATCACTGCTAAACCAGGCTTCTATACCGAGTACCTATCCCTCATTCACTTTTACTGCTGCGGTTTACCATTGTGAATTCATCATTAGATTGCACCTCGCTTTTCTATATTAAACTGGTAGAGCTGCTTAATATACCCTGAAGTTTCCTCCTAGAGAGAATACTCCTTAGCGCATAGCATCATTTTCCAGAACGACCAAAAAAATCGGGTTGAACCCAGCCTGATTTGAACAGACAACCTTTCGATCTGGAGTCGAACGCTTCACATATTTATTAGTCTGGAAGTCACATAAGGGAATTACAAATCGGGACGTACCGCTACCGTTGCGCCATAGGTCCTTAGATAAATCTACCACTAAGGTGTGTTTCTGATGGAAAATTTCTGTATTTGCAACTATATCAACAATAATAATCGCTGCCCCCACCATATGCTTGGCAGGTTTGTTTCTAGGCCCAGCACCAGCCGCAACTACTCGGTAGTGATACCACGAACCAACTATAAACACAGAGAGGCATAAGGCCAAGCTGTCTTCTCGTGATCGTCAGAATATCTACTCGAATGTCTCATGAGATGCATTCAAGAGGCATCATTGAGAGAGCTTGAGAGTGCCCTCGGCAGACGCGAACTACGAGAGGAGGAACATCAAACACCCTATCTTGACAAAGCTTTTGCCGCCATATTCAACGCTCGATATCGACAATTTTGTCTCCACTGCCTTTGTATACGGCCTTTGACATTTTCAAGTTCCTCAGTGTGGAGCGAACTTTCCACACGTGTTCGCTATTGATATACATCTCCAAGGACATCGCACACCAATCTTGTAAAAGTGGTTTTGTGGAGATGCTACATGTTGCATTGGCGTGCAGAGGACCTTCCGGAATCGAGAGGGCTTTGACATCCATATTGCTAATGGGCACAGGAGCTGTGGCTGTAGCAGAGCAGCCGCACGTCGCTCTCCCCTACGCAATGTCTTAACAGGTAGCCTGATGAAGCAAGATCCACCGACCGGATCACAGTTAGGCCAAGCAGGAGCGGTGCAATGGAAAGCGAGCAGTCTTGGGCATAAAATATCAACCTAATGAGCGAAATTTACTCCAAGGAAATAGGGCAGGAGTGGAATGCTTCATATAGGAATAGGAACTGCAACTGGGACGATGATTACAATAGTAGGTCTCTGCGCATGATAACTCTTGGCTCCCCAGCAGGGTCATAGATATCTCACATAACTATCTCACTTGGGCGCAGCGCAATGAGTTACATTGAAGACCTGTTCACACACTCTAGAGGCGACTACGAAGTCCCGCCAGGTGAGTGCCAGCATTAGAGACACCCATATGCGCCTTTGTCCTGTTCACGATTCTTCTGAGCTTCACATCTAAGGTGGGCTTCGCTTCACTGAGCGACAGCCGTTGAGCCAACGGAGACGCGTTCTTCGTACGGACAAAATTCCTTCTTTTCGAAGCCGCTGCATCGTGTCAATCTGAGCATAGTGGATCAGCACAAAGGTCGCTGGGTGGTTGAAGGAGACTGATCCCGGCTTACATAAAAGGCTGTAAGTGCTGAAGAATGCAGCCTCGTCAGGGGTCACAAAGAAGTCACGAGTCACCAGATCGAGCCTCGCGTGGGTGTCGTTGAAAGCAAATTGCAGGATATGGCACAGTTTGCGGCAACAGGTCTACCTTCATGGGTTTGACTATAGTACCCAGCGATAAAGATCAGGTTGTCATATCTCTACAGAGGATGATAGACATTAGTGAGACCCCGATAAGCGGAGTTCATGTGTTGTTGACGACGACACGTCGAGGACCAAGATCCGCCGCACTTTCTGAATGAAGGTCAGCCAGTCCTGCTTCGGAGATTGGATCGAAGTCGAGGGAAGGGGAAATTGGAAGAGTACATTATAACTTGCCTCTATCCCCTGCCTCCGTGTCGGTGCCGGTGACGTCTGTAGAACTACTCTCTCACGATATATAAAATCGATGTCGATATGGCCTTGTTGTCGATGTGAGCTTTGCTAATGGCAATGCAGAACCATAGAAAGCCCTTGACGGTTGCCAAGTTGGGCGCTGGGACAGGAGTGGTAGCGGCCGGAGATGAAACTGGACGAGAAAGTTCATAGGCGCAAGTGGGCGGTAAACGGGGCAACGCCCCGTTTTATATCTAGAGGAGGGCAAGTCGGGGGAGTTTGGAAAAGGAGAGCGGTCAACCTACGACGACAATGAAACACAGGTCGAAGGTAACCATTTTCGGTCCTGAATCGGGACGAGACTGGCTAGGAGGAACTCCAGGAAGCGCAGCACGCAGGAGACCAGGGACCGCAGGGCCCGGAGTGAATGAAAGGTGAAGCGGGTGAGTAAAAGGTTGAGTGAGTGAAGGTAAGAGGAGAGTGAGAGGAGTGTGAAAGGGTCGCGCCCGGTAAATTTCTATATCATCTGAGCTCGCGGTAGATTTTTCACTGCTTGAGCGGCCAAGAAAACCGTTCTAGGATATCGGCTCTACAAGACTGAAACCAACCCGACGGAAGAGGACGATCAATCAGAGCCATGACCAAGAACAGGAGGAGCAGTTTCGGTGTCAACACCTCCAGAAATGGAAAGCACAGAACGACGGAGCAAGGGGCACATCGAGCAACGAAGCGCAGGATAGCAGACGCAGAAACTGCAGGCCCCACCAAGGACAAGCGCGTTGAGATGGCAGGTACAGATCCTTTCTTTACGGTGGGCTGGTTGTACTGTCAAGACTGACGCGACATAGGAACCGAGATCGATGAGGCGTGTGCGCAGTTCGAGAAGACGGAGGGTGTCCGTAAGTTCTCTCCTTGTGGACTCCAGAGGTCATCCTTCATTCTCATTCATCTACAGAGTCTGACTTATCTTCGACCACAGGCGGATATCGGCCCTTTGTCGATCAAGAGGGCTTCGTGTACCTCCTCACATTGGTGAGGAAGGACATTCTGAAGAATCGATTGAGGAAGCATCGCATCAAGGTTCGTTATGCGCCTCATTTCCCTTCTCAGCACGGCATCAATTCCCCAATATGCCGCCAAATCACAGAGAAGCGTCAGGGCTCGAATGATGGTGAGTCTCCTGTGCAGTATCTGAGCTGCTCACTAGTTAACGTAGCCGAAGGCAAGCCTTTCGGATGCTCTGAAGACTCTGGGTCAAACCTAAAACTTCCCCCTTGCCCAGTGCCACTGTACTACTTTCCCAAACCACACCCATATTCCTGGAACCCTGTCATTGAAGGTTCCCTGCCTCGATACCTCAGGCCATCAAATCCTAAGCTTCGTGTGCACATCCCTGATCCATGGGCTCTGAGCCTGCAGCTGTTCGAGTCAGACTCGCTCCCAGTTAGCACCGTATCTACCACACGCAACTCTTCCGCTTCGAGGCTCCCAGCAGAAGCCAGCTGCCGGGATGCGAAGTCGTATGCCTGCTACTCAATCTTCACGCGATCGGGACAGATTCATGTGCAGACGCTGGCCCCCGCTGGCAGCACGTTTGATTTGGCATGGGACATGTTCTGTGATTTCTTCAACAAGAGGGTGGGCGTCGATTGGAAGAATCTTCACAATGAGCGGAGGAAGGGCATTAACATCGAACGACCCTTGAGAGAGAAATTTCGCGGTGAAGATGGAGCATATGATTCCGGTTGCTTTCCTATCTCGAAGCCAACCAAGCCACAGTTTCGTGATGAAAGAGGCGAGGCATTGGTCGAGTCCATGGGGTCCAGGAGCAGGAAACCCAGCGTGACGGTACTGATCAATACAGGTGAGCCGATTATGGATTGCCAAGTGGAAATTCAGGCGAAGACTCCAGAGGGTGGATGGTGAAGCCGTCCTGCTCATCCAGACATGCTGAAAACCGTCCACTTGCAATTTGCTGATGTCATATGGGGAGACGGCCACAAATCAATGCAAAACATGGTGCGCCAGCTTTGGGGGCTGCCAACAGCCATTTTGGGTCCGTGGATCGATCTGGATCTTGGCAAAGACATGCGACTGTATGGGGTTGAGTTCATAGATAGTCCTTCTTGCGGCTAGTTCTCGTGTATTGGGTCAAAGCCCATTCGACTTCGCCGCCAGAATCCTTCTCCAGAGTGCCACCTCTTATCTCGAAGCATCTCATACTCATTCTGGGCCCGACTTCAGCCAATTCGACATCCCTGTAGCCAGTCTGCACGAAAACGTGATGGCGCACCTCGATGCTGTCCTCAACATTCTTGAAGGTGACCACTCGGTTGCCGACTTTATGTGGGCCATCCCGGGGAGGGAAGATGTGTTTGAGGATCTGCACGACTCTTTTTCCCAGCCGTGTCGTAAATCCCTCGAATATCAAATGGGGATAGGACTCGGATACCGTCCCTCTGGATGCATCAGGGATATCTGCTCGGAGGACGACGTTGTGCAGAGAAAAAGAAGCCGTGGGACCATGAGGCAGGTGCGAAATAGTCATTGCAGTAGGAGTGCCTCGATGTTCGTGGAGCAGGATAATGTCGGTGAGAGCCGCAGCCTTTGCGCTAGCAAGAAGATTGGGTAGAATCAAGTTACCTCGATTCAGGCGGATGGAAGTAGGCAGGAGTAGGCGAATTTCTTTGGAAAATGTTGAAAGACGAGTCGAAGGGCTTCGGGAGGTGGTGACCAGCGGGCGAGGGTCGGAGAGACCAGACAGCATCGAGAACTCATCGTCCATAGACTCTTGTGCAGCAGCACTCTCGAGATCCAGAGATTCATCGAATTTCAAATCCTTGCGCAGGGAATTGTCATTGGCAATCGACAGGTCGAGTGGTTTCCCGGTAGCAAGCGATTTTTTCAGCAGCGCCCGCTTCTCTGCGATACTAGCGTCTCGCAGTTGAATTGCACGACGGTAGAGATAGTCCCGACGCTCGCGGGCTTGCCGACGGAGCATTGTGGTGAGCTGAGAGGGGCGAGGAGAAAGGAATGAGGGAAGGTCAGGACCAGAGAAAAATGATGTTGTCGAATATAATTTTGGTGGAGAAATTTCGCCGCACTTGATCCGCATCGCAACCCACCCATATTCCTCCATCATTCACTCTCCTCTAGCCACCACTTCACTGCACCTCCTCTCCTACTAACCCCCGCATGTTCGACCATAGGTCCATAACCGTCTTTGAGAACTGGAGACTGTCGGAGGGGTGTGGAATCGCGACATCTATGTGAATACTGGGTGACCCTCTCGACTGCGCCGATCGGTCACCCTTCGCCTCAACCTTCTACCCTCGAAACCGGCCAAATTTCCCTTTGATGCGAGGCTGTTCAGGAAAATAAACTGCAAAGACAGGTCCTTGAAGATGGAGGCGTTCAGCAACATGGGAAACCACTTGGTTTCCAACTCCGCAGCCGCCATCAACGCCATCGATGACATCTCGACAGTTGATCCAGATGAGAGCGTCCTCAGCCTGGCTAAGGGTCCCAGAAGACGTCAACATGACGACGATGAGTCCGAAAGCATCGAGGAAGATGACCTTGAGAGCCTCGCTTCTGCTGCAGTTGATGCGAACGGCAAGAAACATGTCCAGAAGGCGGAAGAAGAGAAGGAGCTGCCTCCACACGCCTGCGCGTACGTCACTCCTTCGCTGGGATTCTATACTGGACATCATACTGACTGATCTCAGCTACTGCGGCATCCACAATCCAAGCAGCGTGGTGCGCTGTCTGACATGCTCCAAATGGTTTTGCGCCGCACGTGGAAATACTTCCTCCTCTCATATTGTCAACCATCTAGTTCGAGCCCGCCACAAAGAAGTCCAACTTCATCCAAGCAGCTCTCTTGGTGACACAGTCTTAGAATGTTACAATTGCGGGACAAAAAATGTCTTTTTACTTGGCTTTATCCCCGCAAAATCAGACACCGTCGTTGTCCTTCTTTGCCGACAGCCTTGCGCTGCAATGCCGTCCTCCAAAGATATGAATTGGGACACTTCAAGATGGCAGCCTTTGATCGAAGATCGTTCTTTCCTTTCTTGGCTTGTCGCACAACCTACCGACCAAGAACAACTCCGTGCGAGACATTTGAGTCCTCAAATGATTGCGAAACTGGAGGAGCTCTGGAAGGAAGATGCCAATGCCACCATCACCGACCTTGAGAAAGCCGCAAACATTGACGACGAGCCTGCTCCGGTCCTTCTGCGCTACGATGACGCCTACCAATACCAGAACGTATTTGGCCCCTTGGTCAAGATCGAGGCTGATTACGATCGCAAGTTGAAGGAGAGCCAATCGCAGGACAATCTTGTTGTCCGATGGGATCTCGGTCTCAACAACAAGCACTTGGCAAGTTTCGTTTTGCCGAAACTTGAATTGGGCGATGTCAAGCTGGCAGTGGGAGACGAAATGCGACTCAAATATACTGGGGATTTGCGACCAGCCTGGGAAGGTGTGGGTTATGTGATCAAGATCCCCAACAACCAGTCGGATGAAGTCACAATTGAGTTGCGATCAAAGGGTGACCACAAGTCCGTCCCAACTGAATGTACACACAACTTCACGGCAGACTATGTTTGGAAGGCCACATCCTTCGACCGTATGCAGCTCGCCATGAAGACCTTCGCTATCGACGAGATGAGTGTCTCTGGCTACATTTTCCACCGCCTTCTCGGCCACGAAGTTGCTGCAGCTCCCATGAAGACCCAGCTGCCCAAAAAGTTCAGTGTACCTGGTCTGCCAGAGCTCAATGGCAGCCAAATCAATGCGGTTAAATCCGTCTTGCAGAAGCCTCTCAGCTTAATTCAAGGCCCACCAGGCACTGGCAAGACCGTGACATCTGCTACCATTATTTACCATTTGTCCAAGATAAATGGCGGCCAAGTCTTGGTTTGTGCGCCCTCTAACGTGGCTGTCGATCAGCTTTGCGAGCGCATACACCGCACGGGACTGAAGACTGTGCGAGTGACTGCGAAATCCCGAGAAGATGTGGAATCGTCTGTCGGATTTCTCTCCTTGCATGAACAGGTCCGCATGAATGACAGCAACGTCGAATTGGCGAAGCTGAATCAACTCAAATCAGAGTTGGGTGAATTATCAAGCCAAGATGAGAAAAAGTACAAGTCGTTAACCCGAGCGGCTGAACGAGAGATTCTGCAGAATGCTGATGTCATCTGTTGCACTTGCGTCGGTGCTGGGGATCCCAGACTTGCTAAGTTCAAGTTCCGCACCGTCCTGATTGATGAATCAACCCAGTCAGCAGAGCCGGAATGCATGATACCCCTGGTTCTTGGCTGCAAGCAAGTCGTCCTTGTGGGTGACCATCAGCAATTAGGACCTGTCATCATGAACAAGAAAGCTGCAAAGGCCGGTCTTAATCAATCTCTCTTCGAGCGTCTCGTCATACTCGGCTGTGCGCCGATTCGGTTGAATATCCAGTATCGTATGCATCCCTGCCTGTCGGAATTTCCGTCAAACATGTTCTACGAAGGGTCTCTTCAAAATGGCGTTACCGTGCAGTACCGTCTCCGGAAAGATGTGGATTTCCCCTGGCCCGTTCAAGATGCACCAATGATGTTCTGGTCGAACCTTGGAAACGAAGAAATTTCGGCGTCAGGTACCTCATATCTCAACCGTACTGAAGCGGCCAATGTGGAAAAAATCGTCACCCGCTTCTTCAAAGCTGGCGTGAAGCCCTCGGACATTGGCGTCATTACCCCGTATGAAGGCCAGCGCAGCTACATTGTGAGCTCGATGCAAGCCACCGGGTCGTTCAAAAAGGAAATGTACAAGGAGATTGAGGTCGCTTCGGTCGACGCTTTCCAGGGACGGGAGAAAGACTTCATCATCCTATCTTGCGTCCGATCGAACGACCATCAGGGCATTGGCTTCTTGAGTGATCCCCGTCGCTTGAATGTGGCCATGACTCGAGCCAAGTACGGTTTCGTAATCCTTGGTAATCCCAAAGTTCTGTCAAAGCACCCGCTCTGGCACTATCTCTTACTACATTTTAAGGAACGCAACTGTCTGGTCGAAGGCCCTCTGAACAACCTCCAGGTATCTCTGCACCAATTCAGCCGACCTAAACAGTCCTACCGGGGACCACAACGTTATCAAATGGCGTACAATCATGCTAGTCATATGGCGAGCGGTATGATGAATGGTCGTCCGGCTCCGCGCAATGATTACCGTGAGCCAGCAGGCTCGGTCGTTGGTTACATACCGGATGACGTCTCTTCCATCCATTCATCGGCCATGGGCGGCGTAGGAGTTCTAGCAGGCTATCCACCAATGTTCCAAGGATTCACGCCCGATGCATGGCCCACGCTTCAGAATACTCACGCTCGTCGTCAAAACGGAGTCAAAGTAAGGGCAGTCCCGAGTAGTGTGGCCGGAGAATCTACAGTGGCGACCGAGTCCGACATCACCGGCAGCGTTCTTGGACAAGGTGGAGTCAGTCTGGAACAATTGTCCATTCATGACACCAACAAGCAGCCAAGTTACAACCAGGCCGATCGACTAAAGAGATATGTCGAAGGGAGTGTCCCTGCGCCTGGCGGCTATGTGTCCAACCACAAGCTCGGCAAGGTTGTGCATGAGGACGAAGACGCCAGGAGTGTTTCGACCGCATTTGCCAGTCAGGTTGGTGGCAGCTACGACTGATATCACTGCGGCCCGACGACGAAATTTCCATGACAGCGGAGAAGAACGAGCTCATCTGAGCATCTCTTACGATGTGTAGTCATCATAAGCACGAGGCGCCACCCCTCCAATCGGATGCCGGCCAGTGACTAGACGAAGCATTTTATCCCGCGCTACGAGCAGGCCATGCTTCACCGTCACCCGTCGAGTTCCGCCAGCAGCAGCGACAGCGACACGGACGATGCGGCGCTTGCGAGGCTGGAGGCTTCACAGTTGCATGAGATGTGGGTTCCGGATTTTGCCAGAATCAGGGACACAAGGGAAGGGAAGAAGATTGCGGGGGAGGGTGCAGCACCTTTGGATGCAAGCAACCATTTGAAGAAACTCTGCAGGACCACGATCATTACCGTCTTGTCTCTTGAAGCGGCATGCTTGGGCGGCGGCGGCAGTGGCAGCAGCGACGAAGGTAAGACACAAACAAAGAGAGGAGAGAAAGGAGGAGCGAATGCAGTGAAAGGAGGAAGTGGCTGTGACCAACCAAATGAGATTGATATTGTTGTGGGTTCATTTTTTTCTTCTGAGGATTCGCCTGTTTCGAATGCTCGGCCACTCTTTCATAAACCAAACACAGATACTTACTCCGTACTCGGTACTACCCAGTAGGTAGTCCGTCACTCTCTTTACCACCTGCAGGTACGTAGTATCCATTGACAAAGCGACTCCGCGTTGGCTTGTATGAACCTAGGTACTCCGTGTTTCTAGCCCTGCTCTTACGATCCACATTTGGAGGCTCAGGAGGTTGTTCCTTCGTGAAACGTCGAGGAGCTAGCCGAGGGGCTATTGACTCTTTGCGTGTTCCCTTCAAACACACGCAAACCTCAGCCTGACACACTTCCGACGCCTTGATTGCCTCTTCTCCATCCTCAATACCTCCACACTCTGACCTAAGTCCACCCTCTGCGACCTAGACTCGGTCTTTGACTGGTTATCATGTAGCAGCCTCGTTCAGCCGCTTCCTTGACCACTGCCAACCAAGGTTTCGGATCTGCTATGATCCGACAGTTAGTAGCCTTGCAACAGAAACCTGCCCCGTACGAGGTACAGGTACGGAAGTCGTAGCTATTTCATTCTTGCTTTCTACGCAGAAACCTGCCCTCTCTTTCAGTCATTGTCTTTAGCACAGTAAACGTACGGCAGCCAGTCGTTCCTCTGAATAGCGAATCCTGGAGATTTCCAATCAAACCGACTACGTCCAGAAGAACGGCAGTGAACCATAGATTGGAGTGCCCAGTCTACCAGCCTCATCCATTGATCATGGCCGCCGAAGTCCTCTCCGACCATCGAGCACTGAGAGAAGCTTTTGACTGCGAGATCTTCTCCACCTCCGGCACTCCGCTACGATTTGGCTCCCTCTTCTACGACTGCGACGTCTACCCAGCCGAGAAACGAGTCCTCGTCATCTTTATCAGGCATTTTTTCTGTGGGAATTGTCAGGAATACGTCCGCAGACTGTCGTCGATAGAATCGCCGTTCCATCCCTCTCAGAAATCACTCCAATTCTCCACATCAATAGCCTCAATGACGAACTTCTCCAAACCAGCTTCTCGTACCCTTCCCACAGTCATAATCATTGGCCCCGGCCAGCCTACCCTGATTGCTTCCTACAAGAGCCTGACGCAGTGTCCTTTTGACATTTATGCGAACCCCTCCACGCGGCTGTACGAGCTCTTGGGAATGCATCACACACTATCCCTCGGTCACAGAGCACCCGACTACATTGAGCAATCCCTCTTCAACGGTGCCCTGAAATCTGCTTGGCAAATTGTCCGTCGTGTGGGCAATGGGGATGCCATGAGTGGAGGAAATTGGGACGTCAATGGTGGCGAGTTTCTTTTCACTAGGTCAGCGGGTGGCATACCCTTGATGAGTTTGAAATCTAGTTCGCCTACAAGGTCGAGATCTTGGAGTAGTCAATCCCGAGAATGGCAAGTTTCATGGTGCCATCGAATGCTCAACTCAAGGGACCACACCGAAATTGTGAACTTGCAATATCACGCCTGCCTCCCAGAGCTGCCATCTCAAGCACACTCGCGCACCACCTCTCCCACACCACTGAAGTCGATCTTGATCAATGGCGGGAGAGCACATTCCAAAACTCCCTCACGAAGCTACTCTACCGAGCGTCTAGGTTCTTGCCCAGGTCCTGATATCCCCAAATCTCGTGAAGAGGTTCTCTCAAGCCAGCGTTTCAGCGGTTCGCACTCTAGGGGGCATTCCAAACCCATGTCTCATCATCAACGCCGGTTGCGAAGCACGAGCGTCGGTTCCCAAACGAACACCACTGCAAAGCAGAATCACGAAATAGTCTGGTCAGGTATCGGCAACGCAAGTGCGTCGCGTCTGGAATTGCAACCGACAGCTTCTTATCATGGGGTAGCCAGTCCCATATCCGAGGTCGAAGAAGACAACTTGAAGCCACGAAAGAGCTTCTCGGCCACAATTGCGGAGAGAGTGAGCTTCGGAGCGCTCCTAGGGCGGTCGAGGTCGTTTTCGAGCCCGCCAAGGACTGGTTCTGCCTTGTCTATGTTCGAGGCTGGAGAATCTCTACATGCCACTCCATCTCGCCCGATCAGCAGGGCGAGTACCTCAAAATCAACGTTAAAATCAACTGCAACTCCGTTTTCGCATCGCACAGAATCCAGATCTAAGCGACAGCTTAAAGGCGATAAGCTGTCCTCATCCAATGCGCCTTTCCCCCTTCCCGACCATTTCATGGCAAAATCTCAACCAAAGCATTCGCGATCGAGAACATTCTCCTTCTCCCGGCCCACTCTACCTTTGCGAAGAAGAGCAAAAAGCCAAATTGAGGTGAATGAGGACGGCGTGATGTTCGTCGATGGTGTAGAGTTCGTGAACGTCATCAGCTTCAAGGCACGGATTGAGACCAGCAGTGCTCCAGATCAGAGACGAGAGAGGGCAGATAGTGGGCTCGGCATGGAAGTCGAGATGCGGAACGACAAAGGATCCGGAGGAAGCGAAATACAACCAGAGGTCCCAGAGAACAAGAAGAAGTATTCCGTGTTGACTACCCTTCCGGAAATCGCTGCTCTCACCCGATGAAAATTTTGGATCGATGAATGCCGCGGTAACGTGTTTTCTCGGGCTGTCGACGTTATACACAACGGACCAAACTTGGCTCTTGGAATCAAAAGGCGGGACCACCTAGAAGCCAGATCTCGCTGGGCGAGACGTCACGTCCGGTGAAAACATGCCCTCTCAGGACGAGCTCGGAAGGGCGAATGACTGACAGGAAGGCGGTCTTTGTTTGAATCCGGAGTGTAGCTTGCGGCAAAAAGCTTTTGGTAAATTTGACCTTCGGACGATGTGTCCTATCCATAATCCCGACACTTCACTAAATACATAATAAATAAATCTAAAATGCATAGTGCAATGGCAACTGAGCTTGCGATATATGATGCAGTGCCCCTCTATGCGTGAGCGTGATCATCAATGAGAACGATATGCCAGATCTTGTCGTCGATTCATAATGCTGCCACTCTGTCCGTAATTCATGCATTTATTGTTTGGAATATGCGCTAGTTCTCCTTAAGCCCCTCTCACACGGCATTACTGGCGATTGCCGGTGAGTTCGGCACAGGTATGCCCTTCAATTCGGAGTCTTTCCGACTGTTCTGATAAAAGTCATAGCTATTCCATGGAATGGAGCCACTATCATCGACATGACTTCTCTGTGCATTCAATTGTGCTGCAGGCTCGGCTGAGTGAAGGTCAGGAGTTCGAGAGACGGAGAAAGCGGGTAGCGATGAGGCTGGAAAGTCAAGGTGCGTTCCAGAGCTGAAAACGTTCGCCTGGATATCTTGACTGGACGAGTCTTGGGTGGCCGTCTCCTCAAAACTCACGAATCTATCACGAGAATCGAACGGCGGCAGTGCGTCAGGGAATCCATTAAGCAGAGGTGGATTCGTGAGAGAGGAGACATCAACATTCATTGAACGTGTTCGCGGGGCTGGCTGTGGCTGGAAGACAGAAATCTCGTGTGCGTTGGACATAGATGCCACTCTGGCTTGGCCAATAGCATAGTCGGTCCCATAAGAAGCTCCAACATCTGTCCAGCTGAAAGAGTTGTCACCCAGCTGTCCGTCCGAGAAATTCCACGTACCATTGGATTCACTTGGTAGTAGGTCCCAAGGAGTTGGTGTGTCTGCTAGAGGGTCGTAAATGTCGGTTTGCGACATGCCGATCATTTCTGGCGGAGAATGTACATGTGAGCAATGTGAGCTGAGAGGCCTGTTAGTCCAGGAATGTTGCTGGATAGGGTAAGTTAAGTAGATGGCATTCGGGTTTAAAGTATTGGAAAAGAACTGCTGAAGCTGTTGTTGGGATACATCGGGGGTTCTCGAGAGGAAAAAGGATGGTTGTCCGCCCATGCACGATCTTGGATTGTTTTGGGGCATGGAAGGGACCTGTGTTAGATTTTGATTCCCAATGTATGCTTGCTCTGCGAGGTTCTTGACTTGTTGCTGGGTATGATTAATCGACGTTGCGTTGTTGGGATGATCGGGACAGTAAAGACAGGAGCAGCCCGAGCCACAAGAACAACTGGACTTCCAGATTTCACTTGCTGATTTAGGTTGAGGTCTCTGGGCAGGATCAGGACCAGGTTTCAGAAGGCCAGGATGAGGCTGTATCGCGGCGACGTTTTGACGATGTCGACAACCGCCTTTAGGCGAGTCGGGCTCAGCATTAAGCTTCCCAGAACCACAACAGGACGACTTGACTTCCTCCGACTTGGCTTCTTCCCGCTCCTTCATGCGCTTTTTCCGATCCTGATATTCTTCATCATTGATTTCTTTTCCGTTGGCGTCTGCCCAGACCTTTTTCAGCGTCATCTTATTCCCATCAGCATCTTCCCAGACTGGTTTTGGTGTTGAGGTTGCATCTCGATCGATAATGGCTGGGTTATCAACGCGGACTATAAGGTACATTTCCTGGGTACAAGCGCAGTCCCTATCGCACTTGCAGGCTTTTGTGGTGCATGCGCAGTTTCTCGGACAGTGACACCCTCTCTTCTGACCTGCTGTAGGACGGCCGGGCTGATTTGTTTCGGAGATGGGCCTTGTCTTGCCATGGTCACATTTATGTACTCGATGGCCTCTCTTGCAGGACTCACATGCGTAGGTCTTGCCGTTGAAATGTTGTATGGCCGGTGTCTCGCTCTTGTAGGAGGCCTTTAGCTTTTTAATCTTCCCATCCTCGACCCGAGCAATACCCTTTGGAGGACTGGCAACCTTCGGAGGAGTGGCTGAGGGTTCTTGCATGGTTCTCCGGCGTAATGTAGCGACCAGAGTGTAGCTGGTCACTGTTACCACTGAGAAGGACGGAGTACGACAGGACGTTCGGTACTGTGCACAAGGAGAGGCCTCGCCCCCAATTGGACCTCTCAGCAAGCGCAGGTAGGGAACTTGATCTGATTGGTAAGGGCATCCAAAGATACTGACAGTGGTGGATCTGGGTCTGAACACAGGTCTACCCAAGGGAGACTGTGCCAAATGCCAACAATTGACGAGGGGCTCTTGATCACACCGCAAGTGAGGGTGCGACGGCACCGGTAACGTGAGACAAAGGGCTTGCGGCTGTCCTCCAAAAAAAAAAGCGGGTGATTGAACCCTGAACATAAAGAGGGCGAATCCAAGATTCCCGCAGGCGCAGCCCCAGTCGAGGGGCAGCGGCAAGGTGCCCAAAGCGGTGTCGCCCAGCTTCCCTTGCTTGGCACCGAACTTGGTATCCTTGGACTTAATATGCAGCGCCAACCAAGTACAGTCAGCGCAATCCTTGAGCTAATCACCGTTGGTGGTCACGCTCTTGCTCAATCTTTGTGACATATTTTTGTCTGCCTCCGGCGTCGATCGCGTGTCTGGATACAGCTAAGCATGGGGGTGGATATGACTGACACCGACACCAAAGACAAATCGGCGACGCGTCCAAAGACTCAGAAAAGCAGTCCATCGTCGTCGTCGTCGTCGTCCTGGTCTCTTCCTCAACCCATTCGTCGCATCTTCGATCGATTTCCCCTGGTGACATATCCCGCAAATCCCTTGCCCCAGCGGGTTCCTCGACATCGACACGAGAATATCCTTTGCATATTCCAGTCTGATGAACCGACTTCTCGAGATGGGCCTTCCTTCAACCCATCTTGTTTGAAATGGCAAGCCTATCTCAAATTCCACGGCATCCCTCTCCGCACTCGTCCATCGAACAACCACGCCTCCCCAACCGGCGCTCTTCCTTTCCTTCTACCTGCGTCCAGAGACTTCGCTCGGCCAGTTTCTCCCATTCCTGTAAATCGAATAGTGAAGTGGGTGGTATCTCAAGGGGGGAAAGAAGAGGTAGCACAGTGTCGGCAGGACGCATACACGGCCTTGATCGACCATGCCATAAGAAGCGCCTGGCTCTACTATTTGTATCTGGATGAGGACAATTTCAAAACCGTTGCATGGCCACTGTACGTTGCATCGTCTTCGTCATCCTCGGCCGTCCGGCTGTGCCTAGCTCATCAGCTACAAGCTGCTGCGAGGGAAGAACTACTGAAAACAAACGCTGTCATCGACCCCCAAGAACTGTACTCGCAGGCTGAGCAGGCATTTCAATCATTGTCTATTCTGCTCGAAGACGATAGGTTTTTCTTCGGTCAATCCACGCCGGGCCTTTTCGACGCCAGCCTCTTCGCATACACTCAAATCATTCTTGATGACCGCCTCTCCTTCAAGACACAGACGTTGAAGTCGGCCGTGGAGAAGCATCCAAACCTAGTCCAACACAGAGACCGCCTCCTGCGCGGCTTCTTCTCTAGCTGAGTACCATCATGCACCTTTTCTGAGGATGCCTCCAAACCATACTGTTATACCGACCCATTTCTCCGACCGTTGTCCAAGGACTGCGACCGTCGACTGATCCACCCCTCTCTCTTCAATCTGTCCGAGGACTTCAAATCCATTTTTGGAAGCAGCAACCTCGAGTTCGGCCACACTGTGTGAGTAACTGGTTGGACGGATCTTTTCCCCTGTCTTGGGATCGATGAAGCCAGCTTGACTGATTCTACCCATTTCTGAGTGCATGTTGGTCAACAGCAAGATCCCACCGGGCTTGAGGATTTTGGCGACTGTGGCAAAGAAGACATCCGCAGGGACATGTTCGATGACCAGTGTCGACACCACGGCATCCGCGCCGATGGCACACTCGGGGGGTGATGACTCCCGCAACATGTCATATACCTCGAGCTTCAATTTGGCGTTTGCATTGAAACTCTGCAGTCGCTCTCTTGCCACCCCGAGCATGCCAGGACTAAGATCAAGTCCAATTACTGACTTGGCACCCTGTACCTCCAGCAAAGTCCCCGTGTTCCTTCCCGTCCCGCATCCCAAGTCCACCAATGTCCACGGTTGAGGGTAGAGTGAGACGTCACTCTCTAGAACCTTGAGCATTCGCGGCATCAGAACCTTCATCTCGATGGTATCTAATGCTTGTAGGAAGTTACCGTCTGTGTCGTACACAGCCGACCAGCGGTCGTAGGCCAGGGTGGTGGAGAGATAGCGGATCGTGGGATCGGAGGATTGTGGGATTACTTGGGACATTGTGATTGTGTTTGATGTTGAACAGAAACTTCGAGGTCCGTTGTATTATAGATATAGAGTTCGCCCTCGATCCGTCCACGTTGAGCGTGTCCTCCCTGCAGAAACGAAAATTTGCGATGCGATTGTCTGGATCTATATTCAGTAGACAACGTCGTTTCCAGTGCTAGGGGGCTGGATTGAAGAAAAGACGAACAGGTCTCAAATTTTTTTTTTTTTTTTCATGATTTCTCCGCAAGGCTGCCTATCCCCTCTCCTGAATGAGTCACAGACTACTTCACCCAAGACCCCGGCGTAGAGGGTGTTTCCATTTACATTTGCGTTATCCGAAGTTCGGATCAATGTGCAAAGAACATGTTAAGCAGCAGGCGGGCCTCAACTATCAGTCCAAACGCAAGGCAAGGCAGAAAGTCGCATCGATTTCGAATATGGCTCTGCAGCCGATTATGGAGAAGGTTGTCGCTCAAATCGATCCCTCATGGTCCAGGTTCTTGGAGCACTATGCAGGGTCCTGAGACCCTGTCAGGTATCACTTTAATCGCACAATCGCCACTTGAGTACATTCAACTTCATTTTCCAATCGAGTGGCTTGCCTCGGGTTCGTCCCTCTTCCCCGTCCACTACTGGGCTCTCTTGTATTCTTACATACCACCCGCCCCAAAGACACCTCCTCCTTCCCTCAAATCCTCCACCAAATCCTGCACATTACTCAAATGCCTTCCTAGCAGGCTTTGCTTCTCTTCGGTCGTTCTTGTATTCCCACAGTCTTCCGTATTCCCAGTCTTTTCACCCACGCCACCGCCATCCGAAACATTCAAGGTCTCCCCCCTTCTACGATCAAATGCTGCAATGACTTCTTTCCCCCTCCCTCCCAGAATAGCGGTGTTTGTCGCAGAGGTTGAACTTGCAATCTTCGGGGCCGCATTCTCGGGCATGAGATAGAAATAAAGAAACTCGACGAGTTTTAACTTCACTTCGCGGGACGTGCCTCTGGATTTAAATAGAGAGGTAATGACCAGCAGGCCGTCAATGGATTCAAACGTGCGGGTATTTTGCGGATGGTCGAGTAAAGAGGTTACCAGGGCCATTATGGTTGAGGATTGGATGGCGGGACAGTTTGAGGGGTCAAGAAGGTCGAGGTAGAGCTGCTGAAATTAGGTCCTGAAGATTTTGAAGCGTAGCAAGGGTAAGACTTACATTCATGTATATCTCCTGCGAAAACAGCGCTCGCGAGGGTGGATGTAGTAAGAGGACACCTTGAATGAGATCCAGCGTCTGAATGATCAACAGATCATTCGTTCCATTGCTTTCCTTTCCTAGGAGTCTCTCTAGACTTGCAACTAGTCTCATGGCAATGTTCCATTGGAAACTCTGCTGCAATTTGAAGAATTCACGAAAGGCGGGATCGGACGATAGGTCTGAAAGCTTCCTCGAGTGTGGTGAAGAAGGTGCCGATGACCCCAGAAGAAGCATCGACTGTCGTTTATTCGCCGCGTTGTTGGTTCTGGGCAGGCATAGTTGTGCAAGCAAACCTTCTACCTGGCGGAGTCCTTTGCGGATCTTCTGAGGAGAGCTCGAGGAGAGGTAGTCAAACGAGTGTGACAGCAAGGCCTCCATTACGGCGGTATGTGGCCCAGGTACAAGCACAATGGAAACGTAAAGCATATACCACGTCGTCGAAGATAATAATGGACGAGAAACGCACGAACGAGTACTGCACCTATTAGTATCAACATATAAGTTGTCAGGGCGACCATGCGGGGGAGGCGCCCCAGTGGCATAGTGGCCTCCCTCGCGAGCTTGGTCTTGTTCGGTGAACCTGCCGCCGCCCATTGCACAACAGCTGGGCGCTCCATTCCCGAACCAGCGATCAGTTGGCACAGGTGGGTTGATACGCTCCAGGCACCAGAGTAAGGACACTAGCACTGGTGGTCCCTTCCTGGAATCGGTGCCTGGGGACAGAAATAATAGCGCCTAACCTTGTTGCGTGTCGTCATGGACTCATGTGATGATCAGCCAGATCTACCTACCTACCTCGCTATGTACCTGGCCAGCTGGACACTTGTGACCTTGGGCACGGCTTGTCACCAACACAGAGGCATAACTCTGTTACCACCCACCTTCTCAACCTCAAGTCTTCCTCTTCTCCAGAAACTCGGGCTTTCTTGACAAGCTCTCCTTCTTTCCTGTCTCCCTTCGCTTCCCTGATCGGAATTGAATCTTACCTACTGCGGAGTCCCCCGCCTCATCCCGCATTTTCACATGCAGTCTTCTCTGGAATTAATTCAACACGCATGTCGAACATTTCAGCAGAAAACCCGACTTCTCCTAACGCCATTCCTATTCGCTACAGCTCCGCTGGCGTGTCCAATGGCCTCCACAATCAGCCTTCAAAATCCGTCCTCAAGCCTCTCCCGGAGGACTCCTGGATTTCGTCGAAGCACCATTCGATGCCGCCCACGATGAATCCGGGCCCCGTCCTCTCCGACCACACCAACAGCCTTAAACGCAGACATTCTAAGAAGAGTTCCGCTCCAGAGAATCTGATATCTAAGAGACCAGGGGAATGGTCGCCGCAGAAAGAGAAGATCATAATGGGCCCTTATGACTACCTGTTCGCTCACCCAGGAAAGGATATCCGTTCAGCCTTGATCAAGGCGTTCGACGCCTTTTTACATGTTCCGTCAAAGTCCTTGGAAATTATCACAAAGGTTGTCGGCATGTTACATACATCGTCCCTCCTCATCGACGACGTGCAGGACAACAGTGTTTTGAGAAGGGGTATTCCTGTGGCACATAACATTTTCGGGACAGCCCAGACCATTAACAGCGCCAACTATGTTTACTTCCTCGCTCTGCGAGAACTCCTGCACCTAGAAAGCAGAGATGAGGCCATGGAAATATTTACCACGGAATTGCTCAACCTTCATCGCGGCCAAGGAATGGATTTGTACTGGCGTGACACCCTGACCTGCCCCACAGAGGACGATTATTTGGAAATGGTACAGAACAAGACCGGAGGGTTGTTTCGTCTAGCCGTCAAGCTCATGCAGGCGGAGTCTCCGGAAAAGGGTCGCATAGATTGTGTGCCGCTCGTAAACCTGATGGGCCTGGTCTTCCAGATATGCGACGACTACTTGAACCTGTCATCCAGCGCCTATACTAAGAACAAGGGCCTTTGCGAAGACCTCACGGAAGGCAAATTTTCCTTCCCCATCATCCACTCGATAAGAAGCAACCCGTCGAACCTGCAACTCATCAACATCCTCAAACAGAAAACCACCGACGAAGAAGTCAAGCGATACGCGGTAAAGTATATGCAGGGAACGGGCAGTTTTGAATATACGAAGAGCGTCGTGCGTGAATTGAAAGTGAAGGCTTTTAATCTGGTCACGGAAATGGATGGCAGTTCTGGAAGAGGGGATGGCGTGAAGTTGATTCTGGACAAGATTGTGGAACCAGCACTTAATGAATCGGTTCAGAACTCATAGGTGCGGGCGTCTAGGGAAGATCGTTCAACAGGCCAGGCTGTCGCAGGAGAATGCTGATGTTGTATATTATTGTATAACACCTGGTAATTGGGGCCCTGTCTAGCTGCTCGCATGCGAATTGGTTGACCTCATCATGTGTGAGGAATTAGGATCATACCCGATACAGCGCTCGCTTTCGATCCGTATCTAGGGCCCTAGGTCTCATTTCCCAACCATTGCGCCGTCAAACAAGGACCGTATTTTGTCTTGCGCGGATTTGTAACAGCTCTACGTACAATTGGAAAGGCCCCGCTGTCGAGCAATAAGCTACGTCCCACTCACTACGAGGTACTACAACTGGAAGCCCTTCAATAACCATAACTCTTCACGGCCGGGGATAGATAGGAAAGCCACTCTCCGCTCATCTCGGTCGTGATTCGTTCCACCGCATTCTCCCTTCCAGGCGTATCCATTTCTTGAACCTCCTTTTCGGGTCGGCTCTGGTGCTGTCAGGCGTGTGGAGGTTGTCAGCACCACTCCACTCAGCCCCGATCTCCCCGCGTCCTTTCTCAAGGGTAATCGGCAGAAGCCTTGGAAGGTGAACCAGGAAATGATATACATATCACCTACCTTACGGGCTACTATTTGGTCGAGGCTGGCCTCCTAGAGAAGACACGGCTCGAGGTGACAGTCAGATTTCTCCTGCTCAACAACTTCAACCATCCTCAGCATGTTTCTCCCTCAGAGCAATGCAGCCTCACCACTCCTCCTCCCCTACATTATCCCCTTCTCTATCATCCTCCTAATTTCTTTTCCCATTATAACCTTGCTCCGCATCCGCTACCGCCGCGGCCTCCGCGAAATCCCAGGCCCATTCTTCGCCAGTATCCTGCCCTTTGACCGCATGCTCAGTACGTACTCAGGACACCAGTTCCAACGCCATCTTGACTACCATGCAAGGTATGGGAAGCTGGTCCGCGTCGGGCCTAATCATGTGAGTTTGGGGGACTCGGAGCAGATTTCGAATGTGTATAACATTACCAGCAAATTTGGTAAAGTAAGTTTCTCAGGATGATACGCCAACCGAGAGGAGGGGGGCCATCGGGCTAATAGGGGAAATGTAAAGAGCAACTTCTACACCCTTTTCCATGCCAAATCGCCCGTCGGGCCCATACCCACAGTCTTTTCCATTGTCGACCCCATCGGACATAGGAACTTAAAAAGACCCGTTGGCGCTGCATTTGCGCTGAGTTCTTTGCTCGACTTTGAACCCCTGGCCGATGACTGTACACGGATATTGGAGGGGAAGCTCGACGCCTTACAAGGCAACGATATCGATTTTGGCACATGGTTGCATTGGTACGCATTCGATGTGATCAGTAGCATCACATTTTCAAATCGGCTGGGGTTCATGGAAAGGGAGGAAGACGTGAACGGGATCATCGCAGCAATTGAAGGTCGATTGTTTTACAATTCAATCATCGGCCAGGTCCCGGGCATGCACAAGTGGCTTCTGGGGAACAATACCGTCTCGAAATTGGCTGACATGGTGCCCGCGATCAGGAGATTGAACTCAGCGGCATATATTGTCCAGTTTGCTGCGAGACAGATGGAAATGAGGCAGAACGCCAAGACGGAGCATAGCAGGTCGGACATGCTTGACAAATTCAAGATGACCAGAGATGGAGAGGAAGTCGTGAGCGCGAAGGAGCTGTTGGGCCATGCCAGTTCGAACGTGTGAGTATTACCTCTCGGATCATGCAGGCTCTGGATCTCTGTTTTTAGGTCTCTGACAAATGGTGAAAAGATTCGCTGGTTCTGATACGACAGCCATCTCCCTCAGGGCGCTGTTCTATCACCTCTGCAAGAATCCCCACGCGTACAAGAAATGCGTGGACGAGATTCTCAATTTTAATACTCGCGGCGAGTTGTTCGACTACGTTACGTACTATGAAGCGCAGCGAATGCCATATTTTCAAGCGTGCATGAGAGAAGCGCTTCGCATGCACCCGGCCGTGGGACAGTTACTTGAGCGGGTGGTGCCAGAAGGCGGAGTTACCATTGATGGCATCTTTCTGCCGGCGGGGACGATTGTGGGGATGAATCCCTGGGTGGCCGCAAGAGATAGAGCAGTTTATGGACACGACGCCGAGGTCTTCCGGCCGGAAAGGTGGATCGAAGCTGACGAGAAGACGCTGAAGCTGATGGACCGGAACTGGCTTGCTGTGGGCCCTTCTTCCTGGAACCTCATACCGAGTTGCGCTAACGTTATTTTCCAGTTCGGAGCAGGCTCACGAACATGTCTAGGCAAGAACATCTCGCTGATGGAGATGTCGAAGCTGGTGCCGCAGCTGCTGCGTCGGTATCACGTCCAACTCGCGGATCCGAAAGCCGAATGGGAGTTGTTTGATTATTGGTTCGTCAAGCAGGAGGGACTCAGATGTATTTTGACACGAAGGGATGGGGAGAAATAGGATCAGCACCAGATTGAAGAGCGGGCGGGTGTCATTTGTGGTACAAGCCGACTCCTCTCTCGAACTCCATACGTATCAGGGACATTAGAGACTCGAAGTCTCTGCGCTGGATGGTTGGCTACTGCGAGTTATCTTACTGCTTCGCAGAATAAGATGCTTGAAGAAAACATGTCGAAGAACATCAGGCATTGGCATTACAGTTCTCTAAGTAGGAAAACTACGAAACATTGAAAGAAAGCGTGTCATTTCAAGCAGGGGATTGGCGAAGTCTGCCGCAACCAGACAATTTTTGGACTAGACAATGTGGTGAGCAAGCCCAACTCGGTACTATCCTACTTGATGCCTACAACGTCTTGACAGCATCTATGAAGGCTCTCATCCTGTCCGCATTCCGCCTTCCCTCAACCTCGACCCCGGAACTAACGTCCAACCCGACAACGTTTCGGCCTATGTATTCTTCTCCTAGTTCCTCCAGAACCGCCCGTACATTCTCTGGAGTGAGTCCTCCTGCAAGGATAGCTTTGAGATTATCGTCTTTCTTGAAAAGGGCTTTCACATCGTCGAGGTTGACCCTCGTACCTGAACCCCCTGATCCAGCGTCTAACAACGGCAAGGAATGGTAGCCTCTCGTGTTAACCCCGCAATCCTTGGGGGAGAATGCTTTCAGGACGGGGACCGGGATCTGCCTTGCGTATTCCAAGGGCTCCGAGCCGTGAAGCTGAACCACGTCCAGGCCCAACCGGTGGACTTGCTGGATTATGTGGTGAAGGGGAGCATCGGCGAAGACGCCAACGAGCAGGGCGCGGTCGGGACGAACAAGGAGGTGCGAGGAGGTGTGACCGAAGAAATCCGCACTGCCAATTCCTTCCTCGAATGTGCTCACGAGTTTGGAAGACGGAAGCCGGCGTGTATTTTTCACAACCTCTGATATCCGTAAAGCCATGTCATCTGAGACGTACCGTTTCCTGCCAGGCACAAGGATAATGCCGACTTGATCCGCCCCGGATTCGATCGCTGCTTTCGCGTCTTCGGGTGTGCGGGTGCCGCAGATTTTGACTGAGAGTTGCTTGGTTTGTGTTCCCTTTTTGGGTGGGACGTCAGGGTCCCCCACTAATGTCTCAATAAACTCTGCTGGATTTGATGCCCTCATCAAGGCTTCTCCCACGAGAATTGCCTTGACACCCTCCTTTTTGTACGCTTGCACATCTTGGGGACCAAAGATTCCACTCAGAGCGCACACAATGGTAGAGTCTGGAACTTCATCCATCAATCGGCTCGTTGTTCCAAGATCAACCTCAAAGTTCGTCAGATTGCGGTTGTTCACGCCAATTACCTCGGCGCCCAGCTCGACTGCAATCTTCATCTCATCTGCGGTGTTGACCTCTACGAGTGGTTCCATCCCTAGTGATCTCGAGTAGTGGTACAGTCTCGTCAATGTCTCTACATCGAGCATCTTGACAATCAGCAACACCGTGTCTGCGCCCGCGAGACGTGCTTCCAGAATTTGATACTCGTCAAAGATGAATTCTTTGCGCAGCACGGCAGGTCTATTGGGCATGCTATCCAGCGCCTGGCGGACAAGTCTCATATCCTCCAAGCTGCCCTTGAACCATTCCGGCTCTGTCAACACAGAAATGACGCTGGCGCCAGCCGTGGCGTATTTCCGTGCTTGTGCCGGTGCGCAGGTCCCTAGGGATATTAAGCCTTTTGAAGGGGAGGCTCGTTTGATCTCGGCTAGGAGGGCAATTGGGTAGGCGGATTGCCGAAGCCTTTTGGGGAAGGAAATTCGGGGAGGAGCCAGACCGAGGTCATAGGCATCCTGGAGATCCTCTACCCTTTGAGATGGGATCAGCTTCAGTGCGGCAACGGCTTGTCGTCGATGGGCGTAGATCTTGTCCAAGATGGACTCTTTCTTAGAGTGTGCTTCGCCATTAAGGGTGCCTGTGGCTTCTGCCTCAGGAGTGGCATACTGAGGGTTATCCGACCACTTTCCCCCAGACATTTTCAGGAAATTCTTGAACATCACTCTGCCGTTCTCGGTCAGAATGCTTTCAGGATGAAACTGGACTCCTTCAATAACATATTCCTTGTGGCGAACACCCATAATCACGCCTTTGCCCCCATCTGGCCCTTTAGCTATCCAAGAAGAGACTTCGAGCGACTGCGGAAGAGTCGGATGTGTCCCTGCGAGGGAATGGTATCTCGTCACGGGCAAATCTTGTGCCAACGTGGTGTAGCATCCTTTGCCATCATGCCTCAAGGGTGAGGTCTTTCCATGGAGGATCTCTCCAGTAACATCGACTTCACCACCAAATGCCGAGATGATACACTGTTGCCCCATACACACCCCCAAAATTGGAATCTTGCCCGCAAAGTATTTAATGGCATCTTTACTTATGCCCGCGTCCGTGTCAGGGTGACCTGGCCCAGGGCTGATGACCAATTGTGTCGGCTTTTTGGCAACAAGCTCTTCAAGTGTCACTTTATCGTTTCGGTAGACTGTGACGCTAGCGCCTTCAAGGACGAGGTACTGATAGACGTTCCAGGTGAAGGAGTCATAATTATCGATGAGGACGAGATTGTTTGCGGAGGACAGCTTTTTTGCAGGCGTAGGCTGGTAGGGAGAGTGGTCGATCAGGGCAGCAGGTGCCATGTTTAGTTTCGTGTCTGGGGGATAGAGAAGAAACGTCTCTGGCTGACAGTGAGAAAGAGGAGGGGAAGAAGAGACCCAGCTTGATTGACATATGGAGCCCTGGTGGCTATTGGGGGCCCTGCCTGCCTCGCCGCCATCCCTCTTTTTTATGGCCGTAGTTTTCCCGGATTCCTTTAGCGCCAGCCTGCAAGTTTAATCAGACCTCGACTCCCATCTTCGCAAAAGAATCTGTTCAGGGTAAGGTGCCATCAAGGTTTCAAGGCACAATCGGCTGTTATGTCTTCATTTGAATCAAGACTATGGCAAGGTGACCATTGTCTTCTTGCATGCACTGTTCACAAGTCATGTGGATCACGCGAGTGTGATCCCATCCCTACCCTGCCATCATCTTATGCTCATGAAGCTACCTCGTCACTCGCAATCTCCTGCAGCCCCGCCCTTCGAGGTTGGGTCTGCGGGCGGCCAAAACCGGTGCAGAATCGATCAAAAAACAAGCCCGAAACGGCCAGGCCCATATGTTGGACTTACCCTAGGATTTTTGTTGTGCAAGAAGTGGCGAAGTGCTGCGCTGAGCATGCAGACTCCTTGTTCCTTACCGCATTGTTCCCTTAGATAGCTGGCGGAGATGACCGGCTGAACGACCTTTGATGCTCTACATAGAGCATTGCCTAGCTTCGTTCAACAAGTTTACTCCAATTGGTTTCGCTGGTAAATTTGGTCTTGGATGGGCCTTCAGCGCCGTGATGGCCTGTGCACTGAAACAGCGAAGAATTTTAATCTTAATCTATTAAAACAGGGCTACGCTGTGATATTGAGTGTTCCTATGGAAGACATGAAGTCGATAACAGTCACAACTTTGATCCTTGCTGCGTCAGCACCAGATAATGTGGACGCGACAGAAAGAACTGGAAATTAGCTCAAGGGAAAGATTCCAGAGAGTAAAGCTGCAATGGTACGAGGTCTAGCTCATGCTTGGATACTTGCGGCTCCCGCAGCCTTCTGCAGAGACCATCAAGGCCTGGGTTGCGAGCCGCGGTCATCCCGATGGTTTGGCAGAGCTTGTATGATGCTTCGGTGGGCGGTGGCACTTTCCCCCTGCATTTCCCGCAGTGAGATACACTCAGACTCCTCCTCGACAGCTCTCACTCCTCGACAATTGACTCGATGAATAGCTGCACAAGTCGTTGGAACTCGGTTGGCATCGAGGAGAACACCACGTGTCCTGCGTCCAAAAACTCTAGCTTTGCACCGGCTATGCATAGCTTAGTTTCTTCAGCCGCTGTCCTCGAAAAGACCGGATCTCGTGTGCCCCAAACAAGCAACACCGGAGCTTTGATGCTCTCTGCTCGAGATCGAAGATCATGGCGGGGATCCAAAAAGCTGCGCCAGAGTGCAGCAACAACTGACGCGCCTTCCTCAGTTCTTGCTCTAGTGGTCACTCTGCGGGTGATGTCCTCGTCATGACTTGTCTGAGGACTCATATACCTGCCCACAAGATGTGGCATCACAAGACGTGATATGGATGCAAATCCCAGCAGTCGGGCCACAAGCCGGGTGAAGGGAGTCCATGTGACAAATCCGCCGGCGTTCACAAGCACCAGTCCTCGAACTTTGTCTGGCTGAGTGATGGCCAGCCTTGCTGCAGCAAACCCTCCAACTGAATTGCCGATGAAGATGGCCGGTTCGAGCTTCAAGCCCTCAACAACGTCCTCCAGGACGTCAGCAAATCCAACGGCGCTGAGTCTCTCTTTGCTTGGTGTGCCTTTGGAGTCACCATGCCATGGCCAGTCCACGCTGATTGTTCGGTATTTCTCTGCTAGACGGTCGGCAATGACCTCGTAATCTCGGCTGTCGTGGAGCGTTGCATGTAGCAGGACTATTGGCTGGCCTTTCCCTTTCACACGGTACGCTACGTCTCCGCCTCGAGTCGGAACTGATGGCATTGCCGATGAAGTCATGATATCCTGAAAGTAACTGCTGACGTGACAAACTCCACGAGGAGATGCATCGAATACGATTGCCATGTCTCTTTATATGCCCTCCGTTGAAGTTCAATACCGCAGTTTGAGCCATAGACATGACGGAGGAAGAATGGTGCTCCTGTACTTTCGTACGAACGAACCAATCACAAAGCGTGGGGGTCCGGTCAACATCTCTCCGACGGGCAGACTTGAACTATAGCGTACGTTTGAAAAGACGCTTGTGTCAAGTTGAGTCTGAAGCACACGGACCAAGGACCTCTTCTCGGAATGCTGCTGCTTTCCGACGTATATCGTATTGAGCGAGCTTTGCTTCCAGTGAGACGACCACAGTTGCCCCTCGAATGCGCCCCTCCGACTTGGCTCCCTCTGCTTCAATTTACGCAGATTACTTTCCACTGGGTATGTCTCCTGGCCGTGCTGGACTGTGGATCGTGTCGCTGCCTGATGTCGATTGGCCGGGGCAGTGAGATGTACCTTGGCCCTCGTGCACAAAGATGGTGAGACGGAGGGGATGTTTATTGCTTGGAATGGGAATGCGCGCTTGTTGAACCAGTTTCTTAGACTTCCTTTTGGACTGGCTGGTTTCTTCTAACCATGGACCAGAACCAGAGGGACTGAGTTTGCGGCGAAGGACATCTTTTTCCTGGCTCCGAAAATCGGTCCTGTTTTTGTGATTCCACGAGATTGCGTGGGATCCTTGCAGCTATTCCATCTACCGTAAGCCATTATGAAATACCACCCCTATCGCACAGCATATGATGGGGCAATGATACATGAAACTTATCAGTGACGATTGATCATGTCTGTTAATGTATGATCTGGCGTATTTCTGTCGGTACGGTGTTAGTACCTTAACAATTCATGCCTTCGCCTTACTAGCTTTTGTTGAGATGCGCCAGGGCCCAGCGGGCAGCCAACAGGCCGTACCTAAATCGATTTCTGGAGTCCTGTATTCTGCTTTCCCCAACTTATGTAGGCCCTTTCACAAGGCTGAATTGGTCGAGTATTCCTGACTGAGCATTTTGCTCGCTTCCGTCGGCGCCGTCCAGGAGCCGTCGAGCCGCGTGGAGGTCAGCGAGTGGATTTGTCCGAAGTTGACGCTCCAGGTCAAGCGTATCCGAGGATCTCCCACTTCTCAATAGTAAGACGAGAGCATGCTTGAGCATGCTAAAAAGACTCCAAAACTGCCGCCCACCTCCTCGTATCCCCCGGACGGACACAATCATATCTAACAAATCCATCTTTCTTGAAACTTTGAGCGGGATACTTAGACTCAGGCCATACAACATGGCTCCGAAACTCTACTGCACCAAAGAGTCTGGGAACTGCTACAAAGTGCGACTACTGGCCAGTTTCCTCGATCTCCAACTTGACCAAGTTGAGGTGGACTTTTTCAACATTCAACACCGCTCACCGGAGTTTCTAGCCATTAATCCCCGCGGAGAGCTACCGACTCTCGTCGATGAGGGGAAAGTCTTCAATGATTCGAGCGTAATTCTCGTATATCTCGCTGGGACCAACCCTGACCCAAGTTCCAAGACGGTTCCATCGAGTTATTGGTCTTCCGACGTGGTCGAGCAGGCATCTATCGTGGACTGGCTCGCCTTCACGGCCAGCTGGATTCAATTTGGACTTTCAAAAGCCAGGGCGATTGTGTCGTTCAATTGGCCTGCTGATGCCAGCGAGGAGACTCTTACGGAGGCAAAAAATCGAGGCATGAAGTCCCTCGAGATTCTAGAGAAGAGGCTCGAGAAGGAGCAATGGTTGGCTTTGGCGAGGCCGACGGTTGCGGACGTGTCGGTGTTTGTCTATGTTGCCCTAGCGCATATGGGCGATATCTCGCTGGACCCGTATCCTGCTGTCAAGGCATGGATAGAAAGAATACAAGGTTTACCCAGGTTCATTCCACTGGATGGGTTGGACAAGGCGATGCACCAGCGTTGAGAATCAGAATGCGCTCAGTGCAGTTGGATGTCTGTATCTGAAAGCGAGCCATTCGAAGATCAAATGCGTATGGAAGTAAACCGAATGTAATTGGACCTCTTTATGAGTCCCCAATTAGAGGCAATGGACGTTGGGCAGAGCCTGGCGGAAGTTCTCACGTCGCATAAGCCTTTGGGCCATTCTCCGCCGTGCGTTTTGGACTCGAGCTCAGCCTCACGCCCCCATGCAATTGAAAACCACGCTCTCAGCTCCCGTGTGTTCATTTTTCAAAATGGATTGGGAGATGTATTTCATTCGAGAAGTCCGATACTTCAAGGTAGTAGAAGGAATCTTTCGTCAATTCATATATACATAGAACACATGGCATATAGATAGACCTAGGCTTGAAAAGGCAAGACCACAGCATGCGAAAATCACGTAATTGATTGCTTGGCATCAAAAAACCCCCGAAAAATCAATTTCATGCTGTGTGGATTTGGGAGCCTCGTCACGGGCGGGCTAAAGAAACTCACTCCTCCCTTTACTTTTATACTCGACAAACCCTCACACATCTGCCCAGGGAGATATCTTGGTTCGCAAAGCCTTCCTCAAAAATATTTCCATTCTCTCCACAGGTATGGAGGACACCTCGACACCACCGCCTCGACAGCAGCAGAACTTCCGCTCCACCGCCTCAAATAACTGGCGCGTGAGAGACGAGACACCGCGGGTGGAACAACAGCATTCTCGAGGGCGGTCCAATCGTTCTCAGAACGGGCACCACAATGCTAGCTCCGTATCATACTCGAACAACAACAGCAATAGCAATAACACCGCCCAAGGAACCGAAGAAGCGCCCGGAACGAGACTTTACATCGGCAATCTACTCTACACAGCTCAACGCTCTGATATAGAGGAGCTGTTCACCAAGAATGGATTTAATGTCGTCGGCATAAGTATGTCCACGGATCCCTTCACAGGGCGGAACCCGAGTTACTGCTTCGTAGACGTGGAAAGCCCGGAAGAAGCCCAGAGAGCAATGAGTGAATTGAACGGCATGGATGTTCTCGGAAGGCCTGTTAGAGTTAGCCCCGGCGTGGCTAAGAGGCAGGGTCAAGGTCAAAGCAATGCCGGTGGTGGCGGGGGTGGGAGAGAGGTTAGAGTGAAAGACTTTGAGCGAGGTTGGGGACGGTCACGCGAGTCGAGGGAGCAGAAAGGTAAGCAAACTCGAACACCGTCTTATTGCAGGGGCTCCTCATCGTGGTTTTGCTTCTTGACCACTTACTTCCCATGAGATCGACGTTCCATAACCTGACGATTCCGGCTTTTTAGATACTGAATACAACCCAACCTTTGACCGCTGGAACCGTACCGACGCCACTTCTCACTGGACAGCACCTCAGTCCGAAGGGCGACGGCTCTACATCGGCAATATGCCCAGAATCGAACCACAATCAGCACATGATGAAGAAGTGCGAGGTCTCTTCGCCGAATACGTGCCAGATATCACGCCAACCGCGGTGTCAAAGCAGATATCGCCACGTCCCCCCAAGCCCGAACAGCCAGGAAATCAGTACTACTGTTTTGTCGATCTCGAAAGGGCGGAGGATGTCGATCTAGTGATCGCAGCGCTGGACGGCAAAGAGGGAAGTTGGGGCGGTAATGTAAGAGTCAATCGAGCCAGGGGTTCTGACAGAAAAGTCATTAAAGAACAGGGCTTGGGTAGCGGTGAGCGCCGTACTTTCGGAGAAGGAAGTTGGAGGAAGGATGAAACGCATGCATGAGCTCAAGGATGGGCTATACTCCATGGCTTTGAAGAAGCGGATGCCTGGTAGAACGGGGATAACGAAGAGGAAGGACACCTGTGAGACTGCAAATCCACTAAATGATCCTGAGCCTGAGGAGCCCCTTCCAGACAAGATGACTTGCTCGGACGCCTGCAGAATAGATGATAGCCGTTGAGGATGCGACGTGATCACGGCGCTAGACTGCCTGATCTTTGCCTAGGTAGGGTATTGATCTTGGATATCTTGCTGCGAGAGAATACAATCACCAAACGGATCGGACCTGCAACGCTTTTCAGTGATTGCTTGCCTCGCCGCATCTGTGTCACTTTTACACCTTGGCAGTCAATTTCACAGGGTACTCGGTAGTCTCGATCGCAGCTGGATATACCAACCCGCCTTGCTTCCTCGCCTCGTCCATAGTCTCCATTATCAGCGTGGATTCCGCCCACGGTAAGGTTTCCGATTCCAGTTCCCCAGCAACTAGGCAGCGGGCAGCGGCGTCGGCTTCATACTGTCGTGCGTCGTGTAGATGTCAGCAGATGCCACGAATCACCCAATACGGCATACAAGGAAACGTCTGGTTTGGCAATGGTTCAAACACATACCATCATACCGTGGCAACCGCTTGGGAACTCAAATTTCCGATGCAGAATCTCCACTGTTTTGTCCTTCGGCACCAGGCGATACCGCATCGGCCTATATATCGGGCCATATACCTGGATCTCGCCCCTTTCGCCTTGTATGCGTACCGCAGGAGTTTCCACATCGCCATTGCTCTCGTGTCCTCGTGCGGGATCGTCGCTGACACGCATAGCCGTAGTGGCCACGGCGTGAGCTTTCGTCTTCCCGGCCGGAGTTGATTTGGGAAATTCAAGAAGTATCAGTGTAGACTCGTCGGCGCCGGTGCGAGGTTCGAAAGCCATGGCTGCCCCAATTACTTTGGGGCGAGATTGTTGTCTGAGTTGGGGAGGTAGCGTGTGATACATCGTTTGGAAAACCCACGTGAGAGCATAAATACCCAGGTCGAGGAGAGCCCCACCTGCCAGGTCAAGGTTCACCATGCGGTGACCCAGGTCAAAATCCTTCTCAGGTACAGCACCAATGCTCAAATCTGAGGTGACGCGTATTACCTCGCCGATGTCATTATCCATAATGTGTTTCCTAATCATCTGGCTGAGCGGGAAATAGCGGGTCCACACAGCTTCCATAAAGAAAAGATTCTTCTCTTTCGCGGTCTTGTATAGGACCTTAGCTTGCGCGGCGTTGACTGTGAGGGCCTTCTCGCAGAGGACAGGCTTATTGTGGGCAAGACAGAGCATGGAGTTTTGGTAGTGGTGAGAATGTGGCGAGCCAATGTATATGATGTCCACAGATGTGTCTTTCACTAGTTCTTCGTAGGAGCCGTAGGGCGTGCATTTTGTGGACTGAGATGCGGAAACAAAGTTGGAAACGAACTTTTCTGCGGAGGACAGTGACGAGGAGGATGCGACTGCGGTAACGACGTGGCGGATGTCCTCGACGTTACGTGTGGACGGGTCAACAAGAAGGTCTTTGACGAAGGTTTGGGCAATCCAACCGGTGGCTGCAGGGTCGTTATTAATTTCAATGAGATATGAACTTTCTTGCGTGAAACATACCCATGATGCCCCAGCGAATTTCCTTCGGCGACGACATGGTAGCTAGAACCTGCGCTGTGAGTTCCTGCAAAAATGGAGAAAGGATAAATAGGGGGCATGGGAAATTCAAGGAAATATTAAGGAAGTGTATCCACGGAAGAAATCTCGTGGGGGAAAGCCATCATACCTGACCCGCGGGGCACGCTTCTGCAGCGGATTGACAGCCCCGGTAAGCCGCCCGACGATTCAGCCTGATATCAAGATCGGCGCCCATTCCTCATAGCTGATGGGATGTCGTGCATTGCCTCCCATGAAATGGTCAGAGAGTCAATCCCATGTGTTTTCGGTGCTGTCGGGTCTCGTCCCGACATGTTCATCGCTGTCTCTATGGGTTTGCTGAATAATTTTCGCCATCCTTTTCAGTTAGTGGTTGATGGTTGAGCGGGTAAGATTCCTCATATTGAAGTCTGAGACGACGGAGATAAAGAAGGGGACGCGTGGCTCGCTTGTGCCAATTAAGTCTTGTATTCGTCTCGCGCAGACGCGAGATATGTACTCGAAGTCAGAACCCTTTTCCGCATGCGACTCACCATTTTCCAGGGATGTTGGGCGCCCAGTTCCCGTAACTTGTACACATTTGCAAACATGGCATGAATCTTTTTCGGAGTCTCTTGATAAGGTCATTCCAGCCGCCAATTCGGTGCTTGCTCCGGGGGTAAATGCAAGGAGGTCGCTCCTCTTTGTCTCCTCCGCTCACATCTACCGCAACCCAATCTTGGTCAAGATACTGCTGTTGGATGGAGTCTTTGACTCGCCGAAAACGGAGAGAATGCTCTTCCAGACATGCTCAGGGTCCTGGCTGGCGTCGATTCCGGACCAGATGCCCTTGTTCTTGTAGTAGGCTACCACGGGGGTCGTCTGTGCATGATATGTTCCCAATCTCTTCTTCAGAGTCTCGGCATTATCATCGGTTCTTTGGATAAGAGGCTCTCCAGTGACATCATCCTTCATTGGTTCCTTGGGTGGATTGAATACTTTGTGATACGTTCGACCCGAGGCTGGGTGGATCAGTCGACCAGTGATGCGGGAAACCAGCAGACCATCGTCGATTTGCAGTTCGATCGCGTGCTTGAGAGGTTTGTTCTCAGCTTGAAGCATGGAGTCGAGGCCCTCGGCTTGGGCGACCGTTCTGGGGAATCCATCGAGGATGAAGCTGGCAATGTCAGTGGTGGACAAGACATCCATTGCATGGAATTTTACCCGTTAGCGCATTCTCTGTTCGTGTCCAACTCGTTCTTGATCATGTTGATCATAATGTCGTCGCTGACTAGGCCGCCTTGATCCATGATCTTCTTGGCCTCTCTTCCCAAGGGAGTCTTTTTGGCAACTTGTGCTCGGAGCATATCACCGGTGGCCTGTGAGGACTATAAATTTCTGATGCGAGGGCTGGGGGAGGATACGAGTATACCAGATGACACACACAGTATTTCTCTTTGATTCGAGGAGCTTGAGTTCCCTTGCCTAGGAAGTGCGTGTCAGTCAAACGCGTAGCATGGCGGTTAATGCCAAAACTTACCCGCACCCGGAGGGCCGATCAGGATCATGCGCATAGAATCTATGAGCGAGGGCTTCTTTTCGCCCTCAAGTCTTCGCTCCAGAGACCAGACCCGAGCTTCGAGCTTATGAACAAGGTCTTTCAGGTCCTCGACATGTTGATCCGTGATGGGTGCCATGTTGGCTGGGAAGGTTAGAGAAGGGGACCTGACCAAGGTCGAAAAACGGACGTGTAACTAAAAGAGTGCTGTTGCTCCTAGCTTATTGAAATGCAAGAGAGCAAGGAGGACAAGGAGAGGGGAGAAGCACGGTGCAAGAAAAAGCTGCTGCAGAGATGTTACGGAAGTAATTGCTTTGTGAGCTTCTAGGTTGAGCAAGAGACGAGAATCCTCCGGTTTACCGGCGCTGCACCAGCCCCCGAGGTGTCAACCTGAGCTCCGGACTGCCAAGAGATCACGTTGTCGGTTGAAGGTCGACGTGCAGAACGTCTGCTTCCCTTCTCCCGAAAGTATTCCGATCGTGTATCTTTCCTCACCACGAAGCAGGTTGGTTGAGCTCAACATTTGCAAGACGTCCACTCCAACGGCTGTGCGGCAAACTGCTCGCATATGGATGAAATTATGTCAGCCATCTTAGCCCATGGCTATTCCAACAGAACCAAGCTCGTGAGATATACCCAGAGGAGCTTGACGTCTCTCCCAATGACCACCTCGAACCCGATATTCCTATCCTCGAGGAGTTGAGCTCGCACGCTGCGCCAGACGACGTGTTTAGTGTTAGAAACAATATCCTAGGGTTGCGTGATAAGTTTGTTGAATCCGTCAGTATCCCTATCGATATGGATAAATTGATCAATCGCTCAACTTCGAGAGTCTTCTATCGACGAGGCCGAGAACAATTTATCAAAGTTCCTGTCCTCTTCGATCCTTCTCTGCCTGGTGTCCCCGCGGCTGAGTGTCCACTACCTGAAGTGGTTCAAATCGCTGCCAAACGCACTGCAATTGCCCATGGACATTCTCAAGAGCTATGCTCTCATCTGCGGGATTCCTGCAAGGACGAAGCACCGTCGGTTATTGTACATCGGATATACATACGACACACAAGCGGTGCATGATCCATAAGCAGATCTGAAACACTCATGTTCGTTAGAGATTTGCTCCTGTGTTGAGCAGAGTCCGACAGCCTCCTGAGCGCGAACGGTTTGGCCGATCAGTACAACCTCAACCTTGCCTCTACAGAAAGGTTCTGGAATTTATGAGTGCTTCCAGGCCAGAGGTAGAAGTAAGAATGTGGAAGAACTCGCCTCCAAAATTTTCGCCCCCATGGGTGGCCCAGAACGTTAGCGATTGACGTGCCGTTTTTATCACATCTAGCCAACAACGATCTACAGGACTTCCAGTTTGATTTCAATTTCCAAAAAAAACAGCTCACATGGATAAGTGCCTATTCATGCAAGTTACTACACGGCAAAGGATGATGAAACGTGTGCTAGAAATCCCCGGGTCGCTGGAGGAGGCAGGGTGGGCACCCTGTGTTGCAGTTCATGGCTTCTAGAATCTCCTGTCATCGACTCCAGGTCCTCACTTGCTCGCCCCAGAGACTTTTCGGATTTGCTTGGTCAAATACAACACATGGCAGCCTTTCTTCGTCTTAACAACCAAACCACGGAGTTTCGCCTTTTTGTACGCAGTGTAATGCTGGACTTGACTGACTGCGTGTTTCAAAACAAGTGCGTCTTGGATAAGAAAACAAAGCAGCCACAGAGAGTTTTCGCAACTGCGGTATCCTGATCTCCGCGTTCATCAAAACCTCACCGAGGGACTGAACAATTTTGAGACCTGGCGCAGAAGCAGATCAACCTGAAGTTTGGGGCCCTCCACTAAAAGTTTTCTTCGAAGGGTCGACTATTCTCCCAGCTATAAACCTTGACATGCTCTGGTTGAGATTGTGCACAGCATCAAAGTCGTCAGAGCAGCCGTCATAGGCAATTCCCCTTATGGTCATGCCGGCTAACTTGTACGATACAAAAGGCCGGATGTGCGCATATGGGTTCACGATTGGAACTCAAGCACGAGTTGTCGGCGCTCTGATGAGCACTGAGGTCGAGACGTCTCTAAATCCCCTCAGAACACTTCAACAGCGTGCGCATATAGCCGAAAATGTGCACACAGATCTCTGCCGGAGACTATCTTGTGAAGATTTCTGGGATTCTAGCACCTAGGATCAACCTGCAGCATGCCCCAGCGTATATGTCAGACTTGATGATGATGCGGTTTCACCGACCCAAATGTGACGCTTGGCTTTCGAACAGATCACCACCATGATTGGGTTCGCTCTGTCAAATGGTGAAAAGCATTTTTAAGAACACGGATGCGAAGCTAGTCAGTGGTCACGATTGTGAGGTGAATCTGCGACTAGTCACTGTCAGTCAGTGGACACTGACAATAGCTTGCAGAAATTCCTTCAATTCAAGCATGCTCCGGGGCACTAATGTCAAATGAGCATGACCCTGGTTCCTGAACTGTCCAATATCAAATCATCGGCAGTCTTGGATTACCGACAAGGGATAACTCCACAAGACCGTCAAGTTGTGCCAATAGAGGGAGTCGCTGTTTGCTACTCGCTGCTATTGAGGCAGGAGATATCTACCCTGCGGGAAAGTTCCTGGGCGATCTACGAAAAGCAGGAAGAAACAGCGGTATCAGCACGGCTTTCCGCCGAAGCAGACGGCGATCTCGGCACGGTATCTCCTCATTTCGCATTTTTCTCTATTTCTTAATGGTTTGAATATGAACAGCACGGCTAAAGGCATGTTGTCGAAAAGCAGGGTTTGCATTTTCCCCCCCATTTTCTTTGTTCGACTAGCAGCCGCTTGCGGATCGACGGCACTTAAGGGAGCCTGAGGCTGTGAGGAGGCGAGCCTCCTGAGATGCTAGCAAAACCAGTCTCCACAAAATCTAGCGTTTCCAAGCACATATAAGAGTTATTAAGCTCTTTTGGCGTCTATAATGGAACGTGCAACATTCCTCGACTTCCTCAAACTCCTAAAATGCTCTATCTCTTGATCACTTTCGGCGCCATTGGCTGGGTGAATGCACTTCCCAGTGTAGCCACCTGTTCCAACTCCCTTCCCAAGCCAAACGTCCCGGGAGCTATCGTTACCTCCCTGTCGGCATCGGTAGTTCATAACTATGCTATCAATGTCACCGGCGAATTGAACAATTGGTCAGTTCAAAACATCACGGGTCTCGGCTTCTGTCAAGTAAATGTTAGCCTGACACATCCCGGGACCGGTGATCATGTCAACAATCAAGTATGGCGTCCTCTGGCTGGGTGGAATGGTATCTTTCTCGGCATGGGAGGCGGTGGATATGTTTCTGGATCCTGGCCATCGTTGGCGCCTGCTGTGGAACGCGGCTATGCAGCCGCGGCAACCGATGGAGGTCACGCTCAGAATAACTCTGGAGATGCCACGTTGTGGGCTCTGGTCAGCGAAGGTGATGTCAACAAGAACCTTCTTCTTGACTTCGCGTCCAGGTCGGTCCATGATATGACAGTGCTAGGAAAAGCCGTTACCACGAGCTTCTATGGATCTGCACCAAAGTATGCATATTGGCAGGGCTGTTCGACGGGGGGCCGACAGGGTCTTATGGAAGCACAGATGTACCCCAATGACTATGACGGCATTGTCGCCTCAGCTCCTGCTATCAACTGGAATGACTTCACTCCGGCCCAACAGTGGCCGTATACCGTGATGAACAACGAACACTACGCACCTCCGCAATGTGAGTTTGACGCTGTCAACGCCGCTGCAGTTTCTACCTGTGACCATCTGGACGGCCTCGAAGACGGTATCATCGGTGCTCCAGGCCTCTGCGAATTTGATCCTTCAAGTCTTGTTGGGAAGAACTATGCCTGCCATACCGATGGGACAACTCAGCGCTTTTCGAGCAAGACTGCAACTATCGTGAAGAAGATCTGGCAAGGACCGGCAGCCGCAAATGGCACCGCGCTCTGGTATGGCATTCTCCCCGGTACCAATTTCAGCTCGCTCGCGCCCACAGAGACCTTCAGCAATGGCACCACTGTCGCAGAGCCATTTGGCATCTCTGACAGTTGGTTCCGTGACTTCTTGTTCAAAGATGCCATCTACAATACCTCTAACATCACCTACGGCGAGTTCCCGGGCTTAATTCATCAATCTCATGTGGAGTATGATTCCGTGATGGGTACTATGGATGCTAATTTGTCCGCATTTAAAGCCTCCGGCGGAAAGATGATCACTTGGCAAGGTCTTGCTGACAACCTGATTATGCCAAATGGAACTATGCATTATTTTGACAGAGTCAAGGCAATCGATCAGAATGTCACCGACTTCTACCGTGTCTTCTTTGCTCCTGGCGTGGGACATTGCGGCGGCGGAGGAAGCGGGCCAATCCCAAACGACGCTCTGATGGCTTTGAGGAAGTGGGTCGAGAATGGAACAGCTCCAGAGGTCCTCCCAGGCTCGAGCGGGTATAAGATCAACGGAACCATTCGACATCAGAACCTATGTCTATATCCTCTTGTCTCGAAGTACAACGGCAAGGGTGATCCAACGAGTGCATCCAGTTTCACATGTGTAAAGAATTTTTGAAATGGAATGACGAGTCACAGCTCACCGGTGCCCTCCCAGTGCCATTCCCTAGATGGGATAGTATCTCTTCCCGATCCGGAGAGGCGAGACAGGCTCGGTGCGCGAGAGGAAGCAGAGATTGTATTAGGTATCTGACCGACGGAAACCAGTGGCAAAGATATGCTCGGAATATCAGAGCCCTTATCACAGTGCACTTTAAATCCAGCCCCTCAGAGCAAGGCTAAGCCTATTGACGACACCCGATCTGGGTAAACATTACTGGCGGAGAATGGTAAACTTGGTATCCTATCCAATTCACATTATTATTAAGTGGAGAAGCTGCACCCCACGAGATGTGTAAAAATCCAAAATATTAGATGGCACCGCATGGTAGTAGTGTTGCATTCCCAAGGAGGGAATAAAGCTAGAGTTGAATACAGTCAAGATTGCAAACGGCGTGAGGACTCGCCGCTGCCCAATCTATGACCCTTCGAACCTTCTGCAGCGACGAACAATCTCAGCTATAAGCTTCATGGTCGCTTTAGATTGGTATGCTTATTATGTCGAGACTCAGAAATCTTGTATTACCAACAAGAAAGGTGTGGGAGTTGCTTTATGAGTTGTTGAAGAGTGCTCCGAGTCAGAAAGATGGGTTGAAGTACTCATAGAGCCTGTTGATGTATGATCAGTCTCTGAATGGTGTGTTGTAACGGAGACGGAAGCTGTTGAGGTATGTGTCGCGACAGATGTAGTCGAATGATCATCGTCTGAGGGTTCAGTCTCCGTATGGTCATCGCATCTAACGATGGCGAACAATAGCGGCAGCCATAGAAAGGCCCTCATCTTGATCTACGTGAGGTACACTGCCACTGATGTCTGCTGGGGCGTATGTGGTCAAAAACTGAAATGAATTCGACCCGCTCGCCGGGCCAACGTAGTCAATATGAGTTTTTCTGTTGTAGAGTGAGGATGAAGCGGTTCGAAGCTGTCGTAGGACATGTCACCCCTTATTACTTACTTGTAGATTGACGATCAGTAGCGGCATGAAAAGCGGGTGTTCCGACCCATCATGTGAGGATCATATGATATCGAAGTAGGGGTGGAAAGGGCGACTTGGCACCTCGTGATCGCCTTTGCTCGTGCCTTACCATATCTCCCAGATTGCCGGCAGTCAAATCTGCTTTGTGTCCGACTCAACTGTACTTGTACATACCAAGTATGGAATATTTACAAGGGAATCAGGGCTTGATCAGGGGCAGATCTTGGGGAGATGCAACTTTTGTGGAGCCGAAGTAGATCCGGCAGCCTTGCGCGTCTCTGGTCTCTGATTGGCGTAAATCCGGAGAGCCTTGAAAACTCAAATAGTTCCACCGTCTCACTATCTACATTCAACAATTACGCCGTACATTGGACTTCAATGCTTCATCTTTGTCAACATTTCATTCAATTTTCTACACATTTCATTTTTTAGTTCCTTCTATCCGCTCGTCGAGAGGATACCCAACGGCTGTTTGTATTAAGTCAAGAATGTGACGTCACACTCGTATTCGTCAGCACCACCCGGTGGCCGTCAGCCTCAGTACGGAGTAATCTTGATCGATTAAAACAAACCTTCAACAACGTTTCTGACAGAACCAACCTGGGTACAAGCCAATGCATCGCTGGTCCTCATTAGTGAGGACGATAAGCGGCAGTGGGAAGGTCCCCGAATCTGAAGGTAAGGCATACCAAGAGCGAACCGCGGAACCAGCAATACCTTCCGCTCCGCCAGTTGCGGCTTTTCAGACCTGTGAGGGTTTCGGAAGAGCACCAGTTGGGCGATTCAAGCTCTCGCAACGTGGGCTAACAACGTAAAGACCCAAGGCCGAATGAAAACAAGACTCTGTTCCAGGCCTTCGAGTGGTATCTGCCTGCTCCGCCCGGCGACAGTGCACTTCCCAATGCGAGCCATTACAGCATTTTAACAGCTCTACTTCCGCATCTCTCTGCCTTGGGTATCTCACACATTTGGATTCCCCCAGGCTGCAAAGCCACGTCGGTGCACGACAACGGGTACGGCATCTATGATCTTTGGGATCTAGGTGAATTTGATGCGAAGAAGAATGGCAAGCCTTCAAGGACGAAATGGGGACATAAAGCGGAGCTAGAGGTATTTTGTGCAAAGGCAAAAGAACTAGAGATAGATGTCCTCTGGGATGCCGTTCTCAATCATAAAGCTTCAGCGGATGGAAAGGAAGCTAGCTGCGGCGTCAAGGTTGACTCCCATGGTGAGTGACATCCTCTTGAATACGGCGACCTAGTATTAATCGGTTTCATACACCTTAGACCGGACCAAGGCTATCTCAAAACCATATGAGCTGGAAACATGGACGAAGTTTACTTTCCCTGGTCGCGGCACGAAGTATTCTGACATGAAATATAATTGGAGGCATTTTTCTGGTATTGACTATGATTCGCGCAGAAAAGATCATGCAATCTTCAAACTCATCGGTGAAGGAAAGCGGAGTGACTGGGCACATGATGTCAGTAAAGAGCTCGGAAATTATGATTATCTGTAAGTCCTCTGCCAAGATTTCTCACGCTGTTGAAGCTCGGGATATCAACCCACTGACAAGTTTTCAACAGAATGTTCGCAGACCTTGACCATTCGCATTCCGCAGTACGATCTGATATTCTCAATTGGGGAGCTTGGATCACCTCGCTGCTCAATCTCGGGGGCTTCCGTCTGGACGCCATAAAGCACTACTCTCTTTCTTTCCTTGCAGACTTTCTCTCACATCTTGACACGACCACATCTCAAGGGAAAAGGTTATTTTATGTTGGCGAATACTGGGACTCCAATGTGTTCACATTAGAGTCAGTCATTAAGCGATGCCATGGAAGGCTGAATTTATTCGATGTCCAATTGGTATATACCTTCAGCGACTTTTCAAAGGGGAGGAAGCATGATTTGAGAACGATTTTTGACGGGTCTCTGGTACAAAGAGATCATGGTCATGCAGTGGTAAGACCCTGGGGCCTTGCCTTGTGCCGGCTGTTTTGAACTCTGCATATCTGATATGTGCTCTTCAGACCTTTGTTGCGAACCACGATACACAAGACACGCAGGCTCTGGCTGCACCTGTCGAGGAATGGTTCATACCTCTGGCCTACGCGCTGATTCTACTTCGCCACGACGGCGGGACTCCTTGTGTATTCTGGGGAGACATCTTTGGCAACCACGGGCCTCGACCTCGGCTTCCAGCATGCGGTGGCAAGCTGGCGCGACTCATCTCCGCGAGGAAACTCTACGCACATGGTCCACAAAGAGACTATCTCGATTTGGAAGACTGCATTGGCTGGACCCGACTGGGCCACAAGTCCAAAGCGAATGGAGCGGGCCTTGCTGTCATCATGACCAATAGCTGGGACAGGAGGTCTAAAAGGATGTTTGTGGGTCATAGGCACATTGGCGAGAAGTGGAGGGATATCCTCGACTGGGAAGACAGGGAGGTTGTGATCGACTCTCGAGGATTCGGCAAATTCCCTGTCGGTCACAGGTCCGTCGGGGTCTGGACACACGAAAAGGCCCCCGACTTTGAGAAGAGCATTAGCTTCACTTTTCCCAGATTGGGTCACAGTGCCGCTGCGCCGGATCCGAACAAGTTGCCTGCCTAGGTGAGAGAGATTACGCCTCCCGTGGGCTCCAGAACATTCATTTAATCCTTCTATTCCACACTCATGTTCCAGGCTCCCCCTCCAGCAGTGTCACAGAAATAATGCTATCTCTGGTGAATTGTTCGAGCTAACAATCCGGACTTTTGTATTCGCCGTACAAAGGCCTCCATGCGGCTGAAAATGAAATTGCCTTGAGGCATTTTCATAGAGTCCACGGATGAGTTCGGAGAATGAGGAGCTTCTTTGAAGTGTGCCCTTCGGTGATGAGGAACAGACCACCACCAGCCATTATGGAGGCCCATCAATGCCTTAGCATCGAATCGTAGGACCCAGGGGGATCCCCAGTCGGTCATAACGGAAGCAAATTAACGTCTTGTTGGGGACGTGGTCTGACTGTTATATAATTTAGAAGGATTTTGAATACTTGGTACATTCTGGCCCTTTGCGGACCTTCAGCCGCCATAGATTTTGCCTCATTTCAGGTGACCCCACAACGTCTCTTTTGTCCGCCCAATATCTCGCTCTAGAATTGATACTTGAACTCGGGCGATCTGTCCGTGAACTCTTCGGGCGGGGTGACCACACCTTGGGCACGTAGTTCCGCCTTTCGATCTTCACGCTTCTGGTAGATTACGCGTAGAATGTTGAACACAATGAATGCGAAGGCCAGACTGCCCAAGGACCAGGCATGGCCCAGAACGAATCTTGGCGCGTCTGTGGAGGCGTATATTTGGCCGGAGATGATACCCCCCAGGTTTGTGAGAGTGAGCTGGGTTCCTAGAAGTGTCTTTAGCGAAGAACTTTGTCAACAGTACTGTGAAATGACTTACCCAAGCTTGCAGCTCTCTTCCCGTCAGGCGCGACATTGCCGGACAGCCAGGCAATGTTGCCTCCAGTGCAAAGGAAGCAAGCCGTGGCGATAAGGTAGGTTGCAAAATATTGAACTCCCACCGAAACGTCGTTCATTTTTAGAAGGATGGCATATCCCGCGATGCCAACGGGAGCGCAAACCACCATAATCAAGAATCTCTTGTGGTATTTGTCCGAGATGACGGCGCCAACCGCATACACAATCGCACCCCAGAGGTTGACGGGAATGACAAGATATTGAGCTTGCTTGGTGGAGAAGTGTAATCCGTTCTTGATGATGATAGGCAAGAAAGTACCGAAACCGTAGAGGATGGTGACGACAGCAATCTGACTGATACCATGCAACCAGGTCTTCAAGTCTTTCCAGGCCAGCTTGAGATCATTGAGTTTGTAGTGGCCGTCACCTCCAGAGTACGATTCGGATAGTTCGGCACGGACAGCCATGAGTTTCTTCTCTTCCTCGTTGAGGAAGTAGGCGGTCTGATAGTTCTTCGGGACCAGGTATACACACATCCCAGCCCAGACAAGTGTGATGAGGCCCTCCAGGATATAGAGCCATCGCCAACCAGGATAGTTGGCAACACCATCCATGTACAGAATTCCGAAGGCGATAAGACCGCCAAAGGCGCCAGACAGTGCAGACGCAACTATATAACGTTAGATTGGGTGTCTGTTGGAGGGTATCACAATACTAACTGAAGAGATAGGATATCCTTTGAGCCAATTCTTCCCGTCTGTACCAGTTGGCCAAGAAAAGAGTCATGGAAGGAAACAGACAACTGAGAACAGAAGAGATTAGGTTGGTTCATTACTTGAATCAGGTCAAACACGTACCCTTCAAACCACCCCAGCAGGATCCTGCAGACGCAAAGACCAGCAAAGTTTTGAATGAACCCCATGCACATACATACGAGTCCCCAGCAAAAGGTGATGATGGGAATGACTCGATGGAACTGAAGTCGTTTGACGAATAACGAGGTGGGTAGTTCAGCGAGCACATAGGTACAGTAGAAGATGGATACCGCCGTCTATTTTCAGCAGATCGGTCAGCTGAACAAAGGGGTCTGGTGCGAGGCAGCTTACATTGAGCTGGTTGCCGTGTAGACCGATATCATCAGCCATGCCCTGGGTGGCTGCGAAACCAATGTTGCCACGATCAAGATAGCTGATGAGCATGAGAAGCATCATCACCGGGGCGATGTAGAGATCGAGCTTGCGCCGCAATTTGGCTTCCTTTTTCTCGAACTCGATGATCTCCCTTGAACGATCATCGGTAACATACTCCTCGATCTCAGCCTTCTGCTTGAGCTCCTCGGTCGGGTTTGCCATGGCGATGTTGCCTTATTTTTGTTTCTGTTTTTTTTTTCTCCCCCACACAGTATAAGGCAAGGATGTGAACAAGTGTGCTTGGTAGATATGAGAACAGCTCAGTATCTGCGTGGGAAGATGAGATTGTTGTCGCAGAGGCCTGCTTATGATTCTCGAGCCCAAAGTTGGGGTATCGAGTCCAGAATCAAGCCACGTGGGGAAAATCCTTGTAGAATGTCCTACGAAGTGGATATCTCCTGATCAAGCGGATGCAATGGAACGAGGCACAGGAGATATTGACGGCGGCAACCAGGAGAAATTCCGGGCAGGAACCTGATGGCCTGAGAGAGATATGTATCTCGAGCAGGTCCATAGCCTTTCGTCTCAGTGGCCAAGGGGAACATGTCATGGCCTGCAGACGCCACCTTGGTGCTGTTGGTGGTTGAAATCGGATTACTGACATGCCCAATCTCTGACAAGAGCCAGCACAAGGGAAGTATAGCTCGGTGATCGGCAATGCCGCAAGTCTGTCGGTGAAGGCGCTAGCTGCCAACGGTCGATGTAACCACAGCGTCCATGGCTTGAAGGATGCGGAGATTGGGGTTTCTCCAATCGGCATTTATCTGCTGGACAAGTTGTTGGAGAAGGTTGGCGGCTGAGCGATGGTCGCTTAGGGCTGTCTGCCGAAGATCGTCTTGAGAGCATGGAAGTGGAATCAGCTACTGCCATCATTAGATTTTGGATATGTGCATCTGGGTATGGATGCTCCTAGAGACGCCTTCACAGTCTGACCCTGTTGGGGGCCATCGCTCAGCCTCGTCATGATTTGCCCAATCGCTCTGCCAGGATGGGCGCACCGATATTCGACGTATGCAGAATGAGTTGAGTTGCAATTTCCAAAAGCTCCATGATTTCTTCCGGTGTTGCACCATGCTTCAGGACGGTCTTCATGTGCAGCTTTAATCCTGGAACCTAAAGGTGGTGGGGGCAGCATCGAACGCACAGTATACCAACTCTTTTTACCAGTCAATCAGTTAGTTAGATCCAGTCGCACGATTGCGAGAGTGAGGAAGTGCTGACCTTGGGCTTCAACCCGCCACCTCCCTGACCCGAGCTGTCTACATCCTTCAGTTCAGGGCAAAGATGAGAAATTCAGACACGCCTCAAAGAATTCCGGATCCAGCGCTAAGAGATCCTTCCAGGCAGGGATGCCAGTACCCTCTGTTCTTCGTAAAGTCTGCTTTCAACTTCTCTCGCTTCTCATCAAAAGGTTTGCCGACACTAGCGTGTTTGTCATATATGCCCTCCTCTTTCATTACTTCGACAAGTAAGGGGACCTCGATTTTGCAAGCATGGATGCCCAATGTCCCCGCCACTTCAATCACCTCGATTATCTCAGCTGGAGTTGCCCCCTCTTTCAAGGCGGCATCAATATGTTTTCGCGAAGCCCGGGCACGTAGAGATGAGTCGAAGCCGCATCGACAGCGATCGACATGAGTTACTGGATCTTGGGAGACAGGTATTTCTTCTTCTTTGGTACGGCGATGAGGTTGGCGCTGGCTTCGAACGGCTCCGGGCTGGGCTTTGCGATGCTCTCCCAGGATTCATCCCATTGCTCCTCGCCTGATTGAGAGACGAATGCTTTCAATTCTGCGGGCTCTTTTGACGGCGCCATATCTTTCTGTCTATGGGCTGGTTTCACTCAAGGAGGACAGAAGTACAATATCAGGAGCACCTACCAGTTCACTGCGATTAAGTCTCACCGGCAACGCAGTTCTCTTTCGGTTTGCTAAGAGCCCAGCGCTCAGGGAGAATTGGAGATCCAGAGCGGAGTTTGGACCGAGAGTTGCTCAGTCTGCTGTGTGTGGGGAAAAGACAAATTTCCTCTTTCAACTACCCGTCGAGCCGTTTAGGTACCTAGGTACGAGTATTGTTTTGCTATGTCCCCCCACCACCAATACCTCGGGCAGCTAGGCTGATTCTCCGTGGAGGCTCGTTAAGCACCAGGACAACAATGGACAAAGGGAAAGGGCAGATAGGTTGGCAGTTTCGCGGGATTGCGCCCCAGTGCTATGTTTGTAATGGAAGATGTCAAACGTAATTGAAAGCCCTTGCTTAGGGGTGACAACGCTCAAACATAATCCGCGAAACTCAAGAGTTCCCAAAGAATCTCGATTGGTTTGCTGGATCCTCTTCCCACTCAAAATCGTGCGCAAAGACCACCTCGACTCCATTCGACTCCAGAGTTTGGATCCGTTCAATGGTTTGCTCCGCCAATTTCTTGTCTGCGTGGATACAACATATATGTCCATGTTCATCAAGCCACTCCCCGATCTGTCTTTCGTTCCTCATAATCCGCCTATCGTGGCACGCATCTCCAGCCAAGTAGACGCTGCTTGTAGGGCCAGTCCGTGCCAGCAGGTTAATGTGGCCGGGAAGATGACCGGGTGCATCAACGATGAGGAGACTGCCGTCACGGAATATGTCGAGGACTCGAGGTAGGTTCCCGTAAGCCCTCCATTCTTGGATAAAGTCTGGACCATAGGAATCTAAGCTTTGTTTCTTGGTTTCTTCCTCTATATCTTCGTAGGGATTGGAAAGCTCAATCGTTCTTTCAGCTGGTAGCAAATCGGATTCGAAGAATGAGTGACTTCCTCGCAATGACCCTTGACCTTGCAACAAAGCATTCGCACCACTCCCGATCACAAAGGTACTTTTGGCGAAGTCGCGAGGTTCCCCCACATGATCCCAATGGACCTGTTGGCTCCTTCGTTAGACGAGCGTTGAGACCTTGCGTGCGTGAGACTTACATGTGAGTAGATGACATAATGAATGTCGTCGGGTGTCAGTCCGCCCGCAGCGAGACTAGCAGTCACGTCGGGAAGTGTTGTCATGGGCTGTCTCGTCTCGACATGTTTCTGAATCGGTGGTGAGTATCGATTGGTGTCGCGTCGGAGACCTAGGTCGAAAACTATGCGTGTTGTTTGGCCCGTCTCTTGATCTTCATGGATTATCAGGAAAGACAAAGAGGGAACGATTCTCCGAGCGGTCTGCGAGGCTGGATGTACAAAGAAACGTTCCGGAAGCGAGAAATGACCGGCCGAAAGAGCGTAGACCTGGACGGTGGCTTCAGAGGGGCTCTCTGGCGGTGACGGCGGCGCCTGGTTCGGATACGGAGAAGACATGCCGCCGCTGCAGCTTCGACAATTGTATCGAAAGAATACGCAGCGCTGTTGGCATGACTTGAGGAGCTCTTTAGGACTTTAGCAAAGATCGATGTTGACCAAGATCGGATGCCAGCCATGGTCCCACTTGCTGGAGGATGGCCGTTGGGGTAAGAAGCATGGCCAAAAGGAGCTTCGGCATGTTTTCATGCTTCTCCAATAAGATGAACAATCCTGCTAAATGTCCTCCCGTGTTCCACATCGCTAGGTAGATCTTGGCTGGAACCTGCGAGTCGGCAGGTGAAGTCGGTGACAGCTGTCCTCGTAGACATGGACTTGATGGGGTCTGTGAGCTCCTGAAGAACCTTTTCTGGGACGTAGATCTTCCGTTGGGACGCAGAGAGCACACTTTACTTGAAATCCGCGGATGGTATACCCAGTACCATGGGTGTCGTGATTCTCTTCGATAGCGTGGAGTTGTCGCTGCTCGCCAGGTCGGTGATGAGGAGGCTGAATGGGCTGTTAATGGCCTCGGTACCCAGTACCCTGTAGGCAGCAAGTTGATGGTTTGATCCGAGAACAGCGGACAGCCGTCGCCTCTCTCATCGCAGCTGAAATGTTGCTGGGTACCGCAGCGAATCGCTTCCCTCCTCTACTTAGGCTCTGAGGCTCCAGGTCGGTTCCGGGAGTGTGCTCTCAGATTTGCTACTCGGTAAGGTTACTTTTGGTTGGGGGGATGGTTGCGCCTAGCTGTCTCAGCATCCAATCATCCAAATACTCTTTCACCCTTCGGCGCGCCTAAAGCCTTCTACTGGCTTCGAACAGGGAGCCTGGTGAGCCCCGCAGCATGTGGCCTGTTCGCCCACTAGCCCCATGGTTTTTTGCACCTGTGGCCAATCTTGAGCCCTGCAACCTGCTCGCCTACTCGCCTGCAATGTGCACATGCAGCGCACCGGCCACCGCCTTCTGCCACACCAATCCCTCCGCAGCCACCCCAGAATTTCCCCCAGAGCTTCATTCCCATCACCCAAGCTATTCGAGATCTTTGTCCAGATACCTCTTTGGGCGTTCCCGCGTCGCTTCGCCCTTGGCTCTAGGATCTATTCATAGTCCCTGGTAGAGATGCTCTTGAGCCCATGATCGAAGACAAAATCAATGCCGAGATTGACGGCCCGGAGTTGGAGGAAGACCGGAGTCAGGAACCGCCCCCCAAAAAGCCCAAAAGATTCCAGTGCAGACATTGCCAGCGGCTGTTTGCGCGACTAGAGCATCTGCAACGGCATGAGCGAACGCGTATGGCTCTCCGTCTCCCTATAGCTCCGTACGCGTGCCCTTCCTGACCGCTGATCAGATACTCGAGAGAAGCCTTTCGCCTGTAATCAATGCGACAGCAAGTTCACAAGAAGGTACCGTAACTAGTTACCTCACCGGCCGCGTGGAAAACTGGGCAGCTGACACTGATCGAGTGACCTTCTGGTTCGACATGAGAGACTCAGTCACGATACTGAGCGATGGGGAAGGAATGGCCGAAGCGGCCAGGGCGCTGGTGCCGTCAGTTCAACATCATCATCTACAGGTCGAAAACGACGGAACACCGACGACCACGACCACCACGCCTTAGATCTCCCCGACGCTCCCGGCACGAGCACGACCGACTTCAATCCCTCTCAAAATCTTGTCCCCAACTACTTGCCTACGAACTCGAATCAGACTACGAGCGGTACACCGAATGGCCATGACCTTTCCTTTGCGACATTGCTCATGGCTGCGGAACATGCTCGACCTCAGGATGCCCAAACCCACGCTCCCCTGCGACAGCCAAACCCCCTCGCAACGCCAATATTCCCTGTTCAAGACCAGTTCCTGCCCGACCCGACACCTCAAGCTTCCATGTCAGCTCCGGCCGACCAGGTCAATGGCATTGTGGGATTTGACTTCGAGGATTCACTTCAAGATCTTGCAAACTTCATGGACAACGGCGCTCTATCCTCCTACCATTTTTCGTCGATGATCAGCGCTGAACAGCCCATACCGTTCTTCTCTCCTGAGTCCTTCACCCACACGACCGACGTGCTTCCAACCACCGAGCCTCGTCCGGTCTCGCGCCCTGTGTCTCGTGCGCTTCCTAATCCTGATCACCCCGAAGATTCAGGCTCATTCTCACGGTTTGGGTCCCGTCTACCATCACTGCAACCAGAAGAGAGCCCCTCGGCGCCGCAAAGCGAGCAAAACAGCGTCCATCGTCCGCTAGCCGACATCAACATCGAAGACCGGCAAAACGTCGCTCTAAAACTCGCAGAGTTCGCCCATGTGGTGCCTAACACCTTTCAGCTCCCGTCTCGGCTAGCATTATCAAGATATCTGGCCGGCTACGTCAATGGTTTCCATGAACATCTGCCTTTCCTTCACATCCCTACCTTATCTGTAAATAATAGCTGCATCGAGCTCCTCTTAGCTATGGCAGCGGTCGGTGCACAGTACTGCTTTGAGGGACAAAAGGGAGTTGAGCTCTTTTCCGTCAGTCAATCAATAGCCATGCAACGAATTCGCCAGAGAGATGCCAGACTAGCCGCCTCCAACCGTTCGGCAGAGGTATCACCGCAATATTCCGGACATGGGAAATCTAGCGACTTGGCGACGGGAGAAACACCGCGTAGTGGCTCCTTGTCAGGATGCTTGGGTTTACCATCTCAGCCAGATTCCGAATCTGGCTTGCAGAGAGAAGACTTGATGCAAACCGCACAGGCGTTACTGTTGCTCATGGCGATGGCAACTTGGGCTAAACACCGAGAAATCCTTCGCGAGGCGCTCGCAATACAGAGTGTCCTGGCGACATTGGTGAGGGACGACGGGTTCAGGAGTCAGCCAATGCCCGAAGATATTAGCTGGACTGATTGGATCCGACGTGAGACAACCAAACGCACCAAGTTCATCGTCTTTTGCTTCTTCAACCTGCACACCATCGTTTACAATGTTCCTTCGCTTATCCTTGCTTCCGAAGTCGACCTCACCCTACCGTGCAACGCTGCCGAGTTTAAAGCGCCAACAGCAGCAAAATGGAAAGAGTTGCGAGCCCGATCGACCTCTGAAACCAGCTTTCAAACAGTCTTGCATCGCTTGTTCTCTCGCAACGGCAACGACGTGAGCACCTACAACTCTTCACTGGGAAATTATGTGCTCGTTCATGCACTGTTGCAACATATTTTCTTCGTCCGCCAGATCTCGAGATATCGCCTTGACCACGATGGCGATTTACGATCCGATGACGTCGCTGCCATAGAGCAGGCCTTGAGGAATTGGCAGTTGGCATGGAAACGGAATCCTGAATCATCGCTGGACCCCATGAATCCAAATGGGCCAGTGACATTCAATTCTACTGCGCTCCTGCGCCTCGCATATATCCGCCTCAACGTTGACTTAGGACCCGGACGGGCATTGGATACTCGCGACCCTGTTCAGATTGCCAATGCCTTTCGAGACAGCCCTTCTGTCAAGCGGACTCCGAAGCTCGTCCGAGCTGTCCTGCACTCTGCTCATGCTCTAAGCATTCCAGTCAAGATCGGTATCCATCTCGTTGCACAGACGCAAACCTTCATGTGGTCAATTCAACATTCTTTGTGCACTTTGGAGTGCGCTTTCTTGCTAAGTAAATGGCTAGAAGCATTGAGCCTGCCAGACTCGGGCCCTGCGATAACGAATGACGAGCGAAAAATAGCTACCTTGGTCAAGACGATGCTGGACGAGACAGAGTTTGCGATGCCTGTGGATGTGGCTATCGACTCACCTGCTGCAATGAAATATCTCAGCGCGGGTGTACTGAGGGTGTGGGCCCAGGTATTCCGCGGTGCTCAGACGTGGGCAATTGTCGATGTCATTGGGACGAGCCTCAACATCTACGCTGATATGTTAGAAGCAGGGTGAAGCGAGTCTGCTGAGAGTCTGGGCTGTGACTTTGTCATTGAAGTTATCAGCAGCTTGATGCGATCCCACCTTTCCGTGACAACATTCGTTGTGGTGCATTGCCTACTTTGCATCAATTCGACAAAGAACTTCTCATTTCAGACAAAGAATACGTGGGATTGCCCGGAAAGGCCGCCAGTTGCCGCTTCGCACCTCAAGGATGGCTGTGGCACTGCTATATCTTACCGAGGGCTTGTCGGCTCATCCTATCATTGTACCTCAGGTCTATATCAGTTGCCCCGAGCCTTGATTACGTAAGGAGCGTGGCACTCTTTCTATCTTGGTCTAAATCCGATGGGCCAGGACTGCAGCAAAGACCCCGGAAACGGGGTTGAGCCCTAGAGGTGACCGGCTTTCCAGTCTAGGATGCACATGGCTCGTGACTTTAGATTGCCCATTGATGGCATACCCCCTTATGCCGGGGTGTTTTGAGAACGGGCAAAACCATACGGTGGCACTCCAAGCACCACCTATCATTTTATACCAGTCGATTGTTACGACTGGCGATCCGAGACGAGGGTAGTAATCGATGCTGGAACCAGGAAGGACCGAAAACCTGACTCGGGCTCGAATACTGCCGAAGCAGGCCTCCGGCTTAATCTGCTCTTGAAACGATAGTGCCATTAGCATCAACATACGTGCGCTGATAAGCTCATCAGGCGTTCTCCGTCGTCAATGACAATATCAGCGACCTGAACCTGTGAGGTGGCACGCCATAGCAGAGCACCGGGTGCTGGTTCTGGACCCTGGCGAATGTAGAGAATAACAGCGACATTAATGCGGATGACATGAAACTTTTATCAGGTTCAGTTTGCTTGTTCTGGTCTCGGTTGAGAAATTCCGCCTCAATCCGTCTCTCCATTGACCTCCTTCCCTCACCGCCCTTGATCGTTCAACCACTTGTAAACAACACGAGCATCCTTGCCCTTATACCTCTGATCAGTCATAGCATCCTCAAACGCTGCCAAAGTAGGTTTGTCCAGGATTGTCCTCGCGCCCACCATTTCCGCCAACGAGGATCCCATCTCCAAGACGTGCTTGCACAGTTCAATCCGGAAGCCGCCTTCGTAGCCGCGACTCGCGGGGGCGTTCGCATGGATTCCCGGGACAGGGTTGGACTGGGATGTGACCCAACATTGTCCGCCGCTGACGTTGATCACGTCTGTGAGCAATTTGAGATCCAGGCCCATCTTTGAGCCAATGTTCAATGCTTCACTCGCGGCTAGACTTGTGATTGCAGACAAGTAGTTATTGATCACTTTGAACGCGGTCCCTGCACCGACGTCGCCGCAATGGAATATACTATCCTTCTTACCCATGTGCTGGAGATACTCCTTTGCCCGCTCGAAGGCGTCTTTGGTGGTGGCACCCACCATGAACGTCAAGGTTCCCGCCTCTGCGCCCATGGGTCCACCGCTGACGGGCGCGTCGACAAAGTCGAGCGTTGCTCCCGAGGCGAGTTTAGGAGCTGCATCCTTTGTCGCGGCTGCGACTTTTAAGATGGTAGCCGTTTCGATCGTGCCGCATTCCATTGTAAGCTTCGTCTGGGGTGCTCCGTTCTTGGAGGCGTCGATTGCGCCCTGAATCACCCCTGTTTCCGGGTCTAGATACACTTTCTCTACCGACGCGGCTGTAGGGAGCATGGTTATTAGGGTATTGGCTCGTTTGATCGCCTCATAGCCATTGGACACGACCTCAATGGGGCCATTGGAAGAGTTTTCGGATTGGAATTTCTGCAGCGCGGCTTGCGAGACGTCACAGATCAGGAGGGTCGAGGTGGAGGGCAGCTTGGCGCGCAGGTTTACGGCCATGGAGTAGCCCATGACGCCGATGCCTATGCGAATGTTCTTAGAAGAGGTGCATGATGACCATATTGAAGTACTTGGACTCTTTACCGATGAACGCGACGGTATCCTGTGGAGAAGACATGTTGTCGAGGATGTCGCTCTCTCAGGTCGTATTGTCTCTGGCGATATTGTTGTACTTGAGAGTCACTGAAGCGGTTTTCCTGTTTTACTTTCGACAATGTATGTCAGCCTCGTCTCGCTCTACGTATTATGCAAGATGGTGTTCTGAGACGATCAAAACGTGTCGTCGACATGCTTTTGGCCCTTTTCGGCACGAACGCTGGACCACTCCGCTCCTCGGAGTCGAGGCCGAGAAGACTCCAATGGAATGGATCGATGTGCGGCAACTGCGATGCGGATGCTTAGTATGAAATGTAACAAAGAATGCTCCTGGGGGCACCGCTTACCCACAAGACTCCGTTCTTCCAGGTGGAACGGTGTGGTTGGAGAAAGGGACCGCACAAGAGGATGTCGGGGAGGGGGGATGACAATGTTGGGGGATCAGCCGAGGCTGGTGGTGTCAAAGACTTGCAAAGCCCCCTTCATGAGTGTGGGGTTGGGGAATCTTTCTCCAATATCTAGGCACAAGACGTGTCCGAGCACAGAACCCGTGAAAGACGGTCTCTGAGGGGGAATGGATAGGAGAAAATATGTCAAAGATTCATCGACAAAAAGTCAGAGAATAGGGGTATCAGGGGTGGGCCAGGGGGAACATGTGTCAAATTCCTCCAAAGCTCCCCTTCTTGGAGCTCACAAGGCTTGATTTTCAGGGGGGGTTAGAGACCGAGCAGTGAGCCCAAGGATCGCCTCAAACAGCGCTGAAGGTCAAAGATGTAGATCAGCCATACCCAAAACGCTCCCAGCGAGGAAGCTGGGGCCTGTCGATGGCACTCAAGTCACTTGGCTTACTGTTCTCGCGCGAATGTGTAACCTGCATTATCTAGCAACGAATGCTCGCACCTAGAGACGGACAGGAAACACACCGTCATGTATATCCTTTGCCTTAATCCCGCATGGTCATTCCTTCTCCCATAGGGTGGAAGGCGGAAGAGTAAAGTCATCCAGGCTCAGATACGCTGCAGGAGATGGGACCGAGACTAGAGCAGTAACAAAAGGGGCTTAGCTATAATTTCTAAGGCGTTGGTCGTCCATTTGACAACCTGGGATCAAATACTCCCGGTTCTCATATTTGAGGCTCTACTACGGAATATCTCTTCCCAGATTCCTTTACAGAGTTCCAGGGAAGAACCTGTTCTTATTCCCCTCCCGCCACCCCTTATCATGGGCAACAATCACCTCCACCTCCACTTGCTCTCCGTTCGCTGCGGTTTCAAACACGGGACACGGCTTCTTTAGTAACGGTCCAATCTTTGCCAGAGTAGCCTTGGCTTTCTCCGTATCCACATGTACGGACCTCAACCCGCCGTGTCCGTCATCATATAGTGCAATGTCTTTTTCACCCGTCAAGATGCGCGGATCATGACAACAATCACCACCCAAGTATACCCATTTCGTGTGACTGAGACGTGCGAGAAGGTTGACGTGTCCAAACAAATGTCCTGGAGAGTCGACAACGTATAAGCTGCCGTCGCCAAAGAAGTCGACTGTGTGAGGGAATCCTGCGAAGGGTTGCCATGTATGTTTCGTCTGTGACTTCGCAGCGGTGGTACTTTCGTTGCTCGTTGGCGGTAGCTCGGACGTGCGATCCCTGGGTAGCAGATCTGGATTGAAGATCTCCTTTGGATAGTGAGGCGGCGCTCCATTCTTCAGTAAGTGCAGTGTGCCCGAGCCAACGACGAACTGAGAGTTGGGGAAATCGTCCGGAGTGCCCTCATGGTCCCAGTGGACGTGGGATAACATGACAATGTCAATATCCTTGGCCGGGTCGAGGCCGCCTGCGCGCAGACTGTCGGCGCAGTCTGGATGGAGGATGGTGGGTTGACGGTTGGCAATATGTGCTTGTTGTGCGGGCGGGTATTTCGATAGATCACGCTTGAGCCCCAGGTCAAAGACGAACTTGGTAACTTTGCCATCTGGACAAGAGTGCTGTATCAGAAACGACAAAGAAGGAACGGTGGCTCTCTTCTCGGGATCGGCGTCGGTGATGAACAGACGCTCAGGCAGAGTGAGTTGTCCTGCCTCGAGGGCAGATACTGTCACGTAGACTTCCTGTTTACTTGATGAGCCCATCGTTGAATCAAAGCTTCTTGCAGATTGTTGTGGTGCACGTTGACCCAGGCTGGAATCTTAAATCAATGGCAAGACTTCTGTCGCTTGGTTTCGACAATGAGGCCTCTTGTTGGTTTCCCCACAAGCTAATTCGATGGAGTTTACACACTTATTAGAATGCTGGTGGTTTGGAGAAACAGGCCGATTAACGGAGCAGCTCCAATCAGTCAGCCAAGGCCTAGCAAATACAGTTTATTATTACATATATCTCATAGAAGAAGGCCGTAATTCCCACACCAGAAGGTAAAACACATCCCGGGGCTGACCAGCATGGGACAATGCACTCATCGCCTCTGTCGCTCGCCTCGACTGATCAAAACAACAGCTGCACATCTCAAAATATCATTGGCCACAGGTTTCCGCATCCATCAATGCTCCAGTCTTCCATGTCCTCGAGGTCGAGACATCGTCGGGGACAAATTCGAGAGTCGTCCTCATCGGCAGATCCATCTTCACCACGGGTCGTCCAACTGCTGATAATAGTGTCGTCGCTGAAGACGGATCCGGTTTCATCTGAAGAACTTGAGGAGGCCAGGTTGAGCGAGTCCCATGGTGGAGTCTCTATAGTGGGGGTATCTGACCAGATCACTTCGGAGGAAGGGGAAGAACAGTCCCTCTGCCTGTCAAAACCCGCCCAGTCAAGGCAGTCTGAAGTCGAGGAGATTCCCGTGTCTCCATCCATGGGATCTAAAAACGAGACAGCATCAGAGAGTGTTGATTTCCCCGAGTCTTGGGAACTAGTGCTGTCATGCATGGACGAGGTTTCATCCTCGCTGTCTCCCCCTTCAGCATCCGCGTCGTTTTCTGTATCGATGTCGCTATCTTCTTCAGGCGTGCCATTGGAGCCACTCATTGCGCAATCCCGCAGACACCGGTCATTTTCTCCGACGAACTCGACCTCGTAGACATAGATATCATCAACATCTAGGTTGTACTTGTGCTTGGCCATCTTGTGGACTTTGGAACTGCGCCATGGGACGGTAAGACGAAGCGCATCCCGGGCAGCTTTAATCTCCGTCTTCAACTGATTGCCACAGTGCCGACAAAGACATTCGAATCTCCATAGTGACATCTCAGCCGTGTAGAGGCATCTGGTTGACTTGTCTCGGATGCCCTTCATAGTGACAACTCGGAGGCACACGATCAGGTGAAGTCTTTGGGTCTCAGTATGCTGCGAGCTCAAAGGATAGAGACGTGGGAAGGCCAGGGATAATGTGCTACGTGGCTGTTAAGACTTCTGTATCAAACGAGGGTGAGCTGAGATATTCGGGACTGTGGCGAACTTCTATGGATGGCATAACAAATTGGATATGATAGATGCGAGCGATAGTGCGTCAGGTTGAGGAGGCTCAGAAGTAATCGAACATAAGTGGAATCGAGCTTCGAGCTTCGTCCTACCCTTCTGGTCGAATGTTGCTGGCTGGAAGGCACCTGGGTGATAGAGCAGGCGCCATCGCGATATAGCAGTCCGTATGCTCATTTGCCGAGCAATGATCTTTTCCGGAGTTACAGGATTGTCGGATCAGGATGTAGAACAATCCAGTTGTTAAGTGAAAGTAGTGCCATTTCCGTGTTACTGGATTATCTCCAAAGTTGTAGGTCTGTTAAAGAGTCGTGGTCTCGACGATCGCATCCTGTCCTATATCGCTTCTAGAAACGACCGTGGCTGCATGGGACATTAGGCGTAAAGAGATCTTTCCATGTGAATCAAAACACTTATTGCCGATCACGGTCCACCGGGAGGTATTTCTGCTTTATTCTCGTAGGAAGGGGGACACGGGGACCAACTGCGCAGCGCGTAGAGAGACGCAGCGGAGATGACAGGAACAAATCGAGAATACCAAGTTCTGTGAAATGGATGCGGATTGTGTGGCAGAAAGCATTACAATGCATCTCTCGGCCCTGAGGTTGAATGCAAGAATTTCTATAGAGAAAACTTGGTGTATAATGTCTGGCGTCTATAATTGTGGGTGAGCAGGCCGCTGTGCTCGTATACGCTGTAGTCCCGTTTGTTTTGTTGCTTGAGCAGGTTGATTTTCTCCCGCTGTAGCGACCGCGAGGGTCACAATATCTTCCATGTCTACCTGGGCGTGGCCAGTACAGACCCTGACGTGCCTCATCGGATAGCGTAGGCTTTGGGAAATGTTACTCCTTCGGAATAATGGGCATAGTGGGACCAACTTCCATGAATGTGAACGCTGAGGATGCGTGAAACTTGTCTCGTCATTCAATCCTGTCGTATAGTCCTGTATCTGAGCGCAATGCCCTTCAAGAGCAGAGCGTTCCATACCTCTCCCTCTGCTAAGTAATTTCTTTCATAAAAATTTTCCAAAGGCGGCAGCGTCAACCCTCCGCCTTTGCCGTCCCAGAAATCCTCGCGGCTCACCAGCATTACCGATTCCTCGACTCCGCCCCGACGCAGCTGAGCTCGTGCTCGCAAGCCGCAGATTTTGATCGTACCACGCCGAAGCCATGAGTTTGAGTTCGCGTTGAAGAATAATGTTTTGTTTTGTGAGTCGTTCAATTTCGGATCCCTCATCCAGCGAGTAGGAAGAGCTAGCTGCCGTACCTTTTGGCACGGGGGGAGGTACGACATCTTTTTCAGCTTCTTGAGATTCACTTTCATGTTGGATCTTCCTCTGCATGTCCTTAATCGTCTGGTCCTGTTTTTGTACGTGCGCGAGTAGGAGCTTGTTCTTGGTCCTTTGCTGCTCGATTGCCCCGATCAGCTTCTTTTGCGCGCGCAGAGACGATTCTCGTTCCGTGGCAGTTCCGGCTTGTGCCTGCGCACGCATAGCAGACATGATTGCCTTCAGCTCATCTTCAGAGATGCTCTCCTTATCTTCAAGGCCAGGGATGGTTGTTTCTGCGTCCCTCGGAAAGATAAGATCTGTATCGTTCGCCTTTGGAGAGATGGTGCCTCCATTCAGTAACGCGGCGGCGAGACGGGCTTCTGACTCGGCGAATTCCGCTTCTTCTTTCTCAAAGTCTTTGTTGACCGGGTCTGGAGCCCTTTCTTCTCTTGGTGCTGTGGGGATGCCCTCTTCGTAGTCACGCAGTCTGCTTTGTAAGTCTTCCAAAGCATGATTCTGTCGAGATAATTGTTCAACAGTGTCATGATACCGTGCTTCAAGTGCGTGGTAATCAAATTCGAGCCTCTTCTTCATCTCGTTTAACTCGTATCTTTCTTGCTCAATGCTAGGTAGGAGCCGACGGTATTCGTCAATCTCTCGATGCAAATCACTCGAGCTCGCCTGAGCAAAGTCGGACTGCTTCAGTTGATTCTGCAATTCCGTCACTTTAGCTCTGAGATTCGTATTGTCCTTCTCAAGGTCCTGGCTGGCTTCCAGCTTCTGTCTGTATTTCTCCGCAGTATTTGCTTTCCGAGCCAGACGATCTCGTTCGATCTTCATCTCATCGTAATCATCCTGCAGCTTTTGGGCCTTCTCAGCCTTGATTTTGAGAACCTCGTTATTCTTCCGTAGGTCCTCCACTTCAGATTCGGTCTCGAGTACCCGATTCTCTAAAGTGGCGATCAGGGTGTCGTGTTTGGAGTCTAGTGGCCGGTTCGAAATGTCTGACTTCCCCGCAAGAATTGCAGCTAAGCGGTCGTTGGACTCTTTCAGATCATCTTGGGCTTGGACGAAACGCTCTTGCAGTTTCTCGTAGCGCGAATACGACTCGCCGAGCTGTTTCTGGAGTTCGCGCTTCTCGTATGCTATCCGCTGGTTGTCGGCAATAACTTTGCCTAGTCTCTCTTCTGATTCAAGGACGGATTCCATCTCTGTAGAATGACGAGGAGAGCTGAGAAGGTCTCCATGAACTTGATCATTCAGGTCTTCCACACCAGCCTCGTCAGCTTCCCCTCCATCTTCTCCCGCCTCTTGCACTGTCTGCATCAAAACTTCCTGGGTTGACTCTGCCAGCTCCTGCATCTGCTTCAAGTAGTCAATTCGGTCGGCGCAATTGATGGCAGCCACCACGAGGAGCTTCAGGAGAGCGACGGTGTCAGTGAGAGAGGAGGACTGGGCTATAGCCTTCAGGTCAGGGCGACCACCAGGCAGAGGCAGTCGTTGCCCACATTCCTCGACGAGGAAGATGGAGAGCGCATCGTAAATGTGTTTGAGATTGGTCCACTTGTTGATCCATTGATCGGTCTCGGGGTCTTCTGGAAGTTTGCCAGGAAAGCTGAAGCGGTCGATTTGCTCTGGGAAGAGGTTAGAGAACTTGCGCGATCGTTGCAAAGACTCAAACATACGAAGAGCCTTCCATATGAGGTCGCCATTGGTGAAGTCGTCTACGGTGTAAACTGGGTCCGCGACTGCGAGACTGTTGATCCAGTCGATAAGCCCGGCAGCAATGGCTTCTTCGGTCGCCATGGGAGAGGAATATGTTTATGTTGATAGCATTTCATTATTGCACTGACTGCTGAGCTGCGACGGGTCCAAACACAATGAGTGGCCCCATGGTTTCAGGATGAGGAATAGTGAAGACGCGAAAAACGTTTGGGGCGCGTTACTTCCGCCGAAGGCTGTGGAGGCAGAGGCACGAGGGAATCAACACCATGACGTCGACCGTTCATTGTTTTCGTCAAACAATATCACCCCATGAGCATTTGACACTTTTCCCGTGGGTAGGAGATCTAGTACAGAGACATGAGAAGCAATGTACATGATATGGAGCAGTTCAATACTTTTGAATTGTCAATGATTTCTCTAGCGAGTGAGGTACGGAGTGCTCTATGACTTCGTACAATGCCTCCCAACAACATGGCGGCCCTACAAGAAAGTTGCCTTCACACCAATCATGCTATCGTATTCAGATTTTCGTTGCTTTCAGTTCGTGATATTATCTCAATTCATGATCCAGAACACCTCGTCATATGTGCATCTCCCTCCTTGAGATTCCTCCTTCTATTGAGCGGAACTCGTCGAGCCGTCAATGTTGACCACGTAGTCGTCCTCAATATATGGCGAATACGCTTCAGCCAGTGCACTGATTTTATTGAGTGTGACTTCTGAAACTTTGGCTGCGAATCCTTTGATGAGGGCTGTCACAGAGTCAGCGTAGCCCTCGGCAAGGCGCCGAAGCGGTGTGAAGGAATAAATTCTCACAATATTCATGCGTTATGACACCACCGTCTTTCTCGATTTCCGCAATTGCCTTATCGATGATGGAAGATGGAGTGTTATCTGGAAAGGACACCACAACGGGTTTCTGCGGTGGAGGCAGGGCGAATACTGCGGCGACGAAGGCGAGTAAGAAGAGGATCGGTAGACGCATTTCGGGTGTTCAAATTGTATCAGTCAGAGTCTAGAGAGCGGGAGCTGATCTCTGGAGCAGTGCTATGAGCGTTGCGGTGATGGACAGAAATGAGTACCGGTATATAGGTTGTCGAGAGATATTACTCCGTAATTTTGTGAAGTTAGGTGGGAGTTTCGGAATGGCAGGAGACGGTTGCGGATTTGACGCAGTGGCTTTTGTCGCTCTTCTGACAGATCCGGCGGCTGCGGAGGTTTGACGGTTGAGTTGACAGTTGCCGCCTGCGTCAACCATCCATTTCCCTTCCCGCGTCTCCCCTGCTCTCCTTCCAACTCCCTTCTCTTCCCTTCGATTCCCTCTTTTCTCTCGTCTCACCACGTCATCTCCTCTGCCCATCATCGTCGCACCCATATTGCCATTCATCCCCTTTGTCTTGTTAGTGTGGTCGAATTGGTATTGAGACAGTGCTCCCTCAGTTTTGGTCCATCCAGTCACCGTGTGACCAGAGACGATTTGCTACTTCTCCACTTCATCACAACCCTTTCACATCCTCACTGCGCGGCTCATTCGACGCTTACTTGAACACCGATCTCCTGGTCGAACTCGGCTTTGTATCTATCCCTAGTCTCTCTACTTGCGGCAGGTCATGACTTGAAGACCCTGAAGAGCTGTCTGGGGTGGATCACCATCGAATTCTGGGCTGCTGGAGCGTTGGACTGGAGCAAGAAGAAAGAAGCAGAATAACATATCGGGTGTCACTCTGAAGGGTTGTAGATAGCCAAAAGATACCACGACGCTTTTTCCTTTTGCTGTCTACCATGCTCAGGCGCATCCGTGTCTGACGGCTCCAGTCGCTGCTTGACATCAAAAGAGTCATTCATTGCTTGCCTCGCCGCATGCCCGTTTGACTCGTTCAAAGCTCGAGTCCTGAGTCCTGAGTCCTGACCTGGACCTCCGCTACCTTTCAATCTTTCCTACTCTCCGTTTGCGATTCCAATCTCCTTCTCTCATCATGTCTGGTCTACCGTCGGATGAGGTCGCGGAAGACTATAAGAACTCTTTGGAGGACCTGGTGACCAACGACAGATATCAGATCTCAAACTTGACACTGATCGCAAAAGAGAACACTGAACATGCCGAAGCAATCTCCCGGGTGCTGCAAAACCACATCAACAGAGTACGTCAGTTGCCTTTTCATGGCCTTCTCATCTTCTTGTCCCCGTGCAATTGCTGTTTGAAGACGTTCAAGGTCACGACTAATCCTCTGACAGGCACCTCCCGCTCGAAAATTGCCGGCTCTGTACGTATTGGATTCTATTGCCAAAAATGTCGGGTCTCCGTACACGGTCTACTTTGGCCGTAACCTCCACCAGATCTTCATGCTGGCATATTCTCAAGTTGATGGGGCAGTGCGGCGAAAGCTGGAGGAAATGTTGAAGACCTGGCGAGAACCGGTCCCGGGCGCTCTATCAACCACCCCCGTCTTCCCCATCGCGAGTACCCAGACCATTGTTGACAGTCTAAACAAATTTCGAGGTCAATTGCCCTCAGTTCATCGACATCAGCCGACCCCCATCCAAAGTCAGCCTGCCAGGGTGCCTTCTGCACAACCATACCGCCATACACCAACTCCTCCCCAGACTTTACCTCAGTTCGCTCCAAATATCCCTTCGCATATTCGAAGTCCGCAACCACAGCCTGCCGTGCCCCAACAACTATATGCTCCAGGGCCACCAGCGACATACAGCCAGCCTTATCCACCTCAGCCAACTCCGAACCCCTACTATCAACCACCTCCCACGTCCCATACACCCCAATATTTGCCCCCGGCTCCTCAGCCCCCCCTTGTCTCTGGGGGTGCCGTTGATCTGCAGAAATTACACGCGGACATCGACGATCTCACCACCGATGCTAAAATCGAGTGTGCCACCCATCCCATGGATGCAGGAGCCCAACGCAAATTGGCTAGTCTGCAAACACTGAAAGAAATCCTCGACAGTGGTAATGCCTCGGAAAGCGACTTGGTTGACATTCGAAACACCATTATGCAAAAGATGACAGAAAAGATGGCCATCAGCCGCCAACCTGTGACGCAAGCGCCGGTGCCCAACATCCCCCTACATACAGCTTATGTCCCTCCACAACCACTCATTCAACATACGCAAGTAACTGCGCAAGGGCCAACTCCTGCCCCTCCTCCGACGGCTTTGTTCAACAGTACGAATCTTGCAGAGCTACTTCGAACGACTCTCAGTCAACAGCAAGCGGTACAGCCGCCGAGCTATTATCCACCATCTCAATCTGGCGTGAGTACTCCACAGTATACCACCACCGCCCCTCCTCCGCCGACCGAGAATCCGCTCATAGCTCAGCTCCGGGCATCAGGGCTCTTATCAGCAGCACCAACGCCTCCTCCAGGAGTGACTCCACCCATGGCGCCCTTCTCTACACTTACACCAGATGCAACAGCAGAGGTGAAACTTACCTCGGCTTCAATCAGGATACCCAGACGCCAGATGATTTCCATCTTCCTCAACGCTCGCCCAAATCAATGCAGTACTTGTGGGAGAAGGTTCACGGCGGACGAGGCTGGGAAAGAGAAGAAGGCTAGGCACCTCGACTGGCACTTCAAGACCAAGGCCAGAATGCTGGAAGCGGAGAAGCGGGGTCAGAACCGCAGTTGGTATGTGGATGAGCGAGAATGGATCGCCAGCAGAGAGTATGACGACGATGCTGGGCCGGTGGATTCAAATGGTCATGCGATAAATGGAGCTGGGGTGGCCGAGAAGAAGAAACCCCAAGATTTTGTGCGAGTGCCGGCCGATCCAGTTATGCGATCATTGCCCTGTCCAATAGATCAGGAGGCGTTCAAAAGTGAATGGAGCGAGGAAGTGCAGGATTTTATTTGGAAAGACGCAGTTCAAGTTGGGGGCCGATATTATCATTCATCTTGCCTAGGGGACTATTCTACCTCAATACTTGGTAAACGAAAAGCCGAGGAAGATAACATGCCTGTGGCGCCGGAGAAGAAACTGCTTATCACTTAGATGTGATTGTATTCGTTCAAAGGTTGCTGTCCTGGTGGACCAGGCATGCAGCTGTGGGTTGGGGAAATGTTAGTGGGCTATTTCCAGATGGATGCAAGTTGCATAGCGAGCGAGCATGAAGTAGATATGGCCAGATGAATGAAAGATGATATTCTTTAGCCGACAGCCTTGTGGTAGTTGTTTCATGTCCTCCGTACCCCTCTGTATTTGGCAAGGCTGCCGGAGATAAGGACGAACTAAAACTCAAAGCCGGGCCAGGGTCTTTCACCACTCTCCTCCCCAAAGAAAGCGGATGGACCCGCCCTCGTTTCCCGACGCAGTCTTATTGAGCCTCGAACTTTTTCTTCTCAATGCACATGTTTTCTTCTGCGCCAAAAAATTTTAGACCTCACAGCTCTCATTTGATACATCAGTACTGGAGTTGACATAGACAAGATTTTTCCTGGCATTTTCTGATCACCGAGTCCCATCGTTTTCGACCGCGACCTCACTCATCTCTGCGCGCAATCCGTTGCGCCTCGTCCTTCCATCATGTCACCTCCTGCTATGGCGCCAGCTCTGGCTGTGCCCGGTAAAACCTACAAGACAGAATCAGGGCTTGCCCGGCTCCTGGGGTCAGGTAATGGCATATCTCTGTCTACTTGTGGCTGGCCTGAGCTAATCCGTCGGCAACGCAGGCTCTGCTGGAGTCGCTGAGCTGCTGGTCTTCCACCCCGTTGACACCATCGCGAAAAGGCTGATGAACAATGCAACAAGAGTACGTCCCCCATTCCGACCTCGAATACTGCGCGCCGACTGACGGTTTGCAGGTGGCTTCGATCTCTGCCCTCAATACCGTCATTTTCAGAGAGTCCGCCTCAGCCCCCGTCCTCACGAAGTTCGCATCCCTCTTCCCGGGTCTAGGATATGCAGCAGGTTACAAGATCTTGCAGAGGATATATAAATACGGCGGTCAGCCCTTTGTGCGCGACTACCTAACCCAGCATCACGCCCAAGATTTCGACAAGGCCTTCGGCAAAGGGACCGGCAAAGCAATGCTCAGCGCGACCGCTGGCTCTCTCATCGGCATAGGCGAAGTGGGACTGCTGCTTCCCCTCGACGTATTAAAAATTCGGGCGCAAACAAATTTAGCATATTTTCGTTCCCGCGGATTCATCCAGATTGTGAGGGAGGAGGGTCTGGGGTTGTACAGGGGCGCGGGGTGGACAGTGTAAGAGCAGACCCGACGAATCTGTGGGCGTTCAGTTCTTGCGACACTAACATGGCACAGTGCTCGAAATGCACCGGGCTCCTTTGCTCTTTTTGGAGGCTCGTCGTTCACTAAAGAATACCTCTTCAAGCTCGAGGATTACAATGCAGCTACATGGGGTCAAAACTTTGTCGCTTCCATCGCAGGGGCATCGGCTAGCCTCATTGTCTCCAGCCCTCTTGATGTGATCAAAGTTCGTATTCAGTCTCGAGACCATCTCAACCCAGAGTCTGGCGTTCGCATTATGACGAGCATGATCAAAAACGAAGGCGTGACGAGTTTCTTCAAGGGCCTTATCCCCAAAATGCTCATGACTGGCCCAAAGCTCGTGTTCTCGTTCTGGCTGTGAGTATTGATTGGTCCTTTTTCTTCATTCTGGTTGCTAACAGCCTCTCAGAGCTCAAACACTCATTCCGGCCTTTGGGAAGATCGTGTAATCTTCCACCACCACCCCAGAAACCACGTCTCGGATCTCAGTGAGACTGATAAGGGTTAGCTGAGCCGATCCAACTACAAACGCCTTATCCGCTTCAACGTGGGCGGACAATGACGGAGCCATGAACCACCAACAGCCAGTCGGAACTGTCGAGCATTATATCATTGAGCGCATCCGTTTCACTCTCCTCCAATATATTCTTGGTTGATGTTCATTTCTGAAAGTACAGGACGACACTTTCACTCCTCGCTTGGCATCCAGGAGACCACCAGTCGGACCTTGCTATGAAGGATGGTACAGAGTCACCATCCATGGGATAGAGGTCGGGCCGGTAAAAATGTAACATTATGGTTTTACATAATTCACTTTCAAAAGACTACATTTCCATGATGTTTCTGCTCGACCTCCCGTTGATGTTCGAGTCAACCTGTCTCGCTGTGTCAAGCGACTACGCCGCCGTCACGTGGAAGGCTCTCTCCTGGCCTATTCTGCCTAAGATCTCCTCTCCTAGGACTCCTCCTACCCAAGTCGCGGCACAGAATGAACAAGCCGAAATGTATCTGGAAGATCTGGGCGCTCTCTGCCACAACCTCGTGGTCCATGTGAAGTTCTCCACTTTTAGAGGTGTCTCGAGGTGCCCGGAAACACAGACTGGGGACCGTCATCTCTGCTAAGAGACGAGTCTGACAGACGGCGACCATGGTAATCGAGTGGAATTTTCGAATGCAAAACTCTCACAATAGATCAATGGCGGGGGCGGGGTCGAGGTCGAGTCCACGGAGATCGATCCATGTTGCACTACCGTGCATTAAATTTTGACACCATTCCTGATGTACCGGCTAAAGTACGGATTCTGCTTTTGACATGTCCAGGCTTGCGTTAGAGGCGGCCGGGGACTGCAAGGACCAGACACTCGACAATGGAGTTTAATCCCACTCGGGAACGAAACCCTTGGGCTGTTGTCGAAACGTGCCACTGTCTTTGAGAATTACCAGAAGCCAGAGAAGCCAGAGTGGGATGCAGAACAGGAAGCAGCGGTCAAGGAATTCCTATCCTCCACCACATATTCAAACAGAAACCATTTCAAGTAAAGGTGGAGACGAATCATCAACTTTGAAACTGAAGGACGTTGGGCTGAAGCTGACCTGAAGTCTGACGTACTCAAGATTTACCGCTTCTACAAAGACCGTGTGGCGAACAAAAAGGCAGGAGTTGCGAAAAGAGTTGCAAAAATAGCGGCGGGCAATAACTTGATCAAGGCCGTCAAGGCGAGACAGCGGAACAGAGATGACTTTACCATAGAGGAAGAGGACCAATATGACTCTGCATTTAAAGCCGTCGCAAGTCAAGAAAAAAGAAATCCCAGGAGAAAAAGAAGGCTCAAAAATAGGAGAAGCAGAAGGCTGGGGAAAAGGAGAAGAAATCCGGCAGAAATTGATCTCAAGGGTATGGAGTGTTTGGTGACATTGTCTCAGTTCGGGAAAGACGCAGGAAGTTGCCCGTAGATTTGATCATGCATGCATTGTGGGTGATGGTGAGGTTCAATGTGACGACCAAAACAGAACATGTACGCAAAAGATAAGTATTGGACAGTTGGTAGTGTTTGTGCAGCAATGCAATCTGGTTGCGTCGGAACACGCCTTTCTTGCTATGTGGTCTTGCTGGAGGCATGAAAAGGGAGCTGATGCAGCCAGCCATCAGATATTTTGGATCCTGTTCATATTGCTCACATCATGCAACTCGCCACTATTGTATGGTGATATGTCTCAATCGAACCCCGAATCCCCCCAGTCGCATTTTGATTAACACCAGCGGTCTCTTGCACGGAGTCGCCGCGAGATGGATTCGTACGGGATCGTCCTTCACGGGGCAGGACAATAGGCCATGTGGACCCAAGCCTCAAGACTGGATCCTGAGTCCCTCCCCTGCCACGGTCTGGTAGTGGCGGCGACCGAGATCTATTCACGTCACACACACACGCAGTGCGCCATATTGACCAGGAGGCCATCACGCCGCATTCTTCAAGAACTCCACTACCACTTCCATGTATTTCTCGGGGACTTCGAGATTGCTACAATGGCTCGCACCCAGTAGTGTATACCATTTCACTTTTGGGATTTGGAAGAAGGGGTATACACAACTGTCTCGGGCCTCATCCCACTCTCCATTGAGCAGGAGGGTGGGGACCGTGATCTTGTGAACATCCTCAATCACAGACCAAGTCCTGCGACTTGTTAGCATGTAGCGAACATCTGTGAAGAGCGGGAGCACCGTAACCAAAGCGCACCCAGCTGGAGGGGTTGGAGGGCTCTTCAGAAGACTCACTTCAAATTCCCTATCACAGTAACTAGCATACTGTTAGCACTGACATGGGTTATAAGGACAAGTGAGTGTGAGGGTGACCAAGCACTAGAAGGAGACTTACATTCACTTGGGCCGTTCATGGTGTAGTACACAGTCTACAAAGTGTCTTGTCAGTCCAGTCCGTCCTGCCAAACTCGCTCCGAGCTAGTGATAATGACTCTGTCGACTCACATCGTCTACCTCGACGTTTGCGAGTGTATCCAGAAGATCCTGTGGAAATGGGTAGACCCTGCAAACGTGTCGCTTGTAGAATTCTTCCACTGCCGATTTATACTCTGGGTCGTCATAAGTTTGATTCTCCTCATGTCTCGTCAAGACATTGTCAACATCTCTCGGAAGCTGGCTCCGCCACTTGTTACATGCTTCTACCCAGAGCTTCATGGATGCAGGGGAGTTGGAGATAATAAGCCTCTTGAGACCTCGACTTCCTCGGATTGCGAACATAGAACCTCTGATCTCGTCAGCTGGATCAAACAGCTGTGGAAGGTCATGGAAAAGAGGGCTTTGAGGACTCCTGTAGTGATAGTACTTACAACATCCCACCCTATGGAAAATGTTAACGTGTTCTCGAGTCTGACGGGACTGAATGATGAAAACGTGAGCAAGCATGGAGCAGTCTTTCAAAGAAAAGGGCAACGAACCCAGCTTTGGCCAAGCAAGTCAAACTCTGAAATACCGAGATGCTCCAGGAGATTGTCCAATTCAGCCACGAATAGTTCAGGGACCCAGAAGTCCGTGTCAAGTCTCTTTTCCTGGAGATGTGTTGAGCGACCACATCCCAGCTGGTCATACTAATCTGCCATCAGCATCGCACAACCGTGTCGTGCTGCGTGCATAATCGACGCATGGGAACTCCGGGAGCATTATACAGATCCTGGGAGACACTTACGAACACCACGGGAATGCCATATTGGTCCGAAAGGCGCTGGAGATTCAACAAATAATTGTGCCCCATACCAGGACCTCCATGAAGAATGACCAGAGGCCGCCCAGTCGAAGACGATGTGAGGTCCCCATAAACCTTGTACCACGTCTCGCAGGCCTTTGGCAAGGTTGGATGCGAGAACGGCACCCTGCCCTCCGTTGCTTTAGAGGTGGCCATCTGGAGTGTCTCGGTGGGAATTATATCTTTCACTCAAGGGCAAAGAGAAGAATAGATCCGAGTCGGGACGAGAAAGCAAACCGACAAGCTGTCGAGATATTATCGATCTCTAACTGTCTAACTTCCAATCGCCCGGGCGGCTGCGTGTGAGCTGACTTTAGGCAGAAGTTCAGCTGAAGACTGTGCGAGCAGAGCACATCAAGTCCAGCTGCGGGAATCGAGGATCGTTTTTAGGCCCAACTGTCTGCACGAATCCAGGCATTTCAGACTTGGGAGCATCGTTAACGACCTTCCTCATCAGGAAGTTCGCATCTTGGAAGAGCGTCACTTGGGCTAGGCTCGGGATGAGCGAACCAGACGCCAACCACCACCAGGCACAAGTAAATGACTACGACAGAAAGGGAAGGTCGATCGGGAGGAAGGTGGGTTGCGGAAACGGATGCCTTGCCTCAAGCCCCTGGGAGAAAGACATCCTTATCGTCGTCATTATAATTAAATAATAGTCTGGGTGGGTTGTCCGACTTCGGGGCTCAAAAAACATTTAGGCTTACTCCGGACATTTTCTTTCTCATTGTTTTCTGGGTGTTTTCTAAGCAAACTTCCCGGGTTCCCCCTGTACATAATTGCAGAGAGGTCCACGAAAAGAAAAACCCCCAAGATGTTAGCTGGCCGGTTGATGTCCATATCGAGTCCATCAGATGAAAAACATCGAGTTAGCAACTCGAGGGTGCGTTGTGACCATGTTTTGACTTATTAGTGGGCTCCCCTCCTCGGACGAAGGTTCAAATACCTCACTCAAGTAGGGTCTGGCGCGGTCGCATACTAAATCTGCATAGTATGCTGGCGGACATAGGCTAACTTCTCTCGTGCATCGTCCAAAGAGGTAGCACATATTGTGAGTGAGATCCTCCAAAGCGTCGGCAGCGTTTGTGAACCGGATACCCGTCGGTGTCGTCGCCTGACGCTGTTGGTCGTGTCAGAAGACCTCATCATAGACCACGAAATAGTGGATGGGACGCGCTGTGCCCTGGACGGTAGCATGTGCTTGCATCCAAAAATCCCAACCTCGTGCTTCTGTCACACCCCTGTCCACGACTGTTCCGTTGAACGGGTTTTTGGAACCATCGGGCTCCTTCTCCTTTGTTGGATAGAATCGGGTATGATGGCGTTTACTGACAATCGTGATGTTCAGACGCGGGAGCTTCTCTTTGGTGGCATTCGCTGGGTAGACCTCTGCGCACGCGGCTTGAATCAGGGGACCTTCTTCGTCAAGGACAACTTGGTGCTGCCCCTCCGAGACACCGTCTCGGTAGACCACGATGTTGTCCGGCAAGAGGCCCTTGTTGTGTCGTCTCCACAAGGCAAGATGTTTTTTCATCAGATCTTTCAAACCCCATACCATCTCCTTGCGCCTCTCCTGGATCACCACGCTGGCTCGCCATTGACCCAGCAGCTGATCGATCGAACTCACCATGCCAACGACACTGGGAGCCACATCCAATGATCCGACAGATGGGTGGGTGACGTCCAATCCAACGAACATCGTCTTCCCCCCCGCTGCAATTCCGAGCTTTGAAGGGTTCAGCGACTGATTGACACCTCCCAGTTTGAGATTAACCTTCAGAGCCATATTTGCGAAAACGTGCGGATTTCTTTTGGCGAATGTAGACGCCAGCACACAAACATTATTGATGCCTTCTCGCACGTCGCAGTTGACTTTGACTCTGTTATAGAGCTCGGGCTTGTCAGAGGCGAGAATTATTAGCACGAATTGCTTCTGCGCAGAGGCACAGGTAGAGAAGAAGGTAGAGGAAACCTTGTGAATCGCCTTATCCACCTCCTCGTTGACAGTTGATATGTCTTTCCCAGTTCCGAACTGAACAGTGACCTCTTGGCCAGGGCTGCAATTGGTGCACTGAATGCCGACCTTGCAGAGTGCGGATGCAAACTCCCTCACGGCGGCTTCAAGGTCTTGTCGATTGCTCAATGGGCCTTTGTAGCTTTTAGTCTTGATGAAAAGCCAAGTCCATTTGTCGACATGCACGTTCGAGACAAATTGCGTATTCAGCATGTTCCAACTGCCAGATCGAGTAGCCACAGTCTTCTTGTTTCCATAGTTCACGTTTGGGGAACCCAATACGCGACCAGGCACCGTGATCAGTCGGGGTTTGACGTTCAGATTGAAGGCATTCTGAAGAACTGTCAGTGCGCCGCGCAAGGACGAGGGGAAAGTATACCACTCACATGCGTTGGGTTTGCCGATTGGCCAAAATTGAGCATCGCCACCCCTTCTCGGACAATGGACTGCGCGTTGTAGATCGGTTTACGAATGGTGAACGGACTTATATTCTTTGTCTGATCACTTGACAGCTGGTGCTTGAACGCTTGACCTGGTGGGACCTGGCACACTTCCGCAGGTAAATACACTAGATGCTTCTAGTTGCCGACGTTGAGGACCGGCATCCTAGGGTATTTGAGGGTGATATTGTAAGTCTGTTGGAAGAAGCTCAACACAGAGACATATTTCTTCTCACCGTCGAGCCAGAATTGTATTCTATCTGCTCCTGCGCCAAATTCAGGGATAATAGGTCGATGAGGACGTTTTCTTCCGTCCCCCTTGGTGGCAAGCCCGCTGATGACTTTGGGTCTTGGAACAAGTTGGCCAGCTTTGTTCCTCCGAGCAGGATGGGACGGGTGGACAGTGAGTCCTTCAAGGAACTTGTCGAGTTTGTTTCTGTCAAAGTCGGTTGCAGCCCCGAAGTCTTCCACAAGACGCACAAGGGGGCCGGCGTTGTAGAAGGGTGAGTGCTTGACTTGAACATTGACTAAGATACGACCTGTCGCAGCTCTGACGCTCATGAAGAAACCGCGAATCGCCGTTAGTCCAACCCCAAGGTCGAATCTCTCCGACGGCGGAGGATTTTTGGGATAATGTTGGTTGCTTCTGATGGATGTAATTTGTGAAGTCGCTTTGAGGTTGTGTCCAATGACAATATTCAAGGCCTGAATGATTGTTTCTTTCGAGCTCAAGACTTCATCGGCTCTCGTGGAGGTCAAGTATGCAATGAGTTCCGACAGGGTATTGGTGCCCTCTGGGGTCACGCCGACACGATATTTTTTGGCCTTTGGGGGAGGTCAATCTTCACCTTGCATCATGTAGGTTATGATGTAACCCTGCAGGGATGGATCGAGCTTGGTGTTGCTGATGATTAAGGACTTAAAATCTGTGACAATGCCGGATCGGTTTTGAGAAAAGTTCTGTGCGAGGAGTAGTGACACCACCCGCTCCTGGTCTTTTGCTTTGATCGATTTTCCAGTAGCCAGATCTGTTGAGAAGCTGAGACTGTAGCGGTAAAGAACCACACTGCCCCAATCGAGATGCATATAATTTGCATAAAGCAAGACCTTGCGTCCTTCTGTACCAAAGCCAGGGCGGATAGGGAGACTCGGATCAGGACGGGACGACCTGAGGACATGTTGCTCGATTTCGCCCTCAAGCTTCTCGATCTCGACATCGAGATGGGCAAAAGCACCGGGACTGTGACTATGGGGTGATAAAGCAGTCAGTTCTTCGTCCTGGGAAGCTTCAGGCCATGGCAAGGGTTTCTTACGAGAAGACAGTCGGAGCATCTGCGCTCGTTCTTTGGCTGGAACGACCACCACCTCAACCACTGCGAAAAGTACCACCTCGACCAATGCTTCCCCTTCCGTTGAAACCATTCCCACGACCTCTGGGGTGAGATGGAAGAGTGGTCTGGCCACCGCGTCCTCTCGCCGACATGTTGCCAAAGTTGCCCAGTCTGGTGAATGACGGAGAGGATAAACGACAAGGAGACAGTTGAGGTGAGCGAGATAGAGCGAGCTGATAGAACAGAGGATCTAGACAAACCCAGCAGCAACTGAATTAGCGATGGACAATTGAGTGGTTGCAATGTAAGATGAGAAGGACATGGAAGACTAGAGATACTTATAAGTTATAGGCGTAGAGAGGGACTCTCAGCCTTTCTACCAAATGCGATATTCACTGCCATACAATCACATGCTAGCAAATGTGGCTGACGTGCCAATGAACTAAGGCGGTGATCACAACACGCAGTGGTGAATGTGAGAGAGATTATGAAAGGCAAAGGCACACTTAGGGCAATGGGAAGGAGCGAGCGCTTTGGGAGAGCATGTGCGTCACTAGACACTTGCTCTGCCATGGCGGCTCTTTGTGTAGAGAAAGAGACCAAGAGAATACGAAATGAATCCAGCACATGATGCATCCTAATTGCAGCAGGGATATGGAAGTTGTGAGGTCGATGCGTGGATGCCTCAATTTAAGAGGCACTGATTGGGTGCCTGCCTGTGTAGGCGCCAGTAAGGACTGAGTTGGTGGGTTCACTTTCGGTAACACCAGCCTGGGGGCCCCGCAACACCTAAAGGCGCACCAGGCTAAAGCCCCCAGCCCGGCCTAGGGTGCCCACTCGTCCCCAAAACTACCTAGACACGTCAGTTAGCTTCTCAGCTAACGCAGCCTCGCCGCCAAAGAGAACAAAGAATATGCAATGTGATGCGCTGCAAGCTGGCAGTCCTCCTCAAACCCTCTTCTGCCCTCTTGCCCTCCATGTTGTGTAACACATGCCGCGTTGCCGCTACTGTCATGGACTGGGCTCATGTCCTTTGCTCCAGACCGGCATCATACAATCCTCACCATGTCTGATTCCCCTCACACTCCTTCCAACTTTCTGTTCTGCTGCTATTCTGGATCTCTCCTTTACTATTACTCTGCATATACATAGGTACCTGGGAGTCTTTGCCCAGAACAAAGAACACCTTCAAACGCATCAAACTCCCTGCCACCCTTCTCCGCCATGGATTCCCTTTCCAAATATCTCAGCCTCATCTCAATAGTTGTGAGATATCCCGTCTCTCTTGCGTTGCTGGGTGTCCTAACATGTCGAATTTTAGCTGGGCATCGCCTCAATCATCCTCTCGGCGTAAGTCTCCCACAGTCTCTTTCAATCTGGACTCTTGGATTCGGCAGTCTTACATCAATCTCCACAGTCTTTCCTGGACGAGGATCATCCACCTAGCCCTCCCATGCCCTCTAGCACTCCCAGTCCTGAGCATAATGACGGCTCTCATCGGACCCTTCATCATGGCATTTTCTGCAAGGGCTAAGAAGAGAGCTCTGGCAATCCTGGCGCCCTACCTCCGATACTTTCTCCCTTTTCTTCCATTTGCTCTCTTCATTCTCTCCCTCGTATACGCAGTCCCCTCCGATATCTTGAGCTGCGGCCTTGAAAGCCAATGGACCCGCCTGTTTCGGGCCAAGAATGAGGATGCCGTGCGTGGAATTGAAAATGCGTTTCGGTGTTGCGGCTTCAACTCGCTACATGATCGCGCGTGGCCGTTTCCCAGTCAGGATGTTGACGTGAGAGCCTGCGAGAGGAGCCTGGGATATACACGTCGATGTGTTGACCCGTGGCGGAATCAGGAGCAGGTCGCTGCGGGATTAGTCGCATTGGCCGATTTATTGAATTGGATCCTTCTGGTAATCATTTCCGAGTTTGAAGCCCGACGGGTTGCATTGTAACTGACTGCTCGCACTGACAGCATCTCGTCGATATAGCGGCGCAACCGAATCGACATTCTATGCGCTTTCCTGTTGTTCCTGATGCCCAACCTGAGCAAGCTAGACTGCTCCGAGGAGCAGAGGAGGACTAGGAACATGGTGGAACCGGGAACACGCAGATCTCTTACTCCGACCATACTGGCGGAGGCTGAGTGGAGGGAAAATGCAGGTGGTCAGTGAATGAACTGGCTCGAAAGTCTGCTCGTGGAGAATCAACAGGCACATCCTCGGTCGATTGGGCGTGTTGCATATATCTGGGGGCTAAACAACTATACAAGGTTTGGGAGATCAGTACCCTGTATCTGAATCAGGTAACAATCTACGACCCGACGGGAGTTCTATACCTAGCTCGCTAGGTATTGCTGACTGCCCTATCTGCATATGATTCCTAGAACATGTCGCTGGCTCTCGTATCATCCATCTCTCTTTAGCTCACCGCTCCCCGAGCGTTAATCCTTCTCGCAAATTGGCAAATTGCTTCTGTCTTTCTAGAACGGTACAATACGGGGCTCTGGAGGACTTGACTATTGTGTGTCAACCACGCACGAGATTTGATTCGCCACCCCATGGGCGGGAGTTTAATGTATTTGGTGTCTCGGTCATCCATGAAGGAGTGAGAGGGCACCACGTTGGCGACACGATGGCCAACAAAATGTTGCCTTATCATTATATGGGTCGGCGTGCGCCTGGTATCAATCAAACTCAAATGTATAAGAGACCAGGCACATCCCCGTTACTCTTGACTGTCGGTTCATTTGTTTCTCCGTCATTTGTCGCTCTGGTGTTCATTCCCTTTGACTATTCCTGCGCCCGACCAAGTATTCAGGCAACCCACGATTTACAACCATGTCTGCCACCACCGGAGCTTGCCTCTGTGGTCAGATAAAGTATGAGTTCACAGGCGACATCGCGCTGAAAGCATTCTGCAATTGCAAAGACTGTCAACGTTGGGGCGGCTCAGCTGGACTCCCTAATGTTGTCATTGACCGTGAAAGCTTCAAGGTCACTGCCGGTAAGAAACTGACAAGGGCAGTAGTTTGCCGCTCGCTCGCCCTTACCGAGTACTTCCGCCATCTTAACGAATGCTGATATGTTTCGTTCCACCAGGGACGCCAAAAGCTTTTGACGTCGTTGGTGACAGTGGCAAAATCAATCGGCATTTCTTCTGCGGACATTGTGGGTCGAGTCTGTACTGCGAGTTGGAAGTCATGCCTGACAAGACCGTTGTCAAAGTAAGTGGTGCCATTCTCTGTGCATCATGATACCGGCACATAGTGGCACCGTTCAAGCACGGCTTTGGTGACGATCGTGCATGAGGAGAAACGTGACACGATGCCGGGGATGCCTTGCTGATTCTCCTGTTGCAGGCCGGGAGTCTAGATCAACCAGACGTCAGGGAGATGCAGGCCGAGCTCTACGTCAAAGACCGCGTGAGCTACATGAAGCCGATCGAGGGTGCCAAGCAGGTTCCTGCTTTCCTTTGAGCGTGGCATTATATGGGGTTTGGAATGATGGGTTGAGAGAATGCAGGACAATTGGCACACCGTATTCAGTATTCCTGTCTCAGATGGCACGAATCCAAAGTAGATGCCCACTCTCGCATTTTGACTTCGGAACTTTTGATCCTTCCCAGGCCGTTTCAGATATCGGGAGTTAAAGAAAGAGACATTTTAAGACCACTTTTCTGTCAAATTCCTCGGGTACTGACAGTCCCAGAGGAGGACAACACTGTTCCATCATCCTATTCGCACAAGAGACATGGACGGTCGAGTTCTGGCTCCCTCGACACCCGATCTTTGATATTTGAATTGGGGCGTCGGCTCGCGAAGAGTGAAGGCACGTGGCTTAAAAAGCTCATCGGCGTGCATTGTGACACCAAAAAACTGCCGTCCCGATAATGGTCGATCGACTGCTGTTGTCTACCTCCCAACATGTTTTTGTTTTCGAACGGCTGGTATCTGACGAGTGTGTTTTCTTGCTCATGCCTCAAAATCACTTCGCCCAATAGATTTTATTCATCTTGTGACCTTTCTGCCACAGTGCAGGAAAGCTGGAATCCTGTTGAGGGTATTTCTCGCGTTGCTCACGTTGGATGCGCAGTGCCGCCGCAGAAAGTCCAACGCAGACCGCGAAGACAGGGTCAATGAATCTGCAAAATGAAAGATATAAGTTAGCTTTGGGGACCGTAGATGAGGCCATAAAGTGACACGAGACTAGACTTACTTCGAAAACAGCCAAGGCTGAGCGACGGATGCCATGATATGCGAATTGAAAGTGATAGAGTCCTCAAAGCCGACGAGTCAAGCCTACGCGAGGTCTGAGGGGAAAATGCGAAGCTCAGCAGGTTCGAGCTTTGTAGCGGAAAACGAGGCTGCAATTCTCCGATTTGCCAGCCTCGTAGCCTCGTCAATGCTCGGCGAGACGACAATTCCTCCCCTTTCCTTCTCTTCTAATCCATTTGCACGCACTGATGGGCTAATTGAATCCCCATGAAGCAAACGATCTACGGTTGTTGTAGTGGCAGGTAAGAACAGACAAGATAGGGCGTCCCGTCCTGAATCAACGCAGACCAGTCAGAGCAATTCCCCGTCGAGTTTTGTTGATGCCAATCTGCAGTAATGAGCCTCTATGCTAGCTTGCTCATTAACTCCTCCACGTCAGGACTCGGAGGCGGTTGAAATCTCTGCCTGTATCTTACCCTGCATGGCCTGATGAGCAACTTGCACTACGTTATGTACGACATATACTCTTGTGCCTCTCTGAAAGAGCTGTTGTCCACTGAATCTCTATCCAAATTAAAGAGAGTATGAAGAACTTGAACGCCTTCAAGGCAGGACACCCGTGTGTCTAAGATAGGCCTCGAAATTCTAGACTCTACATTCAAGATTGACCTGAGTGATCCATCAACATACCATTTCTTGTGAACCCATTGATGGCGTCTGTTCTTGACACGCTAGTAATCTATCGATACAGATCGTAACGGACCTCTTCCGCGCATCCTCGTAGACTCATATTCTCGTACTACGATGAAGTTGCCCTAGTCAAATACTTCGCGAACCACTCATACCGTCTCCGCTCGATATCACTCAGCGTGCTCCCCTTATTGAATATATGTCCCTCGCCATCGTAGACTTTGATATCAACCGCTGCGCCTGCCTCCTTGACGATCTTGGCTAAATTGTATGCTTGATTTGGCGGTACAATAGCATCATCTGCTCCACTGATAATCAGCAGCGGGCTCTTAATTTCCGAAGCGTGAGTTAGAGGACTCCTGTCTTTCAAGATAGCTTCTTGCTCGGCGGGCGAGGTGCCAGGAGGGTAGCATAATGGCGACAGATATTGGGATTCAAACTTGTGCGTCTCCTCAACAAGGAGCTTCATATCCGATATTCCACTCTCGGCTACTCCGCAAGCCCACACCGAAGGGTATTTGGCCAAAGCCTGCATCGTTGCATAGCCGCCTGCAGAATGACCCGTGATTCCCACCCGTGATTTGTCAACAAGCCCTTGCTGAGCTAGGTACTCAACGGCAGAAACGGCATCTGCGATGTCGCTAACCCCCCACTGCCCGGCGAGCAGGTTGCGGTATGGACGCCCATAGCCAGTGCTTCCGACACTGCGGATATGTGTTAGTTTGTAGCAAGACCAAACAAGCGAGATCGATGAGTTCTCCAAACTCGAAAGACTCTTACAGCGAGTGAGAAAACTTACTGGTTAACTTGCACCAGCGCGTAGCCCCTAGTCGTAAGTGCCTGGTCGCGAAGTGAAAATCCTGGTCCTTCCTGGAATGTTGGACCTCCTGATAGACAACCGTTAGTTTACACTGATATTAACACAGAAAAAATTAACCCCTTGATATACAAAGCGGACGCTTAAGGCGGAGAAGAACCTACCGTGGACCGCGACGATGAGGGGCGGAAGCGTGCCAGCTGGAGCTTCGTATTGTGGATTCTTCGGAGGATAGAAGAGACCATATGCATTACCACCGCCGGGACCGTGTATGCGCGGGAAGGTAATAGCCTGTGGAAGGGAGACATAATCTTCTGGAAGGGATGTTTGGGTCGACTTTTGCAAGATTGTTCCAAGTCCTTGTTCGTTGATATCAATCACTGTAGCCAGCATCGGAATGGTAGGAGTTGCTCCTATGATAGCGAAGGAGGTGTCAGATACTGGCTTCAGGGCATCAAGCATGATCTCGACAATAGTGCAGCTGAGATCTCTCCATTCAAGTGTTCGCGTATCTGCGAGAATGGTGGTACAGCGGCCCTGATAGTTGAAGACGGCCACCATAGTGGAAGGGTCCAAGAGGCAATAGGAAGCTACAAATATCTATTAGCTCGTAGCGATGTGTGGCTGAGCCCTTGCAACGATATCCCTGCGAGGTGCCACATGGTTCTCTAGAGGAGCGGGGAACTCACAGCCTCCCAGAAACCAATCCGCAAATCCAAATTCCGCGTCCTCTAGGCCCGCCAATATGAGTTGTTGTACTTCACCATTGGAGAACGAATATAGTTGCCAGAAATCAGTCTGATCCGAGACAAAGTAGAGCACACCATCATCACCCCAGCGTGGCTGGGTTATGCTGGCCTTGGTCTGCTGGCCAACAATGCATTTAGGGCTCTTGGCCTTGCCATCTTCCCAATCAGCGAGCCATAGTTCTGTGTTATCCCAAGGCATGTTGGGATGATTCCATTGTATCCAACATATCTTCGTCCCGTCAGGACTGAATCTCGGATATGTGTAAAAGTCGGAACCAGTGACAAGGGGCCGAACCTCGTTTGTGGACGAGTCAATGACCACAAGAGAATTTTGTATGTCTGCAATCTTGGATGCATGATGGTCTTCTTTAATGGCCACGGTGTATTGAGAATGGTGAGGATGGATAGCAAAGTCGGCGTAGTATACCTTGGGATCTGCTTTCAGGATAGGGATGGTTTCGCCTGCTTCAGGGTCGAGACCGAAGACACCCTTGGTCTCCCAATCCGTGAAGATGATATGGCCTGTAGACTCATTAAAGACAAAGGAGGCACCGCCATATTCATGCACCTGGGACAAGCAGTTGTATTGCTTGGGAAGGACGTCTCTCTTCTGTCCGTTGTAGTGCTCGACGATGACGCCTCTCCCTCCCTCGTCTGGCCGTACCTCAAGGAGATAGATTTTACCATTGTCGCGCTGCCTACATATCAGCGTGATCCCACAGACGACAAGCTCAATCGTACATTGACACATAGTTGATTCAACACAACGGACCCTGGAGCTGCAAAGCATTGCGGCTCAATGGGACTCTTGAACGTTCCATACTCTGCGACTTTGCGAGGAGTCATGGTGGTAATTTTGCCCATCAAGAAAAGTCATCGTGGCCGAACTCGAATTATATGGGCCCATCTTCAGTGGCTTATTAAGGCTGCATGATTTACTGGGGTCTTGTCGGTGTCACCTCGCGGAAAACAGCCTGAGGTTGTGGCCTTCCTAAAAGGGCATCGCGCCATTTCAACACATATACTACCAGTGCCTCGGTACACGCTTCTCGCCTTTGACCGTGCCGACGAGGCACACAACTTCCACATTGGCTTCAAAACGGTGGATCTCGAAAGAGGCCCGGTCCGAATACATCTGCATCCTTGTCCGCACTTGCTGGTACACATCAACTCCTGCTCGGACTACATGCGAACAACAACGTTCTTGTATTCGCGACTTGTCACTTGAGGGTAGACAATGGCTGTCAACCCTGATCGATACGCTTCTATGATCCTGCGCAGCCCCAATGTCCGATCTCCTCGAAGTCCTCCCTGATTTTGACCTCAAACCGTATACGCATCTCCTCCATTCCCTAGAGAAAAATGACATTACTGTCACCGATCTGATCTCTCTAGACCCGAAAGAGATTGCCAGAAAATGCCCTCTTCCTTCGGCCGACGTCCAAAGATTGGTGGAAGATGTCATTCAGTCTCTGCAACGCGACATACTGCAAGGAGTAAGGAAGAAGCGCAAGATTACAGCCACGGATGTGGGAGAGACAGCAGATGATGGACCACAGGTGAAGGGGACAAAGATGGACTTGCCGTTGAAAGTTAGGACCCTGGATCCAAGCATAGATCAAGCATTGAACGGAGGCCTGTACCCAGGTCACATCACAGAGGTGGTCGGAGAGAGTGCTGTCGGCAAAACTCAGTTCGTCCTGGGGCTGTTGCTGTCTGTTCAACTACCTCCCCCCAAAGGGCTCGGAAAAGGGTCAATCTACGTTTCAACTGAAGGACCACTCCATACCAAGCGGCTGAGCCAGATGCTTCTTCACCATCCCGAGTACGACGGCTTGAAGCCTGATCAAGGACCATCACTTGATCGTGTGCATACCATTGCAACCAACGACCTGGAAGCACAGGAACACATCCTTCGGTATCAGCTTCCTGTTGCGGTCCAGCGATTCAATATTGGACTGATCGTCCTAGATTCAGTGGCCGCAAACTTTCGAGCCGAACACGAGACCCGGACGCCCGCTCAACTCGCTGACCGCGCCTTTGAGCTGGCCAAATTGGGGCACATGCTAAGACGGGTCGCTATCGAAAACGACATCGCGGTCGTGGTCACCAATCAAGTGTCGGACCGCTTCGATGGTTACAAAATTCTACCTCAGTCTTCATCACCGGCAATGACTTCCTCTCCTGCAGTACCAAGAGCGTATGCACCGGCGGTAGTGGATCGGCGGAACGAGGCCCAGAGCCTTGATCACCAACAGCGCTTCTTCACCGGGTGGGGAGACGAGAAAGGAAAGACTAGTAGGCCGGAACAATTAAAGACACCCGCGCTCGGACTGGCATGGGCCAATCAAATTTCTGCTCGCATCGTCCTTAAGATGGAGAGTGAACGACAGGAATACGCGGGCGGCAATATGTGGAAAGACAAGAAGAAAAACAGGACCTTCTCGGTTGTCTTTGCTCCATGGGCGAGCCCCACCCATTGCCCCATTCGGTATGAGATTGCAATGCAGGGTGTGGTTTCAGTTACAGACACTGAAAGGCCCAAAGGGGCACTTGCAACCGTAGATGAAGAGCATGCGGACTTGCTGGACGAGGCTTTTTGGGCTACGGATGAGGATGATGAGTTTCCATGATGGTCTCCCGTGGGCTCCGCGGTATTAGATCTGGTTGGATATATCAGAGAGGGAGTGGCTAGCAATATGGACCTCATCGGAGGACATCGTCTTGAGCCCCGCACATTACATACGTACCAAACAGTGTTTAATTTTCTTCTGGCCAAGGAAAACAGCGAAACAAATCTAGAATCTGACAAAACTCGGCGAGACGACTCCAGGAGTCGAGGGGCACAGAAGGTGCTGGGTAAAAACGGGTCATTTGATATTCGTGCAGGCATCTAGGCATTTGGGCAGTCCTTGGGCAGTCAAAGGCAGTGAAGATATGTCGACTACTTAACCCCAATCCAGTATGTGTAGCCGACGTCTGCCACCTGATTGGCTCGAAGTCCTTGGAAAGGTTGAGCTTGAATTCATCCCGCTTTTGCTCCTCCCGACGACAATCACGTCGAGCACAACAAGCAATCCGCTTTTATGGCATTCATATCGTAATATAAACATCGCCTCTGGGGCCCTTTCGTCGGGATCTTATCACCTCGGTACCTGCCCACCCGCCCGCTTGTGGTGGAGAAATTCATACATGGCAAGTAAATTATCCGATCCTGAGGTCAAGCCGTTTGAACCTTGAAGGACAACTCCGAATATCAGCATCATCCTGCCTGCTTTTATTGAACCTCTCGTCCCTCTAGCTACTCAGGCTGACTTGAGGTTTTTCATCTCCTCTCCCCTCAATTCATTTCTCCTTCCTCGTTCTCTCCCGCTTTGTCATCTTGCCCGTCGTAGAGGCAGTCGATGAGACAATGGCCGCCACAAATGGCCACACCGTCCCCAAGGTGACATTCAAACATCCTCTGGATCAGTTGAGTGTCGACGAAGTCAACGTTGCGCGACAAGCAGTTCTTGACGCTCGCAAGGCTGCCATCGTGTTCCGCAACATTTTCACTGTTGAACCAGCTAAAGCCGAGCTGATTAAGTTCCTCGCCGCTGAGCATGCCGGTACTCTCTCGTCTGGCACACCCCGGCCTCCTCGCCAGGCTCGTGTTCAGTATGACGTCGTGTTTGAGGATCGACGCCACGAGTACATGGAATCAGTGATCGATGTTGCCTCAGGCAAGGAAGTCGAGCACAAGCGGGTGCCTCCGACTTCCCAGCAATCTCTGACCTTGGATGAATTTAAGCAATTCAATGACGTGTGCGTGGAATCAGAGATGTTCAAGAACGCTGTCAGAGAGCTCAACCTTGATGAGAAATTCGAGGTGGCTATTGACCCATGGCCTTACGGCGGTCCGGATGTCGGAGAGGTCACCCCGAGGTACGCATCTACCCACTACTGCATTATCCAGACGTTAACATATAACCTAGATATACCCAAGGTCTATGCTTCGCTAAGCTACGAAACGGCAACCCAGATAGCAACCATTATGGGTTCCCTCTACCCATTATTCCAGTGATGGACACTTACAAGCAGGAAATCGTTCGGATCGACCGTCTAGCTACTGGTGGCACCGAGGACGGCCTCAACTATGGCACAACCGGCAAAAACGTCCTCGAACATTGTAAACCTGCTGAATACGTCCCAGAGTTGCTGGATACTCCTCTCCGCAAAGACCTGAAGCCCTTGAACGTGATCCAGCCGGAAGGCCCATCATTCACCGTCAGTGACGACTCTCTGGTCGAATGGCAGAAATGGAGGTTTCGAGTTGGGTATGTAGTCCTCTCCGCTCGTGCGAATGTTCGCTGCTGACTGAGATGGCCCAGATTCACTCCCCGTGAGTGCGCCGTTCTTCACGATATCCACTACGACGGCCGGAGTGTGCTCTACCGCTTGAGTTTGTCCGAGATGACTGTTCCGTATGGCGACCCTCGACCTCCATTCCAACGGAAGCAGGCTTTTGACTTTGGCGACGCTGGTGCAGGTAGAGCTGCGAACAATCTTGCCCTTGGTTGCGACTGTCTGGGCGTCATCAAATACATCGACGCAATGCTGGTTGACACAGAAGGCAAACCCTCGGTGTCAAAGAACGTCGTCTGTATCCATGAGCAAGATAACGGAATTGGTTGGAAACACACCAACTTCAGAACCAACCGAGCTGTGGTGACCCGATTGAGAGAATTGGTTGTTCAGTTCATCATTACATTGGCAAATTACGAGTACATCTTTGCCTACAAGTTCGATCAAGCTGGAGGGTAGGTTTGAGAAACCCCGTGGCTGTCACTGAGTGCTTATATTCTATTGCAGCATCACAATCGAGACTCGAGCCACCGGAATTGTCTCGGTGGTCAATATTGACCCTGGCAAGGTTAGCCCTTATGGCAATGTCGTATCCCCTGGCGCCCTTGCCCAAAACCACCAGCACATTTTTGCCGTTCGAATCGATCCCGCGATCGATGGCCATTCAAACACCATTCTCACTGAAGAATCCCTACCTATTCCTATGAACCCGAAGACGAACCCGCATGGCAACGGGTACGAAATCCTCCGCAACCCTGTCACCAAATCAACATCCATCCACGCCTCCCCTTTCACAAACCTGACCATCAAAATGACCAACCCGAACAAGGTCAACCCCGTCTCCCAACGACCAGTTTCATACAAGTTCATTCCCACTCCGTCCCAGTTAATCCTCGCAGACCCAGGGTCGATCGCCGCCAAGCGTGCAGCCTACGCCCATCACCACGTGTGGGTGACCAAATACCGGGACAATGAATTATTTGCAGCAGGAGAGTTCACAAATCAGTCACAGCTCGAAGTGGGCGGTGTGGCGGACATGGCGGCGCGCAACGACGACGTGGAGAATGAGGATGTTGTTGTCTGGAACGTCTTTGGTCTTACACACAATCCCCGTGTGGAAGATTGGCCCGTGATGCCTGTGGAAATTCACCAGGTTCACTTGCGCCCAGCGGACTTTTTCGTGAGAAACCCGGCCTTAGATGTCCCGGGCCGCAAGAACGTCGCTAGCGTGGAGGTCGGAAGAGAAGCGAACGGTGAATGCTGTCATGCGAACGGGAATGGATCGGTACAAGCTACTCCAACTTCGCATCTGCAAGGTGCCGGAAGCACGCCTGTTGCAGAAATTAATAGGCATTAGATCATGATAGCCATATAGAAAGTTGTTGGAGGGCCACAGTGCTGGTGTATATAAGCTGCGAGGGGAACAAAGCAGGCAGGTCATAATGGGAAAAGGTACAACAATCTTTGTACTGGGGAACACAACCAAATCAGTCAACAGCACACAGGAGAGCGTCCTTCAAGAATTGCCTGCCATTACAAACCTCCAGATAAGCGGCTGAGCCCAACGAGAGGTGCAATTCGAAACGAGCGTGGACAGGACCCTTGAGATGTCATCTAGTCTAGCCTTTGGCATATTACAAGAACGGGTCAAACATGTGCTCCGTTGCCCATTTCATCAAATAGTGCCACACTTTGACTGACCAGACGAGTCGGCTGTCTCCATGGTGCAGCTTGATGATCTTCAGTTCGCGGATCTTCGAACCTTTACCGAGACGGAATGAACTTCGGCTCGGTCCGAGTCGGCGTGGCCAGCATTGCCAGCGACGCAGCCTTGCCAGGTCACCTGGTGGCGCCATTCAGTGAGGCGCCTGCGCCTTGGTTCCCCCGCTGATTAATGCTCAGGTATCAGTTCGAAGAGCGAAGAATCTTCAGCAACTGATTGCCTATGATCTTCCGCTAGTCAAAGGTTATGTCTTATTATTTCATCTTTTCTATCTTTATCGTGCCCATATTCCCTGCAATTGGCCCATCAATTGCCGCCACGAGTCGGACAGCAACCGCCGCTACCCTCGATGAAGATCCAATATCGAGATGAGAGCCTCGAGTTTGAGGATATTCCAGACGAAACCATTAGTGATCTGGCGACGAGATGCGCCGAGAGGATTGGCGCCGACGTGGAGCGAGTATCTCTCTTCTTCCTCCCCAAACCGGGTTTCGTCAAGCATCCTTTTTCCGACCGCAGACTGAGCGAATTCCTCACAGCGAGCACGCGAATAAAGCTAGTCGGCACGCCCAATACTGAGGTCAAGAAGATGGAAGACATGGGTGCGGCAAGGCGAAGAGTGTCGCGCCCGAGCAGCTTCAGACCGGCCAAGGCAAACAAGGTCCGCGATTTCAAGAAAATCCAGGAAGAAAGCACCTACACCTTTCACGCCATCGAGCCTCTACCGTATTTGCCGAACCCAGAAAAGAGTAGACGGTTTTTGGAGCGACTGGTGAACGATCCGGGCGTTAAAGCAACGATGCGCAAGCACAAGTTCAGCGTCGGGCTTCTTACAGAAATGAATCCCGCTGAACACACAACCCACGAGTCGAAGACATTGGGCTTGAACCGCAACCGGGGTGAAGTGATTGAGCTGAGGTTGCGGACGGATGCATACGATGGATACAGAGACTACAAAGTGATCCGCAAAACTCTTTGTCACGAACTGTCGCACAACGTCTGGGGAGAGCACGACCAGAATTTCTGGGACCTCACCAAACAAATCGAGCAGGAGGTGGAGCGCAATGACACAATGCATGGCGGACATCGGTTGTCGAACGAGGAATTTTACAATCCCAACGATACGTACGAGGATGCTGAGCATGCGGATCATGGGGGCTGGACGGGAGGGAGCTATGTGTTGGGAGGGTCGCAGGATGGCGGTGCTGAGAGCGAGAGTGGCCTGAGTCGACGGGATATTCTGTTTCGGGCCACATTGAACCGCTTGCAAAAAGAAAAGGAGGCGAGAGACGGTCAAGACTCGTCTCCGCCACCATCTTAGTTAGTGGTCTCCTTATGCGATAGCAAGGCGTTAGGGGTTTGCCTGTTTGCTTGCGCATCATGGTGAATGCGTCTTTCTGTTCACAGTCCGGCAGAGGGCATGCCACTTGTCTAGATCCCTACTGGGTATTGCGGTATTAGTGCTGTGTTGCATCTTGGTAGAAACAGGTCGTGTTCCTCTTTTTCCTTTGTCTTCGGGCCCCGAACCATAGCCCCAAGTATGGAGTACGGGGTGCTCGTAATACCACAAACCCGGGTACCGGAAAGCGTAGGCTAAGCGTCTTGGAGTCAGTGGGAAAGGTCTTGGAGAAGGCCTCACTAGCTCCTGTTGGTCCTCAGATCGGCCTAGTTAGCGAGGCGAAGTCAGGCAGGCAGGCCTTTGGCGAGCCAAGCAAGGCTCGCCTTTCTGATTCAGCCTTCCCAGCGACAAAGGTTTTGATTGTCCGGGATAACAACGGAGCGATACAGGAGCTAGCCCGGCTTCAGCATCCGACATCAGGCGCGTGTGCTAGTCCATTAGGGCTGGGGAAAGCTTGCGAAGCAATCAGGAAGGGAGCGGATGGCGGTTGGCGTGACATTTGGGTGCCTAGACTGTCAGTCGTTGCTCCGTACTCCGGAAACTGGACATACTGTACTGGGTACTCCATGTATGCTCGCGCCTCAGCCGCCGGGAATCGTGCTGGTTGAGAGATTTTATGTATCAGACAGCGATAACAGTGGAATGTGTTTCCCAGGTGCAACAGAAGTCGTCATCATCGTCGTCGCTGTTGTCAGCATCATTGTCACCCGTTGGATGTGTCCCGTTTGAGCACGCCCTGGTTACTTGTTAGCTCTGCTGCAAGGTTATCTGTCCCCCTAAAAACGCAGACGTCACTTCCGCCCTCCCTGCGTTTGGCCATTTTGAGCCCGGCAGAGAGGTCACTAGGTGAACCACAGGCGCAAGTGAATACTAATAGAGCAGGAGCTCCTGCTCTGCTCTGCTCTGCTCTGCTCCAAGGTATGTCTGTACTTACTACCCAGTACCTACTACCTTGTACCTACTACCTTGTACCTAGCATGCAGGTCCTCTTCCCGCTCCCGTGTCTGGTTTGAGTCAAAAAACTGTTCTACTTGAGGACCTGTCACAACATGTCAGATTCTTCACCACTTGCTCCTTAAATACTTCTTCCCTCATTTATTCCCTTGTCCTCCCTTGCTCAGACAATTTCTAGTGTGTTTGGTTTGCTGGTATCGATACTGAATGTCTCTGCTAGAAGGGTCGAGGCAGACCTCGCCTCCCTTGGCTGCGAATTCCCCAGACCCTGTCCCAGTGGCAATCTTGAATCGTCGCTTCAGCGAACAGTTTTCTGACCTGGCTCGAGTCGCAATCATGACGAATGCCTCTGCATCTACACATGAGGCCGAATCCCTTAATCATGTCGCATACCATTCCAGTCTGATGCCCCCTCTCAAAACCTCCTTTGGCAGATCTGCATCCAACATCTCCGCACACAAACTGCCACCGCAACCAACAAACGCCCTGGGCAGAGCTTTGACCGACACTCCTGCGCCCAGTGCGCCCACAAGTCCGCAGATGTAAGCAGAACGAGAGTCCTGAGAAGCAATAACCAGAAGTGCTGACTTGGCCAGACATGCCCGAAGCAGCTCGAACGTGTCGGGCTCCGCAACCCCCAAAATCCGTGCCACCACCCTCGATATCCCCGGACTGACTCGATCCAAAGTCTCTCCGAATGGTCAAATATCAGAAAGAGATGTTGCGGCCAAGCTCATTATCATCATGGTCGGATTGCCCGCAAGAGGGAAGAGTTATATCGTCAAGAAGATCGCTCGCTACTTGAACTGGTTACAGCACCCAACCAGAATATTCAACGTTGGAGACCGTCGAAGAGTGGCTGCTGGAGTTGGTCAGCCCATACCCGATCGAACGACTGCTGCGCTCCGTGAATCTGTGCGTCGAATGAGCTCCACCACCCTCGGGCCTCCGAGCATCGTTGATCATGCTGAACTGCTCCCACCGCCTGCTGTCGAGACTCAGATTCTCATTAATGGCGAGGTCACTTCTCCCATAAGTCCGCTACAAATGAACGGCCCCTCCAAATCCGAAGAAGATAAGAAAGACGCCATTCCTATGTCTGCCCCCGAACCCATGGATCAGTCTGCGCAATTCTTCGACCCGAACAACATCAGGGCAAAGCAGTTGCGAGAACAGGTGGCGCATGCAGCCTTAGATGAGCTCTTGAAATACGTTCTAGAAGACGGCGGATCGGTAGGAATCCTGGATGCGACAAATCATACGCGAGAGCGACGTCTGTCACTGGTCAGGCACATCAGGGAGCGCGATGAGAACATCAATATCCTCTTTGTCGAGTCTCGATGCCAGGATAAAAACCTGCTGGAAGCAAATATGCGACTCAAACTGTCCGGTCCCGATTACAAGGGCAAGGATCCGGTCGCTGCTTTCAAGGATTTCCAGCAACGTGTTCAACAGTATGAAAAATCATACCAGAAACTAGACGAGTTCGAGGAGGAACATAACATGGCGTATTGCTCCATGATTGACGTGGGACGGAAAATGGTGACACATCAAGTCAAGGGCTTCCTCTCCATTCAAACCGTCACCTACCTGATGAATTTCAATCTGGCACCACGACAAATCTGGATCACTCGACATGGCGAATCGATGGACAACGTTAATGGTAAAATCGGCGGTGACAGCTCGTTGAGTCCCGACGGTGTGAGATATGCTCAGGCTCTTGCCAAATTTATCGGGGTCCAATGGAAGGCGTGGGAAGACTACCAGGCGGAAAAGCAGGCAAATACTCATTTCCCACCGCTTCCGGGCGATACAACACCGCCAAATCCGGAATATACCGCGCAGACTCTCCAAGAGCGGAATTTCTGCGTGTGGACGAGTATGCTAAAACGGAGCATCGAGACCAGCCAGTTTTTCAACGACGAGGACTATGATATCAAGCAGATGCGGATGCTGGACGAACTCAACGCAGGATCGATGGAAGGCATGACCTACACGGAAATCCGAGATAAGTTCGCCCACGAATACGAGCTTCGAAAGCGAGACAAGCTCCAGTATCGGTACCCAGGCCCCGGCGGAGAAGGATATCTGGACATCATCAACCGGCTGGGAAAAGTCATCCTCGAAATTGAGAGAATGACAGACCACGTCCTAATCATTGGCCATCGAAGTATCTGTCGAGTTCTCCTGGCCTATTTCATGGGTCTAAAGCAAGAGGATATTAGTGACCTGGATGTTCCGTTGGGTGTTGCATATATGCTCGAACCGGTAAGTCAAGTTTTCGCACTAGAGATATACTCATCACTGACGTGGACCTGCAGAGGCCATACGGCGTGGAGTTCAAGGCATATCGCTGGGACCCTGCCACGGATGAATTTGTATATGAGCCAGACTACCGGATGAGGCGAGCTATTGACCCACAAGCCTGATATTTTGTCGCTACCTTTGCACTCCCAAAAATGATACCCCTATCCGCATTTTGCTATGCCCAAATCTTATTCTCCCCGAGCTCCTCGCATATATTCATATAGAAACTAGAGAGTTTGGGGATATGGCGGAACTGCGCGACCTTCTCTCTTCCTGGATCGCCTCACCCAGATGTTTGCTACGACTGGACTAATACTTGTTTTGGATTTTGGCAGGCAAGATTGTTATTGGCAACATCGTCCGGATATGATGACTCGCATGAATTCCTGGGTGGACTAGTGATCAGGCTTTGGAAAATGAAGCAACAGCGTTTGTTGATACGTACAGTAGCGGGCGATGGATATGTCTCACAACTTAGCGGTGGCGTTGGGGAATATGACATGGGGCCGTCGGCCATGAAGGGGGATGCTTACACAGTGTGTCTTCGCAACTCTATCGGGCAGTTCTATTAGCATTAACATGGGTCGGAAAAAGAACACGGATTGTACGAAGTATTTCTGGAAGCAGAGGCAACCTGTGGAGCTGCTAGAGGAGCTCTTTTGCTGGACTTACTGGATTAAGGCATCCTAAACTGCTGCGAATGGTTCTCGCCTCTCTCTGTCACAGGCCCGCTCTGTTTCGCGTGTCTCCGGGAAGACGGGACAAACTAACTCTGAACAATCCTGCAGCTCCAGCGGGTTCGCCAATGGGAATGGGCCCCTGTGCTCTGGTCATCGGCAAAGACTCTTTAGAACTCTTTGGTGTCTTGGTGTCCTAGCGTTGCGACCTTTTTTTCTTTCCGATATCTGCCACAAGTGTGGATGGTCTGTACCTGTGGTGAGTAACCCACGGTGCCACTGTGCCATCAATGCAGTCGTCGAGGAATCGCCAGATGGCCACGCAGTCTTGTAAGGCTCGGCAACAGACTGGAGTCAGTGATTGCTGATAAGAGCTGCTGATGAGAACAGAAAAGTTTGTCCGCGTGTGTCTTGCCGTTGATCCGACCCACTGGTGTCCTGGTGCCCCCATCCGGTCTATCCCTTCTGCTGGGCACCGCTGGGTGACATTTATTAAGACTCTGTCATCGAAGCTTGTCTCGAAAATCCTAAACCTCTTCATTTTTTCTTATTTCTGCGCTTTGCTTTGCCGTTGTCACTGAAAACACACCGGTCTCGCAGTTCACATGGTGACATCTCTCGACCGTATGAGACCCCGCCCAATATACTCCACGTGTATCCTTCATCGGACCATGAGCCTGATGGTCCAATAACACTTGCTGAGGAGGTGCCCGTTGGTTGGTCGTCCGTTAACCCACTATTACGATTCCTCGACAACTGTCAAACAAAGGGACGAAGCGATAGGCATCAGAATAAGCAGACCGCTGTACTCGAGGAGCATTGATTGAGCCCATCTCATTCCCCTAGCACGGAGGACGTGGTGGCTGGCTCGTTGACTACGACACCCTCTTGGCTGATAAGAACACTACCGGCAAGCATATCTGAGAAAAGGGACGAGAACAACCATCTTGTGGCCAGAAGCATAGAAGAAGTCTTATCGCGAGTCGTTGTTTTGGGAAACTTAGTCCTGACAAACTCTGCCATCTCCTCCAGCCATGCCGACCTTGTCGCTCACAAACTTCAACATTGTGTGCGCCGTGCTGGGAGGATTCATCACTCTCTTTGGACTCGTCAGTTACTTGTTCAAGGAGCAATTCTATCTCTCGGAAGCGTGTATGTACATGATGCGCGCATCTGAGGGCCCCTTCCAAATTGACCAAAGGCTGACATTAACACAGTGATTTCTCTGGTGGCTGGAATCATCTTTTCCCCCAATGCCACTGGCCTGATCAAACCTCTTGAGTACGCCGCTGGCTCAGAAGAGAGCCTCGACTACATCACGCTCTACTTCACGCGCCTCGTTTTGGGCGTCCAGCTTGTACTTGCAGGGGTCCAACTGCCGAGCAGGTACCTCTACACGGAATGGAAGTCTCTGGCCCTTCTCCTCGGTCCCGGAATGTGTGGCATGTGGGTGTGTGCAAGCCTGCTTGTATGGGCCATGGTCCCGCATCTGAGTTTCCTTCACGCCCTTGCCATCGGAGCATGTGTCACACCTACTGATCCTGTGCTGTCGAACTCGATTGTCAAGGGAAAATTCGCAGACAAGAACATTCCCAAACCGTTACAGAAGATTATCATTGCAGAGTCGGGGGCCAACGATGGTCTCGGATACCCTTTCTTGTTCCTGGCTCTCTATCTGATCAAGTACACTCAACAGGGAGGCGCTGGTCAGCCCGGAGGAGCATCCAAGGCGATGGGATACTGGTTCGCAGAGACGTGGGGATATACTATTTTGCTGAGTATCGTCTATGGTGCCGTCGTGGGCTGGGTTGCGAAAGAACTTTTGCACTTTGCCGAGGAGAGAAAGTTTGTAGACAGGGAGAGTTTTCTCGTCTTTGCCATCACGCTTGCTCTCTTCATAACAGGGACTTGCGGCATGGTTGGCTCGGATGACGTCCTGGCTTGCTTTATTGCTGGGAATGTATTTACGTGGGACGACTGGTGGGTTTTGACAGAAACCTCCAAGTGACTTTTGTTAAAACTCTCGGCAGGTTCCGGCTCGAAACCCAAGACGACTCGCTTCAACCTACGATTGATATGTTACTCAATATCTCGGTCTTCCTCTGGTTCGGCGCCATCTGCCCCTGGGCATCCTTCCGATCAAACCATGTCATCCCGATCTATCGACTCATTCCGCTAGGAATTCTCATTCTCCTCTTCCGCCGGGTCCCCATTGTATTTGCCATGCACAAAAAGATTCACCAGATCGAGGAATTTCAGCAAGCTGCGTTCGTGGGGTTTTTTGGGCCTATTGGAGTGTCGGCCATATTCTATCTCTATGTCAGTATTGATTTTCTCCAACAAGTCACCGTTAACGGCAGGGTGCGTGAAGACGCAGTCCGTCTCGAAGAAATCATGAGGGTGGTAATTTGGTTTTTGGCGATATGCAGTATTGTCGTTCATGGGCTCTCGATCCCGCTGGGCAAACTCGGTTATCATCTCCCGCGGACTATGTCTCAGGCTCTCAGTAGTGACAGGGAGGATGACGAGCCAGATATTCACTTGGGACCGTCGCATCATCGCAGATCAACGAGTCAATTGCGGCAGAGGAAAGCCAATGGCAACAGGAATCCGGATCGCCGCCCAGTTCCCGCGGCGTTTATGATCGGGCAAAGAAATACGACAAGATCGACCACCATGGATCTAGAGAGCGCACAGGAGCCTGCTCGACCTGTCCACATTATTGAGGACTCGCCGGGGACGTTGGGGCAGCCAAACGAGGCTGGAACGCAGCTAGATAGCCCCGCAAGCGAGCTAGAGGAGCCGAAGCATTCTAATGGCGTGGAAGTAAGTGAGGAGGTAAAGACAAATTGAACGGAGAGTTGGCGCTCGTGGGGTTAATATCCTCGTCTGGATATCTGGGAGAGCGCTTGTCTTTGCACCGTTAGAGAGTCCGTGCACTTAGACTAAGACATAGATAAACCCAGGCCGAAAAATAGAAGCGCGGAAATGGTTGTTTTTGTCGTCTACATTCGCCATGCGCTGGAGTGTTCATAGGACCCGATGGGTGTTTGCCTCGACAAAAAGCGGGCACTGTGTTGAGACGGAGACGCATATCTTCCGCCTGCGCAGTGTGCAGTGTGCACCCCCTCCCACATCGACACTCCACCTTCACCAACCCCTTCACCCTTGCTGGCTTGCTGGGTGCTTGCATGCCAGCTTGCCAACTCTCCAATGTCGAGCCAAACACCACACGCGCCCTGTTCCTGATTTGATAGAAGAAACCAGGCTGTGTCTGTCACAGCCAGCCCTCTTTCCCCGCCTGTGAGGACGAAGGTCACACCAGGACCATACCCCTTGCCGCCACCCCTCCCTTCCTGCTAGCTACATCCCAACTTCACGCAAGGGCAGTCTCTCACCGGTTCTTAGTCCCCGACTCCTCTCTACACTCTCAATCATCAGGTCTCTCACCACTTCATCACATCGAACCCTTCTTCTCAAGAGAAAGACTTGACTCATTGACGGCCATTGACCCCTGTTCGAGCGCGCGCTGAAAACCAACCCGGATGCTTGGTGCCCGTCCTTGACCTGATTTCTCGTCCTTAGTACCACTTTTGACGACTTTCCCTTCCGCTTGCTCGATAGGTCAACCTGCCTCGATTTAGGCTGTGCGGTCGGGTCCTCCTCCCTTCTCGCCGTCGAATAGTCATGGCACAGCCTTCTCTTCCCGGCCAAGCCACTGACGCTTCACGTTCCAGTCCGAGCTTGGCCAACGAGAATGCCGCGGCCGGAGTCAAGAGGAAAAGAGCAGCTGAGCGGAAATTTTACGCCGTGAGGCAAGGGAAGACACCTGGTATCTACGAAACATGGACAGATTGTCTGGGTCAAGTGAAGGGACATAAGGGTGCTGTGTGTATGTAGAATCGGGTGTGGTGCGATGTTTTCATTCCATATTGACGTGGTCACAGTTAAGGCGTTTCAAACTCTTCATGAGGCCCAAGCATTTATGGACGGCAGAGCTCTTCCAAACACCAACGCCTCTGGAGTGCAAAAATTCTACGCCGTCCAAAATGGAAGAGTCCCAGGTGTGTACACCGACTGGATACAGGCTCAGGCCCAGATCCGGGGGATCAGGAAACCTAGGCACAAGAAGTTCAATACCCGAGCAGAAGCAGAAGCCTTTGTGGCTGCTGGTCGGAAGGCTAATGGTCTTGAATCCGGACACAGCGTCACCCCAGAAGAGGAGATACGCCGGTTAATAGTCCGCAGTTCAGCGCCAGGTTTGCAAATGAATGGAACATATTCTCCGAAAGACAAGGAGGGGAAGCCTTATGCAATCGGCCAAGGTCCTCTGCCACCCGGGGCTGAGGATGGATATGATCCCAATATAAAGTTGGGGCCGGACGGCACCATCATCAATCGGACCGACGAAGAGAAGAACAAAACCAAAATGGTGGCTAGACAGAAGGACTCCCCAGGGATGCTTCGCATCTACACCGACGGGTCGAGCCTCAAAAATGGTCAGGCAGGAGCTAGGGCAGGCGTAGGAGTGTTTTTTGGCCCTCAAGACCCAAAGTATGCCAACCCTCCATCCTCCAAATCTAAGTCCAAGTCCAAATCCAAATCCAAATCCAAATCCAAATCCAAATCCAAATCCAAATCCAAATCCAAATCCACTCGTTACACAACCTCCAGAACGCAACACCTTATTTATACCATGGACTGGGCGGCTCGTCAGGGTGGCTACGGCGATGGACCAACCAAGAAACGGCAGGCAGGCGGAGAGGATGACGAGGAAACGGCACAAGAAAAAGAAAGGCTAACGAATTGGCGTTATAGAAATGTCTCCGAGGCGCTCAAAGGCAGCAAACAGACCAACCAACGGGCCGAACTGACAGCCATCTTACGAGCATTGGATATCGCTCCCCGGCACAGAGAAGTGACCATCTACACGGACAGCAAGTATGCCATTGATTGTGTGACGAATTGGTATCGAAATTGGAAGAAAAACGGTTGGGTCAACGCCAAAGGGAAACCTGTGGAGAATAAGGATTTGGTGGTAGATATCCGAGAGAGAATGGAAGAGAGGGAGCAGCTTGGCAAAGTCACATATTTTGTCTGGGTCAAGGGCCATATGGACAACCCAGGAAACATTGCAGCGGACCGTCTGGCTGTTCAGGGGGCGATGGCTGGGAGAGGGCTTGAAGATGGAAAAGACGAAGAGTCCAACCAGACGACAAAGACGAAAGGTACAAAGGAAGATGGAGGAAAAGAAGACTTGGATGAGGGGGAACAAGAAGAGGGTGATGAGGCCGAGTTATTTCGGGCGATGGAACTTGCCCTGGAGGACGATTTTGGGGTCGAGGTCGAGGTCGAGTTCGAGTGATGAAGCATCAAGTGTTGAAGACTGGGAGTAGGTCGCACCTCACTGGATACCTGGACACCTCATACAAGAACAAAGCCTCATACATCGGCACAAGTCTCTGTACAGAGAAAGTACAACATTGAGCCCATGAACAGTGGTATCATGGTGCACAGCCTCAACCTGCTTCTGTCGCTCCGTCATTCGCGTATTTGAAGCCCTCGCTGCCTAGATTTCATCCTTTAGCTTACTCCTCCATCGTGACTTTCAAGGAACTGTCTATCCAAAATCACAGAACATTTCTGGATCCAGCCTCCCCCTGAAAAGACGTGTCGCTGCAACAGCCGATATCGCTGACGACATCGGCGAATCTCCGTCATGATGGATTCCTTTTTGCCCTCCACAATCGGCAAACGGCACGCGACTGTTGTGGTCCTTCAATTCCAATTCTTCTCCGGCGTTTTTCTCTCCCTTAACATGTTCTCTTATATTTCACCGTACGACAGTATCATATGGGGTCCCTCTCCAAATACGTAACCCGCTATCGAGTATGAGCTGACTTGATCTGCTCCTCTCCCAACATGCCCTCAGCAGCGGCCCTTCGCCAACGCGCCGCAGAATCCGCTCTCCACGACCAAACAAATCTTCTTGGGACGAAACAACTCTTCATTGTCTTCTCGTCCCTGGCCTCGGCACTCTTCATCTGCTATGCTGACCAAAATGGCATCGGTACCATCCTTCCGACGGTCGGGCGAGATTTCAAGGCCACAGACACCATCTCGTGGGCAGGTACATCGTCCCTCATCTCCAACACTTCTAGCCAAATTATATACGCCCGCTTCTCAGACATCTATGGAAGGAAACCAGTGTTTCTGTTCTCGGTAGGTATGTTGGTGTTGGCAGATATCTTGTGCGGAGTGGCCCCGGATGCGTCGAGCTTCTACTTCTTCCGTGCACTCGGTGGTATTGCAGGCGCCGGTATCAATTCCTTGACCATGATGATCATCTCTGATATCGTGACGCTGGAGCAGCGAGGGAGGTGGCAGGGTTTCTTGGGTGCTGGTATCGGTGGTGGCAATGCAGTAGGTCCACTGATTTCCGCTGCATTTGCACTGCATCAGACATGGCGAGCATTCTTCTGGTTCCTTGCTCCTTGTGGTGCCATTGCCGGTGCCATTGGGTGGTTCTATCTCCCCTCGACCATGCCCAAGGGAAATGGAAGGCAGCAATTCAAGCTCATTGACTGGGGAGGCATCATCACTGCTACCATTGCTATTGTGCTGATCCTGATCCCGCTTTCTGGCGGTGGCTCATACTTTCAGTGGTCCTCGCCGATGGTCATTTCCATGTTTGTCATCGGTGGTCTGTCATTCCTGGCCTTTCTTATCGTCGAGTGGAAGGTCGCAAGCCTACCCATGATGCCACTGAGCATGTATACCAATGCACCAGTCGCGGCAATCTTGACCCAGAACTTCTTTTTCGGAATGGTGTATTACTCGAATCTTTATTATATTCCATTATATCTTCAAAATGTTCGAGGATGGGATACAACGATCTCGGCTGCTTTCCTCGTCACCATCAACGTCCCACAATCCGTCGTCAGCACGCTCTCCGGCATCTTCATCTCTCGGTACAAGCGTTACGGGGTCGTGATCTGGACTGGCTTCGTCATTTGGACGCTTGGGGCTGGACTCATCTGCAGTTTTACACGCACAACGCACCCTGCAGCTATTGCCGTCATGCTCTCGATCTCTGGTATTGGCGCTGGCTGCATCTTCCAACCTGTACTGATCGCCTTGCAAGCACACTGCTCAAAAGCGCAACGGGCGGCGGTCGTGTCCAATCGAAATTTCCTGCGAAGTTCGGGGGGTGCTGTCGGACTCTCAATCTCAGCACAAGTCTTGCAAAGCTCTCTCCGGAAGCACCTCCCACCTCAACTCGCCCGCTACGCGCATGACACCTTCGCTCTCCCAAGGTTGAGCGGTACTGACGAAGCTGCAGTCAGAAACGCATACATGGCAGCCATTCGAACGGTGTTCATTGTTTCGGCCCCAATGATTGGCTTCTGTCTGGCGCTCTGCGTGTTCATCAAAGACCGGGGCCTGCAGCGACCAGAAGAGAAAGAGCAGGCGAGGATAGCGGTAGCAGCGACGGCATCGCTAGATGAGAAGATACAGACGACGCATGAGAAGGACGAGCCGCAGCAGAAGCAGCAGCCGACTGTTGAAGACTATGCTGGGCAGACGGTTACAATAAACGGAGAAAACTGGACAGCAGAATGCAAAATAGATGTGTCACCACCACCATCAAAGCCGGTTAATGATAGACAGGAAAAGGGGGGCTAAAGTCTCCATATAATAGCATCTTAGACCAGAAACATAGATCTACGGAGTATTTGGCTTCCGTTCACGGCCTCGCATTGACCTTATACTCTTTAGTCAGCGCCACTGCCTTCTCCGTCCACTCGGCATACTCCCTGGGCGAGGTTCCAGGGGCCTTTGGTCGTACTGTAATACCTCCGATCTCTACCTAGGTACGTACGATGCTCTAGCCTCTGAGTTACTCATCTTGCACTGTCTCGCTCTGGCATAGGATCCGGCAATCAGCCTGATTCGGTTAGCTTCGCGATATAAAATACTCCTCCATGCACCTTGCCCTCCTGTAACTTTTCCCGTAGCGTTTGCCGGTTCAGTCCTTGTTCGGTCGAATCCCCGTCTACGAGAGCGAGGCCATCCCTTCTAGGACGCTCAGATCGCGACCCGTAACCGCAAATATCTTGATGAGACGCCTGACGCGCCCGCGGTTGGTGATCAGATCGCACAGGTCGTTTCCCGGAGCTCTTATCACCCTTCTCTGTGCCACGAGTGCTACGGGATTGACTGCAGTCCTGCAATACCGCTTGAAATGATCTGCAGGTCCCGTTCGGGGTTGTAAGTCATCCATTGTGTCTATATATGTATGTATCTGTCATGCACCGTCTCGTTCTCAGATCGAGTGATTCCACCCGATCACCAACCATTATAAATTCAAACGGACACCGGTCTATAGGATCTTCATCATCTGGCGGTATACTGCGTTGTCCGGTCTTCTCCCTCACATATCAGTCGCCTTGCCTTGTGACACCAAGTAATAGCTCAAGATGGCGGTGATACCTTTGTACTTTGGTCTGGCTGTCGGGCTTTTGTGTTCCTTCGCCGTTGTACGCGCCGTCTATCGAATCACATTCCATCCGCTTGCAAAGTTCCCTGGGCCCAAGCTGGCAGGCATGTCGTCGCTATATCAGGCTTGGTTTGACTTGAGGTCTTCAACGTCGTACATCAAGCAGTTTCATGCTTTTCACAAGAGATATGGTCCCATCGTCCGAATCACTCCGAACCAGCTGCACATCTTCGACATGGCGGCATACAATGAGTGAGGATTGACTCCAGTTAGCAGGTGGACAGGCTGAACTGACGGTGCTGAAGGATCTTCAAGATCGGGACTCGCTATGCTCGCCACCAGGACAACTACAATCAAGAAGCAGCAGACGGATTCTTCAACGTTCTGGACCCCAAGGCCGCCAAACCATGGCGAGATGCATATCAACCGTACTTCGCCAAAGCTGCCATCATCCGCTTGGAACCACTGATCCACGACCGAATCAAGAAGTTCCTCTCGGTGCTCGACGCGGCATCCTCCACCGGCACGGCCGTTGACCTGAGCAGGGGTTACCGTAGTTTGACTAGCGACGTGGTGACGAGCTACATGTTTGCGGATAAAGGATTTGAAACACTCGACGCTGAAGGATTCCAGTCCCCGACGCTGGTGGCCTTGGAGGAGTTCTTCGAATTTACGCAGTGGGCCATGTATTTTCCCAGTTTTATGGGATGGTTGACGAGACAGCTGCAGAAACTCACCAAGGAGCAGACGGAGAAGTTTATGCCAGCATTGGCGGCGACGAACTGGATCACGAAAGTAAGACTCAAGAAGCCTCTGTCATCTCTCGGCTCTTGTCGCGCTCGCTGACCTTGAATGTCTTAGCAATGTGGCGTCAAAGTGAAGAAAATCCTGCGAGAAGGGGGCTCAGGAAGCTCGTTCCCTACCGTCTTCGACGCATGGGCGAAACCCAGTGAGAAGAGAGGGTTCACGCCAACCCTCAAGCAGCTGACAGCCGATGCATTCACCTTTCACGGTGCTGGAACCGACACGACAGCGCATGCACTCACCACAGCTACTTGGGGTCTGATCAACAACAAGGAGAGCCTTGAAAAGCTGCGCGAGGAGTTGAAGGGAGCGATCCCGGCGCCGCACAGTGAACAGTTGGTCAGCTCGAGTATGCTTGAAAATCTGCCCTACCTCGTGAGTCAAGAGCGACAAGCCAGTTCAGAGGGCCATTGCGCTGATGTTTTGGTACAGCGTGCCGTAGTCAAGGAGGCTTTGAGGATGAGCATGGGAGTTCCTGGGAGGTGAGGCTCGGAGGTGATGTGCGCGAGAGAGATCTCTTCCAACTAATCTGTTTTCACACATAGAATGGGCCGAGTAGTGCCTGAAGGCGGGGCTGTGTTGTGCCAGCAACAGATTCCTGCAGGAGTAAGCAGCCCATCCCATTCGCATGACCAAGATCAGGATCTTCAGCAGTCTGGTCCCGCGGTTGCTGGATGTGGACACATTCTAACATTTCTCGATTCGTCTTTATCAGGTCGGAATCACCAGTGTCTGTTACTGCTACCACTACGACCCAGCGCATTTCCCGTCTCCGAACGAGTTCCGCCCAGATCGCTGGCTCGGACCAGACAGTCAACAACTCGAAAACCGCCTGATCGCTTTCTCTCGAGGTCCGAGATCATGCATTGGCATCAACCTCGCATATGCCGAGTTGTATCTGAACCTGGGGTATGTGTTTAGAAAGTTTGACCTGGAGCCGTTTGAGACCACGGCGTGGGATATGGAGTGGAAGGACAACTTTGTAGTTACGACGAAGGGCCATTTGAGGGTCACATTGAGGGGGGCCAGTGACGACGAAGAGGAGTAGTAAATGGTTTTTCTTTGGGAGGTTGCCGTTGGGTGCGGTTGACGATGTCTGCAATGCGCTGAGACTGTGAAGGATCAAGGATTGGTGATGCCGAGATATTGTATCGTCGCAAGTTCTATGCAGACAAGCTGTGAGTGAATGGCAAGGGTGGTTATTGATGCTGGTGGCGTAGTCTTGGCCTCGTCGCCATAGCTTGCATAGGTAGTGAGGTATGTAGTGAGCTCGCGAGGTCGGTATCATTTTCCCCTCGCCGTGTTTCCCCAGTTTTGCGCGCCGCCTACGCGTGTCGCGTCGCATTTCTATCCGAAGCCCACCGAGTAAAGCATGGCCCTGCCATCCGCCCTCCACTCTGAATCTCATCTCCATTCCCCAATCATCAGATACTGATTACTCGGTTCCTCTCGGTAGATCAAACGCCGACAATTGCTCTCTTTAGGTCTGCCGTTGGGGAACCTAGCTTTCATTTCCGAGTTAGCTTAGACGCTTTGACCCAGCACGCCAGCTCAACGAGGGAGAAGTCCGCCAACAGCGACAGCGGCGGCAGAAGCTGTAAGCAGCAAACAGCAAGCAGCAAACAGCAAGCGACGGACCACAGAATCGTCGGTTCGGCTTCTGCTAATCATCGCGGTGGAAGGCTGCTGGGCCTGCTTGTGAAGCTTGTCTCTGTCTCCGATCCCTCTCCTCGCTCCCGGCGGACAATTTCTGGATTTCGAATTGTTTTTTCTGGTCGATTGATGAACAATCTGATTATTCTTCCTCCTCTCGGCGTCCTGTGGTGTGGCGTGCTGTCTAGACGCTTGAAGGGGCGTTTCAATCCGACGCTTTCACTCACTCACTCACTCACCCACCCACTGCTTTTCTACCCAGTACAATACCCCTGGTTCATTTTCCTTTGCTCGTGCTGCAAGAATCTCTCTTCTCCCTGCGCAGCTTTTTTTTTTTGCGGTCGTTGTTTTGCGTGGATGTTTCAAGTCATTCACCAGGTACGATTAGGATTACGGCTGATCGCATAACTGCGATAGCTAGCATTTAACATGTCGAAGCTCATAGACTATGTGGAGGGTGAGTACATCTATGCTATGTTGCCTTTCTTGCGGAATACCAACTCCTAAGTACCATTGCATATTCGCGGTCGCTCTTCAGAAGACTGACTACGTCGTTGCGTGTCTTTAGTGCAAAAGCACACGACCAAAGACTCGTGCTGGGTCATCCTCTACGGTAATGTGTGGGATGTCACAAACTTCCTGCCCTCTCACCCCGGCGGAGCCCAGATAATCCTCAAACTCGCCGGCAAGGACGCCACGGAAGAGTACGACCCCATCCACCCTCCGGGCACACTAGAGGAAAACCTCCCCGAATCCGCTCGCCTGGGTCCCATTGACCCCAAAAGCCTGCCGAGACCGGTGAAGCCGGTGCAAGATGTTGGACCATCGGCGGATATAGAGGCTGAAGTCGAGATGCCGTTGAAGGCCATGCTGAATCTCGATGAGATCGAGGCCGCTGCTACCAAGAAGCTGTCCAGAAAGGGTTGGGCCTATTATTACTCCGCCGCCGACGACCTAATGAGCAAGCAGCTGAACAACACTGTCTATCGCCAAATCCTGCTTCGGCCGCGGGTGTTCGTGAACTGTCAGGACTGTGATCTCCGCACCACATTTCTCGGGTATCAACTGGACTTGCCCATCTTCGTCTCACCCGCCGCCATGGCTCGCTTGGCTCACCCGGACGGCGAATGGGGGATCGCACAGGCATGCAAGAAATTTGGTGCCATGCAGATGATCTCCAACAATGCAAGTATGACCCCCGAGCAGATCGTGAAAGATGCTGGCCCGGACCAAGTGTTTGGCTGGCAGTTGTATGTGCAGACTGAACGGAAGAAGAGTGAGGATATGTTGGCCAGGATTAACAAGTTGAATGCGATCAAGTTTATATGTCTCACCCTCGACGCACCGGTACCTGGGAAAAGAGAGCATGATGAACGCGGAAAGTTTATAGTCGAGGATACGAGCCAGGCCATCAAGGATGCCGGGGGTGCAGAGTTGAAGGGTGGCGGTGGCATTGGACAAAGTCTGTTCTTTGGCACAGATCCGACGTTGACCTGGACGGAAACGCTGCCTTGGTTGAAGAAGCACACCAACAAGCCCATCATTCTCAAAGGCCTGCAATGTCACGAGGACGCGTATATCGCTGCACAGCATGCGCCCCAGGTCAAGGGCATTATTTTGTCGAACCATGGTGGTAGAGCTGCGGATACGGCGCCGCCGTCTGTGCATACCCTGTTAGAGATCAGGAAATACTGCCCCGAGGTGTTCAGCAAGATTGATGTCGTTGTTGATGGTGGGATTAAGCGAGGTACGGATGTGGTCAAGGCATTGGCTCTGGGTGCGAAGGCTGTTGGTATTGGTCGCGCCGCCCTCTTCGGACTGGGTGCCGGTGGGATTGAAGGAGTCGAGAGAGTGTTCGAAATACTCAGGGACGAGACTGCCACAGCGGCGCGGTTGTTGGGTGTTGCAAGGCTGGCCGATCTGGGACCGGTGCATATCAATACCAGGGCTGTAGAGAGGGATATTTATGATGGACCCGCTAATCTGCCCAGCCTTGAGGGGGCCATGAAGGGACTCTGGATGAGGTCGAAGCTGTGATCGGCCCTCTGGTGTTGTCCGTTTCTGGAATCTCGTGCGGCGGTCCCTTTTAAACAGTTTCAGTCTTGCTTTCGGAGTAGTGAAGCACAAAGATCTGGGAATAGATGGATGCAAAGAGCCAATGCTTTTGTGATTGCGGCAAGAGGCCTCCGATCTGCTTCAAAATGCTTCCTGACCAACACTCGTTCCAAACCATGTCCGCAATTCGTCTGTCTCAGTCTTAGACTCTGACGTCCCATTGGCACTAAAGTAAAGCGAGAGTTTCACGTTCTCGTCTTCGCCTTGGTCGGGCCACTCGGTCTTGGTTGCTGGGCCACCTCTTTGTTCGAGAATATCTTTGACGGTTCCCCAGCTGAATCGGCATTCGTTTCCAAAACCCCAAACAGGGTCAATAGCAGACTTGAGCCAGCCAACACACCTTGCATCAGAGGGATACCCAGAGCCCCACGTTGCCAATGCATCCTCGACCGAAATTGGCTGCTGTTGAGTATATGCCTCTAGAAGGGCCTCGCAACTGACATCCCGAGTAACCTTGGCTACGACACTTGCCGCGCTCACGCAAGGGAAGAGACTGTCGGCCTTCTTTTCGACGGTGATCTTGATGGTCGGGAAGATCAGCTCGAGCTTTTTCTGATAGACCGCGGGTTTGCCAATGGTATCGACGTAGATCTCTGTCACGTTGACGCCCTGCTGTAGAACTCCTCGGATTAACTCGACCGTGGCATCCATGGCCTGGGCATTAAGATTGTACGAGCCGCCATTCTTCATCATACCGGCGCCGATATCACGGGCGCTGAGTGATTTGACGGCCCAACCTGACAGCTTGAAGAGATCCGTACCGGCAGTGCAAACTGCTTTCATGAGACTTGCTCGCACCGCTGGTGTGAGCACTTTGGAGTCGTCGAAATGATATGATTCAGTGAGCAGAGACTGTTGGATTTCAACTGGAAGATAGAATACTCCATAAACCATAGGGCCGATGACAGGGCCGCGTCCAGCCTCGTCGACCCCTAGGACGCACGGCGTCCCAGATGCAGACGAAGAGGCTGTTCTGATGGTGATTGCCTCGGGCACGTCGCTGTAGTGCGCATAGGATCTCCCGGAGAGGAGAGATTCATGGTTATCCTGTACCGACGGTGGCGTGAAAACTGTAGAGGCCGCGATGTCCTCATCCTCCATGATTGTCCGGCCTTCTATCATATGCTGAACTGAAGAGATTTCGGAGTACCTCCTACAGATCATGCGAAAGCAAAAGCGAAAACGAGGGCAAGCGGTCTTGACGCGTCCCTGCGCGTCCCAAAAAGCAGCCTCGCAGCCTTGCCCGATCTGTGCTAGCATACCAGCGGCCAATCACATTCGCTCTCCCCGCCGTTACCATCTAGTCCTAATTCGGATAATCGACAACATCCCAATGCAACACCTGCAACGAACCATCCTCTCTGTTTTCGCAGTTGCTTTTGACACCCTTTGCATGTTTTGCGCAACTCTGTAGGAGATTACGCGGCTTCTGAAACTCCAAACTCGTCCACCATGGCTTCTCGACCTGCGGTTCGCCGCGAGCTCCGCAACGTGGATTATTCCGCCATCGGTAAACTGGGAAGGTGAGAATGGATGCGCCCTGAAGTGGGAGACCATCTACTTACAGAGCGCAGACGTACTGGAGTAACACTTGACCACCGACCACTCGACGCGAACGGCATGGAGGAAATCTCGGGCATATTCTCATCCCCGCGCAAGCCCTCTCCGTTGAAGAATGTGATGCTTGTGGAGAGTGTGGAGGGACCCAGCTCCTTGGCCGAATCACCGGAGGCGTCGAGTATCAATAGTACGTGCATTCGCCAGGGGGACCGACCATCGCATTGCGATTATACATTTCTCTATCATCGGCGATTGGTCTAGTTAGGTAGAACTAACACCACCGCAGTTTCAGGCCCTACACCTCGTCAGGTTCAATCGTCTCGCCGAAGGAGCCGCGCAACGCCCATTCGCCCTGCCAGGTCCTCGTCGCCGAGAAAAAGCGGTATTAGTGGTACCGCAAGGAAGAGCAATGGTGTTGATATATTCTCCACTGGAAAAAGCTTGCAGCATGAAGATATTGGGGATGGCGAAAACATTCCAGAGTCCACACCAACTAGGACTCTGCCAGATCTGCAAACGAGAAACCTCAGCCCGAGTTCGCAGAGGCCAGCACTTCGAGATATCACGACACCTCTTTCATCCAAAATTCCGAAAGGGAGAGCGAGTCTTTCAATGCGACGAATAGAAAACGAGGTGTACCCCTCGACGGAGGACGATGACTTTGACCCCGACCGAATAACTGAAGAAATTATGACAGGACTAAACGATGCCAGTCTTGTGCCTTCTGCCGAGACAACTGAATTCCCTTCAGCCCATGCAGAAAGGCAAGCTTCAACGGGGGTTGATGATCCTGATGTCGAATTTGATGGCGAAGAAGCGGACCAAGATCAGGAGCCTGAACAACCCGTATTTGAGGTGACCCAGAACCAAGCCAATTCGAGAAAGAAACGAAAATCGGAAGTTTTTGAAGACGATGACAATGCATTATCACCACTGCGAATTGCCGCTCAAAAAGACACGACACCACTTAATTCGAGAAAGAAACGGAAATCGGAACTTTTGGAAGAGGATGCGAGTGCATTATCACCGCTCCCGACTCCCACCCAAAAAGATACCACGCCACTTCATTCAAGTTCAAATAACACGGGTCCCAAGGCAAAGAAGAATCAACCTCTAAAAGAAAAGGATATAAATCTGAAATTGTCATCGCAGCAGCAAAAAGAGCTTGATGAGATTATCGAGAGGGTAAAAGCAAGGCCTGGTCCACCGAGATCACTCTACATTTTGCGCCGAGAAACCCCTACCGATGATAATATTAGCCGCACGAGAAGCGGCCGAGTCAGCGTAAAACCTTTGGCGTATTGGCGGAATGAACGATGCATTTATGGTGCCAGCCCCCATGGTGGGAGCTTAGCGGAGGGGGCCCGATTTCCGTTGAATAGCATCAAGGAAATTGTGCGGACCGAGGAGATCGAGCCGAACATTGGAAAGAAGAAATCGAAGACTAAAAAGAAGCATGGAAAGGTCAAGGCCAAGGGCAAGGCACAGCAGAAATCAGTGGAAGATTCAGACTCGTCAGATTCAGATTTTGGTATGGATGAGATTCCTGAAGACCCAGACGCCGAACCATGGGAAACCGGTAGCGGCACTCTCCGTGGCAATGTCTCGATTTGGGACAACGAAGAACAAGCGCCTACAGAACAGGAGGAGGAAGTTGAAATTGCGCACGCGCCAGCTGCGATCCAGACACGCGAGGCTGGAGGCTCGAAACATGGTGGACCCACTTTCCGGTATGCAAAGCTGCTGTCGACAAGTTTCTTCGGCACGGGGCTCGTGGATTTGCCGCCTGGAGGAGTGAAACGACCAAAGAACAGTCGACATATGCACATGAGTTTCTTTGTTGTGAAAGGGAGGGTCACTGTGACAGTGGGTCCCGAGGGTGGTGAGGAAACGGGATGCACGACTCGGTTCAGCATTGGGAAGGGAGGCTTTTGGCAGGTTCCCAGAGGTAAGTCTACACATTAACCAATTAGAGGACTGGACTTGACAAGCTGACCTTTGTGGCGAACTCACAGGCAATCGATATTCGATTGAGAACGAAATGGAGAAGCCGGCAAGGATATTCTTCAGTCAAGGTCGTGAGCCTGGTCCGACCGAGTAACTGGCATGAATCACCTGTGTGAAGATTTCTATTTGACGTGATCTTGACGACATGTTCTGGTGAGGCTTTGGCCAGAAAATGGACTGTTTGAGTAATCGGACTTAACAAATCGAGTATTCTTTTGCGCATGGATACTTTCTGTTGTTGCAGAACACAGGGATTCTGAAAATTGACTCTGAGGTTCTCAAGCTATATGAGAAGAACATGTTCGTGAGATAACACATCACGAGGCGTTGTCTGTTCAAAACGATCAACCTCTGGCGAATATCCTGCTCACAAGGGTCATGCCAAAGGGGACCCAAGGCAGAGAATTAGCCGATGTGTAGAACTCTCCTCCTTGCCCCTCGCCGCTGAACGGGTTAACTTAACGTTTTCGCCGTGCCTCCAACGCTCGTAGCCGTTGTTGATGTCCTCCGTCATATGCTACGCTGTTTGCAAGGTTAGTCGCTCAAATGTCCTTCACAGGTACTTCATGGATAAACCGAGCACGGCCCCTAATGACCAGAGGCTTCTTTGATATGAAGTCCATTTTCCGTGCCGTATCGTTCGCGAGGACAGTGTGAACGCTGTAATCTGGTGACGCTGAAGTCATTCGGTGCATGGAGAGGCCGCGAAAATACACATCCTACGGGCCGGTTTCCTCTGGTCTGCTTGCGGGAAGCATTCTCTGGCGCTTGTGGGCTGCTCTTCTTCTTTCTCGTTCTGGCCAGTGCTTGCTTGCTTGCTTTCCCTCTCGGGGGTCAAATTTCCTCCATATCCTCGTCCAACAAATCACCCAGGGGAGGAAAGTCGCCTACCTCGACCTTCTCGGGCCTGACGAAAACACCATACTTGTCGGCGCACTGAAAGACCCTTCTCGTCTCATAGACCCGCTTTCCCCCCTTCTCCTCGAGTTCGACCTGTACGCTCCCATCATTCCTCCCCAATGGCTCGTCCAGCTCCACACCAACCCAGAGACATCCTTCCTCCCTCTGCCCGCCCAGCCCGGGAATGTCGCCCGTGAAGCTCACCGTGCCCCTCCTCGCGTCATCGCGGCCCACACGACATCTCATCCCGACCCCGATGCCGCGGGCCTCCATGTCCTTCTCATCCTTCCGTCTTCTCTCCTCCACCATCTGAGATTGGGACTTGGCATGGGGATCGAATCTGCCCAATTTTTGGCGGCGTTTCCACGCGAGCACCGAGTCCTCCAACTTCTCGTACTGGGTCTCGGGCATCTGATACTTCTCTACAGAACTGAGATCGGCCGCGAGGAAGTTGAGGTTTTGTCGCAGTTGAGGAGGCCGGGTGTCCTGGACTTCGATTTCGGAGCCCCTCCTGATCCCGAATCGGTGATCAGAGAGCAGCGAGACGTCGCTCGTCAGCCCGGTCCAGCTCCCATCCAGAGATTTTGTGCGAAGAGATTGTGATGACGAAGGTATCCCCGTGATGGGTTCAAGTTTGGATTTCAGCTGGGATACGGTCCATGTGGGGGTTATACGACGCTCCGCTGAGAGGAGTGGCGGAGCTGTGGGATTGGAGTCGTTGGGCACAACTATTTGCACTGTGATATCGGCGGGTACTGGCGTTGGAAGAGACATCCTTGCTGATTTGACAAAGCAAAGTAATTTTGATGCAGATCAGCTGTGTGATGACAATGGGCTCTGGGGAAAAGAAAGAAGAGAACAATTTCTAGTTCGGGATCTGGAGTAATAATATGCCTCCTCGTGCAGTGAAATGAGTAGTGTTGTACTTCGGTGGGAATGCTCGGCAGTAGCACTAGCCTGATGTACGGGGGATTATGCATCCCTTATCACGCCAAACGAACGTTTGCTCGCTGCTAAGTTTGACGTTGTGTGCCACTTTGCTCTTTTCTTGCTTGCTCTCAATTCTTCAATGTTGGGTAAGCATTGACAATACTCAATCAAGCGCCATTCGAATGGTCCATAACGCGCGGCCTAGTGAACCATGTTTCTCAACAGTACCCAAGTCCCGTCACCTTTTCTGCACAACCACTCGACTCCTATTCAACTCCTGTCTGTTCTTTTTGGCCACGTAAATGGGCTCGCCCAAATGCCGCTAGTGCCGTCATGCAAGAGGATAGTGGTACTTGCAGACCTGCTGCGCCTCCTTTCTTCTTGATGATATCGACCTATTTGCCAGGCCTTCCAGTGGAACACAGACCGCCCTGATCAATGGCACTCGCTCATTCCTCCTCAGTTTTCGCCATCACGTTTTCATTCGTCAGATCGCGCTCAGCTTGAGGTAGCTTTCGACGAAGGATCTTTCCAGAGGGAGATCGAGGGATTTGCTTGACGAAGACGACATCCCCTGTGATTTGCTTGTATGAGATGAGCCTGGAAGCAACAAAATTCTTGACATCCTGCTCTCGCAATGGGGCTACTCGATCACCGCCAGATCGAACCACATATGCGCATGGAAACGTCTCCGACAATCCTCCCGCGATCTCCCGGATGTCACCGACCACAGCGACGTCTTCGATCTGGGGATGTTGAATGAGAACATTCTCGAGCTCCGTCGGTGAGACCTGCCACCCCTTGACTTTCATCGTCTCTTTGATTCTGTCAGAATAGTACAGGTAACCTCCCCGGACAGACACCCGGTCGCCAGTGCGGTAAAAGCCGTCCGAGTCGAAGGAGTCGTTGTTGGCGTCAGGATTGCCCAGATACCCCGAGAACAACATGGCGGTTTTGATAAACGCCTCTCCAGCCTTGCCCTCCTCTACAATCAGGTTGCCATCTTCATCCACCAACTTCATTTGAGCATTTGGCAGCAACCGCCCCACGCTTCCCGAACGATCCTTCTCTTGCGAGCAGCTGCCTATAGTGTGCCAGCCTGCTTCAGTGGTCCCCCAACACTGAGTAATCATCGCCGTGGGTGCCAAGACATCGCGCAACTTGTTCTGCACGATTGCGGGAAGAGTGGCACCGGCAGAGATGACATATCGGAGGCTTTCGAGGAGGGGCAACTTGGAAGCGGGGAGCTGGGTCAAAGCGCCAACAATTGGTGGAGAGACTGGGGTGTCGGTAATGGCGTACGTGTGTATGGCTTGCAAATATTCCGAAAGCGACCACTTTGGCAGAAAAAAGGTGGGAAGACCCAATCGAAGTGGCAAGACCAGGGCCAAGGGTGATGCAAATGCGTGAAAGACAGGTAGACAGATCAGCTGTGATGGCTATGAAACATGTCAGTCTTGCTTCTGCCGCCTTTGGAAATGCCCAGGCGCCATACTCGGTACGATCTGTGGTGGAATTCATCCTCCAGGATTGCCGTCAAGGCCACAATATACCGATGCGAGATCATCGCGGCCTTAGGGAGACCGGTTGTTCCGCTGGTCATGGCATACGCCGCAATGCGCTCTTGGTCAGGTTTCCCGTCTGCGGTTCGGGCATGCCCATCACCTTCGGGCTCACACAACAGTGTACGCCAGCTGCCATATTCTTGACCTTGGACCTGGTGTGAGGCGTCATGGGACCCTATGATGAAAATCTTGGTGTCCATCTCGCAGTGGGCCACCGCTTCAATCATTGGTTCCAAGCAGTCTACTTGAGCAAAGATGACGATGGGCTTCGTGAGACGGAGCAAATGAATCAGCTCATCTTTGGTGTATTTGGGATTGGACCCAACAACACGAGCCCCGGATCCGATTACTCCCAGCCAGATCAAGGGATACCAGATCTGTCTTCGACCCCAGGTCGATCCCCCCGGTCAGTCAAGTCACACAGCATCAAGGTGAAGCGGTGGGCAAGGCGGCCATAGCCGGTCTGCGCAACAGGAGGAAAACTCACGTTGTTAAAGGCATGCAGGCACACGCATCCGCCGTGCTTCAGGCCCAGCGCTGAAAGGCCGTGGGTCAGTTGGCGAACCGTCTGAAGGGCTTGCTGGGCCGAGATCCTATTGGAGGGATTGTTGGCATCGATGAAGATCTGCGAACGAGGATCGAGGCGATCAGCATCAAGGCCAAAGACTGAAACTGCAATGGTTCGAGCAGCGTACCGGGCAACTATTGTCATATTGACTGAGATTGGCAAAGGCAAAGGTCAAGATGTCAGTGGTCGGGATCTGGATGGATTTCGGTGCAGTCCAGACAGGATCGACCGTGTCTGTGGGGTGGGGTTGGGACAGAGACATTGTGTCACCGTGGCTTGCAGACGACGAAGACACAAAGGCAGGTGTGACAGTTTGCCGGACGGTCAGGTAGCACAAGAGATGCAAGAAGCATGCCTTTTGTGAGCACGAATGGGGAGCAAAGGCGGATCAATGGTAGGAACGTGTGAGATGAGACCGGTCCTGCGGTGCGAGGGCAGAGAGAGGAAGAGGCCAAAAGGCAAGAACTGAGGATATCCTTGAGTGAAAGGTAAAGGCTCGTAGGGATATGTCACTAGGGGCGGTAAGTGAAGAGGATGAATTAAGGGACTAGGCAGATCACTGACCAGAGGGGCTGCCAGCCGAAGAAGAAGACGAGGTCGACGTCGGTATCATTGCTGTCGTCATCGCCATTGTCACCGTCACTCTGACCCTCACCGTCGCCTCATTCGGACTGGGCCACTGCAATCCACGAAGGAACAAGAGGTGCAGCCCAGATTTGACATGTGAGAAACACGTGCAGAGTCGCTGAAATGATACAACATGCAACATACAACCTACAACATGGCTATATAGCACGATGGTAGGTGTGCAGAGGGATTCTGACAGCGGCTATATTAGTCAGCTCTAACGGACAGAATCTACTCGTCTCTTGTCTGGTCGGTCTCTTGTCTCTGCTCTCTCCTCCGCGGCCTTTGGTTCTGTGCAGATGGAGGAGAGGCAGGAGGAGCTGCAGCAAGAGGAGAGTGCAGAAGGGTGCAAACAGCGGCCAGGGCAGTGGTGGTGGCAGTGGTGGTGGCAGTGGTGGTGGCAGTCGAAGTTGAGGTGGAAGTGGACCACCTCACTGCTGTCTGCTGTCTGCTGTCTGCTGTCTGCTGTCTGCTGTCTGCAGCTGCGCTTCCTTCCTTCTCGCTCTCGAATCAATATATTGGCGTCACTGTCAATTGGCTACCGAGAATCCAAACCTACAGTAGCTGGGCCATTCCACATCCCTAAACGATCGATCCAAATCCGTGGGTCAAATCCTCCTTTGGGATCCATCCTGGTTGCATGCGCATGCAGTATCGCAGTGTCCTTATCCCTATCTTGTCCCATCCTTATCCTCATCGCCCCAGTCCGATTCCAGTCCTCTGGGAAAGCATCCAGCACGAGCTACCCACGCCACGCCTTCACATTGCTATTTGCACATCGACTCGGCCTACAGTACACTAAGAGCACCACCACACGCTTCGAGGCACTTCGCCGTCTGCCGTCACTCGCCTCTCGCTTCTCAACACCCTCGTGTGCCGCGCTTAGCTTCACTTGGATCCCTTCTGAGCTCGCCTCTCTGCTTGTTTCTGTCATCCTTCGGCTGCGGTTACGTGATTTCTCATTACCCACGTTTTCGAGTCACCCACAGCTCTGCCCCGGTCTTAAACGACTTGCTCGACTCCTCAGCTGCTCAGCTTCACTCGCTCCTCGCCAAGTCCCTCGCCGCCTGACCTCTCCGTTACTTACTGACCTGGCGGCCTCCCGAGACGTATAGCCTATGTACCGCTGCCCTGACTGAATTCACTGGGCCGCATTGCAGAAACGAGGGTTCTCTTGCGCCTTTCCATCAACCGCTTCCGCTCGAGTCTCCTGCCGCATTGCTATAAGGCTTGCAGATACCTCCCTTCAGAAGATCTTGTCCTATCCTGTATCATTGCGCGTCCGCCACGTCTGAACTTTCGACTATTTTTGAAAAGGAAACCTGGTGAGTGCTCTGCTCGTTCATCCCCAGCCATGGGTCTACACTGCCTCACCTCTTTGCGGTCGCGATCTTATCGGAGTTTGGGAGACAAATTTCATCCATGCCTCCTCACCAGTGACTTATCACTTCAGAGTCGCAAAGTCCAAACTCTTTGCCCAATGGCAGCTGCCGACATCATTTTCACACAAGTCACGAGGTCGACCCTGCCGGGAGGTCAGAGACCACTTCATGATCACTTCTCTTCCGATTGTGACCTCGTTCGTCTCTGCAGTTGGGTTTTCTGTCGTAAACGCATTCGCTTAGCATGGTCCGACATCCTGACAAACAAAACGCGTCTAGTCCTTGCACAATGGCATTGGCCGCTTCTCCATCCCTTCGCACCCTCGAATTTCGGCAGAAGGACCAAGTCCACTTCCATGTCGACCCAAAAGGGGGTATAGAAAGCCACATCCTCCCTCAGAATCTGTTCGACGACCCCGACGACCCCGACGATCCCAACTATCCCGTAACACAAATCGATGGCGCCGACCCAACGACATTGTCTCTCAGAGCTTCAGAATTAGCGACGGCTCCAGACCTCAAGGTTGCACAAGATCACACATCATCCAGATCAGGTTCAGTCATCCTCGAGAAGCAGCCTGTACCCGAGATAAAGATGCCTGACAAAAAATACACCCGCTTCTTGCGTAACCTACGGTGGACTATTTTCTCCGTGTATCGCCGTCTCAATGCCCTCGCTCTGATTGCCAATATCATCGCCATCATGGCGCTGGCTACACAGCGTAGACTTCTTTCCATGTCACCAGAGTGGACTGCGACTGCTGTATCTATCAATCTGACAGTGGGTGTCCTGGTCCGACAAGAATTGATCATCAATGCGCTCTTCTGGATGTTTGGCAAATGTCCCCGGTGGTTCCCACTGCGATTTCGTCGCTTGGCGGCAAAGATATATCATCTGGGGGGCCTACACAGCGGAGCGGGCATGGCGGCAGTCGTGTGGTTCGCCTTTTTCAATGTATCGATTGTCAGGGCCTTGCGGACTGGAGCTTTGCGTCGACACCAGAACAGCATACCCATCAACACCGTCATCCTTGATGTCCTCCTGATCTCCATAATTGCCATGGCTCATCCCGGCATACGCACGAGAATGCACAATCAGTTTGAGCTGGTCCATCGCTTTGCCGGTTGGACTGCTGTGGCTTTGTTTTGGGCCGAGTTCGGTCTGCTGGCAGATGCAAGAGTCCGCGATGTCGCCTTCAGCATCCCAGCTCAACGACTAGTCCTCGAAAGCCCCATCTTCTGGGCACTTATGATTGCCACCATTTCCATTGCCTTGCCATGGGTATGGTTGAGAAAGGTCGCGGTCAATGCAGAGCCACTATCCGACCATGCTATCCGTCTCCACTTTACATATACAAACTTGCCTCTCTGTGCTGCTCCTCGACTGTCCGACAGCCCACTTCTGGAATGGCATGCATTTGCCGGCATCCCAGAAGAGGACGGCCGCGGCTTCTCGGTCCTCGTATCCAAGGCTGGAGACTGGACATCTCGGCTGATCAGGTCACCGCCTACGAAATTATGGGTCCGTGGCATTCCCACAATGGGAGTGCTGCATGTGGCCCCAATCTTCAAGAAAACGGTTTTGGTGGCCACCGGCTCAGGAATTGGTCCCATAATGTCACTGTTACATAAGAGGGACATTTCGTGCCGAATACTCTGGTCTACCCCTGATCCCGAAGTCACCTATTCGAAGCGCGTCATCGACGTAGTCCGTCGAGCTGATCCGGATGCTGTCATCATCAACACTACCGTCTCGGGAAGACCCAACCTTGTCAAACAGACCTATGAGTTGTTTGTTTCGTCCAGGGCGGAAGCTGTATTTGTCATCTCCAATCCCAGGGTCACCAGAAGAGTCGTTTATGGCTTAGAGAGCCGGGGAATTCCTATTTTCGCTCCTATCTTTGACTCGTAGGACCATATCGATTACATATGATATTGGGTTCTCGACAAGAGCAAAAGAGCTGGAAGTCTTGCATATATGGGCGATGATGTGTTTTCGGGACCATGTCGAGTTCTGTTTGGCGTTTCAGAGGATAGCGGTGTCATTTGCGGGAGTGTTTGATTGCCACAAAGAATTCACCACACCATGAACGGTAGCGGTCAAAGGGCACGCTTGTCGCAGTCCAAGTATTCCGGACGTATTTCTCTTGCTTTTTTTCATCATGATCTCTCGGGCTTGGGGTTTTCACGAACATTCGAGACTATGGGGTGAGCATCCATAGGCTGGGCGGAGCTGGTCCAGGAAAGAGTTTTATGGGAGGATCGCACCTCAGTGATCTCATCGGTATCGGTAGAAGCTAGCTGGCGAACATGACATCCCACCCATGTTAGAGAATGTATCAGATGGTCTATGACTCCTTCCAGAGGCTTCATCAGATGGGTGATTGCGCAATGTCCCTTACAGCTTGCGGCTGTAAGTGATGTCTAACCTAACTCTCCGGACATGCGGGCCTTCCACAACCTCGACGTTCTCGTTTCCTCGTCCTCGAGACTCTTTTCGCTGAGTTGGAACGGGACCACTAATCCAACAATGTTGAATACTGGAAACATGTGTAAACGTTGTTCGTTCCCTCTTCTATTGTGTAAGGGTTACATAGTAGCACGATTCCCGGAGTTGCCCAGTCGCTTGCGCCTCCAAGCTAGCTTCCTTTTGTCTCCCTCTCTATCTCCCAAGTCGCTTCTCCAGGACCTCTGCTGTCCCTGTGGCGTGTACTCGAACATTTGACACTTCTTTCTCTTTTTGTCCTTTTCTAGAAAATATTTCGAGTGGTGTCCGTCTCTAGCTAGCTCCGTGTATCTCATATCCCCAGGTGAAAATCCGGATGTTGTTTTTCGAGCCATTCAACTGCAGAAAGACAACTTGCACGCATGTCGCGGATCATGAGAACAGCCTATGCTAGGCCATGCGCGTGGGCGGCGAGAGGCTCATTTCCAATGCGCTTGGTCTTGCATTCCGTGATCACCGTTGCAATCACTGTCGGATATTTGATGAGCGTGGAGCATGGCGCGCATGTTGTGACTAGCCAACCCCCCCATCTCTGCCAGGGCGCTTTGGGAGGCTTCGTCGTCCTCATTTCCGGAGACTTAGAAACCTGGTCGAATGCCAGCCTGCGAGTCTGCCCCATGGCCACGCGAGTCTTGCCAGCGGCCATGTCTGCTTTAGTGATCCCCGCCCCGTCTCAAAGCAATCTTTTGAAAAATCGAATGTCCTCCTGAGCATTATGGTACAATTTCTCGTAAACATCTGTGCGCTTTCGGCGCGGGCCAAGTTCGTAGTCAGATGATTCTTTGTTGGACAAGTCCCACAGCTTAATTACCACTTGGGGCTGAGGCGGTGATGCAAGAGCCGGCGACGCGGTTTGTTCACTTGATGCTCTCGCAACTTTCTGCTTCTTTCCCTTGAACAGTGTAGTGTCCTCCATCCTTTCTGCCTCCTCTTTGCTGTCTTCAGTCGAGACCCCTCCGTCCGTGCTCTTTCGCTTCCCTGAGCAACATGTATGAAGGAGTTTGCCGAATGTTATTTTATTCTTCTTCTTTTTTTCCCTTTGAGGGTGTCTGGGGAAGATACAGATCAGCGGAGGAGTCTTGCTGGGTAAAGTCGGGTGTAGGAGGTAGAGACTTGGAATGTGACGATTTCGGTGCTGGATGAGGTCCTTTTCGCGCTGATGGATTGGCAGATTTATATGCTGCCATGTGACGCCTACAGCCATTTCTTGTTGTAGTGATAGTATTTGGTTGTTTGTGGATTCCTTCCCGCTTGTTGGATCGAGAGTGGACATTCCTAATTGAAGAAGCTGATCAGACCTGCGAAGAAGCGATCCACCACGGTTTCCGACTCTGAAAAGTACCTGGTTGGAATGAGTGATGTTAACAACTCGCACTTTGAATCAATAGCATAGGATTTGTTCAGCGGTCTCTGCTTGAGCTCAGACGGACACGTCGCATTGACAACTCTCAAGGCGTTGTCCAAGACAAATCTGTGCCAGGTGGATTTACCAGCACTTATGTCGCCGCGATGGTACAGCAGAAGATCGTTGACTCCGCGAAGATAACCCGCTATAAACGGGTGAGAATCTGCTGGAAATGACATAAAGTCGAGAACACCGGTCCCGATCTGAACGCGAGGAAACCCGGAGGGTGCCATCGTTGCGCAAGGTGCCACAGGGATTGATCTCACTGGCCATGGCTACCTGAAGCGATCAATGGTGGCTGCTGATGAGCTTCTCTGGTCTGAACTTGATGGGATAAAACCATTCGAGCGTGTGGCAGACATGGCATTGGTGTCAGGGACTTTCTCCATTGCTGACCGCGGATCAGACAAGGTTGAAGAGTTGAACGTCAACGATGAGTTCTCAGTCCGAAGGATCTATGTGACGGATACAAAGGTTAGAATGCTACGTGCTGGAAGGAAGCAGGCAATAGACCTCAAGAGTGTGGAAGATGTAGAAAGGAATTTGGCATGCTTCGTGTGAGAGGAGCTAGAAACAGACGCCAAGCGACGGCAGCAGGGAGGAGTCCAGGAGTGAAGAGATCGTTCTATGGGCTCTGAGACCATGTCTTTCGCATGGAAAACATATAGGGGCAAGGGCCGACTGAACCATGATCTGAGACTGATGTGCGGATAGGACTCCTTTCCACTTTCCTCAAATGTGCGGTTGCCCATCACCTGGAGGGAGCTGCATGTCCATCTTCAGGCGGGCTTCAAGATTGTTCAAGTCAGCCTCAATATTTTTCTGCTTCCATGCACTTCATGGAATCATTCATCTGCAAAGATCCAGCGTCCACCCTTGATCGCCTCTTGATACCGCCTCTCGACCTCATCCCTCTGCTTCTGTCTTGCTTGCTCCTGGTTCTCGTTTTGCTCCTGTGTGGATGGAATATCCACGTCCCAGAACCCTGGAGGCGTAGATGGTGTTTCGAAATTTGCCCTGTGTTTCCTTCCATACTCCTTGGCAAGTAAATTCGCTCTCGCCTCATGCACCAAATTCGCTCTCGCCAAAGGGGTCAGTGAGCTTATCTTGTCCGCTGATCCAGGTCCAAGAAAATCACGCAAAAGGTCGTCTTCAGAGACGTTCGGATCAAAGGGCAGTGTCTCTGCCAAAACTCTGAATTTGGCACCACAGCATTCAGGCCGCGTACAATTTGGCAGGCACTTCCTCGCTTCCTTGTTACGGACAACCTCCTGGAACGCGTAGTCAAGGCCTCCTGTATATTTTGGGTTGACTTTGAAGTGGGAGAGGTCGAGCTGAAGGAGGGGCCGTGAACGAAGTGGCTCATTCTTCTCTAATGCATTGTTTGTAACAGGACATTTTCGCGCCGCATTGGGACGAGGAGGTACTGGCGTTGTCGGCGTGGGTACTGTCAGTAATGCCTGCAGACGTTTACGAGGCGAAATGTTTGTGGGAGCAGGCTTTTCCGGTGGAGTATCTCTACCATCTTCATTGTAATCAACGCCATCTTCTCCGAGTGATGAGATAGCTTCTGCTCCTCGGTCGCTCAATCGTTTAAATTTCGGCCGTTGGATAGAGCGGCTTCCTGAAGACACATTAAGTTCGATTTCTTGCAGCGCTCCTGTCTTGTCCGCACTGTTGGCTCTCTGTCGCTTCCGAGTAGCATTTACTGGGGTTTGCTCGTCACCAGACACAGCGGGAGAGGACAGATGTAGATTCTGTGAGCGTCTTCTTTCCTTGCGCAGCTGATTCTTCAAGCTGTCAATCTCTGCTTGCTTCTCTGCATCTTTTCGGAATAGTTGGTCCAGTTGGGCTGCAAGCTCTGGCCCTTCGTCCCGCTTCTGCAGCCCTGCCCGACGCAGTTCCTGGATCTCGTGTTTGAGCTTCTCATTCTCACGTTTCAGACATTCTATGGCCCTATTGCTGTCTTCAAGCTGCCGTTGGAGTGCTTCGCTCTGCGTAAGTGCGAGGATTAGGGTTGACGTAAGCGAAAGGGTAGGAGTGGGCATGGTGATTTTCGAGCAACTTTCTTCGGTAGGCGAAGTCTGAAGTTGAGGCTCGCCTCTCGCGTTCGAGAATCTTGTGTTGAAACTTCTGAGCTTACTCGCTCTTTAGTCAGCTCGAGGGCGGAGACACAAAGACGCGATGTGGGGCAGGCTCCGACCAGATCTCCATCTTTAGGCGGCGAGACGGTGGAACTCTGTCGAACGTTCATTCATACAACCAGCCCAGGCTGCACTCTCGAGATGCCAAAACGGAGACGGTGTGACGAGGATCCCGACAAGCAACCAGCGCCTGCCAAACGAAGTCGCACCGGATCCAAGCGCAATCTACTGGACATCAGCGACGAGATTCTCTTGCGGATCCTTTCATTTCTCCCGATCAAAGACTTATTGAAGACTGAGTGGTGAGTACTTCGCAGTCCCTGCTGGCTGGACTTTCGCTAATCCATCTACTGTGTCTCACGACGGCTTCATTCTCTCGCTACCGATCGCGGAATCTGGAAGGTAAAATATATACAAACATGGGTGCGGCCGCGAATGCGACGGATTCCTGCTGCGGGTCCAGGGCGACAGGATGCTTCAGTTGACTGGAAAAGTCAGTTTAGGATCAAAACAAATTGGTCAAAGGGCCAGGCCAGAGTCAAGGAAGTCGAGGTCGCTCGGCCACCTGCGCCACCTGTAATTGCGAAAGTCCACGGAGGCATGATATTCACGGTGGATCGGTCAACTGGCCTACGGGTTTGGTCGCAGCAAGACGTGACAAGAACATCAAGGGCCCAGATCCACCTTCATGCGCAGTCAGAAGCCACCTGTATTGCAGTGGAAACTGTCGACGACACGGTCTATATCTTGCTTGGGTGTGATGATGGATCCTTCTCAATTTACTTGTATGACCGTGAAGGTCAATTCGAGCATTGGTCAAGTCACCAGTCCGCCGATGGACCTCTAATGGCTATTTCCCTAGCCTTTCCATACGTGATGACAATCTCCAGAACGAAATTTCTAAGCCTATATCAATGGGAATCTAAGGAAACCCGAGGCGGAGATGCCACAAATATGTTCACAATTGCTCGGCTTCAGTCCGATGCTTCCTTCTCGCCTATCTCAGTCGCCCTGCGGCGCACACCAACTCAACTCATTGCGACTGTCGCTTATGCATTTAACAGGCTTCAGTCTGGGTGGTGCATCGGGTTGCAGGAGATCCGGTTGACCACCGCCGGCAGACTTGTGGACAGCAGACTGGCGTCGACCATTGGCCCCGCGATGGATTTCAGATACACAGGCTGGAGCAAAGGCGATATGACCACCCAATCGACAAGCTCCATGCCGTTACCCCTGCACCCTCAACTGATGAATCCGCCAACATCGCTTTCCTACCAGCATCCGTTCCTGATCGGTACCTTGGCAGATAACACGATCATGTCGTTCCTGGTGACTTCGAATGACGAAAAACTAGAGATTAGCTCTGGAAGACGTCTCTGGGGTCACACATCGGCAGTTTCGGGTGCAGAGGTCAATAATCGGGGCAAAGCAGTCTCGATCAGCTCTCGGGGAGAGGAAATGCGAGTTTGGGACCTGGAACTGGTTATGACCACCGAAACCCAACCTCGGACCAGCACTCGCATCACATCAATCAACGCATTTTCCCGTGGCGCCGGTCTGTTTGCTCGGCGAAGCCCCAGCCTGGGACTTGCCTTGCGTGAGATCAGGCACGAATTGGAGCTTACTCGAAGGTGGGTTGGATTTGATGAAGAGCAGGTGGTTGTGTTGGGCGAAAGAGATCAGAAACAGATAATGGCGTTGTACGATTTTACGTAGCAGCTAGACGGGTTGGGAATAAACAAAGACGTTTAAAAAAGACCTATCACCACTGCCAGCTTGGAACCAACCCATACCTAGCACCTTAGTACTCCGCGCAGCAAGACATCGAGACAGGTATTCTCGTCGGGTGATAGACGGGCTTATCTGCTACCAGGACGAATAGGAGGGAGGGAAGCCTTCCGCGTGGCTCCAGGAATAACAGGAAAGGGGCCGTGAAGAACCAGACCAACGGTGAACCAAGGGCAGTCTGCAGCTGGCGACGCTGGCAAACCTACCCGAGTTGTAAGGCCACAGGACCGCAGGGCCACGGGGATTTTTGATAGTACTAATACATAGTACCGAGTACTAGTAGCGCTCCGTAGTATGACGTTGAAAACTTCGGTGTCCCATTCTGCCAATCCACTCCACTGGCCACTTTTTCTCCGTCGCATTTTCTCCTCAGCTTCACTTGTCCCAAACGTTCACTTCTAACCACCACTACCACCACCACCACCACCACCACCACCACAACAACAACAATCCTGTCGCACAGGATCCTCTCCCATCTTGTTCATCTTGAGCTTGACCTCTGGTACGCATCCACCCACTTTGATCCTTGTGAAAACGTTGCGTCCGCAGGAGACTGAGAGCCGGTTGAAATTTCAGATTTCCTTGAAACGAGCACGCACCAACACCATGGATCGTGGCTGCTACAACTGCGGTGACTCTTCGCACCAGGTACTCGCGACTGTCATCTTTGCTCCTGCATCCCCTTACTTTACTCCAGGCACGCGACTGCCCTAAGAAAGGCACACCAACTTGGTGAGTAGTAATCTGACCTGTTTCACACCTCTCGCCTTTTACCCCAGATTGACTGACATGCCCATAGCTACAACTGCGGAGGTACGTCGCACATGTCACTCCCGGTCCGCGCTCTTACTTACCCCTTTCAAAGCCGAAGGTCACGTCAGCCGCGAATGCACCGCTGCGCCCAAGCCAAAGTCTTGCTACAAATGTCAGTCCAGCCTTCGAAGGGCCCCTTCTCAGACACATATATTAATTCGGTCACAGGTGGGAACGAAGGACACTTCGCGCGCGACTGCCCTCAGGCTGGTCCTCCTGGAGGTGCAGGCGGGGGTTGGGGTAGCGCCGGCGGAAACCCTTATGGCGGTGGATCGTCCCGAGAATGCTACCGCTGTGGAGGGCAGGGTCACATAGCGCGGTAAGACTATCGCTCTGCGGACATTAAATTGGGCGTCTGCTGATTTTCTCAGTGACTGTACTTCTGGCGGCGGCGGCGGCGGCGGCGGGGGGTTCGGCGGCGGCTTCAATCGCGGTGGCGGGGGTCAAACCTGCTATGTGAGGCTCTGTCCTGGACGATGTTGAGATCAGTGCTGACCATCTCCAACCAGTCTTGCGGTGGCATCGGCCACATGTCCCGGTAATGCACGATGATACTTGCTGAAGCTTTTACCTTGCTGACTATAGGCAAGTGACTGCACCCAGGGTCGGTCTCAGAAATGCTACGTATGTCTCTCTCACCTGCAACGCGCACCCGTCCATTGACATGGAATGTAGAATTGTGGCGAGCAAGGTCATCTCTCTCGCGACTGCCCATCTGAACCCAGTTCGGAACGCATCTGCTACAAATGTGAGACCACACCTCTGGGATTGACAAATAGCTCTAATTATGCATTCTAGGCAAGCAACCCGGACACTTGCAGTCCGCTTGCCCAAATTAGTTGACTCGCACGACCATCTTGACGAACCTACCACTACTTTTCCTTTCTTATCCAACTCACGCACGAAATATGGTCCCTATGGATGGTTTGACGATGTAAAATACCGTCTCGAGCAACATGATGACATGACGACACGCATTCGAGCAAATGACGATAGGTTACAAGAGAATTTTCAATTTCCAAATTCGGCCATGGCTCAACATCCTAGGCGCACCATATGTGGTTGGTGGAAGGGCCTTTCTGAAACCGGGTGATGATGGGAAGAGATTTCGAAAAGGTCTTTGCAATGCAGGAGCAAGCGGGCGATGGAGAAAGGAGGATCTTGAATGGATTTTCGTCGGGATGAATCAGATTGCACGGAAACCAAGGTATGCAACAGACGAACCAGGCTGAGGCAAACTCGGCTTCGCTGGAGGGGGAAAAAGTTTCATTCGTTCAACGGCGCAGCATGCAGTGTGGCGCTCTGACATCCAAGGATCAAGGACGCTTCGGGGTTGGCGCCAGCACGGCGCAGACAGTCCCTGGCAGGCAGAGCTCAGATCGAGGGTGTCTCGGCTTCTTCACAGACGACGCATCTCGACAAGAATCGGTATCAAATGAGAGAGCTCGCCCTTTCCTTTCAAGCCTGGTTGCTTTCGTTTCCCTTTTCCTAGAATGTTTCGTCACAGCAGCTTGTGCTGAAGGATCGTCATCTGAACACGAGGCGGCTATCTTTCTTAAACGCGCAAATACCTCAGTGAAGTTAGCTGCCCACTCAATCCTCGCCCAATAATTCCGCTCACTCCTATGAGAGAGAATATCAACGCCTCCATTTTCCGTGACAGAGCTGCTCTAGCAGTTCTTCAAGGCTTTAGCACGAGCTGACGTAAAACACCTACTTAAGTACTACTTTGCCAAAGCTTCGGTCGTGGAAAGGAATGCGGAATACATCTTCTCGGGTTTATTACGATGAACAAACAACAAGGAAAATCATGCCAACAAGGGCAGTTGAGCAATAAGGTCGGCAGGTCGGACAGGCTGAGTCCGGCCCCCGACTCCCCGCCTCGTCAGTCTCAGTTACGGGCTTGCGGACACTGCCACCGGCCAACTCTCCAATCACCCGCAGCCTGTTCTTGGTATTTGTCCGACACCTTACGCGTCCTCTGCAGCGGCCAAGGAGCCCAAGGCTTCATCGCCCGCTGCCTCCTGCCTTCTGATTCGCAGCCTTGTGCAGCCCGCTTCTATTTCTGGTCCGGGCTCAAGATACGCCCCAGCCGGACATGTACACACACACTGGCGACCCTGTCTATCCAGCCCCCTGGCCAACACTGGCCGACCCTTGACTTTGATATTTGGTATGAATGGCTTCTCAATCCCTCCTCGACGCCTTTCCGCTCTTATCCTCCTCCCTTCCCCCTGCTGCTAGAAACCTACTAAATATCTACGACATTTCCATTCGATAACATCTCGTTAATTATGGCCAGAAGCTCGATAATAGCTCTAGCCACAGCAGCCTCCTTCCTGGCAACCACGGCCAATGCTCAGTTTGGCTACGGGTGGAGAGGTGGATTTGTTGATGGCAACGGAGATGGATGTCCTCCTTGGGCGAGTGATTGCGACGGCTCCGATGACAGCGGCAACAATGGCAGTTCCTCCTCTTCGAATGGCGTCTCTGAAGGCGCTCTTTTCTCCTCTCCAGCTGAATTCGACCGGGCGACCCGAATCCTCATCGCCCACGCTGTCCTCGCCTCGGCAGTCTGGGTCTTATTCATCCCGTCACTGGCGGTCTTGGTACGCCTGAATCTCAAGAATCCCATTGTTCTCAAGATCCACGCGGTCGGCCAGATTCTCAGCTACATCATCTTCATCGTCGCCGTAGGCATGGGTATCTGGCTGGCCCAGCAATCTGCCGCCTACGGCATATGGAGCGACCCTCATCCGAAGTTGGGTCTTGTAATCCTGGCCTTGGCTTTCTTTCAACCAATTGTGAGTTTCTCGCCCCTCTTAGTAGTTGTGACAGGGGGAGCTTCTTGACTGGGGCCTTCTTGTCACTCATTCCCTTACACAATCTCTTCCCCATGCTAACGGCAAACCCAGTTTGGTGCTATCCATCATTCAGTCTACAAGAGACGCGCTCAGAACGTCCAAGAAGGGAAGCCGACCAAACCGCCGGGCCGAACGGCGCCAGTGCGTGTTCATCTTTGGCTCGGCCGGCTTCTCATCGTGCTCGGCATGATCAACGGCGGCTTGGGCATCAGATTAGCATCGTTCAGCCCCTTTCAGACCGACTCCACGTCCACCAAGGCGAAGATAGCGTACGGCGTTATTGCAGCGACCATGTTCTTGCTCTACTTGGTGTTTGTGATTACATTTGAGCTCAGGAGAGCGAGATCGAGGACTGAGGAAGTGCGAAGCAGGGAGCGAGTGATTGCCAACAAGGATGGATTACCCTCATATGACGAGAGTGAGGAGTCTGTGGGGAGGCCCAGTGGGTATTCCTGAGCGAAAACGACATTCGAGAATCACCCAAGTTTTTGTGATGTTTCTTGGAAGGAAATAAAACATATATATGTAGTTTACGAAAAGTGCACCCATTTACTCCGTACATTGAATCACGAAATGACATGATAGAATGATAATTGTGACATGTAAGACAAATTGCCTCAGTCGAAAGCTCACCAGATCCCCGGGATCAAGGCATAAGGGACCTCCCTCTTGACTTTCGCCCACTGCTCGCCATACTTGTTTGCCATGTATACATCCAGGACAGGAACCGCGCGCACGCTAAAATCCCAGAGGAACCATCCACCGACGATGAAACCCCACAGAGGACCTCCAGAAGCCATGGCATATCCGGCACGCCACATCGAATAGCCCATGTACGAGACGTGACGGACGACCGAGAACAGCCCTCCAGTGTAAATCTTGCCTTTGTTCTTTGGGTCGTTCTTGAAATTGTGGCGCTGGACTTCGGAGACAGTCTCGCTCAGCACACCGCCCACGAACAACGCCGTGCCGAAGTACACACTCCACGGTGCGAAATACGCCGGGTTCTCCGCCGACGCATTATACAAGAGAATATTCAAGCCATTGAAGACGGAGTTGAAGACGCTGATGGCCACTGCCGCGGCTGGGTAGACGGGTTCCCTGGCCGTAACAAGTGTCCAGAAAATGTGCTTTGCTGCCGACCCGACGGACATGGCCCAGACCACGGTCTGGTACGGCGTGAGACCTGTGGCTGGTAGAAGAGGCCCGCCCGAGAGCGGTGGCCGAGGAGCAGGGAGTCCCAGCATTGACGCCAGCCGGGGAAGCGGCGAGTTCAGCAGGAGATGTCTTTGCAATAAAGGGTCAAGCGCCCGTAGTCCAATCAGCAGGGTGTTTCCAAGTAGGTTGGTCCCGTAGGAGCCACGGGCGACCATGTCGAACTTCTTCTTTTCCGCCATGCTGGGCTTGATATGGAGATTAGACGTGCTACCTGCGAAACAGAGCGTCGAATTTGGCTGTACGATCCACACAGTACGAGGGATGTAGGTAGCGAGGTATTAGGTATGGAGTACTAAGAACCTCCCTCACCTCGTATGGCGTAGTCCAAGTCGACACCACCGCGAAGTGCCCCCCAATCGGCATTATCTCGGGCTGGTGAGTGACAACGACAACGGACATCCCCCAAGTCCCCCCCAACGAGCCAAGTCAAAGGGAAATGTGGAAGTTGTCTGATAGACTCGGAAGTCCTATACAACCACCGCGAGACAGCCTCCAAGATACCCAACAGCCGAGCAGTAGGTGTCTCCTAATGGTCTCTAAAAGTCATGCACCCCGGAATGATCAGACATGCTGACATATGTAGCAGGTTTTGTTGTAGTACGGACTACTCCGTGCTCCCGTACAGAGCACATATCAGTCACTGCCATCCTCTCCTCCCTCGCTCGAGCTCACCTGCTAGTGTTTTTGACTTCGAAATGGCCGAGTCTGTTTTTGATGTAGGATTAGCCCTGGAGGGTTCCCACGTACTGGTAACGGGGTCCTCGGGAGCAATTGGATCCGTTGTCGTCAAAGCATTTCTTGCAGCGGGAGCATATGTGTCTGCATTTGACATTGTCGACCTTCGGGAACCGATCGAGCATGAGCGACTATACTTCCAAAAGGTGGATATCACCGATGAATCTGGCCTCGAGCAGGCCATGGAATCAGCCAGGTCAAAATATGGAGTATTAACGACATGTGTTTTGGCCGCAGGTCTGGATTTGTCCTACTGTCCTCATCACTCCCTCGTCGACATGCCGCTTCAAGCGTGGCAAAGGGTACTGAATGTCAATGTCGACGGCACATTTTTGACCTGTCGAGCATGGCTGCGAGGCATTAGAACATACGCAACCCCCCAGACCAGAAATATCTCTGCTATTCTTTTCGGCAGCGAGGCAGGCACCTTTGGGGTCCCACAGTGTGCACCATATGCGGCCTCCAAGTCAGCGATTCAGTATGGCCTTGTCAAGTCACTCGCTCGCGATGCCGTCGATGTCAACCCACACTGCCGTATTAACGCCGTCGCTCCGGGCCCTGTTGCGACCGCACAATTCCAAAAGGAGTGCGCCGATGATCCATCTGCCTTGTGGCGTGAAGCCCAAGCGACCGTGGCACTACATCAACCGGTCCCGACTGAGGCAGTCGCAAGAGCCTGTCTTTTCCTTTCGAGCGACAGGTTTGCTGGCAATATAACTGGACAAGTATTACCGATTGACTCTGGAAAGAGCGGTGCTCTGATGTGGCCAGAAGCACAATAGGGATGTGTTGATCTGGCACGTTACCTCTGAGAACCTTCATCTGCAGCATAGACTGGAAAAGGAAACTTTTGCTCGACGGCACAGGCTCCAACGAAAGGAATGGATTGATCAGGACTGTAAAGCTAGCCTTCTTGTGTCCTCTGTAGAGGAAAGCTGATTCCCTCCAGTTATTTACCCATTTAGCCTGGAAGAAGCATTTATGGAGCCGGCGGGCCGGCTCCAAAAGAGAATATTGTGTAGTCTGACACGATGTATGGGCTCACATTCCGATTCGAGATATTACATACCACGTAATCCGAAACCAGATACTGCTCTCATTGGAAATTGACTTTATTCCACGGTTGGGGCTTTTCAATCCTCCAAACTCGCGGCAAATCTCATCCGCGTAGCGGACTCCTGGCCATCCCCCAGCAATGTCCGAAACCGTACGCAGGATTGTCCCTTTTAGGTCAGACTGTCATTTCCAACTCCGAGATGGCCTGACAGGCAGCACGAGGTGCATGTGTCTGGCCTCCACTTCGATGATTGGCAGGGAGTAGGGCGAAGGGCGAGACTTGCCCGAGAGATGTGCCACTGCTATGCAGGGGACGGACAAGGTGTGATTGCGCAGCTAGGGCGGAACAGAAACCAACCTCTGACAGGACAAATGCTCGATAAGAGAGATATCGGGAAGGTCGGGTAGGCTTTAGAGACTTGAAGCAGAGGTATCTTGAGCATTGAAAATACACGATGTACTCGCTGGGGGAAGGTCGATGGGGACGGGAAGAACGCGAAGATATCGGCCCGTTTGCCCTGATTCGCATCGAGGAAAATTATCTTTGATGTAAGGTCGTTTGATGGAAGGGCAAGCAAGTTCAATACAGAGTGTGACCATTTATTCGTGTACTTCTTTAACAATAGGGTCCCCTCCGCCGCCCGTGCGCAAGCGTGCATGCAGCAGGGGTCTCAGTTAGGTTTTCGCCATCCCATTATCGAACGACCTCACCCGAGTGTGGCGGGAAGGGCGCAGTAGGATGCACGGCGAGGGCGTATCAGACAGGATCGTGGGAATCGGGGCGATTTAGCGAAGTACATTGATGCTGGAAGCAGAATCTTCACCCGGTGGGCCACTGGACAAGAGGCTGGTGGGCAAAGATATGCGGCACCAATGCAGGTGTTGAAGAAAGTTTCAATGAACTGCCAGTGGGAGGCTCCAAGAGCGGGTGGGATGATGGAAAAACATGGAGAATGATGGAGGGAAATACGGCGAGGCGGCTGCGCAGTGCAGCGCAGTGCCCACTCAACAGCCAAGCCTCGACTAACTGGAAGGAACTAGTTCACTAGGCTCGTCACCGATTACCCTGTGGGTGGCTCTAGGCTCCCTCCACAGCGCTCTTTTAACTGAACCCTGAACAGGTCGGAGCAAGCAGGCTGCCAGCAAACCTGAGAGGCCACTTGGAAGGCCACCTGGAAGGGCAGGGAAGGGCTCTTGGGAGGACCGCTTTCCCACTCGACAGGTCTCCGCCTCCACAATTCGAGTTCCGTTCTGGCTAACTCATCTACAACTCTGTTCTTTCATCACCAGCACGCCTTACGTCTTTCCTGCTCACCATTCTGTCATTTCGGACGCATCTTTTCTGGAGTTACATCTGGAAAACTCGCCATCTTCCACCATATATCTGTTGCATCTACTGTCCGTGCGCCTTTACGGCTTGCTCGGTGAGCGACGATCCCACCAGCCACATCCCAATCCTCTCTCACACACACAAGCGCCACAAGCAACACAGCACAGTGCAGTCGGGCCCGTGACAGCTCTTCTTGCTAAAGCTCGATCCAGAGTAAACTGAAGGGCACTATTCTCCCCTCGTTCCCCTCTTTATCCGCCTCGTCTTGTGCCAATCGGGCCCGTTTAGTGGTTGCGTTGAAATAAGAGATGGCATAGCGGTGTTGCGGTGACGGGTACAACTTGAGACCTCTGGCACCACCCAAAAAAATCGAGAAAATCGACAGGATGGCGTCGGCTCAAGATGATGATATCTATCTCTTCCAGACTGGCCTTGGCCAAACCCCAGCATTTGCCGGTCAAGATTTCGACGCATTTTTGGAAACGCCAGTTCCCGACGATGACCAGTCGGCATCGCCTGCCGGCTTCCTCAACCCCAATGACTTGACCATAAAACGAGAGACGGACCCCTTCAGTCCGATTCCTCCCAACGATGCGTTTGCGCGCGCGTCAAGAGGGTCTGCTTCAGGATCCAGCAGCTCATCTTCCGAGTCCCCTACAGATCACACACGCCACATGTCTGCTGCTTCGACAGCCTCCCCTCCAGCACACGACACAGTTCAAAGCACTTGGGGAAGCGGGATAAACGGATTTTCAGTATCATCAGGTGACCACCTATTTGAGGACACCGCCATGGCTGGTCTCGACCAAGACTTCGAGGCCAGTAACCAGCAGATGGCTTCCGATTTCGACTTTGATACGGCCGCCAGCACACCGAGCGGGTTTGACCCGACAAACAGAAACAACAATATCAAAACCACCCTACTCAACCAGCCTTTTAAGCGACAAGCTGATTTTGCCGGATTTGGAAAGCAGCCTTCAACGGCTCAGGTACCCAATGGGCAACCCCAGTTCTTCTTTGCCGGCTCCAGAGAAGCATCCCCCTTGAATGCGATGCTTCCTTCTGGGCAGGGGCAGTCCCCTTGGAGGAAGCACTCTCCATCATCTGGCTTGGAGGAGACCTTCAATCACATTACCATGAATGGCGATTCACCCGGTAACGCGACATTCTCCCCTGATCTACAGTTTTCGACCGCTGGGTTCAGCTTTGAAGCGGACTCGAGTGCGACCCCTTCCACTTTCACTAAAGATATTTCTTCACCACCATCCACGGTCAATTCGGCTGAAGGTTCCCCAATCCTGACAGTGCATCCCACCTCGCTCAAATCCCGCGTGGAGACTCAAATACCGATCAAGATGACCCTCTCGTCACTTCCATCCGGCGTCAAGAAATTGAGGCTCCCACGACACACAGTCTCCAAGCCCAAGTTTCTGGCCAAGCCAGAGGTTCCCCGATCGCCAGAGATTCTGGAGCTCTATACGTCTTTGGTCTGTACGAGTGCTATGCAAGACAGAGTGAAGTTGCAGCGAGCATTGGCACGCGCTAGGGGCGAAGAACAGGCCTCTCATACTCGGTCGAGTCCTGCTTCCACCGAGTCAAGCGCCTCGAAAGATGACGAGGACAAGCCTTTAAATGGTGGTGAGGTTCGCATATGTGCGGGTTGCATACAACGCGAGAGGAAAAGAGCCTCCAGAAAGAAGCAGAAGAAGCCCGAGGAAGAAGAGCTGTTTCAGAGGGATGAAGAAAGGAGAGTAGTTGTTTTCAACACTAGCGAAGTTAAAGAATGGGCAGAGGTTCCTCGTGAACTCGACGTCACCGAAGCCCCAAACACCACGTCTGCGTCAGGAGCGGTGCAAGTGGAGCTACCGATGCGGATAGCTTGCTACTGTCGGCATCAAAACGAGAAGATGGGTTTCCAAGTAATATTCACAATCAAGGACTGCCGAGATAAAGTCATCGCTCAGGCCATGACCAACCCCATTATGATTACTGATGACCACAAAACTCACAACCCACCGGCGGCGAATCCGAATCAGCCTCCTGCAGTACCGACTCCAGGACCCAAAGTGCCAGGAGCTGGTGTCTTCTCTAGTACTGACCAAGAGCTACAGTTTCAGGCGCAATCAGTCAATCCAAAAATGTCCCGGCAGGCTTACTCCATGACCGATCTACATGCGTTGCAGCAGAACTTCGCCCCCAAATTCCCAATGGCCCCAGCGAATACTCCATATGCCATTCCGTCGGTTGCCTCCAGCCAGACAGTTGCCAACTTTATACCACGAAATCTCTCGAGGCCTGCCTCTCCCAGCGGCCCGGCAGGTCCAACTACGAAGAGAAGGAAACATAGTGGTTCTGGAAAGTTGCCATCTGGCTTGACTATGACTCGCCTAGATACTTCGCAAGCACTACCTGGGCCTTCCACTATGCCCAATACCGCTGCCTCGTCTCCGTACGCTCCGAACATGGCATCGTTCATTGGACCAAACGATCGGCCGTTCGCAGTGCCTGCTGCTCCTCGCCCTGCCCCATATGGCAACAGTCCCCCAACGCCCAATGGGGTTGATCCCTCCTTTGCCGCCAACATCATCCGCTCGATTAGTCACGAAAACCTTCCTCGGCAAGTAATGATATCGGCACCCCCATCTCGTCAGCCAAGCAGGCCTGGCAGTCCAGGCTCCGCAAGGAACAGCTTCGGAGCAGCTGACGCCGCCTTTGGCCAGGCGGTCAACAATCAACTAATGGGACAGCCTGCCCGAAGGCCACCTCCACTGATTCACAAATTAGTCCCCGCTGAAGGATCCGTGACCGGAGGCACCGAGGTCACACTGCTGGGAAATGGCTTTTACCAGGGTCTGGAAGTCATGTTTGGTGACACTGAGGCGACGACCACGACATTCTGGGGAGAAAAATGTTTGAACTGTATTGCACCTCCAGCTCTGCAGCCCGGCGTCGTGCCGGTTGTATTCAAGCACGATCACCCTCAATATTCGTCAATGCCACAACAATCCCAAACGAGACCCTCGCTCTTCACTTATGTGGACGACAGAGAGCTGGAGATATTCCGCCTAGCACTACGTACTCTTGGCAAGCAGCTGCAACATCCAACTGATGATCCATACTCGGCTGCCCAGCAGCTGCTGCAGGGGCAGTCTCATTCTATGTGGCTCGGTCATGGCAATTATGGAATAAGCGGGGGGCATCAGCGTGTACATGGACACGTTGGTGGAGCTCCAATGGATACGCTTGAGTTAGAAGCTACGATGTTACGGGTTCTGGAGCAGATGGACGCCCAAAGGCTTTTCAGAGCCCCAAGGTTCGATTTACGCCGCCCATCTGGGCTCACGCTGCTACATTTGGCAGCCTCATTAGGCCTCACGCGGTTCGTTGCAGGATTACTCTCCCGGGGCGCCGACCCCAATATGGTCGACAACAATGGCCACACACCTATGCATCATGCTGCAATGAACGGCCACACGCATGTGATACACCGGCTTCGCCTGACAGGGGCCAACCACAAAGCCCGCAGCATCCGCCAGTTCACCCCTGCTGATCTCGCAACCTCTTTACTTGCCTATCAAGCAACAATATCGCCAATCGAACATTATCGATCACGAAGCGCTGGAGGAACACCAATGCGATTGCATAGCCGGAGCTCGTCTTCTCTTCGCTCCTTCTGGGAGAATGCATCGAATCACTACGCCACCACGGACACGGATGACTCGGATGGTTCGGACGATTTTGACGACGAGACACCAACACAAGTCTCCTCCGAGGAACCGAATCTGTCCCAGGTGCTCGGGCAGTCCAATCGAATGCAGCCTGTCAGTGTTCCTCAGTCGCGAAGAGGCAGCATGCCACCAAGCACGTCTCAAGTATCTAGTTTCCCCCCCGAGAATATTGCCAATGCGGCGCCCGCGTTGGCTCCGTCAGCGTTCATGCTAGCCTGGCGAGATCATTTGATAGCTCAACTACAACAGTTCAATGAGAACGCTCAATCAGTGATGCCTAGCCTCGCTAACCTCAATGGACCTCTTGCTGCCATACAGGAGTATCAAGCATATCCTATGATGCGCCGTGTAAGCGCGCTCTTCCCTCAGCGCTCAGGTCCTAGACAGCCACAACCTGGTCAGCGTGAGGGTTGGTGGGAGACTCTGACGGGCAGATCATCACCTCCTGCTCCATCTTCGCCTCCTGCCTATAGCGACTTGTATCCAGAAGAGAGAGAAGGAACGGACAGAGACTGGAGCGTCAAAAAGGCGTCTACGCTGCAAGCAGTAGCTGATGCAGCAGCGGACCTTCAGTTTGAGCAGCAGGCGGAGAGTGAGGGGGCTGGAGCAAGCTCGACCTATAGAAATGGTGCTGTCGTGGTGAGAAAGCCGATCGAAAAAGTTGAGCTGAGCCGTGATCGAAAATTGTTCTTCTTCTGGGTATGTCACCAATGGGCTGATTGGTTTGCCCCACATGCTGACTCCTGATAGATCCCATTACTCGCCATTGTTCTGGCACTGATGATCCGGAGCTCTGGTCTAACGGATATTTTCGCGTTCTCGAATGGCCGAACACAGCCTCTCGCCAATGAAGAGGTTGTCGGTGTTTTCTAAACTGCTTTCGTTACAGAAAGGCCTTGTACGAGTCGACAGCGGATTTTTAGTGTCTTTCAAAAGGAGCAAGACGAACAGATGGTGGCCGCGTAGTCCTCGAGATATTTGTATGTGAAATAGTTGCATTGATATACCAAGTACATGGAATTCTTCGAGTATAATGGAAAAGTGCTCGGAATACCTCGTATACCGCGCAGGACTTGAGCAGGAGACGTATTGTAGCTTCATCCGATGACCAGTTCATATTAATGAAGTGGTCTGCGCCACGATTGTCTTTATCAGATAGCTCGTCTTGCCCGTCCAGCCGCCGCCATTCCGTCGTCGCCAATCGGATATTAATACAGAGATCCGAACCGCTCTCGGCTAACAATACGGAATCAAAGATCGAAGTGCGCAATTTGGAGCTTGTACCTTTTGGACCATTCAAGCTTTTCCACCACGTGGACGTGCTGATTCGACGACCGCAGTTCGCGACTACGAGTATATTGGCAACTGGCACACGACCCCATCCTCATTCTCTGTCCTCATCGAGCTCGTGGCTCGAACATCCGTCCCCTATGTGTCGGCCGCTGACACCTCAAACATACCAAGTTTGACCGCTCGCAACATCCGGCGCGTCACCGGGCTCATCATGGACCAAGCCGTGGAATACGAGAAGAGGCATGTGCACGAAGTGTACCAGGACATCGCGAGTCACTTCTCCTCCACCCGATACAAGGTTCGCACGTCGTCCAGGAACTCACCAGCGCATCCAAGTTGATCAGCATGGCAGCCTTGGCCCGTGGTCGACAAGTTCCTCCGCAGTCTACCCGCTGGGTCCGTTGGTCTGGACGTGGGTTGTGGAAACGGGAAGTACTTGACAGTGAACAAGGATGTCTTCATTATTGCTTCAGACAGGTAACGCTGATGGCTGAGAAAGCAGCGCGTCCCCGCTAACGTCCTCGAGGTCCAACGCCCTTGTTAAGATCGCCCGCCAACACCAACCGCATAGCACCGTTGTCGCCGACATCCTTAGCCTCCCTCATCCCCACGATATGTTCGATTTTGCCCTCTCCATTGCAGTCATACACCACCTGTCCTCAGGCGCGCGAAGAGTCCAGGCTATCAGAGAGATCTTGCAGACCTTGAAACCGCCTTCAAAGTCAACCGGCCCGAGCGGAGAAAAGAAAGGAGGAGGCCGAGCATTGATATTCACCTGGGCACTGGAACAGAAAGATAGCCGACGAGGCTGGGATCGAGGTCATGAGCAGGATGTGCTTGTGCCGTGGGTTCTCAAGCCGAATGCCGCCTCCAAATCCAAGTCAGAGCCGCCAAGCTCCAATGCACCGATCTCGACAACATACCATCGATATTACCATCTGTATCGAGAAGGCGAACTGCAAGAAGACGCGATTAGTGCTGGTGCGAGGATAGTCGATTCCGGCTATGATCGAGATAATTGGTGGGTCGTCCTCACCCGAAAAGACTGAAACATCGTAGATGGCCTCTTCGCGATCGTCGAGCCGCTGAGCACTCCCACCCATACGCACGAAATCAGAGCCCGGAAGCATGAGACTGCAGTTGGCGCTTGGGCTTTCAGGTCCTATCACACTCTCAATGTTGCCTGCTCGTCCCAATTCGGCTTGGGTGAAGCGTCACAGATCACATTATCCCTCTTTCGCAGCCGGGGGGCTGCGATAGTCGAAGGTGTTGGGGTATCAAATCACTATATTACAGCTTGTTGCTGCCGATCACAGCAGGGGTACTCAAAGCAAAAGCAAAAGCAAACAACCCATCATCAAAACCCGGAATCATGTTGCCTCACTGTTCATCCGATTTATTCAAACATGCTTCGCTCAAACACGATACAACATCAGGACAATTCTTGTTTTATCGAAACGGACCATTGCGGCCTCTTGGGTGGTTGTACAGATGGCGATGGAAAGGGTCTGAGGTGTGGTAAGGTGGTGCTGAAAACGCAGGCAGCCCCGCTGTCAGTTCTGCTAGTGAAGGCAGCTGCTGAGGACCCTGTAAGCCCGTGTCGGGAGGCATCGATTCTCGTCGCAAAGGGCGCGGGGGTGGTCCACCATGCCGCAGTGGTGGTCTTGGAGGGAGAGACGAAGGCTCGATCCCGCTGTTGGCGTTGGTCAAGGAGAATGGGGTTACACCAGCACGCTTCGCCATCTCATGCTCGCCCATCTGCCAGTGCATTGCTTCGACGGCTCTCCATGGCATCGCCATCTCCTCTGCGACTCTCGCCCACATGTCGGCTCGAAACCTTGATTCGGAGAAAAAAGTCAGTGGAAACATCCAAATGGGGACAAACGACAGGGCAGGCAGAGGCGTGGTACAAGATCTTTCTGACATTGGCACTGGTGACAAAAGGCGATCGGGTGCGACGTTTCTCAACATACCTCTCGTACAACCTTGCGAGCTTATTTTTGCGATCCTCGTCCCATTCGCTCCTCCGCTCGAGGTAGTTTTGATAGTGCAGTCTACAACTGATGGCGCTGCGTCCGGGCAAGTGCTTACTGATGTCCTCCCACTTCATGCCATCCTGACGAAGCTGGATGATCTTTGCATCTTCCTCGGGGGACCACTTGGACTGTTTCTTCGCCGGAGACTGGATTGGATGGTCCTGGGTGGCGGACAATCTTTTGGCAGGCACCGCCGGCCGCGGCTGGGGCGGTGGCAGAGGAGCCACGCTGGTGGCAACACTGGACGGCACCGACTCTGAGCGAGATACTGAGGCGGGAGAGCTGGTTGAATGGCCGTCGTCCTCGTCAGTCGGTTTGAGCAGCGACGAGATATCCACGGTGGGTGATGAGATGGGATGTCGGTTTGTGAAGGACGGAGAGGGGGTTGTTGCCGGAGGTCAGTGGGCGCTGCCATACACGACGAGAGATGGAGGACAGAAAGAAGTCGAGTAGGGATTTTGGAGACCAGGCTGAGAAAGCGAGCACAGGCGAAGACGGAGGAGGACTACTAATACCAGGAGACTGCTCGCTTCCGAAGACGGGGCGGGTTGGTTCTTTGGCGAGACCCGAGCGAAGGCGCCGGCGTTTCTAGGTTGTAGACTTCTTGCAGACAGGGTCGGGAAGGCAGACCCGGCGTGGCTATGTAGGACAATGGCTTTCATTCGAAGATTCCAGGGAACAAGCCACACGACGACAATGGGCAAAGTGGGATTAAAAGGGAATGTCGGGGGGGACACACAAAGGGCATTGTTTATGAGAAGAGATATAATATACTATGTCAGAGGGGGGCCACGGGGGGGGTTTATTGTTTTCGGCAAAAGATGCGGTCAAGGAGGAGCGGGTCGGTGCGGCAGCAGCCTTCCTTCGATCGCTGTTCTTTTTTGCACACACGCATTAATGTATGATTGCATTCGTGGCAGACTGGGCGGAGTGTGGGAAAAAGGGCCCTGAGCAGTGTAGTGTCCGGAGTTGTCGTAGTGAGTAGTCAGTAGTCAATAGTTGGTGGTGAGGGTTGAGCCCCGAACAGCACCACCACCACCACACACCACCCACTGGTCAAAGCCGTCATCCATTTCCAGGCTCTTGCTTCTGAGCGCAAACGCACACATACCCAGACAGACAGACAGACAGACAGACAGACAGGAGACAGAGCGACAGACACCTGCAGCTCGCCTCCATCCTCCATCTCCATATCTCTGCAGCTAGCAGCTTGCAGCGGTTACGGGCGTTTCTGCACGATTCACTTCCGGCGGTCGCGACAGCTGGAGCAGCTGATATCATTGTCCCTCTCTACCGGGTACTATCTCTTGGACTTTGCCCTGGTTTGTTTCCGGGCTGGGCTGGGCTGGAGGAAAGGGCGGACAGGATGGATCCAGTTCTCTAGGGGTCCCATTTCGGTTTCTGGCACTAAAATCAACATGGATAGCTGCATAAGATCGAGAAGGGTGAGGTGAGTCGTAACCGTGACCGAGAGTGACCGTGACCATGCCCATGATCCCAGCACTGGACAGGTATCGTGGAGTGTGCCGGGCCCCGCCGCTCAAAGCTCAAACCTGATGGATCATGGGAGAGGCTTGCATCACGATGGAGCTTGGAGCTTGGAGCTTGGAGCTTGGAGCATGGAGGAGCATGGAGCAAGCAAGACCGGCTACGCTACCGCTAGTCGGCGGAGCAATCCATCACGGCGTCAAAGTTGAACGCCCAGGAGGCGGCTTTATAACTTCTACAGTGCGAACTAGAGCCTGGCTGCCTGAAAGTGGGATGGTGCCATACAGGTTCGTGCCATATTCTGGGAGCGTTCGTCTGTTCTTGCCATTGGTGGCAGAAGGCTAAAAGAATCAAAGCACAGTTGTATGACGAGCATGGGAGATTTCTTCTGTCCGTTTGAGGGGACTCACAACAACGTCGCCACGGCCAGCCTTGAAAAGGGCGACTGGGGTGGCTTTTGCGCTGGTGTTACCTGCTCCAGGTCAAAAATCTCACTGCACTGACGCTCCGAGTCTCCTTGTTTCATATCCATCCGTTCTTCCGCCCTGTCTCTCTCCAAGGCGCCTGGGATGGACTGACCGACCTGGTGGTTCCAATTCAGACCGACATTCGTATTTTAGTCGGGATGAAGGCGGCGCCGTGATCGGGACGGGAGGGGAGGAGGGTGGGTTCCTGGAATAGGCTGGCTGTGACAGCAGAAGATGGGAGAGAGAGCCGAGCGACGGGCGATGGGCGGATCAAGAATGGGAAGTGCAAGTAGCAGTAATAGCAGTTCGGAGTAAGGAGCTGGGGGAGCTGCGGCTGTAAGAGTGCGTTGAGTCTGAGCGATGGGACAAGAAAAATCCCCTTCTCCCTCTTTCTCCCTCTCTCACTCCCACTTCACTTCACCGCATTGTCACCTTTTTCTCTTCAACAAAGTCCGAAACGTCCCAACCCCGTCTCCAATGCAGCCATGGACAAGCAGACAGCCGTCCAAGCCATCCCGCCGTCCACCCAGCTCTTAGGCCTGCCGGGGAAGGCGGGAGAAATGTGTTCGGATCCCACTAGGACACAGACGAGTATAGCGGAGCACCAACAAGGCGGAAAATGCTCTGCGCGGGCTGGAGCTGGAGATGATATACCACGCTGGAACAACCATTTCTCCAAATCCGCATCCGCGTGCGCATGGTTCAATGCTGTGCCATTCGACCATCGGCGCCTACGCTGCGTGGCGGGTTGCCAGAGATTTGTCTCTTGCAGATTGCAAAGTGAAGCGGATAGAAGCCTCTCTTCCAACCCCTTCCCAGTGGCCAGAACGCTAACCGACTAGCAGGAAGTAAGCAACAACAAGGTCCAAGGTCCACGGTCCACGGTCCACGGCTCGACCCAACGATCCACCGCGTCCACCGCGTGCCATCATTCATCCATCTACTTAGGTACTTAGTCGTCCAACCCATCCGCCCCATCCTATCCCATCCCCTTCGCCGACACGCTCTCCACCGGCGCTCTCAGCCTCTGTGCGTCGCTTGCTATGTTGTCATAGTACTCCGTAGGGAGCACAAACAAAAATAATAATGATATATTAAAAAAAAAACAATTAAGACAACGTACTGGTGCGCTACGGCCAGCCCCCATGCCTCGTTCTGACGACCCAAGGGAGAAAGTGGAGACCGCTACTGTGTAACGAACCGAGTCAGTGTGCCCTGGAACGATCTGGACTAGACAGGTCACACAAACACGCGCGGTGTGGGATATGCATGACTTGTAACATGACTATGCGGGCAACAATGCGTCATTGTGGTATACTTTGTCCGGAGTATAGCTTGGACAACAAGAATAGCCATCATTGCCCTCGTTCTGCCAACAACTATAGGCCTCCCAACCGAGGCGGTGAAAAGCGGTGAGTTCACCGACTATTCTGCTTTGATTTTCACCCAGGGAATTCACGCACAATAACATTTGGGGATCCAGATCCAGGGGCCGAATGATCCTCCCCGCTGCATGGGAATGAATTATAGAGGCGACGGATGTTCGCTGTTGGCTGCCTTGCACCGCAACTTTCTGCTGCAGGTTCGACGGCCCAAAACCTTACAAGCTGGAGATGACAGCGCACAACCCCAGAACCTACGCAGATGCAAGCATGGACGCAGAACCAAGTACACAGCGAGAAGATTGGAAAGCAAGCCTGCTGAGGGCAAACACGGACTTCAATACTGCTCTGGCGAGCCGCCTTCGTCGGCAGGTCAGCAGATTAGCAGGTCATGTGCCGAACAGATCCAGCATGCAAGCAGTTGGCCGTTGAACCGAAGCCAGGTCTTCCTTGTCACAAAGGCGGGCCTGAAAATGCCGAAGGAATGACAATACCTTTGTTTCATCACCGGCGGAGAACAGGTGTTGCACTCTTGCAGTTCGCCAATGCATCCGACACGAACTTCGTTCAGGTTCTTACGAACTCAGAGTACGAGGCACTGCTCGGCGCATCTCCAATGACCAGGAATTTAGGCGTATTTAACATGAAAATCAAGTCCGGAGGGTTGCTCGAATGGCAGGAGGGTTTGCTTCAGAGGATGTTCGCTCTGGGCAATGCGTCAGCCATCCCGAATGAGTGGCACAAATTGGCAATTGGGTTGTCGAACTTCCAACCCACTCCCCCCTGCCTCCACCACAACTGGAGCTGCTGGGAGGATGTTTCGATCAACCCCTGGCTTTCCACCTGGGCCACCCGCAGGCCCCATGTTCACGGAGGCCCCCCAGTGTTCACCGTTCGTTTGTTTTAACTTCGGGTCCTCGACCGTCACTCGTCCTGAATCGATTGGGGGGTGGTGGTGTCTTTTGTCAGTTTTGTCTGCCCAACATCAACCAGCGCCCCATTACATTCACGATTGGACCGTCCTGTCGGGAATTCTAGAAACACACCACTCGGCGCCACCCCGCCCAGCGTCCCACCGTCCTCCTAGTCTGGATTGGGATCCATACCCCAGTAGTTGCTGACGTCGGTCAATAATGTCCAAGAACGAGTCGAGCGCATTCCGAAACGAGACGGGAAGGCAGAAGATAGGACTCTCATCGCGGGCAAAGGATTGGAACCCTCATCTTGCTAGCGTCACCTTCTTTCCAGTTGGTTATTTTCGCTTCTTTCCTTAGTTTCTTCGCCAGGGAGAGCCCGAAGTTCGAGAGTGGAACAGGGCAAACAGCCTTGCTGTCTCCATCATCATTCATCACTCCCGACGCAAGCCCGCTGTCCAAGGCTGGCACAAGTGCCAAGCTGGCCCCTATCTGAGCCTCCCGGTCACTCTGGTGCTCCGCCCTGGTAAGTCTCACGCCCACCATCCACGGCAGGGGGCATTTGCTATCTCCTATTGGGATCTCAAGCCCTTGCAAGTGTTTGCTCGTCCTTGGCCTAGCCTCTCCTGGTAGGGTCTTGCCATTTTCGTCAGCAATGTTGTCCTCGAGGCCTTCGGGCGGATTCCGATTTGCTGCCACATTCAATCGTGTACCCCCATACCGACCACGAAGTACAACGGTTCGCGGTATTTTTTTGGTCGCATTGCGCATCCGCAATAGCCTCACCCTTCAGCACCAAAGCAAAGACAACTCAGAGCATTCGAGAAGCGGACCAATCTCTTTTGCATCCCTCTGTTTGTCATCCTCCACAGAATCTTGCGTGACTTTCCTGAAATGACTGCAGATCCCAATCCTCAGGTCTGCAAGCCACGTCAAAAGGGTCTAATGAGCGACCATCTGAAATTCCAGAGGATTTGTTTGAGATGGATGCCCCTGTCCGAGGGGAAAGGTAGGGACATGCCATTTGTGTCTTTTGTGTGCATTGGTGATAGTGTCGATGCTCGTTATCGTGTTAAGCCTGCCGACTCGATACAAATAGGTACGTTGCACGGGATTGACTAACTAGTCGTCTCCCTCAAGCTGTAGGTTTAAAGGCCCTCGTTTCTGGACTTTTAGGTCAGAGACTGCGTACCATACTAACAAGATCGGTTCTCCTTGTTTTTGGAAGCAGTGATCGTCCATGTCTGGTTTAGCCAATGATCTATGTCCACAACAACAGACACTTCACCGTTGTCAAGCACCTTTTTACTCATGTACATCAAACTGCAGCATGTTTTCCAGTGCCAGACTACCCTTTTCTCCTTTGCGCCGGCTCGCTGTCCAGTCTATGCAGCTGTCAAGCCCACACTACCACAGTGATTGCAATGTTACGCAAAATCCGTGCGGCTAGCTGCTGACGGCGGAGAGCCGCAGGGAAATGATAGCTCCGTTCGACAGATGTACTCGTACCTTATGATCGCCATGATTTCACGAGAGGCGAGCAGAGGGAAGTGTTGCCAGGTATGTTTTGCTCCGTTTAGCCAGACCAGCATTCCACGTCTGTCGAGTCTCCACACAGTAGGTAGTATGGATGATTATTTTTCTGCTCCAGCTGTCGTGGACTGAGACAAGTCCGGGGCTTGTCTGGTGGCGCTGCCTTTTCAGTGCCGACCTGTGGTCTTGGATTGATCGACTCCTGCTAGGTAGGTTTGCTTACCGGTATGCCTGTCAAGGGCATCTCTACATGGACGGGCCTTTTATGAGTGACTTCTTGCGATGAAAACCAGGGAACCGAAGCGAGGCTCGGGGCCAAGATTTCTGCATTTGTTCCTCCCGTCCAAATGCTCGGGCTGACCGACTGTCGCACCAATACGGAGTACGTCTCCCCCCCCGGGGGGGGGGGGGGGGGGGGGGGTTTGCACCCAGCAGGGTCTATTGTTGAACAGAATCCCACAGGATTTTCCATAATATGTTTTTGACAAAGGACTAATTTCAAGCACATGCCCACACTAGCAATACAAGACGCGAAAGGCGCATTCCCTGGGATTCAAACCTTCTAATATCATTTCTGTCTAAATGTCGTTGCTCTTTCGACAACAAACGTGGTTGATCAATTTGTGAAGTTGGAACTAGAACTGTACTCGCAGTCCCCTGAAGTCGAAAGCCCAAAGACGCTTGCCGTCCGAGTCCTGCCGGGAAGTGCTGCTTTCGGTCTCTTTGGGCAGAAGGGACAGAGAATTGGTGGGCAACTCTCCTACCTATGCAAGGTACAGACTCCACGAAGTTATAGCAATATAGATAGCTCTCTACAATGAGAAGTCTTGCACAACTAGGCCAGTGCTCTAGGTAGATCTTTCCTCTCTCCCCGATCCACTGGTACCAATTACTTTATATAGCTCCTAGCTACCTCTTCTGTGAGAAGGGGGGAGACGTTAGACAGCCTGTAGAGAGGAGGTAGCCGAGGAAAAATGTCAGTTGCCTGTCACACAATCGCCCAGGGATCCTGTATTATTGTTGTTTTTCTCTTTCGATGTGTGTAGGCAACATGGCACAATAGACAAGATGTCCCGCCTCGTTGTAGATTTGACAACTCGAGGGGTTTGAAAGAGGATCGACCCAAGCACACGGAGGACTCGCTGCTAGGAGGAGCACGCATGTGCTCTGTACATAAACGCAGAGTACTCGGCGCGGAGTGCTCTTCCTCTCTTCATGGCCCAGGGCTTGAGGTTTCCTGGTTTTAAGGGTGTCTACGACGAGGAGACGAGTGGTGTAGGTAGAACGATACGACATGATTTGACATGGCGATGGTGTTATTTATAAGGGGTGCAGCAAAAAACACAAATTGTAGGCGTGGCCCAGGAGTTTCTTGGACATGGTCACTCAGTTATTTCCTGATACCGCCTGGAAGTGCACCCGTGCCTAACAACACCGAACGAGGCTTTTCAGTCGTGAAGCGCCGCTTCAAAATTATTGTCTGGATGATCTGTTTGGACTTTGGACTTTCGATAGCCGCCTATTTAACCCATATCGCTTCCCGGGCTTGAAAAGAGCGCATATCAACACTTCATCAAACGCATTACCTAGCATCGTCTCCAGGCAGACTTTTTCGCCTCCGTTGTACCATTCGAGTCTGTGGCGTGGTCTTGCCTTTCTTGGTGTCTCTTCGATTTGCGCTTCTCCTTTTGCCCCATTCGCCGTCGCTCGAATCCACTTGGGCACAGACGTCCTCGTCAACGGTTTCACCTTGGCCATTCGAGCCGGACTCGCCAAACGTTTCCTCTGTTTGCTCCTGTAGGTAAGGGTCAAATTTGCCGTCCCGCCTCTCCTGCATGGCTTTCCTGGCTTGGTTCTGCCAACTCCTTTCGTAGCATCCCTCGCTGACGTCCCTCTTGAATTTGTGTACGGCGGCCTTGATGTAGGGATCGTCGAGCACAAATTCAACCGAGAGTGGGCATTTCAAGCGGCCCTCTGCGTCAAGTTCGTATTTCCGATACCGGGGTGGAAGACTATCAATGATGGAGCGTTTTTCATGCTCGGTGTAGGCGTCGCTGTCGGCATTCCAACTTGAGACAGCCGCTATTAGAAATCCGTGCATGTCCGCTGAGATGATTGGCGACGAAGAGTTTAGGATTCGAAGCGAGGACCAGGGCCCTGTGTTTCGCTTCGGTCTTTTTACAAGAGGCATCTCGTCGTGTTTCTTTCCGGCGCTTCCAGTAGCAGGGTCGATGGTGACAGACTTCTTGATCTCGGGGCGACCGGGGAGACTGAAGAGTCGAAAGGCTAACTAGAAAGGAGGGCAGGCTGAGGGACAAAACGAGTTGACTTGTGTCATAAGCAGTTACGATCTTCACAACGGTGTGGTGGGCTAAGTGGGATGGTCTCTCGCGAAAAGCCACGGTTTTATGCTGGGAGACTTCAGACTCGGCCTGTTTCTCCCACGTAGTAAGACAAACAGGCACTGAACGGGTCAGGATGGCGGAACAAACATAAAACCAATTTGGCGGCGAGAATGACCGGGGAGCCCGGCAGTTGGCAAGGTTGGTATGTTAAACCAGCCTCGTCATCATTTGTCCCACGGAAGTACCCAGTAATGGGTAAGCCTTGTCACACGAGGGGACATTTCGTATTGAGAAATTACCCACCCGGCGATGCAGAGGCTCACTCGACTCTAGCCTAGCTCTTTATCTGGGGCGGTATATATCTATGATGTGGCTGCTAGCACATTCATACAAAGTAGAGTGAACATGGTTCTGTTGGCGAGTTTCATGGTCCAGAACAGTCCAATGTCCACTGCCGGCTTCGGGACGTTGTGACATTGTGATGCCGAGGCTGCCGAGACGGTCTGGACGGACGATCCACCTGATGGATCACGTGAATACAACTGGTGGGTTGGCATTCGGCGACCAACTCGGCTCTCTCAATCCCACTTCCATCACCCATCCATCATCCCAACGACGACAAGGTCCTGTTTCGCTTCCACTCTGTCGTCTCTGCGATAAGGCGCTGCTGAATGTAGTTCACGGCTGCCTTCCGCCCCTCCCACCGCCTATGCGCGCCTGCGCGATCGCATCATGGCCTCTGCAGCGACGTCAGCGGTGCGCCGAACCGTCCACGCGACTATTCACTCCCTTTCCAGCGCATCCGCCGACTTGACCAAAGTAGCCATCAACCTTCCTTCCAGCTACTCCAACTATGTGACATCGAACTCCTCCTCGGTCTCTACCATCGAGAGCAGTCTGCGGTCCTTGACGTACCTCCTTCCCGGCGCCCGATTCCATGACACCGAATTGGCCTCGGAATCAGTGCATACTTTCGTTCAACTCTTATCCATTTATCATGATCATCTCCTCAAGAATCGTGCCGCAGCTTTGGCGCTTACACCCACCGTCCTCAAAGTAAGAAACCTCAAACTTCAGCAGCCGAAGCCATCACTACATGCTCGCTACACTACCTTCTGGACATCGTCCTCGTCCCTATACAATAAGATCGCCACGGTTTTGAAGATTGCGCAATACACAGAACTGCTATGGGAGATGATTGCCAGGCGCCGAGGTGGCGAAAAGGCGAAGTGGCGGGTGGTGGTGATGCTTGAATCTTTCAAGGCCATCTGTCGGTTGTTGTTGATGCGCCTCACCAATTTGCGTCCAACGGTCACACCGCCTATGCCCCTAAGGGAAGACTTCACGCCGGTTGAACCGGAAGAACAAGATGAAGAGTTCGCCGAGGATGAATTGAAGTCGGACAGCTTTGATGTCAAAGACGCATTAGGTGACGCTGGCGTCCCGACACCACCCCTCTCCGACTCCGGTAAACAAGCTCCATCATCCTTGACTACCACAGAACCGTATAGTATGCCTCGCACAGGATTTACCCTTCCTACTCTACCCTCTCCCGACACCGTTCCAGCTTATCTCCTCAACCATGTACTTACAGCCGACGATGTTAAACCGGCCAAGCAGCTGCTCCACCAACTGACCAGTCTGCGTGGCCAGGCCGCTGAGATCATGTACATCTTACGGCCCTTGATCTACGCCCTGCTCATGCAACGTATTGCTCGTACCTACGGCTACGAGGGGAGCAAATGGAAGCGAAATTGGACACCGTGGCTTGTGGGGGTTTCAATTGAATACCTTTCCCGCCAACTGGCAAAGAGGGATCTGGCAGCAGGAGTTCCGGGCGGTGCACGAACCGGTCTCTCCGCATTGGAGCGCGACGAGTTAAAGAAGCGCGGCTGGCAGCTCGCGTGGTGGGGGATGCGAGGCGCATTTTACGAGAACATCACGAAAGTTTGGGTACATGGTGCTGCAGCCTCGTTGAAAGGGAAACCGATACTGGACCTGCTTGGAGGAATCATGGAGGAATATGAGTTCCTGTGGAGCAATTACTATTTCAGCACGTCGACAATGTGAGCCTACATTTGATTATCGCCACAACCATATCAAGTGCGCCAGATTTGAGTTTCGGACCCCTATACAGCATCGACTAGGTGAAATTATTGAAGGGGCTGTATATCTAGAATGTCGACGTTTAATGACAGCTATCAGCGGGATGAACCCGAGTTGCAGTTTCTTGTCGAAGGTCAGACTCGATTGTGTTCAGTGCACACTTTTGGAGCCTGGTACTCTTGTTTGCCTTTCATTCGACCCTCAAGTATTGGGGTTTTTGGATTGATACATTATATAGCACACTAGATGAGGATACGCAGTAACTTGTTCTTTTCCGTTCTGGTGGTGCCTCTGTTTGAAGGAGCTCTGCTCACTGGGGATATGGGATCAACTTCAGGAAGGCCATTCCCTCAAACCCTCGGACAGTCTTTTCTTGGGTGCTCACGATGGCTTTAACATGTTGGTGTCTTCAAATAACGACCAGGACGAAATCAATGTCAGGAGCCTCCCAAAATAATCTGTTCTTCGTCTGCCGAACCCTTCTTTACTGCTCAGACTTTCCATCACCTGCATGTGGGAAGCGTTGAATTTCTATCTCTTAACCGTCTCAACAACACGACTCGCTATCCTACTGATGATCGCCTCAACTCCCTCGGGACACTAAACGCTACTAGATACCGGTTCGAAGATGTCCTCAATCCGGCCTTCTAAACGGCAAAAGCTCCAGCACTCCAGTTCGATATCAAATCCTATTTACGTCTCCGAGGACGAATCCAAATCCGAACCCGGCGATCCCTCAGACCCGATGCAGGCTCTCTTAACCACTTTCTGTCCAGCCTCAACAACATTAACCCTGACGACCACCTTGCGACGTTGATGCGGGGTGTGAAGATTGTTGAGACCCGTCTTGATGTCGCCAGGGCCCAGGTGGAAGACCATTCCAGAAATCCCACGGCTTTCAAGCGGGAAATTGGGGGCACCAAGCAATTTTCCGAGATAGTCAATGCTGGCGCGGAAGGACACGATTCAAAAGTACCATTGGAGAGATCATCCCATGAGCAAACACCGAGCTCGCAGTACGAGAAAAACCGCCAGCTCACCCGTGTGGGGGTTTCCCTCGGGCAGATCGAGCGATTGTTGCATACTTAAGGCCGCCTCTGTGTGTATGCTCCTAAGTTAGACACAGCACTAAGTCGACGGGCCGACGCTCTGAATACACTCTCTGCTCTATGGGAGTCGTTGTGGGACTTTTGCGTTGTGGTGACTAAGCCGGGACCAAGTTCGCTAGCAGCGAAAACAAGCAAACTGTGGGACAGCGAGTGTGGATTGTTGTTTGGGAAGGAACTGTTCAAGATTGAAGCCGCTGCACAGACTGCAGAGAGAAAAGTGATGATTAAGGAAGCATGCGCTTATGCAAGAACGAGCTGAAATACCGAGAAAAGCCAGAGGGAAAGGCAGAGCAGATGCTTATTGCGGTGATTGTTGCGATATTGCCTCGAGCTTTTGAATGAGAGCTCCAATAGAAGCTTCGGAGATGGAATTGTGGTTGCACTGAGAAAGCATGCACCTCTCAGAGAGTCTTCTCACCGTTGGAGCTGGAGGAAACAAAGACGGACTTGGCTGTGATTACCTCCATTAATTTAAGACCATAACAGTGCGTTTGAAGGGGTTTCCTTGGATGGACGCCTCAGAGAGATATGGTCAGTGGTGATGGGATTCGTCCATTGACACCGAGTGTGAATCGAGAATATGCATCTTCAAGACTAGCCTGATACCGTGACGGGTTGCCGCTTTACCGAGTACTTGGTGCCCAGTCCAAGTTCGCCTAACCACTACCCAGTACGAGGCATCAAGTCCCAGGGCACCTCGCGAGGCTCGTCACTGTGGGTGGTGCCTGTGGTGCTCGCTGCTTTAGTTATCCTCGGCTCACCTCCCTGCCTCATCTGCCTCCGTGAGGTACATCGTTCTCTCTGCGCTGTACATTCAAATACGTTGTACTTCACTAAAACTATCAACTCTTCAATCTAGATGATGGATCTATTTCGCATGCTATTATCAAGGCACGCTACTAAGAGAGACACGACTGCCGTTTCACCGTCTCGTATCCAAATGTGAAGTCGATTGGTCGTGCGACTGTCAGGATGAGGTAGGCCTCGATATCGAGATCAAGATGGTCCCACAAGCCCAGACGGGCATGACCAGCAAGTGTCGAGAGAAACCGCGGCACCAATGGAACGATCTGCAATTGGCTAATGGTGAATAAGTAAGCATGCCGGGGTTCATGTCATGCCGCAAACGCAGGCACCACAGGCACCACAGGCAGCCGCCAGCCTGACGGCTTAGCTGCGCTCATCAAGGAGTTCTCCGAATCTCGCGGAGGCCAAATGTCATGCTCGACGACTGTCCAACAGCAGCGGGATCTTGTGGCGAAGCCAGGCTGCAAAATGCTACTACGTCATGCAACGTAAATACTGGATGGCCCAATGTACCGAGTACGTGTTTGTGTATCTTTTCGGCCTCGAGACTTTCTCTTGTATCACACGATCTTTGTACCAACACTTGATCATGCGGGACCAGTCATTACTTGTGCCACCTCGCGAGGCTGTCAGCGAGGCCAGCGAAGCGAGCAGGGCCACCGACGAGACCAGTCCACTTCTTGAGCAACCTCGAGGTCCTACAACCCTCGAGACATGGGCATCGCTAGGCCAAAGATGGCAAATTACAGTGCAATCTTCGCTTGGGCTCCCTTCTCACCTCTGGTTTCCCGCCTCCATCTTCCTGCTTGGGTTCGTAGCCTGACCTAACCCATCGTCGCGGGGTCTTCTAACTTTCCGGTACTAACAAATGGACAAAGCATAGCAGCAGACTACTGCGAGGGCGCTTTCTTTACCGCTGCGTACACCAAAATTAGTATGCGCCATGAGAAAACGAAATATGGCTTTAATAAACTCAATCTGTTGACTATATTCAAGGTTCGGAATTCCAAGAAGAATACAACGGCGCCCTGCTCAAAATATGCTACAGCACCGTCACAGCCGTAATGCGGCCATTGGTGATACACATACCAGATCTACCTTTGTCACACCGGCCGCTGACATTTGAGCAGTGGTCGATTCTGTCGAACCATCTGGGCTGGCATTGGCCGCTGGTTGCGACATTTGTCTTCTTCATTTGTGGCATGGCGTATGGGTCTGTCCGTCCCGCCTCTGCCAGAGTACTTACTCCTCCGACGATGCTGATACATTTCCCCTTCAGCTCCGTCGGCACCAGCATGACTGACATCATGATTGCCCGAGCTGTCACCGCCGTAGGCGCTTCTGGCATGGTCTTCATCCCCAACCTCGTGTTCAACGGTAAGTGGCTGTTCGAGAGCTTCTCTTCCTGTGGTATTAATTAGTATCAGCATGTGTTCCCCCGGGCAAACTGTCATGGTGGATATTTTTCCAGGCACCAGTGAATCTTCTAGGCCAGTTCATCGGCAGCCGTCTTGCCAAGTTCGATCTTGACGACAGCTCTAGCTTACGCTTGTAAGTCGGGATGCCCATTCACGAGGATGTCAGGCGCAGCTATTCGTCTCGGGTGCTAAAGGTACCTTAGCGTGTACCAGCTACAGATATGCATACCCATGTTCTGTGCTGTTGCCATCATGGCATGGGTATTTTTAATCCGACCACTATCCAGCACAGAAGCAGACGCTCCGACCTTTGGGAACCAAGATCCTTCAGAATATTTGAGCTCTTATCCGCCAAAGAGACACAGGCCCTCCGCCGCGGCAACATTTTGTGTAATCTGCTTGGTGATAGCAGTGGCTGGACTCTGTGTGGTTCTCAATCTACTCGGTGAGCTTCCGGAGCGCATCTCCATCATCTATTGGTTCCTCCTGCTGTTCATGATCTTGGGCGGCTTTAGTGGCTTTCTCTACCTCCAACGTAGCCTTACGCCAGCCGACAATCTATATCCCATCGCGCTTGTGAAGAGAGTGCAACTCGACGTCGTCGGCATCTTTTTGGCGACTTTTGTCAAGGATGGAGGTATCTCAAACGTACGAGAAGCCCCCTTGCATTCATTTGCTCCTTGGCTTGGAACTGACAAAGTTTGCGAAAGTTTTTCTTCGTGGTTCCGTGGTTCTGCCAGAACGCCCTGATCGCAAATACATGGGTTCTTCGGCTCTTGTGGATAGGTATACCCGTGGGAACAGGCATTACTGCCCTTTGTTTCGAAAAGTTCCAAAGGGTCAAGCCAGTGCTGCCCCTCAGTGCGCTGATGTGCATCTGTTCGTCAGTTGGCTTGTCCATATATATGGACTGCATGAGTGAGAAATGTCCTGCGTTTTGCAATCACTCCTGCAATGGAAACTAACGCATCGCGCGCATGTGTAGGCGAATATCCGACGAGTCCAGCGATCTTTGTTTCCTGGATCTTCAGCGGGATCCTGGGCGTCGGCCATGGGATGATGGGAAACGCCCTTCATAACGGTTTGATAGCCGCCCTCAAGTCCAATCGCGAGCGTGAGTTAAGACTCTCTTTGCGCCAGAGGCTACCTCTCGATCCAGCTGCCTGTCATCTAATATCTAACGCCCCTGCCCGCTTCCACAGGCCAAGCAATGCTCTACGCTAGCTTCCATCTGATGTCCACACTTGGAGATCTCGTGGCCACGGCAATATCCAACTGGGCCCTCCGCCTGAGTGCATCGGCGCTCATGAGAAGGAATTTGCGTTCGATGTTGGATCCAAAACGCGTTGAAGAGGTATATATATCCTCTCTTTCCCCTTTTCTTCTTTTAATGACACCCTCGCACGGCCTGCACTGCACCAAGGCCAAAACCCCCGTCCCTCAGGCTTTTCTTTCTACTTGCTAATGCGACTCGGGCAGATCGTTCAACATTGCCTCAAGACTGACACTTGCACTGCAAAGCTAACCTCAGAAGCACGGGATGCGGTTCGAAAATCGTTTCTGAAAGCCTCGGCGTCGGTGTCGATCCTCCAGATCGCGGCCTACCTGTTCCTGGGATTTATAGTGTCGTGGGTGATTTCTGATGTTCACCTGCAAGACACCAGCAGTTCCGAAGAAAACAGCCATGGCGAGCCTATGGGTTGACACTATCAACAACTATGGGCAGCAATCTGGTTACGTCTGAGCACGCCCGAATACACACAGACTGCGGTAGTAGGTTAATTATGAATCATTGAAATATATACAGGGTGCATTGAAGCCACCTAAACATTGAGCTACCTCTGACTTCTTCGGCCGGTAGACGCGACCAACCAAGCAATAGTTCTATATGACTGGTTCCCTCCTGATGTGCTGATGTGCTGATGTGCTGATGTGCTGATGTGCTGATGTGCTGATGTGCTGATGTGCTGATGTGCTGTGTGCTGATGGTACAATTGTCTGGGATTTGCACCTGCGAGATTCTTCCCTAGCTAAGATGTCCTCTCCATAGTCTGCCCGCAAGTGGAGAATTAGTATGTCGAGCCTTTGTGCATGTCAAACTACTTTACCCAAGACAGATCGACCCAGGTCCACAAAACCCAGGAAGATATTATGGCCGTGCAAGACCGTGGCCGGCTTCCAACCTTGTGCTATTACTTCGGTCGCTTTTGACCTCGATCTTCTCTGGGTTCTGGCCGTCGGGGTGGGTGCCCACCGTACCTCTCGCTCTTTGCCGCCGGGCGTTGGGGTTGCCCCTGCAGAGCCTTGTCTTCAGGGGACATGCTTCGTCGACTGTCGCGATACGTCCGATCTTGCCGTCGGGTACTAGTCGACCCGGACGTAACTTGTAGTCTGCTTCCCGCTCCCCCTGGATCTACATCCGCGTCTGGAACTGATATGGCAGAGTCGGCTCTTTCACGAAGAGGATATTTCGTCGGTACACTGGTGATGGCCACATTCCTTGGAGGTTCTGCAGGACCAGGGAAGATAGGGTTAGCCCTGGTTATCGGATTCGCGTTATACGACGTAAAGGAAGGGGTACCGTAGCTGGCGCTAGTGGTCGGGGGACTTGAGGCAAGGTTGTCGCTGGGGAAACGGCACAAGGCGGCCCTATAACTAGAATTAGGAAGCCTAGAATATGATGGAATCCGACCATGGCCGTCATCGCTGCGGGTCGAACTGTTCTTCTCATAAAGGGTTGCATCCCGCTCCGGGGAGCTTGACTGATCTGTGCTAATTCCAGCGCTCTCCATCCGTCTTTTCGCAACTTCAGAGTCCTCGTATAGCAGCTCTAGCGCCTCTGTCAGTATGTCAATGTTCATGTCAGAAGGCTATACGGAGTATACCATCGTTCGTCGATATTGCCTCTCGTGTCCATGCACGAGAATCGTCATGAATGTTTTGCTGGTCTATCTGATCGCTAACTTAGTTGTGCATGAAGAGGTACTAGTAGAACAGAAGTTGCACATACCGGTGATATTGAATCTATACCGTAGATGGTGTACTCGTTGGGTTTTTCCTTTTAGGTATCAGCCTGAAGAGTATCAAGGGGTCGAAATCCGTACATCGATGTACACAACTTTGTGCAGAATCGAGTTGAGGTAAAATTCAAGCACCTCTTTCTCGATGAGTCCTTTCTTTAGTGTGCAGCTCTTCGCCGTGATCTTCGCCCCGTGGAATATCTGGCCAGAAAATGGTGTCAAAATGGGTGCACCCTCCACGCGTTGTTCGCAACTTCGGACGTGGGCCACGTATTCTTCTCTGGTCGGCGCATTCCCACCCCTGACCAATGACCCCGGTATAAAGCGGTGTCGCTCCTTATCATAGTATCCGAACCCGCAAGGACAGGTTATTTCGAGGAGGGGGTTATTGTCGTCGAAGACACCTCCGCAATTTGACTGACAAACGGGCTTTGGAGGAGCTGGCTTTGGCCTCGGCCCTGCGCGGTTGCGGGCAGGGTCCATTCGAGTCTGTGAGACTCCGTCTCACCGGGGTAGACTAGGGTCTCCCCGAGAGCTAAAGAGAGAAAAGCCGACAAGAGGCCAGGAGCATTCTCAGACAGCAGGCATTTATAGGATCTTTGAGATGGTGAACAATGACGGTATGCTCAGTATTGCTCCTGCTGCGTAGTATTACGCCAAAGGCGATTTGTTTTGCGGCTGCGACCCTTTTCTGTCCAGCAGTGGCCAAATCCATTGCACGATCTAGGCGCTTCGCGGCACAATTCCCGGGAAGTTGAGGCTGATTGCGGAGGCGAGGGCCAGTGACCATCAGATTGGCTGAGAGTCGTTGGGCACACATGCATAACCAAGTCTGCTCGGGTCAATGCACCTCGCTATCCAAGGGCCGGGCATGTGATGGTGCTTCTAACCGGTCTGCGGCAGCGCAAGACTTCATTTGACGACAAGCCGCAGACATGCTTGCGTGCGGCGCGTGATGCCTCCACGGTGGCCTCTAGGGGGTGCCAAGGTCACAGCCATGACAGCAAACAGCAAACACGGTGCGGGTAGGCCTCGAGGCAGAGCGATTGGGGAAGAGGGCGCCTGCGGCCAGCATTGAAGTGAGGCGTGAGGCAGTTGGTAGCGATCTGGCGTCGAGGCTCGAGGGGCGACTGGGCATAATTGGGGCAGATTCCCCGGGCATCAATTATTTAAATCATTTAAATGATGTGGCAGAGACAGTGAGACTGAGATTGACCAGTTGCTTTGTTTGATTTGCTTTGAATGTGTGACAGTGGTTGTGATCCAGACCAGACGGTTTCATGATGGAAGACGGAGGACCCATGCCACAGGTGGTGACAGAAGCCTGGATCACCGCTGCCGCAGTACAGTAGCCCCGAGGACCCTCCCCCTTGAGCCTCCCCCGCTTCCTCCCGGCTGGTGAGGCCCCACTAGCCTCCCCGCTGCAAGCGCAGCCTGAGTCGCGAAAGGCTCTTGCGCTAGGCGGAAACAGGATTCTAACTCAACGCTCTGTCTCGAATGAATTCCTGTACTAATGGCTCGCCTTTAACTGCAGATCTACCTTCGGGCGACGAATGACGATGAGAAACGCCAGCGCTGCTCTACGCTCTTCGACTCGCAGCTTCACCGCCCTGCTGCAAAACTGCTAGAGGAAGCGAAGGGGTTGAACACGCAGCGCTACGGAGCTACCCCCAAGCTCCAGAGGAGGCTGGAGCGAGGCCTGCAGATACTAAATAATCACGCTGTCGTGGGCGACGTCTTTTTCCAGAATTCAGGGCAGCCGGTATCCTGTGCCTGGGGATCATTCCGTCTTCTTCTTCGTGTAAGGGTGTTTGAATGCCAGCCAACGTCTCGTGGCACTGACCGCGTGGAAAGCTTGGGACAGGTGATCTCGACACCTTTCAAGATTTCGCCCGCAATATCATCGACATCGACCACCAGATTGGCAACGCGGAGGAGAGACTCGACCTTTTCCCCACGAATGCTCGTGTATTCGATGCCGCAGCTGGTCTGTTCGCTTCCATCTTATGTTACCTGGTCCAAGCAGAATCCTATTTGAAAGCGACCAGGCCCGTGCGAGCTGCCAAGGCTGCGTGTGGAGGGAGTGTAAAGCTGAACAGGATGATTGATGAAATGCAGCAGAACGTGAACTGGCTCGATAGAGAGTTTGCTCTCGCCGTTGAAATCCGTTAGTGCCATTCCTGTTGTGAAACACTTCCCTTGTTGCCCCGAACATGTCTCGGGATTACAAAGACATCTCACGGGTTGGGTCGACGTGGTACTAACAATCTGCCATCCTAGGCAACCGGAGGAGCGAGCTAGTGAGCCTGCTGCTCGACAGTCTATCCCCAGAGACTCAATCAGAGCTGCTGCCACTTCAGCCCGTGGAGCCGACTCAAGGAACCTGTGGCTGGTTCTTCAAATCTACCGAGTTTCAGTCATGGGCAGCGACCGGCTTTGACGGTGTTCTGCTTATTGAGGGCCTACCAGGTAAGACCGCGCCCCGGATCGTCTTGTCACTGCTAATATAACAGGGTGTGGTAAAACATTCCTTGCAGAATATCTCTTTCAAAATCCTGGCACTGAATTACAGATACGGTACAGCTTCTACAACTCTCCGAAAAGTGTCTCATTTACCGCGTCAGTCCTTGAAAAACTGCTGAAAATGGCGACGAGCTCTTACCGGTCTGCGAAATGGCACGACAGGGTCATCGAGGCTTCGTTACCCCTGGCTGAGTTGATACTACAAAGGCGTCGGGAGGCGCTACGACGATTGCCAGAGGTGCTCAATGACATTTTTTCGAGAGTTGAACTGCCCGAAACCACAATCATCGTCGACGCATTGAGCAATTGCGCGGACGATATGTTTGGTTATCTTGAATCCATCAGTCGGTCACCTAAAGTCAGGCTTGTGGTACTATCACGCAGTGATCCACGATTCAGCTCCGCAAAAACAATGAAAATGGATCAGTCCAAGATCGAGGACGACGTGCGAGCGTACGCAAAGGCCAGAATCGCAGGCAGCAAGGGGCTGAGTTGTGTCGGCAATCAGATCCTTGAAAATGTCCCTCGAATGTGTTCTGGCACATTCTTGCCCATGAAGCTGGTGCTAGACGACCTGGAGCAGGCAGACAGTCTTGAAGACCAAAATGAGATCCTCGCACATGCACCAACTAGCCTCATGGCGATATATGAGAACCATTGGTCCAGTGAAGAACCAGACGATGCTCGAAGTCGAGATCGGCGACGGGAGATCTTTTCCTTACTCGTTCGCGCCCGGAAGCATCTATCGGTTGACGATATTTCTACTTTTATTGCTGTCGATGTTTCTACTAATGAGGTACAATTAGCTCGCAAGCTGAATGACCCTCTGAAGGCTGTCGAGAAGCTTTGCCGGCCATTTGTGTCCTTCACAAAGCGCAAAGTGGAGATAACGAATCCCTCCATAAAGGATTTTGTCAAACAGCAGGTCGTCAAGGACCCAGATGCGTATCTTGCGGAGAAGTGTTTAAGCGTGCTCAGTCAAGAGGCTTTTGCATCTGTACCTTACGCAGCTGCTTTGTTGCGCAAGCATCTCCTCCCGCAGGGCTTGTCTACCGACAATACGGTTGATAAAGATTCAGTGCCGTACGAATACGCCGCGTTACACTGGTGGGAGCATGTCACCGCAGTGAAGGAACCCTCTGACTTTTTGCTGTCTAAGTTGTATGGCTTCATCACTGGGATACCATCAGTAACCTGGTCCGAGAGACTTGCAGATTTAAAACCCGGCAACGAAGCAACAACTATCAATGTACAGATTGACGTCCGGGCAGAGCTATCGAGCTGGGTACGGGGACTACCACCAGTTAGCCGCCCAAAGATCCCACTCGAAGACTTCTTTGTGGCGGCACATAACAAAATACGGCATGAGCTTGCGCATGATGAAGAGGACCGTCTACTCCCTTTCCTGCCGGCAATTCGTCTCGGCCAGTGGTACAACGTTGGTGGACAGTCCGTCGAAGACTTTCAAAAGGCCTACGACTATAAGAAGATTGTTGTGGACGGGTTTACCAAAGTGCTAGGAAAGCGCAGCCCTCTAACGCTGAAGGTTCGCACTGAATGGGTCAAAGACTTCTTCTCCCAAGGTCGCATCCAGGAAGCAGAGATGGAGCTGAGCGAGATTGTACAGATTGAAAAAGAGATATCTGGGGACGCTTCAGAAACTTTTTTCAAAGCACTACAGCTGCTTGGCACGGCCCAGTACTGCATGACAAAGTTCGTCGAGGCATTGGCATCGTTGAGGGAGTCTGGCACCGGCCTCCTGAAACTTTTCGGTACCAACCAGTGGGTATGCCAGGTCAATGACTTATATGAAGGTTGGGTGCTTGAGCGTCTTGGTCAACCCGGAGAAGCATTGAAGAGATATGAATCAATCGCAGAGCACTGGATTCCAATTGCAGGGAGCACAAATGGGCTTTCTCTGATGGCCATAACATCAATTGGCTCGGTGCAGCGCAAATTCCAGAGCTACGAGGCTGCAAAATCGAACTTGCTAGAGTCCTGGACAAAACGTCGACGCCAATTCAGCCTGAATAACAACACCACCGTTGATTCGGGTTTACAGCTGGCTGTCACGTACCGCGAAAGCAGGGCATATAACGACGCATTGAAGATTTTGAAGCAAGTGGGGGAATCAAGCGTCTTTGGGACAGACTTCGAACGCATATGTCAAGCGGCCCACATCCGTGCGCTGGTGGCATTTGATCAAGGCGAGTTCCACCGTCCGAAGAATGACCTCAGTCGTATCATCGACGAAACCATCGGAGACAAGCGTGAGAAGAATAACAGAGAGTGCTTGTGGATACGGACGACTTTGGCGGACGCTCTGAAACACCATGGCGAGCGTGATGAGGCACTAATGCTCTTTTCGGAGCTCGTCAAACCGCTCGAAGTCACATTGGATGGTCGACCATGTACGCCGACTCTCAAAGACGAGCCAGAGCCTCCGTCGCAGTTGTCGATTGCCGAGAAGGCCGTCAGGCTTGTGAAGGATCGTGACCAGTCGGGCGCTGCAGAGTTGCTGACGAAAAACGGGTTACAGTGGGTTCGTCAGAAAGACTTCTGGATCCAACAAGGAGGTCCACCCACAGATACGGCCTGGATGAAGCCTGTGAATTTCACCGAACTTCTGAGCTGCTCTTGGGTAGAGCTTTAGGGGCAACCCGTGCTTGTTGTGGACAGCCTGTAAATCTGTCTGGGTATTCTGTCCTCTCCTCATCGAACATTTTGCTGAATCTATGCTTGCTTTGGTCGTGGTAGGGACACCTGTGACATCGGGGCCCTCTAGCCAGCCAAGTTATCAAAGCAAAGATAGATCCCATATTGCTTGTGGTATCTCACTCACCTCCTAGTTATCACTTCTAGAATGTGTCTTTTCTTGAGGTTACTGGGATAAGCGTTGGGAGGAACTGACATCCTTTAGGGTGGTTTTGATCGTCAACAGCAAGGAAGGGTTTTGTCTTGATACTGGGAGCTTGATGACGGCCTCACCGGAGCACTCTGGTGTCATGGCGGTTAGCACACTATGTAATCATTTATGTTTTAAAGCAGGTCCTAAAGAGATGGGTTTTACTGTTCCAGCTATCTCTAACCGAATTAAGTCCTGATTGTATACCTCGTATGTTGTGGACAGAGTGTTGAAGAATGAGGGGAGTGCCTTACCTACCTACCTAGGTATTCTAGCACCTCTCTTAAATAGATGAGGTGAATGATATAGGGGTCACCTAGCTGTTATTAACCACCTATGTAGGCTTTGGTACAGTCATGATAATAGCAAGGTTACCTCCTACCTAAAATAGGTACCTAGGGAGTATTGCCTGTGTAAGCGGTAACTCGCCAATCGGAAATGGGCCGATAAAGCAGCCTTGGCGTGCGATAAATTAGGCTAAACAGTGCTACGAACATGTCTAGCCTCGCCAAGCAAATTAAAGCAGCACTAGCTCGTTTCCCGCCGAGTATCAAGAGGCAAATGAGAGAGTCAAGTTGCCATCTCAACTATTAGCAACCAGCCCAGTAGCTCGACACCAGCGGCCATTCGCTTGTTGCAGAATCTCTAAGTAAAGTCGCCGGCAGAGCTACTAATCAGAACTATGCGGTTGATCTCCGTGGTCCAGCTAGCCTCGCCTTTGCCCATCACCCTCCATCCGCCGTACAATGTCAGAGCCTCGACGATCTGGTCGTCAACGCAAGGTCAACCCAAGATACGCCAATGATGGTTGGGACAAGGACACTTTGCGTATCCTCCGGGCAGAATCCGAATCATCTGGCTCATCCCCTGCGGAAGGGTCGACATCATCAGACTCGGAAGACGGTAAAACACACAACCACGTCAATGCCCAAGCTGACGACGTCTCTCTTGCCTCTGCGGCCTCGATTCAATCCTCCGATGTCGAGACACCAGATCAAGGACAAGACGACGAGGACATAAGCCTAGTGTCTGATGATGACGTTACAAGTCGTAAACGACCAAGTCACCGATCACGACCTTATGCCGCAGCCACAGGCGAACTGACGCGGTCACGGGGCGTACAACCTCCGTCTCAACTGGGAAAGAGATCAGCTTATGCTAACATCTTTGGACCCGAGATTAGTGACTTGGTTGATGTCCTTCTATCCAGGGATACTTGGCTAATGGGTCGAGATATCACGATTCCGAGCAGGCAGACGCTGTCCACCGCCATCGAGCAATCAAACGAGCTCGACCAATGCGGCACTGAGAGAAATGATGGTTCAGGACCAGAAAGGGAAGACGCTCACGTGGTAGAATCATTGATTGATACGGTGCGTAATCATCAAGTCTATAAGGCAATTGGCCTGAAAGATGTGTACGAAAAGTACCTGTTGCGTGACATGCCGGGGCACTCGGCTGTTCTTGGTGCTTGGGGGAGGCAGACCAAGTTTGAACTCGATTACCTCTCTGCCTTGGATTTGGGAATGGCGTGGCTTGATCATGAGGATCCCCGTGATGCTGAAACGTCACAGATCGGAGAAGTGCCTGCCCAGAAGCGATATCATCAAGGTTGGCTACTAAACGTCGGAGAGAAAGTTCAATGCTTCGCGTGGGCTGTTGGGGCCCATTCAGTGCAGTACCTCGCCGTTGCTGTGAAATGTACCTCATACCAGAGACGAATGGCACCTGAAAACGAGTGCGAACCTTCAGCTTTTCATCCCTCCCCATCGTATCAGACCGGCATCCAGATCTGGGCCTTTCGTACAAGACCCACGAGTGTCCACGATATCCGAACACTGGAAATAGACGACAAGCCCCGTTTGGCAGTTGTGCTTGGAACTGCATGGGGCAACATCCGTCAACTTAAGTGGTGCCAATTCGAACCCGACGCAGACGATAACCACAAGAACACTGTTAGCCGAACCATTGGTCTCCTTGCGGTGGTCTCAAGCGATGGCCATGCCCGCATGATCGCAGTGCCGCGTCCTGATAATCCCGACGCAATAGTACCGACCACTCTCCGAGTGGAGAGGGCTGGATTTGATATTCCGCCTCCAACGGACACTGTTTTCACCACGCTCGCCTTTGCCGGCCCCACGAATCTCATGCTGGGCACTGCGGACGGATTTCTACATTCCTTCGATTTGGCTGAACCGACCAGCCAAGGAGGACATCCAAAGTGCTACATGAAACAACAACTCCACCACACGTACATCGTTGCTCTCTGCCCGGCCTTGCCCGGCCCACAACCGACCTTCCTGGCTAGCATTTCAGCTTCTGGCGATCTTGCCATGACAGACCTGCGAAGCCCGGAGCAAGACAGGGTCCGCGTTGCTCGACCGAGCTTCCCAACCAAAGATCTGGTATATTCACCATTTACGCGCTCCTTTATCGCGGTTCTCGACCGTGGAGGAAATACCCAGATAGAGAGAAATGCAGCAACGTTCCTTGTCTGTCATCACACCAGGCAATTCCCCAGTTTGTTGAGGATTGCAAAACTCTCACATGATACCGGAGCTGCCACAGCTCTCGCAGGTTCACCCTGGCACCCATGCATTTTGGTCGGCAATGCTAAAGGTCAAGTCCTTGCCACGAATTATCTACGGAAGGTGCTTCCCTACCGGAAATCGGATCCAAAGAAAGCTGTGGGCGCATACATGCAAAAGCTTTGCGAATATGATTGGCATCCGCTCTCGCCGCGGGAGCGAAGACGCAAAGACGGCTCGCCACTCGTCCCGGAAGCCACAGAGGAAGAAATGCCCGATATTTTCCACGGGCATGACACCCGCCCGGGGATATCCCGCTTCCATGAAGGCTTCAAACCAGAGAAAATCGCAGTCGCCTATGTCTTGCCCAAGGTGAAGAAATCGAAGCTAAGAAAGGCCGACACGGGAGGGGCAGGACCTGGAGAGGCTGTCTTCGAAGAAGAGCAAGCCGTCACTGCGCTCGAGTGGAATCCAAATGCGGCCTGTGCTGGGATCGTGGCGATAGGGTGGGGCAGTGGCATCGTGAGGGTACAGGATCTTGCATACGATGTCCAATCGCCATGAGACGATAATGGCAACCTTTGCGAAAAGAGCTGTCGAGAAAATCCCACCTTGAAGGGCCCAGGATGCTCATGCACGATGCCATGACACGTATCGCGACGCAGATGAAGAGAGATTGATGACAGCCTGCTAACAACAAACTTCTTCCCGCATTTGACTGGGCAGGACAGCACAACACAACGCAGCGCAGCATCGTACCGTATTGTCTGTACACAGAAGCATTATAGGCAGACACTTGGCTGTGAATGATCTGATCTACGAGGAGCTGAAGAGCATTCTGAATATTCACTCAGACCCTTTACGATTTGTTTGGAGAGGCTATCAATTGATATTGCTGGTGTAGACAGCCAGCTAACGATTATGTTAGCTCAATGAATTGGCTCTCTCGGTCCATCTCTGTTTTTGATGTTTTCCCAGCTCCTTTTCCTCTGTTCAGCAACAAGCAAAAAACATCCTTTTCCCTGTTGGGTCCCGATCACATTCCCGAACCACAATATGATGGTGTTTCCAGGAAAACAATTGCTGCTCCGCTGATCAGACCCTAGGTAGTGTACATGACAATACAAGGGAGTCATTCCAGGCTTCCTCTCAAATTCCCCCATTTTTGTCCGTATTGGCACATTTTCCACACGTTTCTTCGCTTTTGTTTCATGCTTGTGACATCTTCTTTTTCGTATTTCAAACGCTTGATGCAATGCTGGAATCAATTTCGCTGGATGGACAAAGACGACGGACGCCATTTTCACCCATATCCATAGCCATACCCACACTCGAGATGGAAACACATTCCAGGCCACGAGATTGAAGAAATGCAACGGTCGGGCAATCCTGCATAGGATCCTCGATCCCAAGCCCTTATGTTCCTCACAAGTTGAAGCAAGGGGTAAAGCCGACAAGACATTTAGCTCTTGTTCTCGACTCGGGGGCCACCCCCACCACGGCCTGTTCTCGGCCCTCCTTGTCCATCACCTCTCCCTCGTCCACTGCCGCCACGATGACCATCGCCTCGACCTCCGCGACCACGTCCTCTAAACTCGCCGCGTCCACCGCGTCCACCCCGGCCACGACCACGTTCACGGCGCACCTGCTCGAATCCATCATTCTCCGGAGCGGGTTTCTCCTCCACAGTGGTGGCAGCAGCAGCACCTACTTCCTCAGCCCAGCTGTTCGATCCCTGAATTGCAGCGGGCGTAGCTGCAAGTCCTGTCTCGGGCTCTGTGGGAACACGCACTTGTACCCATTCTTCGTTGGTAGCACTGGTGTCGGTCACTATGGAGGCCTGTGGGTCCCATGCCTCGGCGACGGCGTTGGCAGCTTCTTCTCCGGTAGTGGACTGTTCTGGGACAGAGGGAACTGCATCAGGCTCGGTAGTCTCATTGACGATGTCGTCTGTCGGGATGGCAGTAGTATCGTCAAGCTCCGTAAGACCAGCATTTGCAACGGTATTGTCAACTCCTACTTCAGCTGCGGCGTTTGGAGCCTCATCTGCCTCGACCTCCTGTTCAATTTCGGGCTCCGTGCTCTGCACTACACCGTGGGCACTCTGCAAGCAAGACTCCTTGATCTGGGCGAAAGTGAAATCGAGAGGCTCACCGTGGACGTCTGGGACTTTATCGTCTGTACCATGAATTAGGCTCTGCAATGTCGAGAGCGAAGACTCGTTCCCTTGGTAGACTAGTAGTAAGGCACCTTCAAAGGCACGACCCTCGTCAGAATCCGCTTCTTCGGATTGACGCTTGGAGGCTGCTGTGTGCAAGAAGTGTGTGATGACTCGTAGCCCATCTTCAACAGCCTTTGTTTTGATGTCCCCGATCTCTTGCAAGGCCTTCTCTTTGACAATCGCGATCTCCGCCTCATGTGCTTCGATTAGCTTGGATTTCTCTTTGGCGGCTTTCTCTTCAAGTTCTTGAGCAAAGGCGCGAAAGTGGGAGAGCTGTTCTTCGAGTTGGGCGACCTGGCTTTGGAGGGCAGGTTTCTTCAGGATCTGGGCTTTCTGATCGGTGTTGAGCTTCTTCTGTGCAACAAGTTCGTCGAGGGAGACATTGGGGTTTTCGCTGATGACGGTATCAGCTTTGGCAGAAGCAGCAATCTTCTTGTGCAGGTTGCGGATATTCCTGATTGAACATTGTCAGCATTGCTTCATCTCACGATTCAGAGACGAGTTACTTTGTCAGGTCTTTGATGAACTGGCTCTCCCCGTGAGAGTCGACACCATTCGTAGTAGGATGGGTTTCCATGGTAGAAACAGGTGCTTCGATCGTCGGCGTCACCGCACCGCCGTTAGCAGCCACAGCTTCGGCTTTGGCTTTGCGTTTCTTTGCTGACTTGGAATCGACGGGAACAGTACTAGTGGTCGACATGTTGGTTAGGCGGCGGCTGGGCTGCTTGTTTGGCGATTAAGATCCAGAACTGAGCAAGATTTGAATTGGGATAGGCGATTGTTTGCGGGTGGCTTCAGATGGGATGGAGCAAGCTGTGACGCAAGGTGAAGAGTTGGAAGGCAATGAGGTCACGGTGAGAGCTGGAATGGGCGGCTAAGCTGTGGTCGGAATGATTAAAGAGGTTGGAGGGTTGTCGATGCGTTGCTCGCGTGAGGCTCTTGACAGAATGAAGTAAAATAATCCCGTACCCGCCAAGCAACCTTTCAAACTATTGACCAGTCCGCCTTTCGCAAGGCTCCAGAAGCTTCTTTTACAAGACAAGGCTCCAGTCTACAAGTACATACAATACATATTTTCGGACCTCCATGTGTCTTTGACTGGGTCTATGCAGGCGCATAGAGTGACTCATTGCTGTTCAAGCCTCGACCACCGTCTCAGACTCGTCCCCACTTGGGGTGATGCAGAACCACAAATGTAGGGACAAACTTGCAGCTTGGATTTTTTCTCTGCAAACGCCGATTAATATCTTTCTTAGACCAGAGCGCACTCGACAGAGAAATGCGTGGCGTGTCCCTGTAGGTCTTCATGGCGGGCAAGCATACTGAAGACCTTGGTGTACCGGAATTGCTTTAGTCTGTGCGTCAACCCGGATCAATTCAATCGGTTTGGCTCGTCTTATATTCCATTTTGTTTCATAACCAGCTTCAGCTTGCGTCGGCCTCAAGCGGTTCTTTTCCTTGTAAGCTGGTAGCGGACGCTGTTATCTGAGTGGAAGGGTGACTAGGGTAGTGGCCTATGGCTGCGTTATATGTCGAGTCTCTTCTGCTATTGTCGTGGACCCTGATGGCTCATCCCTTGAATCGTCTTAAAGCGCTCTAACATAACAATCAGTAGATGTCCAATGCTCCTCGGCCTTCATAATGACGCGTGGACATACTATGGTGACCTTCCTGATGTCCTTCGCGGTAACGGTCTTATTTCGTTCCGAGTGTGCTTTGCGAGTCGCAGTCTGCATGAGCCTGCATCGTTTCCGGTGTCAGTGAGGTGAACGTTTGAGACGGCCCTGTGTCAGACATACTCCTCTATAAACAGGATGTAGTTGAGGAAAACCAGTGGATCGACATTGGTGCCAACCTTCTTCCTGGAGTGTGCTCTGAGAATCTTTCGCAGCGTGGGCCGAGAGTAGGTCCTCTTCGTCGACGTCATGGTGGGTGGTTTGTGGATAGAGGGCGTATTGTTGTTGATGGTGACGGAGGTCTTCTAATTGTTGCTGTTTGGTGGCTGTCAACAAGCCGCGCGGGGGCGTTTATTACAAAAACACGCCGAGAGCGCAGGACGCGAAGTCAATGGGGAAACTGCTCTCGACTGCCAAGACAAGGCGAGAGCGCTTGAGCGCTTGAGCGCTTGAGGGCTCGAGGGTAAATTGACCACCGCCGAGCCACCAACTCCCGCCAACACCCAGCAAGGCCAGCAAGGCAGATCGCACCGGTGAATGTCCGTTCTACAGTAGGAGACTCAACTCACTCATTTGAGAGGCCGGTTCGAAGGCACCGAGAAGGATCATTACACGCCACGCATACCCTGGGTGCTGTCCCGTGCACATGAGCGCCATCCCCAACTGCCGCCCTCGTCTTTCGAAGAGCTCATTTCACGCCTTCGATAATGGCGCAACTCCTCAGCGACATTCGTTGGCCTGTACTCTCCAATCTTGATCCTGGACAGTCGATTAGTTATCATATCGACTAGACTCCTTCCCAAGGTACATGCTTTGCGCCTCGCCGACCAAGACCCCGCATGGCTTCCAGGTCTGCCGGACAGTAGGCAAAGCCGAGATCAGGTTGTCCATGAACTCTGGACAACTTCCACTCACAATGTATCTTTGCCCATCATGGCAGAGGCTTCCATTAAAATTGTCTTCCAGTTAGGACAAGGCCAGGGCGGACAGGATGGTGGCATAAGTGTCAAAGAACGACGTTCACATGCTGCTCGCATTGGCCGCCTTAGTTCGACGCAGGCAGCTGGAAGCACTGTGAACAAGAACCAACCCTCGAAACATACTGTGCGATATCCAGCTCCGCGAACCCAAGCCCTCTATAGACTGTGCGTTCGGAAGCCAAACTACGCAAGCAGTTCCAGTTCTGGCTCCAAATCCAACGCTTCCGATAGTTCAAGTTCATCAGATGAGGAGAGACAGCTCACGCCGCCACCGGTGGTGCTCAATGGCAACTCAGATCCATTCGCCATGCTACCAATCATCATCACACCGCTTGTGAACCAGTGTCTGACATTCATGCGAGAGGCGCTATACCCCAGTATATATTACAACTCCTTCTTTCGTCGGCTATATGGCAGCTCACATGGGCCGATTAACGTTCTGCAAGATAGCACCTGGCTACCTGCGCAGACTGCCCGGCAAGACTGGGGGACAGCAGCGAGCAGCCTGACTTCTGAAGGGCAAGCAATGGCCTGTATTGCTAGCTTCCTCGGCAATATGGCCCCCCTAATGCCCGAGGCAGGGCGTCTCAAAATCCGCCGTGAAGCTCTAATCTACACCACGAAGAGCTCGCAGTTGTTGCGAAGATCTCTGGACAAATTACCCAATGCTGGCAGCAAAAGTGTTCTCCTCCGAGATCCGAGTCTGATCACCCATGTCTTCTGGCTGTTTCGCGCTGCCGTGTTCTCTGAAAACAAATCCTCAGTTGCCGTGCACGGCAAGGTCCTAGCTCAAAGCATCATGCAGGGCTTTAATGAAGGTTTCGTTGACCACTTAATGATTATCCAGGCTATCAATGCAGACTGTGATGACGCCACGAAATTTATGCGCCGCACCCACTTCGATCCAGACTGGTACCGGACGATTATTCAGCCAATATGGGCGATGGCTGAATATATCCTACCTCCTATTCCCGAGACCGCCTATGTTAACATCAACTCCACCATCGAGATACCTGAACTGCGAGAGATATTTACCAACTCGCTCCATCAAGCCGCCTACTGCGAGGACGGAATGCAAGTGCCCCACGAAGCATGGGGTCCCCTGGAGCAAAGACAGCTTGCATTCGCCTGGTTCGTCACACAGAGCGAATACACCATGTCAAAACTTCTTCAAATCTACTTCGATCTCCAAGGTGGTAATTATGTACCATACCAAACAGGAGCGCAGCAGGCCCCGACACCAGGTCAGCGACTGACGCAGATTGGGCTGGCGTTGGGATTACTATACTACGTTCGCGTTTTGGGCCACGAGACGAAAATCAATGGCCAAGACATTCGAGACTCCTCGCCTGAAATCATAAAGCATTTGAGATCCACGATGCAGCAGGTGTCGGTCGTTGCCACCGAAGACGAAAAGCAGCATTACAGGGAGGCGCATGCGTGGGTGTACTTTTTGGGCGCATTTGAAGAGGAACGCAAGGGAATACCTCCAACGTCAACGTGGTTTCAGCGCCGCCTTGCCGAACACGTCAATGTCTCGCGCGAGAAGAGCTGGAATACTTCGTCTAGCTGGATCGGATACCGCCGTATTTTCCGCACGTTTCTCTATACGGACTGGGCTTACCCTAGTGGTTTCGCATGGTTCGATCGTATCGTCACCATGTACACGATGCCCGTATCATGAATGCCGTCCGATTATTACAACAGCAGCTCATGCACAGTCAGACCCAAGCTAAAGAAAGATTGATCTCGAAGATCGACCTATGTTTTGGATTATTGCAGACAACTAGGGGGCTGTTACAATATCATGTCAAACCAAAGAAACAGCCTTCACATGAACCTTCGACGACGGGACCACCTCGACGTCGCAAGAAGGCAGTATATGCTCCTCGAACCGATCCACGACGAGCTTCCACGGGAACACTTATATGTTGATCTGAAGGCCAAGAAGAGTTAACGCGGAAGGGGTCTTGAGAGCGATTCGTTCTTTGAGAATTGACCGAACGTCCCCAGTTCTGCTCGAATCACTTAGTCAGCAACTCATGAAAAGTTCTCTTGGACAGAGAGCCAGGTCTGTGGTGATTGGTTCCATTGCCTGTAAATATGGAGATCATGGCTCTGGGACAACAGGGCGGGAATTTCTGCGAGAAATCGAGTACTGAATGGGGGGTAGTCATGGACACTGGGATAAGGGCTCGCGTAGCTTTTTCGATCGCTTGAACGGCGAATGTCAGGCTGCTGTTTGGATGAGGCGTCCTCCCTGTGCAAAACAAACAACACGACTAATAGGGTCTCACGCAAACCACCTAGTCAGATTTTCTTTTCTGTTGCTACATTCCAATTGATCACTGCTGCTAGGACGAACGCTAGTCTACGCTATCAGCTTCAGGCTCATCATCAGATGCAGCGCCGTCTTCGCTCGCTCTCGCACGTCCAGATCAGAATCTGTTTCCATCTTCCTCAGATGTGAAACGAAGCCGACCTTTTGCAACTCAATGGCTCGGTGTCTGCATCCAGCTCGATCATTCGCATCGTCCTCGTACGTCAAGTTGATGGCGATCCAGCAGCACGTCGACCGAATCTCTCGGTCTGCATGGCCACAGAAGGTCAGGATCTGCTTGAGCAGGGCGTGTTGTGAGGCTATCGCATTCCGCCACTTCGGGTCGCAAGCAGCAATATGCACCAGGACAAACAACACCTTCACAACGATCGTATTCGGCGGTGGGGTGGTGTAGTTGTCTTTCCGCGTAGGGCCAGCGAGCGTGCGTGGGCGTAGTCGATCGAGCATGATTCGGAAAAAGTCGTCCTGGCCCATTTCATCTATGACATATCTAACCAGGTCGGAAGCATTCTCGCCGCAGAAAAGGTTTCGAAGAAGATCCAGCAGTTGTGCTTGAATCTGGATGTCGTCTTCCACGCTGTGCTTGGCATCAAATCCACCATTGTAATCGACAGATATTTCAGAACTCCCGCTCGCGTCTTCCCCATTCTCACCGTCCGGCTCCGAGCCCTCGCCCATGATAATATCTTGGGGGTTGTCAACTGAAGCGGCAGATCGCCTATATGTTGTGATTTGAGGGTAATCTCTCTCCACGAGTCCAATCACTTCGCCCTCGGGTATATCGATGGGATCCGTTTTTATCAGTAGCTTGATCCAGCTGCAACCCAACTCGTCCACAACCTCCTGCTTAAGCTTCTTGTTGGCATTGAGCACAAGTTGTTTGAGAGCCCACAGCGATTCATGCCGAAGCCGAGCGCTTGCCGAATGGGCCTGCTCGCACAACTTCTTCACCACCGTGGACTCCCCAACGCTCTCTTTGACCGCACTGAAGTCCATGGCCAAGTTGGTGAGGACCTTCGTGGCCGCAATCCTCAGCTCTGGATTTGTCGAGTTCATCATTTTCAAGATCGGTTTAGCAACATCCGCCTCGATGAGCTTCGTTCGTAGCGCTCGAACAGACCTTCCTAGTGCTCTTACAGCTGCGCAAGCAGCCAATATCACAGAAGCCGAATTTCCTGCTATCTCGATCTCCTGGTTAAAGCCAACTTGAGCCTCGCAAGGTTCCAAAGCCTGAATGATATATGGCAAAACACTCTCATTGCAAATTTGTTCGCGGTAGTCTTCCTCGAATGGAGCAATAGCTGCTAGGGCTTTCAAACAACCTTCTCGATACTGCATTTCCGTCCGGGCCGTCCAGGTCGGTCCACCAGGACCTATGCGCGTACCGGGGGTTTTCGTATCCGTTTCCATCTTATCTGGTTTGTGCGGCTGCCAAGGGGATAATTTGCGACTCGAAATCCCTTCAAAGGTCATTTTCAGACCAATGGACAAACTGACAATGGCCTTGCCCTCCACAGCCACTCTCTGCATCTCGCGATCATCCATTATAAGCGCAGCTAGTACTGCGGGGACGGCCCACGCGTAATGTGTGCCAGCACAAAGATACAATCCGCTGGGCTGGTGGGCAGGATCGAATTGCGCTGGGTCGGGGTCCAGCATCCGCGTCAAGAGCGGCACCAACAATGACGCGAAAGACGAACCACGGTCCTTCTTCACGAAATGCAGGTTGTGAAGGTTGACCAGTAATCTCGCCGCCAGAAGACGCCGTCTCCCGCGCGATTCCCGAACGACATATAACAGCCAAGAGATGACGGCGCTCTCCTGAACATCTTCTATAGCATCCTGGTTTAGATTCAAGTTTGGTACCCCGCTCGTGGTTGGGAGAAAAGAAGGACGTCGTTTGGGCATAGCCGTGACCGAGCCCAGTGGAGGAAAACCGGGCTGTGCAGCATTTGCCTTCTCAGATATAGGTGCGATTGGAAGGAGCGAATCGAAGGGTCCATGCAGCCGTGAGCGCGGGACTGCGGCGCCAGATAAGTAGCTAGCTCCCCATGGCGCGCGGCGGATATCTGAGGGTGAGAAGTCCTCCTTAAGGTCAGGAAGTACAGCCTTAATGGTAGGATCTGTTAAAAAGATCTCCGCCCGTGACTTGGAGCCCTCAACCAACACGCAAAGTGCCTCGAGTACTGGGGAAAGGTGCGCGCAAGATGGCGCTGGTTTGGGAAGGCCAGACGGGATGCTACCATCACCATCGAAGGCTTCAGAGCCAGGAGGGACGAGCCCTTCGGCGACCACGAATGAGGCCAATCGACTCGCAAGTATTTTTAGGACGCCTGACTCGGTCAGTGCACGTTTCTGAGCCTCGTGTGTCACCGTTTTGCACAGAAGAGCCAAGATGGAATCGCAGGCCTGTTGAGACGCCAGTGTCGCATTAGCATTTCCAATGATGTGTCTAAAGCACCGTATGCATCTCTTTGAGTATAGGAGATCCGCAAGCTTCGCACTTTGTGGCCATTGGCCCGCGATCGCGGGAGGAAGATTGTCGGCGATGGCATTGAGACACTTGAGGATCGCAAGGCGAGTTCTGAGGGGGAGGTGCAGCAGGAGGAAGGAGACCAGTCTTTGGAGAACATCGGTTTCAAGGAGCGGTTGTACAAACGAGGGACCTTCTGTTATTCAGCAGGATTAGCATCAAAGAAGCCAGGCAAAAGAAAGGGCGTACTGACCGTGGGCGATGACACACAGGATCTGGGCAACCTGGGTCGTCACCAATCCATCCTGTTCGGGTTGGGCGTCGGCTCCGGCCAGCGCAGACTGCTGGGTGGCAACGTCGGCCAGAATCTTTGTGAGCTGGGGGATGAGGCCCTGCTGAATGTATTCGACCTTGCGTGAGACATGGCCAGTCAGGTCGCACTTGATTCTTTTCAAGGCTTGCAACTGGCCTGAAGATCCGTCTGCAGCAGTGAGATCCTGCAGAGCAGATCTTGCAAGCCTGAGCGATGCCATGCGAAGGAGGAGCAGGACATGAACAGTGGCACACCAAATATTCAGACTCGGCGTACTGGTAATTGACGACACGAGCAAGCACGAGTAACCGCAACGGTTGTTGATGGGCAGGTGTCGTTGCAAGAGTTGGGGGTGTGGGGGAGAGGGTTTGTGGCAAGTGTATGGCAGTGTGTGGCAGTGTGTGGCAGTGTGTGGCAGTGCGTGGCAGAGATTGTCCGAGTCAAACGAGTATCAAAGGAACAGGTATGGGCCAGATGAGGTTTCCAGCAAGCGGAGAAAGGAAAAAAAGGGCTGGAGAGGTGGTTGGCGGATGGTGTTCCGTATTTCCAGTACTCGGTACTTGCGAGTGGCACCGAGCGTGGTACATAAGTACTGTAGCATGTACATAACAAGTACTCGGTACAAGTACCCAGTACAAGTACTCGGTAGGAAAGAGAAAAAAAAAAAGACGCAGTCTGACGGTGTCGCCTAGCTCCGATGGTGCTGATGGTAATGGCGGCACGAAAAGCGAGCCTTGGTCAGACCGGTCCACTTTTGCATAGGCGAGCTGCACCCATCATTGGCATAGCCCACTAGCCCCGAGCGAACCCCCTACTGGCCCCCCTCCCCAGTCAATGCCCAGCGAAGCCCCCGAAAAGGTTTGTCGGGCGTGGAAAATCTGGACAAATGCGCTTCTTTGGCGTCGCCTCGTGCCTCGTGCCAGCGCCGATCTTCTGATGCCTCGATGAGCTGATCCCACCCAGACTGCACCCATGCTCCAGATGCACTTTTGCTACATATAGTATTAATTCCCACGCAGGCATCTGGCTCGCTCGCTCGCTTTGCTTGCTTGTGTTATTCTCATCCTTCGTTCTTGTCCCTCCAGACCAGACAGCTACCTTGTTGTGTCGTTAGTGAAGACTCTGCCCACCGTCGCCCCATGCACGCCCGGACCCTCGCTGTCGCCGTCCATCGTCTTTTGCACCCACCTCTCCGATCGGCATCCTCGCCGTCGACTCATTCTTCACTGACTTCGAGCACCCAGCCCATGCGAAACATCCTCCTTCCATGAACGGCTCGCAGCGCCGCACTCCCCTTCCGATGTTGAGGTTCGTTGAATATGCTGGCAACATCCCCATCCCCTAATATCCCACCTACCGCCGCCCTCGAGTCGGGTGTTGCCGTATATTCCTCCAGTCGACCGCAGTATGATCACCCGATGATCAAGCCTGTCAACCCTCGAACTACCGCCGTGGAACAGGCCAGTACACCCCGAAAACGTCCTCCATCCTACGATCTAGACTTCCAAAAGCCCCGCAGGATACAAAGCACGCGGTCCCTCGACCGCTACAAATACTCGCCCCGGCCTCAACCCCGCGTAAAAATGGTTGATGCCGCAACACAATACTCACCCCCAAACCAACAGAAAGCTGAAAAGACCCCAACCAGTACAATCGCAGGCCTGCAGCTGTCCGAAGGCGACGACCATCCACCCAAGACTGCCCCCCTCCCGTCGGCTGCGAAGCGACGAGATGACACAGTTGGCACCACCGGCACGGCTGGCACGGCCGGCGGGGCTGCTAATCCCGCCAAATCGGAGAGCACGACGGGTTCAGGCCAGACGAAGAGGTTGGCTGCTGAACCTCCTGCCGAACCGGAACCGCGCACAAATGGGCTCGCGTCAGAAGAGGCGCAGACCACACAACACTCCCCGGTGAAAAAGGCGCGTCCGGATGCCCCGCCAGTACGAATAATGCCGCTGCGGTATGAGACCTGCAACACGCGGGATCTGGTGGTGTTGATATCCTCAATGCTGATGGAGCTCATCCGGTACAACGATGCGATTCCGCTGCGAGAAGGCCAGCTCACCCGCTTCCATTCACGAGCCCCTCCGGGCATCTCAGTCCTCGACTACCTCCAACGATTGACCACTCACGCCACATTATCTCCACCGATATTGCTCAGTGTCGTCTACTACATCGATCGCCTCTGCGCGCTCTATCCGGCTTTCACCATCAGCTCCCTCACTGTCCATCGATTTCTCATAACGAGCGCCACGGTCGCAAGCAAAGGCCTGAGCGACTCGTTCTGGACCAACAAAACATATGCCAGAGTGGGCGGCGTCAGTATGAAGGAGCTCGCGCTGCTGGAACTTGAGTTTCTCACCAGAATGGAGTGGCGCATTGTGCCTAAACCGGAGGTCTTGGTGGATTATTACAAGTCACTGATCGCTAGAAATTCTCAGTATCAGCTCGAAACTACATAGCATCAACAAGGTTGGTGTGGAACTCTTGTTACTCACATGACTTCCCCTATTTCATGTGTACTCGGCCTGGCGCACAGCCAGACACAGGCGTATGCAAGCCAGGGGGTCACTATGCGCAGACGGGGAGCGGAAGTACGGAGTATAAACCATCCTCAGTGAGGAGGCCGCTTGCAGACTTTTACGAGATTTGATGCCGTCTTCCGAGACGAACAGGAACCAGATTTGAACGGCCGATAATTATACCACCATTGTACTAGCTAGAAGATGCCAATCACCAACCCGCGCGAAACGGAGTTGGATTAGTGATACATATTCCACACTCGGATTCATGCCATGTCCAGTATTAGGCGTCACTGAATATGCCGGAGTCATTGCTTGCCCTTAAGCCCTGAAGCATTAACAAGCCCACCCGTCTACTCGTACATCATTAATAGGGTCTTATATCTACCGAGCCCCTCCGCTCACCTTGAGTGGGAGCATAGAATACACTGGAGAGCACCCCTCTTTGTAGAAAGGAGAGAATGTGCCCGTCTCGGATCATGAGGCTAGGTAGGAGGAGGAGCCAGCCCGGGCTCGCCGCCTCTCGTCCTCCCGCTCCTTCTCGTCCTCCCGATCCTGCTGCCTCTTCTCCTCTTCCACGAATTGTCTGGGCTCTCGAAAGAAAATGTGCCATGAATGTTTTTCTGTTTCATTGTTGTGGGTCTTGTCCTGGACAATAAATCTTCGATATAGAGTCGCATTTCTTGCTGCCCACGCGATGAAATATCCGAGGAAACTTTTGTCCCGCGCCCTCACAGCCTCTTCACCCAAGTCAGCGCGGTCCCAATCTCCAAAGCCAACTAATCCAGAGGGCGACAGAATGTACTCGGAGCTCTGATTCCAGGGCCGGGTTCGAACGAATTCGTCGGGGTCGTCATTACGGCCTCCGTTGCACCGTGACGCCTCCAATGATCGCGATTGTAGTCGATTCAAGGCTAGCGACATGTCAATGTACCTAGTGGAGGTTAGCACTGCGTGTTCTTAAGAGGAGGCAAAACGAACTTCTGCTGCGTTACGCCATGGCTGTCCTTCGCCCGCCGTAGGATCCATGAAGAGATGTCCGGTAGAAGAAAGAGCTTCCAGAATCGCTGTTTGTTTAGCGACTTCTTTTCGAACCAGTGGATTGCCCAAATTGCCTCTTCCGGGTGACGAACCAGGGTACTTTCCGTGATACACAAAACAGTTCCGCGTGGGAAGAGTCTCGTCATTGGGCTTCTGGGATCAAGGTTGGAATCTTTCATCTGGTGGAATGAGGACGAGATTTCGTGACAGAAAACAGATGCAAGTCGGAGGGTTTTACAGAAATCGCGTAGATCGCAATATGTCCTTTGCTGCTCGTGGAATAATACAACGCCAGTTCTGTTGGGGAGGTTGTCCTGAAATTCTTCCCAGTCGTCCTCCTCCGTATCCATGAAAACCTTACGCGGGCTCAGATATTTATACAGCCATTGCTTTACAGCTTCGGCTTCGGCTTGGTTAGACTTCCCAAAGCATATCATTACCCGCGGCTTGCGTTGTGTTTTATCCCACCCACAGAACAAGTCATCGAATTTGGCCGAGAAGGATAACATCCCTACCGTAGATGATATGGCAGTCGTGTAATCCATCAAGTCTTGAGATGGGGCCAATTGGCTGATAGGCACCGCAGTCTCCGCTGAACCTGAGCGTTCTTTCGCCGTTATCGTGGTTGATGTTGGAGTCGATGCCGATGGCTCGTCTGGACTCTTCACATCGGAGCGCGCTGAATCTGCACTTTCTTTTGCTGTTATCGTTGTCGGTGTTGGTGTGGATGCCGATAGCTTGACTGGGCTCTGCACATAAGCGCGTGCCCCGTCTCCCATGACTAATCGAAGTTCAGGTTGTGAAGATTCGGGCTGACGTCCAGGCAGGTCTGTATTCTGCTCGCCAGTGCCTAGTGGGATGTAATCAGCCCTTCCTGGATCATTCTCCAGGAAGACTCCAGGTAGCTTGTTGCGGACAGCAAACTGCAATCGAGGTTCTAGGGTGCTGACTGTCCCCTCTCTGATGTTTCTCCATCCAGAAGCTCGACTCGAGTACAAGATCAAAATGAGACTATCCCGAGGTTGAGGGTATTCCCAGATGGCACCCAAATCATACTCTTCTAAATATCTCCTTAGATCTTCAGTTGCACCCAGAGTATTATCATGAGCCTGGATCGAGAAGTTCCCCACATTCTTCGGGTGTAGCTTCGGTCATTAGTAGGGCATATACTTAGTATTGGGATTTTGAAACTTACCTTTCGAGAGAAGTCGGAAAATTCCTGCGCGTTCATGGCCCACTTGTCCTTGAAATGAATAGTCAAAAGGAGCGCTCCTGGCTCTTTTACACCTCTAAGTTTGCCGATCAACCAAAGCGGTAACCCGACTAATGTCACAGTTCCTATCTCGTGGTTTCCAGCCCTTATAATGACATCAAGATTTCCTGTCTTTCCTTGATATGTGGCCCTCGAAGCCAATCCACCAGGCCCCGGAGCCATGGTCTCTTTGGAGGGGCCATGGTTGAAAGAAACATCGGCGGATCGTGGCTGAAAAGTTGATATGTTAACGGGCCTTGAAGGCACGACGACATCATCATGCTCTGGCGCTAGCGGGATAATTACGCTGTTCGAGCGTGGCTGTAAGGAGGGTGGCCGTCTCTCAGCGAATGCATTCGATGGTATTGAATCGCGTGACTTGGCCCTAATAATTGGTACTGACTTCCTAGTAGATATGTTTTCTCTGGACGTTTCTGATGCGCCCCCATTTACAGCTGCCTTTTCTGGTGCCTTGGATGCGTTTGGACTGCCCGCCGGAGCTCCCAAAGCTGGCGCTGGTAACTCGCTTAACAGATTCTGTTTGGAACTCTGGAGATTTTCTTTCTGTGTGGGTAGATTCTCGACCTGGGCTTGTTCCATCTCGTTGTCTTCAGGGACAAGCAATGGAGAATGCCTGGTCTTATCTCTTTGAGCAAGATCTTGAACTTTAGGAGCGGGTTGAATGCTCCCAGACATTGCCCATTCACCTGGTGATCTCAGATCGAGCTTTGATATATCTGGCGGACGTTCCCGGCTCGCGAGTTTGGAATACATATTCTGTTCTTTCAGATTTCTGAATCTCTGTCCTGCCTTGTTTTTTCCCGGAGCTTTCGCTATCGGCCCAGTGTGAGCACCCTCCGGCTGTATTCCAACAGGCGGGGTATTGACCGCGTCTCGCTTGGTCTGTTTGGATCTCGGGGTGGGGGTTACATTAGTCTTGTTTTTCTTCGATGCTTGAATCGCGTTAACAATTTCTCCCCCCTGCTTCCCTGTCGACGCCGGGGATAAATTAGCGTTGCCTTGCGTTAAAGCGCTGAGAAAAGGCGCGGTGGTGGCTTCTGTCGTTCCCTTTGCCGCGGGAGGTGGCTTTGCGTTGACTTGCTTTGGCGTCACCTGGGCAGAGCCTGCGTTGGCCATCTTAGGCTTCTGTAGACGGGCCTGCTTTGCTCTACCCTGCACTGCGACTTCCGAGTGTTCTGGAGCCTCCTCCTTTACAGTCGCTGAACGAGATCTATGCGGTCGCTTAGAGCCGGGCCGGTTTGGAGTTGGAGGAGATACTTGTAGCCGGTTAACGGGGGATCGAGGCGCTGGCGACTCAGACTTTGCCTGCCAACTGGGCTTTTGGCTCGATGCCCTCCCACGGGTTTCTTGGAGTTGTTTTTGTTCTTCTTGTTGTTGGAAAGCCTCCATTCGCTCCTCGACCTCAGCAACCTGTTCTGGGGGTAGGAAATCACCACTGTCACGCTGCCGTTCCCATTCGGCTAGAATGTCATCTGAAAAGTGCTCAGCAGGCTCCCAAGTACATTCGGCATCTCCATATCCCTCCCACTTGGTGAGAAACATGGGTTTTCCATTGATCTCACGTTGATAGAGGATCCTCTCGAGGCTGTAAATGTCACTGTCGTCATCCGCGTTGCTATCGTCCATATTGTTTTTCCCAGCCTCGAAGCAGGAGTGCGAATAAGATGCAAATGGGAATGAATCACACGAGCTGGAGTCAGTCACCGGCGAAGAGGTGGAAGCCCCAGTGTCAAGGGCGAGTCAAGGGCTAGCACAAACCGCTTACACCACAGCGGATACTCCTTTTGAAACACAAGTTAACGGTCTGTTGTTCATTTTAGCTCTGTGAAGACCGGAACTCGGCAAAAAAAGCATGCGTAGTCATGTTCAACTCCATAGAAGGTGCAAATCCCAAGTCGACACGAAACACAGGTGATGAACCACAGGTGAAATATGCGTGAAGGACTCTATCACGTGAGCGCCAAGATAATCCGCAGGATGCGCCTTGGGGATTATCCTCCTTGGCCTCTCAGGCAATCATTCACCTTCTTGTGTGGACCTTAATATCACCACCTCCCAACTGCATTGGCAGCTCGCACCGTCTGAGGCCAGTACGAGACTTTGAAGAGCGTGTCGTTTCACCGAATTGGTGCTGGACACGACCGAACCCCCAATTTCATCGCATCCACTTTTTCGGTGTGATCGAGGCTCACCCTATCCTGTTGGTCATGGCGAACGACGAGTACGATTTCCTCTTCAAGGTCGTTTTGATCGGAGACTCAGGCGTCGGCAAATCAAACTTGCTGAGTCGCTTCACTCGCAACGAATTCAATCTAGATTCAAAATCCACCATCGGCGTCGAGTTTGCGACCAGATCCATCCAAGTTGACACCAAGACAATCAAGGCACAGATTTGGGACACTGCGGGACAGGAGAGATATCGTGCTATCACGTCTGCCTACTACCGAGGAGCAGTCGGTGCCCTCCTGGTCTACGATATCAGCAAGCATCAGACCTATGACAATGTCACGAGATGGTTGAAAGAGCTGCGGGATCACGCGGATGCCAACATTGTCATCATGCTTGTTGGGAATAAGAGTGATCTACGACATCTACGTGCTGTTCCTACAGAAGAAGCCAAACAATTCGCCAGTAAGTCTCCATCTGGTTCCGCGGCTATCTTCGTTGAGCTGACCCAGGAACAGGTGAAAACAATCTCTCTTTCATCGAGACCTCGGCGCTGGACGCGAGCAACGTCGAACTGGCATTCCAGAATATCCTAACAGGTGAGACATGGTTACGAACCTTTAACGGCGAGTGCTGATCCTCCGTGCAGAAATCTATCGGATCGTCTCGAGTAAGGCTCTCGACAGCGGCGACGCGGCGCAAGCACCAACTGGCGGTGTGAAGATTGACATGACTCCTTCGGGAGCCCCAGATGCCAAAGGTAACAAGTGCTGTTGAATTGCACAGTATAGACATCAGTGATTGTCAGGAGCACGGCGTTCTCATGCGCATGACCCCGGGGGATGATGTATTGAACGTGATCATGAATCATACGGTTCGACGGCGGATTACAATGGCTTGATTCAAACCAGAGAGTTACATTTTTGCTCTGTTCTGCAATCGAAGACTGCCTCTCAACACTTTCCATTCTACCCTTCGGGTTTCGCGGGTGTGACATGTTGGTAGAGGATACAAGGTACTCCAGAGCAAGAGTTTTTCTGCTTGAAATGTAACCATCGATGGTCTTCTACATTAGGGTAGACTACCCATAACCAGACCGGAACCGGAGTGATGGGCTATGGCCTAGCGGCCGGTAACGTTGGTAATATCCATAAGCTTTCACAGACTTCCAGGTTCTATGAGATTGTAAGGTGACCTGGGCGACGCAGGCAGATGGCCCCGATAACCATGAGCCTGAAAATCCCGTAACTCCCGACCCGCTGGTCGATATTTAGGAGGCTATTTGTCGGGCACACGATTGTGACGGTGGGAGTCCCGACTGGCAAGCCCTTGTTGATGATACTGACAACTCCGCAAGGTCGCTGCCGCGATGGTTGTATACTTTTGGCTTTGAGATCGCCAATAGAGCAACAGACGGCGTCTGAAAGGGATTTTGTAGATTGAACCTTTGTCCTCTTCTAGTTTCGCATTGACAGGCCAATTCGCAGATTTCTTTTCGAGTAATTGAATGTAAACATGCCGAGCCATTGAATCACTCGTTGTAAAAGTATAATGCCTAGTCTCCCCTTTATTCTCATTTCTGATAACAGACACAATACAGCGACAAGGTTGGGTTGCATGTTTACCGTCGTTGTAGAAAGGAACCGAAGTGAAGTTGAAGCACTAGCCACAGGTTCTCTGGCAGTGTATCAGAACTTTGCAGTCCTCCCGTGAGTTAGGCTCTACCGGATCGGCTGTCAGCAGAAACTGGATAAGACTCAGAACTCCCCGACAGAGACGATCGAGGACGGCATGGTGACAATCCTCCAGGGCCGGCTGCCACAATGCCTGGCATGGCAATCGCAGCATGCATTGGCGGAATTGATGATCCTGATACTACTGATGCGCGACGCATCAGATCGACGGGATGTTTGATGCCTTGGCCCAACAAGCGAATTCGACCACCACGGATTCGTTTCAGGAAAGCCAAACCTTCTTGGACATTGAGAAACACCTTGTCGGCCTCGTCGACTGGAAGCAGGCCTCTTGATCTCGATTTCCGCTTCCTGATCGCTTCTGGCACGAGCCACCGCCACAATTCACCTGCCCACCGGATAATTGTGCCTGCCACGGCATCAGGAAGAAGTCGTATCACAATGCCCACCGGAATGGACATGAAGCCCAAGACTAGGGAAATAGCCCATTGGACGCCATTCAGCCTTGTCACCACGAATGCATCTCCACCAACGAACACGATCACCAACTGGCCAACACCCATGATGGTGAACATCAGCATGAACAGCCAATTTTTGTGCAAACCTTCGAAGATGTTGAGTTTGTTGTCGATGCGCCTGCTGTTGACAAGTTTGAAGATCTGCATCCACACGAAGACATTGAAGACCAAGGTCCTCTGCTCGTCTGTAGGATAGTGCAGGAAATCCGGCCCGGCGAAGTAGAGGATGAATGTAACCGTGAGTTGATAGAGTGATTGGCCCATGATCATCTTCCACATTGTGACGTTGATTAGTGGCGTATATCTGGGTTCGGGCTTCCTGTCTAGGACGGTATAGTTTGGCGGATCTGTAGCGAGAGCCAATGCGGCAAACGTGTCCATGATTAAGTTGACCCAGAGCAACTGAACCGCAGTAAGGACAGATTTTTCGTCGTTGTTCGAAACTGCTGAGACAAAAGTGAGTATGACGGCCGTGATGTTCACTGTGATTTGAAACTGAAGGAATTTTTTCACGGAGTCGTTCACCGTGCGGCCCCAGGCTAATGCCTTAACGATGGATGAGAAATTGTCATCCATGAGGATTATGTCGGAGGCTTCCTTGGCGACTTCAGTTCCTGTAATGCCCATTGAAAACCCAACGTCGGCGGCCCTTAGTGCTGCCGCATCATTCGTACCGTCTCCTGTCACCGCCACCACTTCCCCGAGCTCCTTCAGAGCTTTGACTAGGATGCGTTTATCGTCTGGACTGGACCGCGCAAGGACGCAAAGACTCTTCGCTGCTGATTGTAGCTCGCGCTTGTCAAGGTTGCGGAATTGACTTCCTTCCATTACCATGCCGTCATCCTTGAGAATGCCACATTCCTTGGCAATGGCTCTGGCTGTTTCGATGTTATCGCCTGTCACCATTTTCACAGCTACCGACGCACGCTGGCAATCTTTCACTGCCGCAGGTACGCCATCACGGACTGGGTCCTGGATCCCGACGACGCACAAGAGAGTCATTTGCTCAAAGACATCTGATGCTTGTGGCTGCTCGGGAAAGTCCGGATTTGAGCTTGCTCTCGTTGGTGGCGGCCACTGGTCAAAATCGCGGTAGGCGATTGCCATGGTCCGCAAGGAGCGGGACGCATATGTGGATATAACATCCATGAGTGTCTTCCTTTGGGCGGCCTCCAGCGGAACATGCCCCAGCTGATCCAGAGGCTCGCTAAGCACTGTGGCACACTGTTCCAGTACGATCTCCGGCGCTCCTTTGACAAACAGGCGGTACTTGTCACTTGATGTCTTGACCACGACACCCATGTATTTGCGGCGAGAGTCAAATGGGTACAGCTCCACCATGGGGTAGTTCGACCTCTCGACGCTAAGTGGACCCAGCGCGAAGTTCCGCTTCGCCCAGTCGAGGAGTGCAGTTTCGGTTTTAGATCCTATATAGGTCGGTGCTCCTTTTTCAATCCCTTCGAACGCGGTGGTGTTGAGGGCAATCGACTCCTTTAGTATTTCCCGTAGCTGTGGAGGAAGCATTGACATGGCGCTGTTCTCGGAATCTCGTAGACCTGTAGCTCGTGCTCCAGGGAGCATTGCCGCTGTGGCTGTATGGGATAGGTGGTTTCGGTCCGTAGCTCTCGTATGGAGCGCTGCAGGCGAGGAGGAACTTGGCTCTTTCGCGACCTTGTCGCGATCGCCGAAGGATAGCGCTTTAGCCCCTATTGTCCCTGCTACCACAGTCATGACGTTCTGGGTCAATGTTCCCGTTTTGTCGGAGCAGATAACCGTTGCATTTCCCATTGTCTCGCAGGATTGAAGATGTCGGACTAGATTGTTGTCCTTCGTCATCCTCTTTGTCGCAAATGCCAGAGCGAGGGTGACGGCCAGAGGTAGGCCTTCAGGGACAGCGACCACAATGATTGTAATCGACGTGACAAGAATGTTCATGAAGTGTTGGGCCTTCTCATCAGCGCTTCGGTCGTCTGTGCCGAGTCTGGCTAGAAACTCGATCAGGAGGACAGCGAACAAAAGCAGTCCAGCGCCGGTACCAATCTTAGCAATATATCCTTCAGTCATATCAGCACAAGTCCCTTAAGTCGCAGAGGAAGTCTGAACCTACCGGCGAGAGCACTTAACTTGAACTGCAGGGGGGTCAGATCCGTCTCCTCATGCAGGGATACCATCGTATGCCCAAACCCCGAGTGTATCCCAACTGCAGTAACTAGGAAGGTACCAACACCTTCGGACACTTTGGTGCCAGAGATCATGAACGGATCAAGCTTCTTTACGTCTCCTTTTTCTGCTTGGAGTGCAAGGACATCTTCCGCGGGTGTTTTCTTGATGAGATCTGACTCTCCGGTTGCGGATGCTTCGTCACAGCTGACGTTATGTCCCTCAATGAGGATGCCGTCCACGGGCAGAACATCACCTGGTTCAAGCACCACTACATCTCCGACCAGGATGTCATGAATTCCAATTTTCATCGCCCGGCCCGATCGGATGACCTTGACGAGCCTGTCTTCCCTTTTCCGGTTGAGCTTCGCAAACTGCCGTTCTTTTTGCCAATCATTCAATGCGCCGACAACCACAACAATCAGGATAGCGACGATGATGGCGACTCCCTCTACCCATTCTACCCTCGCACCTTCTTCGTGTGTGGGGCCGAACGTCTGGTACAGGCCTACTGCAAGGGACACCACAGCAGCAACACTCAACAAGATCAGTACTTTGTCGTGCATTGCGATCCAGGCGAGCCTCCATATCGATTTTGGCTTTTTCTCCGGAAGGACGTTTTCGCCAAAGACGCGTTTGCGGTCCACGAAGCCATGGCACTTTTTGTCGCCTCGTTCACGTGGAATTTCCGGGCCGCTTGGCAATTTTTGCGTTTGCAGGATGGCCCCTGTCTGGATTGCCTCTTGGGAAGAGATACGTCCTGTCGGGTGTTCCTCGTCAACGCTCAATCCAGCGCGGAGGTCCGTTTTCAGACCCTTCTCCAGAGCCGCCAGCCCGCCCAATTCAAGGAGGGTGGCATGGCTTTTCGGGTTCGTAAGCTGCGAAAGTTGTTCTGGCGAGAAGGCAAATGGGTTGTTTTTATTAATTGCCTGTTCTTCACCACGCTTCCGTTCTAATATGATTGCGGGTGCCATTTAACACCTGAGGGCATCGGTGCCAGGCTCCAAAATGATGTTTCAGTAATTGCAACAAGTGATCGTTCAGGGCAGCTGTGAGAAGAAAGTCGCGAACAGGCTTCGCCATGAGACTGGAGGGTTGTTAAGAGAGAACCACGGGTTGAGTGAGAGCACGAGGTTGTCCATTTTCGAGTCTTGAAATGCTGAGCCTCCCTTGGCCAAAAAAAGTCACGCCCAAGCATCGCGGTAGCCGTTGGATGAGGCCAGAAATGAAGAGGGAGAATTAACGCAGAAGCATCTGATTTGTAGACGATTTCTTGCCGCCATGGAGAATCAGACCACACTCGAAGAATCTACGTACCCGCCAAGGCTCACATGATTCCATTGTGATCAGTGTGTAACTTTGGTTGGAGGAAGCCGACCAGTAGTGCTTATACAAGTGTAAGTACAAGCACTTGTACTTGTACAACAAGTAATGAATAAGATGCCACACTAGACTGCAGGTTTGTCAATTTGATGAGTGATGCAAAGTGCATCTGTCGCTCGCTTGGCGTCAGGGTCAGGTCGGGAGATATCCCTTTTCGGTTTTGCTGACGCCGCTTTTGAGAATCCCCGTAAGGGCGATCTCTGGTCGAAGAGCTAGTAAGGGCGGCAGGCCAATTAATACTCCTCGAGGTTCGTCTCGAAACGGCGCAACGGACAGACATACTGGGTACAAGTACCCAGTAGACAGGTGACGCCAAGGCGCCAAGCCCGGGATCGGCCATTTCAGGGGTCTCTTTGGCCGCTCAACATAAAAGCTGCGACTAAGCCCGGCCGTGCCGCTTTTGTGTCACCAACACTCGGTAAACCATTTTGCTATATCGATGGTTCAGGAGCTGGTGTCCCCAGATAATTCAGCGACAGTCAAATATGGGCCTTTTCCTTTCAGAACCTGTCTTATTCTCTGCAACCATCTGTGCAGGGTTCGCGATATTCTTTTCGGCTGAAGAACAATCTGACCGGGCGTGTACTCTGCCGCTCAAAACGACCTTTCTCCCTCCTTGTGCTACGCCGCTCTCCAACACAACATCGTAGCTCCTATATTCGGAAGTTCACCTGATATCCATGTACCGCCTCCGGGTAGATCCCCCTTTGCTGATCTTCGTCAAATGTCGGTGAACGATCGCGAAAACGGCCAGGCCGATAGCCGATAATTCCCATCGCCAGTACAATGATAGAGGCGATGAACGTGTAGTTCTAAATGTGAGCGGCTAGTCAGCATAGCGGCCGCGTCGAAAAACACGCGATTATCTCAAAGAAGACGGTTGCTTTTTGGCACACACATTTTCCGCACAGATAGTTGCCCAAGAGATTCCGCTCTTTAAGTCCTGCCCCTTGCGATAAGACGTCCCTGGCCACAGGTCGAAGCCATTCTTCTTACTGCCTCGGGAGTCCACCACCTTGAAGTAAACGACCGCCGTGAACCAGAAAGCGATGACCACTCCAGAAGAGAGGTTGACGCCCCGTGCGTGCCCAGGGCTCTCGAGCTTGTGCCACTGATAGATGAAACAATTAGCTCGAGTTCTCCTCTGGCCTTATGTTCCTCCTACGACAAGTGAGCACATACACAACTGCAGAAAGTTAATCGAGACATCCAACCTACCACGCTCGTAAGCGCCACAGCGCCAAATGTCGTCCAACTGGCCCAGGCATTGATCACAGCCCATGCTGATGTGTTGAGCCTAGTCTGGGAATTGAACACCATAAGATGGCGCGCAGACAACCGCTCCTAAACTAAGTGAATCTAGACGCCCAAGATGCTGACGGCGATTAGAAGTGCTATGATCCGCAGCCCGATTCGAAAATGTTGAGAAGCGCCCTGCTTTCTCTGCTGTCCGAAATAGCGATTATCGTGGCCCTTTCGTACGAGAGGCTTTTCAATCGTCTGTCTGATCGTACTTGTCTTCTGCACTACGATGCCTATAAGGCACATAGGATGACGAGGGGGTATGAACCATAATGGTTGATGGCGCTGTTGCTCTAAGGTTCGGTGAGAGGTGCTCAACGATAGGTATTCTTAAAGAGGAGCGTCAACGCGTTCCTCGCTCTGCTGCTTGATGTAGCCGGCTGATATTCGTCAGACCTATCGCATTTCCAGGTCTGGCGACGATACCCTTAAAAGTAAAATTAGTGGATAAAGAGAATGGAGCAGAAGAGCGAAAGTAGAAGGGAAGCCGTTAGATTATGACTCCACTACAAAGAACCCCGAAGTATGACTTCTCGTTCACAGGGGATATTGCCCCCTGGCACTCGCCGCAATCTTTTCTTATTTATTCTACGGAGTAAGGTGGCAGTCTAGCCTCTGGGAGGGTGAGGCCCACGAGTTTGGCGCCGCGGCTGAGGTTGTTTGCCCCGCGATGGATGAACTTGTTTGAATACGTGGACCTCAAAAAGAGGGGGTTGGACCAACCTCGAGGGTCTGCAGCTGACCAATTGAATAGGAAACTTCGTTCTAGCCGTGACGGAAAAAGCTCTAAATACTTTGGGTGCCACAGTGCCAAGATGTCCAGGATATGGCCGAATCGGGCTAGGCCACCATGAGGTTGTCCCAAAAGTTGGAAGCCATATAATAACCACATCTCTGATGAAGCACTCGACTTTTTATGAAACTATTGTTAAAAAGTGACCAAGCTTCACCTATCTTGAAGCCAGGCCAGGGAGTTTTCCATCCGAACTCCCTTCGCACCTTCCTTCATTCGTCTGTCTGCCCACACTTCACGCTAAACCCTATATGGCCTCAATGCTCATGTTGTAAGGAATGAATGGCTTCTACCATTCTTAATCGTTTATCATGTCCAATAACCGATATTATGGAGCATGGATGATCAATCGATTTACATAGTTTCAATTTCCACTTGTCAAGCCATTTACTTTGGGGGATACCTGTGTCCCAGCCCCCTATCTGCCCCTTACATGGCTTCAGCCTCCGTCAATTTGCGCCATTTGACAGTATCTGCAAGCATTGTCCAATAGGTGGGGCTAGGCAAATCAGGAGCTGACCTCCACCCTGACATTTGGGCAGGTCGAACCATCTAGATGGTATATGGTGCTCGGCAAAACCAAGCAAGCAGCTTTCCAGATGCAGAACCATCATCCTTTTCCGAGGAAGCCACTACAGTATATACAATAGACCACCGGAAGATTGCCTTACCATTTTTTCCTCAGCCTTTCTTTGGCCGGCGATATCTCCCTCCAAGCTTTCCCATCCCCTGATTGTGGGGGGAACTCCAATATCAACGTCATGCCAACGCAGCAAAACTACCCAGCAGCAGCACCAGCAGCAACTGCATCGCTATAAGCCAATACAATTCCATCAACATTGGCAGTGTTGATCAAGGTTTCAAGTGCAACCTCTACTCCGATATAACCTGTAAAACTTCGTTCAGGAATTTGACAGTCCGGGGTGCCAGAACGTCATCGGGTCGGGCATCGTCTGTTTCACCCAGGGATTATTCGACAATCCTCTCGCTCAGTCTCCGGCGGTTGTAACCCTTGGCCCACCAAACATCGTCGCAATGACAGGGGGCGACACCACCCATTTTGTGAAGAACCCGATTAGCGGCGCCTATGGCCCTATCGAGTGCGATGAAAACAGTAAATCTAGAGCCTCGTTGCAGAGGAATACTGATTGTGGCCCACCTTTTGCCCAGGGTTTACCGTTCAGCATTTGCCTTCATGAAGAAAAGTGTAGCCAGAGTGTCACGGGGACGGGAAACTACGGTAATACTGACGAGTCAGACTATATGAGCACGCTGATCCAGACAACCATGGCGAAAGCAACGAGAGGAGGTGCGGGCAATCCGAACCAAGCGGCTCTCGTCAACATACTTTCCCTTCTTCAAATAGTGATTGACGATCAAACAGGGAGCAACCGGGCAGAGATGACACTATCCATTGACGCCCAATGCTCGAATGTCAGCCTAGTCGACTCCGGCTGTGATGGCCTGCTGGGCACCATCACGAGTGCGGTTTTGGGGGAGATTCCTGGGGTAGGCGAGTTCGTTGCACCGGCATTTGATATTACCTGCGAGGCACTCGGTAATTAATATGATCGGAACCAAAGATTGCATTGCTTCTTGACTCATGCTTATCGCACTTTTCTATTACTCGAAGACATCAGCTGGCCCTACCCCCTAGAGACATTGTTCGATATGATGCGTAATGATACTCTTCCCGGTTCAACCGTAGATTATACAGGCTTTGCAAGAGCTGGGTTCAGCGTCCCTAGGAACCAATTTCCATCATTTCCATCCCCGGTCCCTAGCCTCAGGGAATCAGAATAAGTTTATTCCGGTTCGGAGATATTGAGGATGATAACGTTCGGGACAATGCTAGAGGATACAATTAGCGAAAGCAGCGAGGGCTTCTTCGCAATATGTGTCCTGACCCTTTCTTCTGAGGCTTGAGTGGGGAGAATGATTACGCTTGATACCCAATTGCCGAGTTTTTCATAGAGGCTTACCCGTAGGTATAACAAGTAGTTCAAGTAAAGTCGAGCCATACTAACCTCACTCGGGCCAGCCGGGGAAGCACAGCGCGGCATTACCTTCGTCCCACTCCGGGGTGAGCAGCGATCAGTTCTTACTCTCCTTGGCCCCTCATTTTCACATTGCTACGAAAGACTTCACTAGGAAGACTCTGCTTTTGTTGGAAGATTAGTCCTTCCCTCCTCTGATAGCCCTCTCCCGATCTATCACGGTCTTGGCACAAGCACAGTATTCCTAAATGCCAGATTAGGACTAGTGGCACCTCACCCGCCTACCAAGTATTCATCCTCCACGGGCTCGTGGCCACTTTCCTTATATAGTCCTTGTACTACAATTCATATGTCAATGTGCATCATTGATCTGGTTCGCTAGGTGATCCCTCTGCGTGCGCGCCGTGATATTATCCCACGCGTCATTCCGGCCAGCTTGCTTCCTTGAACATCGATTCCCATCTACAACCTCGGACTCTGACTCCCGAGCTCCTATTCAGGCGGGCAATCTTGGTAAGCATGGCTGCTCTGCCCGGAGATCTTTAGGCGCGAGGAGTGCGGGGAAGTGGAGCAGGATCAACCACCCCGGGCAAGGGTATACCAAAGTACAGTACATTCCACCCCGGGCGATGGGGATTACTCCGCAGAGTATACTTATCCTCGGCTATGTATCCAGCTGGACGGTTCTGATAAATTCAGTACTCTCGGGGGGGGGGGGTAAGGCTCCAGTCCCCACATTCTGTGATTACTCCTCAAGGCTTCACCGGGCATCTTTCGCTGCAAATAGTAATCATGGCAGGAACCACCTCCGAGACGAAGGTCGACACTGTAAATGGGACGACGGGCGGCGCGGGCGTCGACTACGATGCCTTGGTCATCGGTGCTGGATTTGGCGGGATCCGGATGCTGCACGAATTGGGCAAACGCGGTCTTTCCGCCAAAGCATTCGAGTCGGGATCCGGGGTCGGCGGAACATGGTACTGGAACAGATACCCAGGAGCCAGAACGGACAGCGAAAGCTGGGTGTACATTCTCACCTTCTTAGAAGAGTTGGGAATGGATTGGGACTGGAAGGAACGCTTTCCCACTCAGCCAGAGGTGGAAGTCTATCTCAACCGCGTCACAGATCACCTCGATCTCCGCAAGAAGATCGAATTCAACACCCAAGTCACAGCAGCACACTGGGATGAATCGAAGAATGCGTGGAAAATTACAACGTCAAAAGGCAACACATACACTTGCACCTTCTTGATTACTGCGACAGGGCCTCTCGCCACTCCACTAAAGCCCCCTTTCCCTGGGCTCGAATCCTTCAAAGGTGAATGGTATCAGACAGGGCTCTGGCCGAAGCATAAAGTGGACTTCGCGGGGAAACGTGTCGCTGTCGTGGGAACTGGCGCCACTGCCGTCCAAGTTATTCCTGTTGTTGCACACAACGCCAAAACTCTAACTGTCTTCCAACGGACACCGAATTATGTCCTCCCAGCACGCAATTATCCACTCACCGAGGACCAGCAGGTTGCACTGAGGCGTGAATCTGAAAAGGTCTTGAAAAGAGCCAGAAGCCAATCTTTCGGGATGGACTTTGTCGATGCCACGCTCAAGTCGACTGACCTGGAAACCGAGGCCGAGATCCAAAGAGTCCTAGAGTTCGGCTGGGAAATCGGCGGATTCCGATTCATCTTCGAGACGTTTGCTGACATGCTGACCAACGCCAAATGCAACGATATGGCAGCCGAGTTCGTCCGCAACAAGATTCAATCAATCGTCAAGGACAAGAAAACTGCAGAGCTGCTTTGTCCGCATTACACCATCCTCTCGAAGCGGCCACCTCTTGGCCATTTTTACTACGAGACATTTAACCGAGACAATGTTGAGCTGGTTGATGTCAAGGACGACCCGATCCAGGCCATCACTCCAAATGGTCTCCACACCGGCACAAAGGAGTATGAGTTTGACATGATCATCTTCGCTGTCGGGTTCGACGCCATCACTGGAACTCTCGCACAGATCGATCTCCGCGGCAGCGAGCACCAGCTCCTCGCGGAGCAATTGAACAAGGACATGGCGACAGCGTACGGCATTACTGCCCCTGGATTTCCGAACCTTTTCATGGTGTCTGGGCCTCAGGCCCCATTTGCCAACATTCCGGTCATCATCGACAATACGGTGGACTGGATCGGAAAGACCATTTCCTTTATGCGGTCGAATGGCTACGAGCGGATTGACACCAAAGAGGACTTTGCGAAGAACTGGAGCGAACAGGTAGAAGCCGCCTTCAATGCCACTGTGCTTCCCGAAGGCGCAAAGGAGACACGCTCGTGGTACATTGGAGCGAACCTGGAAGGAAAGACGGTGAGGCCGCTGTTCTGGTTCGGCGGCGTTGGTCCGTACTTCGCTCACTGCGAGAGGGAAATCAACGAAGGATATCCTGGATTCGTATTCTCGTCTCCGGAGCAAGCGAGTCGAGCCAGGCTTTGATGGCATGATGCGTAAGACTCGAAGCTTAGGAAGACATCGCTGTTAGAAGACGGCGTTCGCCCACACGTTACGCCGCGCACAGCTTAGGATACGACTCGGTAAGTCTGGCCTAATGCGACATGGAGTCTGGAAGCGCACTTGGCCATCCAGGGTGTTGAAGAGCACGTACACCAGTGAGGGAAGGTTTCGAAAGACCTCTCTCGGTTCTTATATCCAATGCCGTGGCGCTCTATGTGTAATTTCACAGAGTTTTAAATAACTGGAGCATCTCCGGTGTAATTGAATATGTTTGTCTTTTCCTGGTACACTAGATGCTGTATTGCCGATACCAAAATCAACCTGGTGAGTTACCGTAATGGTTCTATGTTGCAGGACGCATTTCGCCCCTTTTTGTCGGTCAAACGGCCCAACTTCTGCCTGTAACCACAATTCCAGCCTTCTCTTCCCAGATTGCTTCCCGCGCTTGTTGCACATCCACTCCTCGCGCATGCAACACTGTTACCCAGTCTTGGAAAAACATAGACCCACTCTCGAAGAAGCATGGATCGTGAGTTTGTTGTTCTATGAATCGTTCCACGTCTGTGCGACTGACTGCATTGTCGAACAACCACAAGATCTGTGCAGGTGAAAACTTCAAGAATGACTGGATCAAGTAGAAGTTCTGCAGATCACTGCCCCATCCTTGCATGTGCCTGATCCGGAGTTCCTGGACGGTTGGTTTGTGCGAGTCATTATCAGAGTCGCGAGAGCTGTGGAAAAGATCATTGAATACTTGCGGAGTGGATGCGACGGGACGGAGGTACGGATACTGCAGGGAAAGATGGAACTTCTGCGCGTCTTCGGGTACCCTCGAATATACTTCTCCATCGGTGGGACAGATCTCTGTGGCAAGCAACTGTTCGAGCAACCCGCGGAAATCCTCCAGCTCAAAAAGTTCGTCGTTCGACCACGTACGCAGGAGCTGAAGTCGTTCTATCGTGGCTGTGGCATCAGTGCGCGCGGTGCGATAAGGAAATTGATGAAATGCTTTGGCGTAGCTCCATAGCCTGTAGACTGCGCGTCGCAGTCGACGAGCTTCGTGGCGATCGAAAACTCGTCGGTTGACGCTCTCCGCCTCTGGCCACTTGAATTTGGGGAATATGTCGACGTATCGCTGTGCTATGCGAGCAACAGCAGTGACCTGCGAGAGTAAGGCAAAAGATAGCGGTGGAGAGCGCCGTATATGCAGCATTTGACTGCTGTTCTGGGTCAAGAGTTGTATAATATCTTCGACTGGTCCATCTGTTTCGTCTATTGTGCTGAAGAAGAGTGCCAGTTTTTGCGATTTGGGTAGGATTTCATAGAAGTAGCGACAGGTCAGAGAGAGACTTATGATGTCTGGGACGGAGGAGAGGGATTCGAAAATGCGGACGAGAAGCTCTGGGGCGAGATGTTGTAAGGCCATGGTTCTATGCTATCAGCCAAAGCTCTGAGGACGGCGCAGGGACAACATACAGATCCTGTTGAAGTCGGACAGTATATAGGCGGAGGAGAGCATACAAAGCGCAGCTGAGAGGCTGCTATCGCCCAGTGGTCTCAACAGGCTGAGACCCCAACCTTGGGGCTATCCAAGAAAAATAACGTATATGAGTGTGCATTCATGGAAAATGAGGTGTCAATTCGCCCCAGCCCGCTCTGCCGCGAAGTGCGGCGGGCGTGCATCGTTTCCATCATCTAAAGGAGAGATGGAAGAGCGACGCTTTTCGCTTGCGCAGTTGATGGGTAAGAAAGAAGGAGAGCAATGTTGCTCCACACGCATGAGGATGAGAAAGCGGTCTAAGGCTTGGCGGGACATCGTCGCCATTCCACGTGATCATAGTCAGGGCAATAGGTTCCCCCTTTTGCCCCTTTTTCTTCCGCCCTGATCGAATTCCCTACCGAATACTCGGTACTATTACTTGGTGCAATTATTATGCATGTCTCATTTCCATCATTGTGATCCTGGCAACCTGGATCTGGAAATCCTTCAGAGCACCTTCTTCAGCCAATCCCATATCGCATGAGACATGGCCCCATGCTCCAACCCTGACTGAGCATCAAGCATACAATCAATATGCACCTGCTTGGGGCACTCGACTGCCTCCACATTCAAGCCCGCTTCTTTCAGCTTGTGGCAGACCTCCCTGATATCGTCGCAAAACAGCTCGTGCGTCCCGGCCAACGCGAGGATAGAACTGACCGGCGTGTCAGCCCACCATTTCGAGTCAGCGCGAGCTGGGTCCGAAAACTCGCCACGTTCGTCGTCGGAAACGAGATTGCCGACTAGTTCTGGGATGATCGTCGTGGAGACGATGTCCTTGTCCTTGTTTTCGATCCACGATTTGCTGGTGCCGACGGAGAGATCGACCCAGGGCGAGATGAGGAGCGCGCCTTTCAAGGGAGAGGCAAGTTCTAACCAAGGGATTCCGGGATGGGAATGCTTTGTCGCGGAGAGGATCCCGAGGGTTAAGTTGCCGCCGGCAGAGTCGCCGCCGATAATGACCTGCAGAGCTTGTTAAAATGGTCTGTTCCCACTCATTCCTTCCAAGGGTGACAGCAAGATGTCTCTCACATCTGACGGCTTGCGACCAGATTGTAAAACAGTCTTTAGAGCTTGTACAGCCTGTCGATACTGCGTCGGAAATCGATGTTGAGGGGAGAGGCCTGCAAGATGACCAGGTCAATCGTCCATGCGTTTTGCTCACGGCATTGGAGTGTCCGTTCTCACCATATTCAACGAAGGCAATCGAGAACGGTTTCCCCTCCTTCGCTAGTCTTTGCTGCGTATCCACTAGGAAAGCAATATGCCCTGGCATAGCTGGAAGGCCGAGACCTCCGCCTAATGATAGGTTCGAACGTCAGCTATACTCAGCAACGCAATGAAAGGAAGACCAAATCAGGGCTCTATGGATACCATGAAAGTACAAAATCGCGCTTGGAGCAGAACTATCCCCGATCCAATGCACTTTCGCACCCTCGCTGTCTGGGATGTCTTCAGTCTTCACCGTTTGACCTAGCCGCGCGCACTCGGAGGTGATGATGTCTCGCGTAGGTGCTGAAACGCTCATTGCGGCTTCAAGGGAACTCATGCCGCCACGAACTACCCGGTTGCGCTCATCATGGGCTTGGGAGCGCGACATGGTGAGTCGGACTGGGTATGCTAGATTGGGTTATTATTCAAAGGGTCCACGAATTGTCTGCCTTTTGTTCCTCAAGCGTGATGAGTATTGGGAAATGGATTTCACCTGACCACTTCATTCCCAGCATCCGGCAAGGACAGGCAACCACAGCCTCACTCGCTCGTTCATGTCGTGGAGGAGAGGCCAAAGAACCAGGAACCGGATAAGGTGGAGATGGATGTCCCTTTTCCCGAGGTTCAAAGGAACCCCGTCCTTCGGAATTCAATTCGCTTCGAAGAAACCTTATCCCCTCTTCCCATCGGCCCAGCCTCTGAGAGAGAGTCTCGGAGTAGCTTTTCCGTTGCGGACTGCTGTTGGCAGGGGATTCAGGTGATTGCAGCTCACTCCGGGTATCCTTTACACATAGGCTACGCAACAGTCCACTCTGCTGGCTGCGAAATAGATACTGCAACGTGGCCTAGAGAATCCGGGTGTACGGTATAATAACCAATTTTCACGAGCTTAGTAGTCTTTCCCTGCTGTCTGCCTTGAAGGATGAGGCCATAGGTATGGGGAACTCCCTTCGTCAAGCACACAGCGAACTTGTCAAAGACCTTGGGGTGTGCGGCGATGCACTCGGACAATTTCGCTTCGTGAGATTCGTTATGCCCCCCCAGCATCCAAGCACGAATAGACAATCACAAAGCACGGTATGCCCTTTATTCGAGCCGAATATTGCTGCTTGCAGTATGCGCACGCTCCCATCGGGCTGGATTTGCTAGGATGCGACCGAAGGATGTAAAACCTCCTTAGTACAATATGGTGGTGTACCTCGGCGGGTAGCAGACTGCATTCTGTAACGCGAGGCTTCCGCGTTCTCGAATGGTAAGATATTTCCATCCAAGTCTTGAGAATGGATTGAATAGATTCCAAAGTGAAGGTGACTCATTCGAAGCCAGCCAGAAGTCGGCACCGATCTTGAGAGCCGCTTCACGTAGAAATTTCAGAGGGCACATGTGCAACGCTGGGTCGTTATTCTCAACGTTAGGCTTGATTTTGAACTATTCGGTGGTACCTAGGCTAGACATCACGGCTTCTGCACGACCACGCCGTGCAGAAGCGCCCACTGGCTTGGATAAGAGGATCAACCCTAGACCCCAAGCTTCGAGAGAATAGATGAGTTTTATCCACGGCGGCTCTCAGTTGGCGCGGTTCAGAGGACACTCATTTTCAAGGCTGTCTCTAACATGGATTCTCATGAAGGGGTGGATCGGAGAGTCTTCGACTCCATGGCCCTTGATGAGAAATGAGCCTAGAATCTGGGTATCATGTGATCGCATATCCCAGACAATGTCGTTGAAAGCAAAAAGTTCTTCCAATGACATTGTTTCGCCGCCCGCGTCGCAAAGAATATTCCAATCTTTGTTTGCAAAGGCCATGTTAGGACGAAGATAAGCCTCCAGTAGCGTCCAAACTCCGGAAAACCAGTCAGAGGGTTCGAAATGATAATAGGAAACAATATATCCTCTTCTATTCATCCACCAGCCGTGGAGTCTCTCCATAGCTTCGATCAGCCTCCGCTTCCATGGAGGGTATCTAAAAGTTGGTGCCGAAAGTCTTGTTAGCTGCAGCGGTAGGTTGCGGCCGCGTTTAGCAGCTTTCATAAGACTTTTTGCCTCACACATACCGGGCTGACTGCTCAAGACTGCATACTGAGCACTAAGCCATCCAAGCGTGGAATATTCCCCGATCCGGTCGTCGATGTAGTTCAGCCACGCAAGGCATGCGGTGGCGTCTTGGAAAATGACAGCTTGTTTAGCGATCTCTTCTGATATTATCGAAGCAAATGCCCGATCGTCGGCTTGTTGCGGGATGCAAAACAGATCGAACCAGATGTAGGCAGTTGAAAATCGACCCTTTAAGCCAAGAAAAACGTCTAGGAGACCAGCCACATCGAACCTGTAATTGAGCGGCAGCTGCCACGCGATGCCGGGGACGGATATACTTTCCGGCCTTCTCCATCGTCCCCAGGTGTGTGAGGCGCATGAGTACTTGTGTCAATGTACCCACGGTTTGTTCGACTCGATGTGCCAGAGATACCTTGGAAATCCCGAGCGAGATGTGTCACGCTTTCAGCCACGGACAATAATCCATTCTTGGAGTTGGATTCTCGAGAACGGAGCATTCGTCGTAATTGTCCAATCCTTGGTTCCAACTGAGAGATGTGAACTTCCACGAAGTGCGCTGCGCCGTTCTCGCCCGCCACGCTAGTCGCCGGGTCTCGTCCAGGCTGTGAAAGAGCATCTCTCTGAAGACTTGTTTCGAATTCTCTACCGCTGCGACCCAGTGAGCAGAAGAAAATTCTTCTCGGAACCAAATCCGCCATGAGTTTCTGATATAGTGTTCGATGTCTGACTTCTTCACTTGCCAGGTGCGAGTCCCGAGCACTTTGACCTTCAAAGGCGACGATTCCAGGTCCATCAATGTAGAGCCAGTGGTAAATTTCTTGCACCGTCCCCTCTATCTCATACTCGCTGTGCAACCACTCCCGTAACATCAAAAAGGAATAAAACTGGGCAGTAGAAAGAAAGGGTCGAAACCCGCGCTTGGTCATATCCTTTGACCCAAGATCCTCTGCCTCGTTCCAGAGAGCCGCGGCAACATTCCAGTTACCTTCAACGGAAGGGGTTTCGCAGTTTGCCGTCAGACGTCCGATTTCCGCTTCAGTCCTTTCCTTTTTGTTACTCTTCATGAGGAATAGTATCCTTGGGCCTACTAAGAAGCGGTCTGCATTGGGCGCCATGAACTTTTTTTCCACTTGCCACCAGATTCCGACCCCTAGTCCACTTGCCACTCCTAGTCGAACCCTTTGATGATCCCGGCCGCTGGGTGGAGACGTCCGCCCTTTCAGATTCAATCAGTGCTGAAGCGGTTCGTAAATAGTCGCAACCGAGATGATAGCACAAGGTTCGGTTAGTCCGAGTCTCGAACCCGCATTAGGCTGCGCTCATTCTTGGGAGTGGAACCATGAGGAGCATTGCGTCTTCTTATAAGGAGCGGTAATGTTCAAGGGGAAAACGCTTGAGCGTGATGAGAATATTGAGAATACGAAAGAGCCAATAGAAAAACGTGCAGGGCGGCGTTTTTCGTTGTAGTGCATTGCGGGTAGGAGTGGAAGAGGTAGGTCGGGGGCCAGGTTTCCCTCATCTGCAAGGCTGCAAGGCTGAGTTTGTTCATTCGAGATCCCGTCCACCGTCCACGTTTAGAAACCATTGCTTCCGAAGCAATGTATCTGATGGCAATTATGAGTAACGCCCTTTCCGGAACTCTAGTCTCACATCATACATGGCCGGCAAAGAGCGCCGCCGGCGCGGGTTCGTTGCATTAACTGTTTTCAGCTCCTTTGAGAGCTTGCATTGCATTCCCTCGTCGCCCGGGGCTTTACGTCGTCTGGTATATGGGAAAATACCAGCTCGGTTTCGAGCTCTGTTTATCAATGATCGAACATATCAGGGAAGAATTCATCTGCTTGTGGGTGCAGACATCATTTCCGCGCCCTTTTGTGATCGACAGTCCTCCTGCAGAAGATCGCAAATCTTCTAAAATTCGGGGCTGCAAGCTTCTTCTGGTCGGCAGTTTGCGATGAATATCATCTCATGACAGAAGACATTCGGCAACCGTGGTGGCTTCTTGTCACCAAAATAGTACTTCTGTGAAGTACCGAGTATTGTGGAGTCTCCCCAGATCGCTTTGATGTTTAATGCGACTGAGTGAAATCTGGCCGCAGGTGCGTCTGAACTGTGCTGCGATAAGTTTGGAAGGACGAAAGAGCCCTTCTCAGGACCGGTACGAAGGCCAATTTCCGCCTCTTGCTGGTACGATGATAGACTTGCAAACGTTCATGTTCACCCAAAAAGGTTCGCATTGTCGAGCGCGGATCTCTTTCTCTTCGACCCTGGATTCAACCCTAATGTTTTTCGCTTGACTGCTAGATCTTCAGCACCGCCTCTTCGACTTGCGTATTTGTTGGCCCTTCGCATCCTTGTCTCGGCCCGGAGTGCGTTAGGACTGACGAACTGTTTGTTTTCGAATATGACTGGACCCCCGAAGCTTCCTTCCAGGATGACAACCGGTGTGAGGACAAACCGAGGCCCAATCTCAACCAGCGAAATGTCGTCTCCTTTTACACGCTCTTTGTCGTCCTTATCTGGTGCCGACTCACGAATCTCGTACACGCGAATCCAAATCTTTCCATCAAGCCCGTAGATACCAATGACACGATCAATAAAGGGCTTCATTCCGCGTATACCCTTGGGCGGGACACAAAATACTCCACGAAACATCTCCCGTAGCAGCGAACGGTATTCTTGGCCCGGAATCTCCTCGTCGAAACTCTTGTCGAAGACAACAATGCCTCTCCCACCTTTTAAGCAATTCCCTCCAAAACCCAGCTCGGCCATTGTATGCACGTTGGTCACGCTGAATTTGGCCGTGGGTCCGTTGGGAGCTCGTGCGAGCCATAGGTACAGGTCTTGACCGTGTTTGCGTGCTTCCAGGAAGAAGACGTAGTTGCAGGAATGGAGGTCGGCAAGGCCGTTGAGGGCGGAGTTGTAGTTGTTGGAAGACTTTGTGTCGAGCTTTGTATCTTTGTAGGTGTGAGGGAGTAGGACGTGGAGGTCGTTCAGAAGATGGCGGTGTCTGCAGATGTCAGTAACAAGCCATATCGAAGACGCAGCCCAAATATCTACCTGTATGAGACTCCGCGAGAAGTGAGCATCAAAACTCGGTTTCGGATCTCCGGGGCAAGCTGAGAGAGATCATTGAATTTTTTCTGGTTTTGAGCATATTCTTCTACGATGGAGGATTCGGCGCGCAGGGTTGCGCTACTGCCTGCGGACACGACTGAAACGCTCTCATCTGAGTCGGAAGCGTCGCCCGACCGCATCGCTGACTTGTATGCGGATGCCATGGCCAGAGAGAGCGAGCCGCTGAGGTTGTGGAATGGCGAGGATTGTGAGCGCGGAATCTTTGGGTGCGAATGTATTCTGCGGGGAAGAAAAAAAAAATTTCTATGGAATTGGAGATGAGGTATGATCGATGCGGCGAGCAGGCAACTGAGAATAGCGACTTCTCGCACCAAGACTTGAAAATTCCGCAGTGAACTGGAATCTTCTGTTACTGATCGCAATCGAAAGCATACAATACGGCAAACTCGATGTTTTGATTGCGGGAAAGAATTCCACATCAGCTGGAAATCTTGGGTACCGGCCATGCCAAATGCCACCGGTCTCGGTCTCCGACCGGCGGGATTTCCACCTTCAGCCCTGAGATGCCTTTTGCCGCGGGGGCATTTCCAGGAACCTGCAGAGCTTTGCTCAGAGCAGCGATCGCGATCGCGGTACCTATACATGCTTTCATCGAGTTGCGCACGTCTTTTGCCCACTCGCTGTCCACTATCGGAGCGACCGTCTTGCCTCTTCCTTCTCCGACCCGAGCAGCTTCCGGATGTGCAGATCGGGGAGGCTTGGACTCCCAGCCGCCCCTCAGAACCTCTTCCCATGCTTTTCTTGCCGTCTGTGTCAAACTGGACGCCTGTTCGAGGACCAAATCATCGGGGAGATCCTGCAATGAGTATGACTGGTGAGCTACATTAAACTCGATTGGTTCGGGGATGGAAAGGTTGAGGAACGGTCGCATTCTCAGCTCGTAGCGTAACCGGTCTGATGCATAGGCGGGCGAAGGCTTGTGCAGATGGCCATGACGTTGAATGATGGTGAAGACCCGATGCAGGGCTTTTGCCATGGCTTCTGTGGCTTTGATCCAAGTGAAATGGCGGTACAATCGCTTCAACGCTATCTGCACCTTATCTTGCCGAGGTGCATCCACCTGTCGACTTGAGGACACAAAGAAGCTGATCCTTTCGAGGTGAGAGAGGTGTGAGTTGGTCAGAAATGACAGATACCAGTACATCTCGGCAAACTCGTGGGGAGCATAGATGGAAAGTTCAAATCCCATCTGATGGATCGTTCGAAGTTGGATCAGCTTGTAGTGATAAACCCAACTGCTGAAGGAATATGAAAAGGTGGGTTCCTCGCCGTTGGGGTACGGAATGGGTTGTTCGTCCTGTACAGATTGTGCAAATGCATCCAGGTCCTCAGCCTCTGCTTGGATTTGATCCCACTCAAGCGCTGCGTGACACATTGAACGCCTCAACCTGCAACGGTTCAGGCAATAAGTTCTAAACAAATTGAGGAAGGACTGTCCGCAACGATTCAGAAATAGATTCACTCTGGCGCTAAGTTCAATTTGCTGATCTTCTGGAATATCCTCGATTTCGCTGTTGTTGCTGTCCAAGGGTAAAGCGCTCGGAAGTGAGAGAGAATGCATGTCTTGACTGATGAAGCGGTTGGGGGTGAATCGGCCCAGCACCGTGTTATCAACATTCAAGAACGACTGGAGGAGTGCTCGGACGTACACGGCGGGTGGTGACGTTTGCGCCATGAACCTTTGATAGGCAACCAGCAGGTCGCTGCTGGAAGTAATGTCAAGCATCTGGAATGCTGTAGTGGTATCCGTAAGAAGCTGGCGGAAGAATGGTAAAGCTTTCTCCTTCTCAATGACTATCATCGGTCTCGGGGGCACACTACTCGCCAGACCCCGTTGCATCTTCAGCGTAAACATCACAGTCGAGGTTGGGCGGCCAAGACTGGAAGTCTCTTCAATCGTCTTAATCAAGGCAAGATTTTCTTCGAGAAGTCGCTTGGTTGGTCGTTCGCGGAGCTCGCAACTGTGAAATAACTGAAGGAAAGCAGACCTTGCATCCACCCTGTCCTTCAGTGCACCCTTCAACGGCTGCGGAAGGTTGCTGGTGTGTATAAAAGTACGTGCATCCTGCAACGAGTCCATGACCTCTCCCACTGAGAAGTCATGCAGCAGGGGTCGATTGTATATCTGTGGCGCAAAATCTTCCTCCTGGATGTCATCAGCTGCCAGTTGATGCGAGCCATTCCTGCAGATTCCCTACCTCGTAAAAATGTTGACTCGCCACCATGGAGAGAACGAGGTCACAACACTTGATCAGGCCTACACAGTAGGGCTGAAACACGTCATGCAGCAAAGAAGGCGCACCTCTGGCGTTGGGACGGTCCCTCCAAAAACAGGCGTCAGAGAATTGCTTTGGTTGAGGCCAGAGGAGTCGTTCAATGTGTATCGATGTAAAGAGAGTTTGGGACAGAGGATATCCCATGTGCCATGCTACCTGCTGGGGGTCATTCCACCGTTCTGTATTGAAGGGCAGGGCTTCTCACCTCGCGATACATCAACTGGTCCATCAGCCATATGATCTCCTCTGCCGACGCTGTCCTGGCAGGGTCGAATTCCTCATCGATGTCGGCGTCGAAAGCGGAGCAACCGCTATCCATCTTCGGATCACCGATCTGGTCGCTCAATCAGGAACATGTCATTTCGGGTTTGGCTAGAAATTTTGACCTCCAAGGCGCTGACGGCCTCATATAAAGTGAAGTGCTCATCTTTGACCAGCTTGCCCGCGGCCAATTCTGTGAAAGGGTTAGCCTTGTTGGCAACAAAGAGACGAGCAACACCCACTTGATGCAGCACTGCAGAATTCTCTCGTTATTTCGGTTATCTGAACATTAGGGTGGACAATCTGAGATTGAACCATGGCAGCCGTTCTCTCCCAGTTGGATCGGAGAAGTGGATGTTATGACGGGCGGAATCTCATCAGTCGACAGACCTTCCCGCAGCGGAGTCAACGGCTGAAAATTATTTGATCCTGCGCAGAGTGACTCGGGTCAAGCAACGAATTGCTACCAAGATATGCGATGTGCAGGCATGAATTTTGTAGAGGTGCATTTGGGGTGCGCAGGACGTGTGGATGCAGAGTGAAAAGTCTATGGCACGGGATTTTACAGGCTCTGGAAAATGTCATGTGCACATCCGCATGCGTGCATCCAACTTCGACCTGAAGTCTTCGGTGTTATATGTACAAGTCTGATTTTGCTCCTTCAAAGCGTGTTGCATTTGCCCCTAATGCGTCCTGCAGAGTGCATTCTCCCTCTATTTTGCTTCCCCGGCAGCGTGTTCGGCCATAGCGTCAGCATTCGCAGCACCCAGGCTGTTGTTTTCTCCCTGTTTGCCATTCTTCTCGGCGTCAGTCGGAAACCCCGGAGCTGCAGAGTCTGTGGAATGAGCTCACCTGCCACTTCGCGAATCTCAAGTCCATATCGCCTCTCCTCTCAGCTTGTAGTCTGGGGCCTTCTTTCAGCGATCTGCGGACGACTCGAGCGGCGATGGCGAGGTATCGGTTGTAGCTGCCAACGTTAGCCCGACACAGACAAGAAAGAGGAGGCAATCGGCGTACGTGAGGCCAGCCGCTTTCCATTCGAAAGCCATGATGACGATTGGAAGAGGAGCGAGCGGTTGAGAAGAAATCGAAGCTTGTGCGTGGGTGTCAATGGGAGAGCAAACTGCACGGCGAAACCTCGCGAAAGGGAGCTCCTGCTCTTCTGGTGCTTCTGAGCAGCTCGCTGCCAAGCCAAGTAAAAGCAGCTCGCCTGTCACCCCTGATTTGGACGAGAGTGATGCCGCCCTTACAGCAACGACGATTCTTATTATGTACTGTACGAGGTACCTTGGAGGTATGTATGTACCAACGCGCATTGATCACCTCTTGAACCTTGGTACGTAACCATCCACTGAGTTTACATACGACAGAGAGCACGGGAATTGAGCAAGGCTACCCGTCGCCGGCCTCAGCACGAGGCTAAATCGAATTGGTTCAGGCTTGTCTCACACGTCGCGTGACCAGGGGGCGTGCCGAATGGCAGACTAACCTGGTACAAGAAGCGGTGCTATTCGTACTGCGGAGGCTGCTTTCCGTCTCGTGGAGTAGAAGAGGGAGTAGCTGGGCATGGAGCCGTGGTGGAGGGACTGTCAATGCCCTGCATGGTGATCGAGCGTTAGAACAACGAATCAAGGCCTTCTTTCCGTCACAACCTTCTCCAAACGAGCAAGTCCCCCGGTTTCGTTGAGACCGCTAGACGTACATCCGGCAGCGCAGCAGCACTGGCGTGCACAATGACTGTGTCGATCACCGCGCCTTTGCGCATGGGAACGGCTTCATCGAGCTACTGGCTGCCCCGCGGTCTGCCTTGTTGACTGAGGGTGTTTCCGATCACAGTTGAACGCCACAATGACGAGGCACAGCTGTGTCCTAGCGACAGAGTGCCACTGTAAAATGCTGGTGTGCCTGAGCGAAGCTTAGAGCCTCTCCCTGCTCAGCGAGGATCACATCATCTTTGGAGGGCGAATGGACCGCTTGATACGAGGTATTTGTTCCTTGCTCGTCTATCCACGCTTTTGCTCTATCTCTATCGATCTGCACCGTCTCTGTACACTGGTAGACTAGCGACTGCTGACAGCTGGACCGAGCTCTAGCATCATACCACTCTTTGCCACTGCAGCTTACAATACTAGTTTGGTACAAATGAAACAGCGGAAAACAACACAGTGGCGGCGCTGCCGTCGTCTCGGTCGGGACGTAGTGTAACGCAGGTTTGCATTTCCCCCAGGAAATGTATTTTTTTCTCTCTTTCTTCGAGTGTTGGTATGGGTAGGGGCCCGATGGGTATGGTCCGCACTAAGAGAGGAACAATCGTTTACAGAATCGTCGAAGCACTGCCAAACTGATCTAAGCGTCATGCATGGTCAAGTTTCGAGGAAGACCAAGAGCACTGAGAGGATAGAAGAGATTCGATGGGAACAGCCAAGTCATATCATATTGCAGACCAGTTCAGCAGGCTGTAGTCAATATATTGCAACTCACAGCTATCAACGTGAAGATGGAACAGGAATCCTACCATAAACTCCGGCAACTCAATCATGGCGTCATTCCAACAAAATGGTTCACCCGTCATTTTGGGAACTGTCCGTTGCTGGCGCCGAGCATTCGCTTTCTGCGGTGCCGTACCAAGGGTGAAAGTAGACGGTGGGTATGGTCGTTGGTCATGGTAGCAGGCTGATGAAAGGTGAGTGCAAAGGTGAGAGGGAGCGTAGGTAGTTTTGAAAGCGGCACGGCCATGGTCAGCTGTACTCGGTACGAGCAGCTCTCAACCTTTGGTGGCCAAGCGGAACAACTCCACGCCAAATTTGTCTAGCAGGTTCATCTGAGTCAATTTGTCGCGTCAAAATCGCTTCTGCAGTTATTTTGACTTCATTCTCGCCTAGCTTGCAATAGCCAGCCCTATCGACTGGATGTATTCAATAGAAACAGATATAAAAGAGAAAGAGTTCGATGCTCTACCAGACAAGAACACGGATGGTGTCATCACACGCCTAGGCTTAGACTTAGACTTAGACTGATGCCATTTTGTCAGAGAAGCATGCCCAACCTTTTCATATTTACAGGCCTCTCTAGAGTATATAGTTGGCCTTCTTCGCCCCCAGTAGATAAACAATCCACAACTTCAATCCTCTCAGTCTCTGACACGTTTACCCTGACGGCTCCTCCTCATTAGGACGGCGCCAAAGCACAAGGAGAATCTAAGAGCGATGCACAACGGCAATCGAACAAGAACATCTATCCAGGGAAAATCAGATCTTGTAGGATCCTGAGCAATTTTGTCAACATGATGCTGAATCAGGAGTGAAGATTCATATGTCTCGAAGAATAGCGACTGAAGCATCTATCCGGTAAATTTCTGTCATAAACCAACTCTCCTTCTGTCGCCAGCGAAGGAGTACCTGTAGCTCCCCCGGTGAGAGTATCTCCTCTTCGCTTCCTTGGACGTCACTTCGTTCAACCTTGCTGAGCGTCGATGAGAGCTTCTCTCGTTCTAGGTGCAGGCGCTCGTACAATCTCGACATGGTTTTGTACAACTTGTCGAGGAAGACTTTTCGGACTCTGTCGGGATCGTAGAAGTAGAGGTACGTGGTGCTTTTGGGTTGTCTTTGCGGATCTCTCGGCACTTCTTGCAGCTCGAGAAAGCCATTCATTTGTAGTTTTGCCAAAGACATTCGAAGCTCTTTAGCATTCAGAAGTCCAACATCCTGCATTGTCCTCTCATCAAGTTTCCCCTTGTCAGCCAGCATGCGAACAATCCTGAGTGCCGGTCCGCTCATGTTTTCGTCAACGAGACGCAGCATCTCCTTTTCCCACAGAAAATGGTTGAGCTTGCCTTTGTCCACAGCCCAAGATCTCGTGGCAGGATCCTCCAAGAGAAAGATAAAAGGCCCTGCTGCCAGCACCCCTAGCTGGTATTCGATGAATTGATGATCCCCGCTTGTCCCATTTACTCCATAGTCATGATGGCCATTCGAGGGTTGCTCTGCCGCGAGCCAACCATTTTCCCAGCTTTGCCCATTGCTCATTGCTGGTCGAACCTCCGAAGAAACAAAGTTGCTTATCTGGGAGATGTCTAGTCTCTTGAGCGAGCCTCCTGGGTTATCCGGTAGTCGTAGTTTCAACGGTCGTGGATCGATGTCTTCAAGCTGTAAACAAGCTGCTCGTGCAACTTCTGCGGTGCGTCGGCCGAAGATTTTCTCAGCAGCTTCCGTCACCCTTTCATTGCGGATGTAAAGAATCAAATTTGAATAGTCGACCGAGAGCAGGATGTTAGCCTATTTACAATCAGTAGCGAACGCAGCGAGGAGTGACAATCAGTGACTACCTTGTTCGGACTCGCTTCAAGCTCATGCAAAACTTGCGGCCAAGAAATGCTGCCATCTAGACGCTGCTCGAGCTCGACGTCGATCCTTGCTTCGCCATCAATTTTGATTTTCTTTCCCGTTCCTTGCAGGAGCAACCCATGACCGCTCAAGTAGCGTTCGGCATCCTGACGAGAGTCAAACGGTGAGTGAAAATGCGCCTCACGAACAGTTAGAATAAATTTGGAAGTAATCAGTTGCTTAAGCAGAGCTCGAAAGTGAGTCCTGTCCATTGACTTGGACGGGTCTCCATCGCCTACAACGCGGGTCTCTAGCTCGCACGCGGTGGCAAAGCCCACGACAGCCAAGTATTCCATAATATTCGCACCTGCAGACCCGAACCTCGACTCAACAAGTTCAAGGAGTCTGCCGGTACGCATAATGTTGTATGCATTAACGGTGTTCGCTTGGTAGGTTGACAAGCCATCTAGAGATGTGTGGTGGTAGACGAGCCGCAGCTGGATCAAACTCGCTACACCGGTCTTGACTTGGCGGAGGGGAAGACGGCATTTTTGAGCAATCTGGTTAATAGAAAGCCGCCCCAACTGAGCCAATTGTCGAAAGATTTGCTGCATCGTGATCAGTGTTCGCCCTCACACACTGAAAAGGGGTTACCGACAGCGAGGAATGTACCATAGGCATCTTCGACAATGCTACAGCAAAGTTGCGAGAATTCCTGCTGTGTCTTAGCTGGACAAGCTCATCCTAATCTGGCGGGAATTGTGAAAATACCTCCATCTCTAACAGTTGACGGAAGTAATTGAAGATTTGGTTTGCGCCGTGTTGGCAATGGATAGTTCGTTCACTGCCTCATCTCGAGTGACCTGGAGCCAGATGTAAGAAAAGGAGGGTCATCATTTCAGTGGAATTCGCGGAGAAACTTTTTATCGGACACGAGGCTGTCGACAAGTCTGAAGAAAATTGTAGTGACAGAGCGGCGAGGGGCGGATCCCTGCGGCAGGCTTGGCATTAGTCTTGGCAAAACCACGGGACCTGAGTGGTTGCTTCCATACGGCCAATCGCAGCGGGTGTGAATTCTGGTAGAATCAATCGAAGCTCGACTCCTCAGACACCTTCCGAGCTCCTGTCCGACTGCACTTGTTGCTTTACCACTTCCCTCCATCCACCACCAGGCTCCTTATAAAATGGCTTCTCCAGCTTCGCTTGGCTCTAGAGCCCTGCGAGCTAGCAGTCGTCATGTTTCCGTCACTTCCCTGCAGAGGAGAGGTCTAGCCGCAGCTGCTTCCGGCAGCTTTCAGTATGAGACGGGGGATTCGTCGGGTGTCAAGTTCGCTAGCAGAGATTTGCCAGGCGCCACGACCACCTTGACCGTCGTCGCAAAAGCCGGCACCCGCTATCAGCCTCTGCCTGGCTATTCTGACGCTCTCGAAAAGTTTGCTTTCAAGGTCAACTACATCATATTGCCGGGCGATGATCTCTCAGCTAACTCCAAAATTAGTCTACCACGAAACGATCGACTCTGCGCATTACCCGAGAAGCTGAGCTTCTCGGTGGTGAGCTGTCTGCGTACCATTCCCGGGAGAACCTCGTCCTCCGAGCCAAATTCCTGCGCGAAGACCTGCCTTATTTCACTGAGCTGCTGGGAGAGGTCATAACAAAAACACGATACACGAGTTAGTTCCCTTGCGAGTATAATTGGAAAGCTGTCTCTGACGATATACAGCGCATGAGCTCAATGAAGAGGTGATTCATGTCATGAAACTGGCGCAGAAAGGTCTTCTAGGAAGCCCTCTGTCGCTAGCACTGAACTCCGTTCATGGTGTTGCGTTCCACCGCGGGTTAGGCGAGCCACTATATGCCACTTCCTCGGTTCCGATGATCCAATATCTTGATGCCGAGGACATTGCGAAATTCAGTGAACGTGCCTATGTGAAGGGAAATATTGCCGTTGTCGCCAACGGTGCTAGTCACTCCGAATTCTCCAAGTGGGTGGGAGAGTTCTTCCAAGACACTCCGAGCGGTTCCAAATTGTCCAGCCCTGCTTCGACATATTACGGCGGTGAAGAGAGAATTGCTCACGGGTCTGGGAATGTGTTGATCGTCGGTTTCCAGGGGTCTAGTTCGTTCACGACCGGGTCGTCCTACAAACCGGAAATATCAGTCTTGGCTTCCTTGCTTGGAGGAGAAAGCAGCATCAAATGGTCTCCGGGCTTCTCTTTACTGTCCAAAGCTGCGCAGGACTTTCCCCAGGTGCAGGTTTCTACTCAACATGCAGCGTATTCTGACGCTGGCCTTCTCTATATCACATTTAGCGGCAATGCGGCCCAGATCGCAAAAGCAAGCAAGAACGCGGTCGACACACTTAAGAAGGTTGCAGCGGGAGAAGTGGCAGAAGAGGACATCAAGAAGGCTACTGCATTGGCGAAGTTCCGGGCGCTCGAGGCTGGACAGCAGACACAGGCTGGTCTGGAAGCCACCGGAAATGGACTAATCGAGGGTGGGAAGCCATTCCAGATCGATGAGATTGGCTCGTCCATCAACAAGGTCTCGTCAGACAAGGTCAAGGCGGTGAGTTATCTGAACTTGTTTTCGGTCGATTCTAGATTTCCTAACTTTGCATAGGCGGCGAAGGGTCTGCTGGAATCAAAGGCATCGGTATCAGCGGTGGGAGACCTGTTCAGACTTCCTTTTGCGTCGGAGATTGGCTTGACAGTTTGAAAAGGGAGGCGGCGCATTCGTTTGATTGTGCATTCTGGTGTGTAAAACTTGTAAATAAGAAAGAAGCGCCTAACAAAGCCACATTTGAAGATCGCCACGTTCCCATCCGTCCAATTACCATTATGCCCGGTTGGAATGACTCGATTCTAGGCCAGTTTATTCTCGCAAAGGGGACAGAAGATGCGTGGAAAGAAGAAAGCTGCATATATTGGGCGGTTAAAATGATGGCGGATTGTGCAGTCGTCAGCCGTCAAATGGAGAAAAATGACCGCGACATTTGTCAGATGCCGACAGTGTTTCCCTTGCAACAGCCCGTTTCTTCCGCTGATCTTCTGGCAACATTGAAGACGCCTGCAGGGATGAGAGCAGCGAAGAGGCCAACTCACCAAGTCCAGCAAAATTCCGATGTTGTCGGAGGAATGGCGACCTAGGAGCGGGCGGGTTCACGACGATGAAAAAGCGGATCGCATCCTAGCAACGCTCGCAATGAGCCAGCCACCACCCCAAAGTCAATCAATATCCAAGGGACCTGCAGGTGGCACCTCAATATGAATTCCAAGGACATTGTGATTTGTGCTCAATCCCAGCGTTGTTGGCGAGTGGTCTGCTCTGCGAGGCCTCGTCCATTATGCAGACAGTTCCACGGTTTTCGTTTTCCGTGGCGATCCTCGGGACACAGATGGACACACCACGTCGGGCCATAAAATGAACTGCCAATACGCCGACTCTATAGCCTTGCAGGACGCACGACTTCCATCTCGACAGGGAGAACTGATACAATAACACCGTCAACACCATGAGCCAGCTTCATTTCGACGCGCTGATCGTCGGCGCAGGATTCGGGGGCATCTACCAGCTACACAAACTCCTTTCCCTCGGCCTCTCTGTGAAGGTCATTGACTCTGCCGGCGACGTGGGCGGCACCTGGTACTGGAACCGCTACCCGGGAGCTATGAGCGACACAGAAAGTTTCGTATACCGATTTTCGTGGGATCAAGATGACCTTCAAACCTACCCCTGGAGTCACCACTACGTGAAGCAGCCGGACGTGCTCGCATACTTGGAACATGTTGTCGAGAAGTATGATCTGAGGAAACATATGCAGTTTAACACGGAGATGGTGGCTGCAGATTGGGATGACGAGCGCGGCGTGTGGCGGGTCGAGGTCAGTACGGGCGAGGTGTTCGTCGTCAGATACCTTGTCACCGCGCTGGGCTTGCTTTCGAAGGCGAATTATCCTGATATCCCCGGCATTGAAGATTTTCGAGGCGAGACGTGCCACACTGCACAATGGAGGCCGGAGCTTGATCTCACCAACAAGCGAGTTGCAGTCATCGGCTGTGGCTCGACTGGTGTGCAAGTTGTTACGGATGTTGCGAATAAGGTCAAGACACTCACTTGTTTCCAACGACACCCCCAATATTCCGTGCCCAGTGGTGACGCTCCCGTGAGTGACGAGTATAGAGAGCACATCAACGCTCACTATCCCGAGATCATGAAGCAGGTCCGCAACTCGGTATGTGGCTTCGGCTTTGTCGAGTCAACCACCTCCTACCACTCTGTCCCACCAGAGGAGCGCGAACAGATCTTCGAAGCACTGTGGCAAAAAGGCAACGGCTTTCGTTTCATGTTCGGCGGATTTAGCGACATCGCCACTGACCGCGAGGCCAATGAGGCTGCTTGTGCATTCATCCGCAAGAAGATCGCCCAGACCGTTCGAGACCCCCACAAAGCAAAGAAATTGATGCCCCACGACTATTATGCCAGAAGGCCGTTATGCGATGCTGGATACTATGAGCAGTTTAACCGGGACAACGTTGCGATTGTCGATGTCAACGAGACGCCTATTACAAAGATCACCGCAACGGGGATCGAAGTCAGCAATGGGACGGTCCACGAGTTGGATGTCATCATCTTCGCCACAGGATTTGATGCCATCGACGGGAACTACAATCGAGTACGGATCCGAGGCCGCGGTGGCAAGACGTTGAAGGAGTATTGGGATCCTCGCGGCCCGACCAGTTATCTCGGTGTCTTTGTACCAGGGTTTCCCAACTTGTGCATGATCACCGGTCCCCAAGGACCTTTTAGCAACATTCCCCCGGCCATCGAAATCCACGTCGAGCTCATCTCGCAGATGATTGCGCGCGTCGAAGAGAATCGCCGGCTGAGCATTGACCTCCAGGGGCGCAAGAACGTCATCATCGAAGCCCTCCCCGAGGCCGAAGAAGACTGGCTGCAGCAGTGCGAACGTGCAGCTGAAGGAAGTCTGTTCAAGGAAACCGCCTCATGGATTTTCGGCAATGTAAGTGCTCTCTCCGCTCTCCTCATTTCTTTATCTTCTTCTTCAACACCGCTAACGGTATGACTCTCCAGAATGTCAAGGGCAAGAAGATCGCGCTGAGGTTCTACTTCGGCGGACTGGCCAAATACCGCCAGGCTGTGCAAGCCATGATCGACGACCAATACCGCGGCTTCCAGCCTCTTCAGGAGGACAATGGGCATCAACACGAGGTCCAGGAGGTTGACCAAACACGGGAGCATGTGTCGATTGATAACAATGTCGCAAGCATCTCTGTCCCCGTCCCCGTCTCGTCGGAATTGGTCCAGGCTTAAATCGATCAGTCAATGAAGCGAACAAATGGAGGAGAGGAGGCAGATGCTTTTATCAGAAAATCTACCACCACCAGCAGTATCTAGCGAGCCATGTACACATGATATCTATGTACCTATGTATTTAGCTCCATACGACCCCCCTTTAATGTTTTACTTCTGTTTTCTATTCTGCGATATTCTCAGAAGTTAGAATGCAGATCTGCGTGAGTCCCAGAAGACTATTTCTTTCCACGGCTTTCCCCACTACGAAGGCAGACGAGTAGAGAACATGGGCGATGAGTCTCTGTAAGGAGCAGCACCTAATCTGTGCATCGACAGAGAGATCAAGTACGACGTTATGATTGATCTTAATGTTACAAGTTCTATTTATTGTTTTCTTCGAGGGACCAGATCCAGTCCCTTGAAAGCCCATCTATGTCTGTTACATGCGGTACTTGAGTACCATTCGAGCCATTCTTATCCTTTCGAGGACCGGTGCACTATTGTTGATCGTAATGGTATTTTGCTCATCAGATATCGTGATCGATCATTAACTTGACTAGCCCACAAGCTGTGCCCCAACAACTTCTTCCTTTGGCAACTACCAGGCATAATCATTCGAAATATGCTGGCTGTTGCGCTCTCTCCACTCTCCGTCATCACCAGGTTCACTATCAAGGAAGTCATTCTCGTGATACTGGGTCTCGGCGGGTCGTTGGTCTGAGATCACAAGGTTCACCACATCACATCTGCCTTGAAAAGATTTTGGAGCTGGTGCATCGCTTTCGTCGGTGTTATCACCGAGACTGAGCTTCTTGAGGTGACCGTTTGCTATCCGGGTGCTTTGTCGCTGCGACGCAGACGGCCTCCCCTTCGAGAACTTGCTGACGATATTGGACGGTTCTTGAGTGTTGAGAAAGACATTCTCTAGCTTAGCCAGCCACTTTTGTCTGAATTTGGCTCGGTCACGCCAACTGGCATCCTTCAATATCGCCTTGATGTTGAGTCTCCTCAGCTGCGCCAGATGCTCAGAAGAGTCAACGAGCGAGGCCAGAAATTCTTCAGCGTCCTCTTGGGTCAACTGGCGCATATTTTCGATAGAGATGGTCACCAGATGGGACGGCCAAGTAGGCGGGCCGTGAGGTAGCAGCTCGTCGTAGAGGGGCTCGCGGTCGCGGAAGGACGTCGGATCTATGTAAAGCATGTCGATCTCCAGATGTTGCAAGTCAGGGCAGAGAGCTTGCAGACTAGCCATGAACCCAAAATCCATGCACTGGTTACCATCAAGTTTGAGGAATCGTAGGCTGGAACCGCGGGACAAGTAATTCTCGAGAGCGTCAGATGTCAAATCGGGACAGTTCGTCAATTCCAAGTCCAGGAGGCCCGCTGGAAGCATTGACATGGTGACTTCGTCAAGTATGCCGCAGTTTCGAAAAGAGAGGGATCGTAGTTCTGGCAGGCGGCTGAGTGCCTCTGCGAAGAAGCCGCGAGCGCAGTCAATATCAGCTTCCTTGGCCTTTTCGGGTAGACTGAGGTTGAGAAATGTGAGGTCGCGCAAGCGACTGAAAGAGGGCCGGCAGTGGGCCTCGGTGGCCATCTTGAGGACGTCGGTTGTGTTCTGAAACCTTCCGTTCCACTCGAAGCTTCTCATGAAGAGATGATCAGTCTCCAGACGGCCTAAAAGCTCTGTCGGATAGCTCCACTTGAATTTCTTCGCTGCCGGCTGCGCCCAAATGACTGTTGTGAGGTCATCGTAGTTGGAGTAGAATCTTAGCCCTTGGAGCAGCGGGGTCAGAGAGATCAACTTATCCATGGAGATGCCACTCTTCTTAACAAGAAGTTGCTTGACTTCAATATCGAGGAATCGAATCTTTTTTCGGTAGTCGGTCGAAAGAGACCCGGGAGCTTGCTCAAGCAGGTTGATGAGACCGTGGGCTCGCCATGATGGATACAGAGGGGGGCTATAAAGTAGTGCAGCTGTGGAAGCCTCGTGGAAAGAGCGGCACAAGGACCCTGTCGTACACAGCCAGTTGATCGAAGGCTGCGCTCGCGACGTCGGGCCGTAGAGAGGATAGGCAGCATATTGCATGATGCTCACAAGGATATGGTACGGGAGTTGTTGCCATGGTGGGATTCGGTTGTTGGTGGACGCAGACAATGTGTCAGCAGAGCGCTTTGCATTCATTTGGCCCCGATTATGGTTGTTAGACGAAGGTTTTCGTCGCTTGAAGGATTTGAATAAGCGTTGCGCCGCCGACCTTGTCACAGGCGGAGATTTTCTCTTCTTTAGAGGCCACGACTGCCTGTGTGTAGGCACATGCCTTCTCGTACTTTGAGGTCGATCGTCCGACTGCGCGGGGGAGGACTGAGCATCAGATTCGTCCGAGGATGGATCTGGGGCATCATCGTCGTGGTCGTCATCACTCGACTCTCTGTATGTCTTTACCCGACGGGCAGCACGTCGGGGACGGGGTTTGAGGACAAATTCAGCGATGTCATCGGAGTCGCTGTCGTCGTTGTTCGGATAGTGGACTCGAGATCCGCGACGAGGCCGAAGTCGAGGAGGGGGGGTTGAGGACTGAGCCATGGATGGGAAGTTGAAGTGAAAGGCGGAATGCGGCGGAGGAATGGGTAATGGACGAAGAAAGGAATCAGGGCTCCTGTCGCGCCCCAGTCTAGACAATTTCTCAGAGGTAAAACCCAAGGGTCGGCATTCTGGAGTGCCGGTATTACGACGAGGACTTGCAGCAGCAGGATGCCGTTTGGTGTCGGTCAAGGGCGAGATCGTGAGGTGCAAAGGTCGGTTGGTCGATCGGTCGCATGCAAGTCATGAATGATGAGATCGATCTTGCAGCAACTCACGAGTCACATTACCGACGAGTCCGAGTACTGGGTAGCCAGTACTAAGCTGCGGATCTTGCCGGAGCCGCCTCCAACTAGTGGCGTTAGTAGTGTGTTAAAGAGTCGACACGAGCACTAGAGGCAGGTTTCCCGAAGAGCGATGACTATCATTTCCAGGCTAGGAAACTACTCGGTATTAAGACTGCTCAGCTCGTTAGCAATAAAGGCTTTTTACTGCAGCGCAATATTGATGATATTACTCTTCACAGTCTCCTGCTCTGAACTCGGCGGCTTTCCGTAGTGGATGTATCAGTTCGTCCACGACAGGAAGGTTCTCGATCGGTAGGGCACGGTAAGTAGTCCGTGATTTGGGGTATCACGACTATTCCTGTTCCTGGCGGACGGTACCTGAGAACAGAGAAAACAGTGGGTGTTCGTACGAGGTATGCTACGCAGCCACGAATTTGCCTGCGACCTACATTTGCCTGGGATTTCTTGATAAGCGGCGCAAGGGTGCCCAATTGTGGATTCTCCAGAGACTTCGAAATGAAGACAAGGTTTGATGTGGCTATAGTAACAAGGGCGGGCGTGTGAATGTTCCTGCTGGAAAGCGGGTTGGGGGGGGAGGAGCAAGAAGTGCCACTGAGGCCTGCAAGAGCTGCAAGGGCTGGATGCCAACCTGCACTGCCACTGAGCATGATGCACGTACCTCTGCTAGGCTAGTAGAGTTAAGCTTAGGCTGGCCTTGGCTGGGCACATTTTCCGCCCGGAGCTCAGCGATCCACCCGCAACCTCGATGTCAGCCAATCTCACTGGTGCCCCGTAGCTTGCCCTTAAGGAGCTACAGTACTACCGTTGACTGCTTCTGCTGCTCCTCCAGATACCTTGCCTGCTCATCGCTGCTAATCAATAACTGCTTGATGGATGCCCGAGAGAAGCCAACTCTCATCACGATTATCCTGTCAAGGACTCCGTACCGGGTACCGGTCGAGCACGACTCTTGGCGCTGTCAACAAGAATCATCCTAGTGCCAGATCTACCACCACCTTGCACCACCTACTGGGTACTCGGTACTGCGTCACCAAGCGGTACGAGGTACCCTGTCACTTGCACCTACTGTACTCCGCGAGGCCAGTATTGGGTAAGTAGGTATTGCCAGCTTCCTGCTCGCCCCATCCATCATCCTCTCATTTGCCGACCCCGATCCCAAGTCGCCCTGCCAACTTTTCGACTTTCCTGCTTCCTGCAGCTCACCTGCAACTCTGGAACACCTTGCACACCTTGCCCGCCTTGCACACCACAACCTGCAGCAGAACCCCCAGCTGGCCCCGGCCAACAGCCAATCCTGCATCTTGCGAATCGACGGCCCTTCCTGCCACTCTTCTTCCGTCTCGAAAAGACATTCTTCTCCAAAAATAATCCCATTGACTCTCTCAAGTCCTCCGACTAACCAACTACCGATCGACCACCTTTTCCCACCCTTCGACCGCCCTGCCAGCGCAGCTTGATCGACTCCTGTGAAACACGCGCTGCTCGTCATCTGAACCAGTCCCTCAAAATCCACAGCGCATGGTGTTTCACGTCTCAATCCTGCACTTCCCTTCCGTCGTCTACGCCATCGTCATCCATTCTACTGCTTCTTGACCTGGTTGTGGAAATGGGTGGAACACAGTATGGAAAATTCCAAGTAGGATCCCTAGAGCAAGTTGCCGGTCTGCTGCTTTCCAAGCCACTGACCTACGGCTACAGGACTTCTGTCGCGATGCGACACTCCCTATATGCAATGTCAGTCCTTCCCCCTCCAGCGATAAGCTCCTGACACTCTTCTAACTGCGTTTTAGATCCTTGTCACGAACAATCAACCACCGGGCCTTGCTTATGGCGGCTGTGTCCTGCGTGGAATAACACTGAGCAACAACCGCAACCTTGCCAATCTGGGGTCGATACTACTCTGCGGTATTGCCATCGTCGTCACTCTGTTTCTGCTATGGCGCGCAGAGAGGAAGGCTGCTGCCGTCGGCCGCAGGGAAATGCAGATGTTTCTGGTCGGATACCTGATCATTGAAATCTGCGAAATATTCACAGTCGGCGGATTTCCATTGAACAACGATGTGCGCAAAGGTTTCACGGCCGTCCATCTGGCCGCCATCGTGGCTACCATGTGGATCTTGCTCATGAACGCCGTAGTCGGCTACCAATTAGTAGACGACGGCACGCCCTTGTCAATGGGACTCATCGGCTTCAGCTCCCTGGCATTGTTCATTGGGACCGGCTACATTGCACTGGACACGGCCTTTTCTTGGACCGGCTTTTGGGATGACTCGTTACACCCACCACATCTGAACTACGCCCTCTACACGCTGTATCAGCTGGCGCCCCTGGTCTTCATGTTCTTGTTCTTTGTGCTCGAGTCAATTCTGGTTCTTAAGATTCTCGGCGAAACGAAACCAATGCTTTATTTGGTCGCCGCTGCTCTGCTCTTCGCCATTGGCCAGGTCTTCATGTATGTGATATCAAAGCACATATGTGAAGGTACGGATGGCGACATCAATGGCACCCTCTTCGAGACCCTCTTCACTCTCCTCAGTGTCGTGGCGGTCTTTGTCTTCTGGTCATCAATCACTGAGGACGACTGGCCGATTCAGTGATTGGAGCAGAACATGGCCAGAGATGTTGAAAAAGGCCGTCGCAGGGAAATTTTGGTCCACCGGAGCTTGCCGTGGAGTTTCTCTTCTTGGCCGGGCAATTGCACAGATAAAAGAAATGATTTTTAATATCTTGGGACGGCAAACCGATGCGACACACCCCCTCCGACCCCGAACAAGGAGCGTCCTTGTTGTCTGTCGCAATATCCTAATGTTTCCCGATTGGAAGGCTTGGGCATGATAGCTTGACGAGTTACGCAGCGTTTGGCATCTGTGAAATGTGTATTGATCGCAATTTCCTGGAGGTTTGCAGGTTGGAGTCGATTTCAGCGTCATCCACGGGGCGAAAACAACATTTTCCGTGGACTTGGGAGTTGTGAGCTGGCATCACACAGCAGCCATTTGTGACCTAGACTAGAGTATAGTAGTAGTCCAGAAGGATATATCTTCGTGATGGACGGACAATAAGACGTGATCTCTCTATATCCTTGGACTTGAAACCCGACGTCGTATGTGGTCCCACAGTCTAATACTCCTTCAGAGACTATGCACATCCGTCCGTCCATGATATCGAGCATGAAGTTCTCGGCAAGAATCGGTCACGAAACGAACAGCCGCCATGTGACACATCAGAGAACGAGCTTGACTCCGACGCAAGGTAACGTCCACTCCGAGCGCCCTAGTAAGTTCCTCAGCCAGTGGGTTCCGATTCCCGTATCGACAAGCGACGGCAAAGACGTCGCCGAAGCTACTGGTTCTGTCCCGGTTATTGCCGTCGCGGATGCAATCAACTTCTGCCGGGCTTCATCGAACAATTCCTCTGCCGAATGTTTGGCCGCATTCGCTAGGCTGGCGACTGTCGTCCGTGCAATATCTCTGAGGAAGTCTCCCATCTCTGACGCCGCAGTGTCGTTGTTCGCTTGTCCCGCCATGTGGCCTACACTGCTCGGGAAGTTCGTGGTATATAGCCTTGGAGTAAACCAAGCCGCAATCGTCTCATACGAGCCGTTGGGGTGCTGAGATGGCAGCATGGGCAGGTCGATGAAGCACCGATTCGACCAGTGACATGACGATGCGAAGAGAATTATGAGGAGGAAGGAGCAATATATGCAGGGGCGGTTGAGGACGTATGTGAGCACGAGCAGTAGGATCAGATGGACGGGCGAGAGACTGAGGGGGAGCGGGAGTAGAAGGAGAGGAAGGTATCTGGTCGCACGACAGCGATTAGCATCTCTTTTGGTAATCTCGCAATGGGGGGAACGCGAACAGGACGACGGCGGACTTACGAGCGAAGACAATACATTGGCATCGAAATGTTTGCTGTGAGATTGGGGAAAGAAGGAAAGGATACGATGTATGGAGGAGATTTGTATTGCGAGGGGGAAGCGAACTGGGAACAGGCTGGCTGAGGCTGGTGTTAAAAAGTGAGGCTCAGCCAAGGAGAACTAACCGGGATGTACCAAGTACGAGTAAGATGTAATACGTCCTACGGAGGGTTAACAATCAGAGTACCGCGTACCCGGTCTAGCAATGAGTGCTAATAATGATCGAATTGGAGCTGCCAGACTGCGGAGAAATTTTGCCAGGCCGCTGCAAGCCCTCCTGCTTGCTCCTCGCCGTCGTATCGGCTTTTCGTTCACCTCATCAACTTTCACCTTCCTTTAGATTTTACTCGGGCTTCGTGTTTTCATCAACAACTCCTCCACCGCGTGTTGAAAACCACCGCCTTCCTTTTCCTGCACTGCACGTTTCGGTGCTGCCATTCCTTCTCGCTTCTTCTCTGGTTCCCGGTGTAGCATCCGGGTGACGCAGAACCATTATCTCTTGCTTTCTACCCGATCTGTGAGCTCATCGGTCTGGACGTCCTTGGGCCGACTGGAATAATGTCGACCAACAACGATCTGCAAGCTCTGTTTGCCAACTTGAGGCCGAAGCCTCGCGACTCCCCTGCCCCCTCCCACACGTCGAACCAGCCCAACTCTGCAGGTCAAACCTCCCCGTTCGCTGCCGTCCCGCCATTGCCTTCGAGCCCTCCTCCCTTCACCTCTGTTGCGAACGAAAGCTCCTACAACCAAATGGCGCAGCCCGTCGCGTCGGGCCCCTCTGCCACGGCGCAGTCCTTGCTGAATTTGCTGAATTTCGGGCCGACTACTTCTACGCTTTCAAACGCCAACTCAAGACCTCTTTCTTCTGCTGGCAATGCTTTTGGGGCCTCTGAAGAGAAGAGTGACAGGCCGGCAGCAAATGCTCCGGCACCAGGACTGTCGACTTCAGCTTCGGATCTGCTCGCAAAGTTCATGTCATCTTCGCCTGCTCTAAGCAGACCAACAACCCAATCCCCACTGAATCTGGAGGATCAAGGTGGTGGCGGCGGTGGCGCTGCCAATCGACCACAGTCTACAAGTGGAAGTGGCCGTGATGCATCACAGGATGCACTACTCAAGCTCCTCAGCAGAACCCACCCCGGCAATTCCGTCAACGCGCGCCAGAATTCCGTTGAGGGGACGCAGTCCCAATCCCCAGGCGCCAACTCTGATATCAAGTCTACAGAGATGAGGCCGACGAAGATAGAGTCGCCCGCTCCTTTGTTGGGTTCCAGTCCCACGGCAGAGGGGCCTCTATCCGGAGCTCTCGGTACTGACTCTAAGCCGTCAACCCAGAATCCACCCCTGTTTACGTACACCAACCCTTTTGAGGCCTTGCAAGCCTCTTTGAACGCTTCCCGGGCGCAGACTCCTAAAGAAGGAGCTACGGCTGCCAAGCCCGTCAATATTGATGTTGCTCAATCAAATGTCGAGTCTGGTAACGACCTATCTGAAGACACAAATTCACGCATGGCCACAGATGACCAGGTGGCTAAGAGGAAGATACTCACGCCTAGACTACCATTAGCACCAAAGAATACCGCAACATCGCGCGAAGGTTCAGTCGCTGCAGCTGCTCGGGAGAACGAAACACAAGACGCCGCTCCCGTGGAAGAGACAGGAGCCTCCGCTCCTGCGGAGAACAGGTCGACAGATGAAACGAAAGAGGAGATTCCCCTGGACCATGGTAATGGTGCGAAGCATGACGAGAGCTCTGGTGTGGAGAAGACTGTTGACCAAGCGCCTGATGCCGGTGATGAATGGGAAGATGCGGAAGAGTCACCGAATAAGGAATCCCCCAGGACGGTCCCGGTTTACAATTTCCCCATCAAACCATTTGTCTCGATCACCTTGCAGTTACCCCAATCTTCGGGCGTCGGCATCAGAGATGACGGTGTTATGGAGATATCAAGATTGAAGAAGGACTTCGATCAGCTAGACCGTTCTCTAGCAGCTGCGACATCCAAGTACATCACCTATGCCTTGGTCAAGAACGGCGGAATGCGCATCATCCGGCAGGACGACGGTAGTGATCGACAAGTCTTCAAGAATTCTCATGACCGCATATTTAATGTCGCTCTTTGCACCACCTCTTCCGCTGGCGAGCCATCGGATGAACAGGCGCTTCTCGGGACCGGAGTCAGCGGTGCCGTGTATTACGCAACAATCAACAAGGACGGAAACGACCTGTTTGAGAAAAACGAGCTTGACGCCGAGAGCCTCATCTTTCCACCTTTCCCGCCAGCCGATGAGAATGCATCTGGGGGCGTGCTCAAGACGCGTGCGAAAAGAAGCTCTCGCCACCCCGAGTTCTTTGCAATTGGACGCGGCAAGGCAATTCATCTCGTCTGGCCAGCAACTGCAATTTCTTCACGATACGGTATCAGCGAGCAGAATCGGCGTGTCGATGTTGATAAGTTCTTTCAAGAGCGATCACTGCAGATCTCAACTGGGAAGGCCGGCAAAGACTTCACCTTCAGCGAGGATGATACTTTGATTGTTTCTCTGGACAAGACTGGAAGATTGCGATTCTGGGATATCCGTAAACTGATTGACGAGTCAAATACCACCTCCACTCGACTTGCGAATATGACCGTTGATCTCCCGATATTGTCCCTTTCCACCGCTTCCCCATCAGAGAAGTCATGGCCGACGTCTGTTCTTTTCGTAGACAAGGCTCGTCCATACGTCAAAGGAGGAGCGCTGCGTTACGTTCTTGTCGGGCTGAGGCAGAATCACACTCTTCAGCTCTGGGACATTGCGCTTGGTAAAGCCGTTCAGGAGATCAATTTCCCTCATGAAAACGAGACTGACGGTATCTGCAGCGTGTGCTATCACGCAAACAGTGGGATTATCGTGGTGGGGCATCCGACCAAAAACTCGCTCTTTTTCATTCATCTCTCTGCACCGCGTTATTTGCTCTCTACATCTCTGACCCAGGCTGCATATGTGCAACGCATTGCTGCGAAAGATCCAGACTTACCGAAGCCTGATTCTACAGCCTGCATGAGTGGCATTCGTGAAATGTCACTTGCAGAGAAAGGTGAGCTTAGAAGCGTTGAGATCCTTCCGATTTATCGAACTGCTGAGGAACAGAGGGCGGTTGACGAAAAGACGCCTCTCTTTGAGCTCTACGTAGTGCATTCAAAAGGTGTCACTTGCCTCAACATCACAAAGGAGGACCTTGGCTGGAATACAAACAGTAAGGTGGTCCATGGAATCGATGCCGCGAAGGAAGGATACGTCAGGTTGAAAGAATTACGACTCGGGACCGTTATCGAAGAAGGGCCTCGAGATAAGAGCCCGACTGAGGAAGTACTAGGATCAACTAAGAGTTTGAAGAAGAAGCAAGGAAAGAAAACTTCATCTTCTGCCGAACGCGCGGAGACCATGCAGGTTGAAGATTCGGAACCTGGGAAACCAGTGCCTGCACAGCCTCTCAGCAACGGGGCTGAACCACTCGCAGAGACGACCAACATTGAAACTCCGTTGCCCAAGGAAAACAGGAAGAGTAAGAAGAAAGCTGCCTCATCCGCCGACTCACGGCTCCCTGAAAAGGTCGCGCTCACCGAATCATCTGCCAAAGCTGCCTCAACGGCAGCGGCCACCCTTGCACCTGCAAATGCGGCTCCTGTTGAAGACCAAAACTCTGCGCCAGCAGCTGCGGCTGTCCCTCTCACATCAACCACAGAAGCATCCGCCAAACCCGAAGCGGTCACTGTGGGTATTTCCGGCGGGTGGCTAGACAAGGAACTCAAGAAGGTCGAGAAGGCTGTATCTACGGAGTTCCGAAAAGAGCTGGACTCTCTTTATCAGAATATCCAGAATGACAGAGCCGTTCAGGACTCTGCTGCCATTGCCCGTCAGGAAGCTCTCCTTCGCTTAGTCTCGGCTACTCTGAGCAACAACGTTGAAAAATCACTTTCTCGCATCCTTTCAGCTCAAATGCAACAATCAATTGTTCCAGCACTCACGGGAGCGACGGTACAGGTGGTGGGAAGCCAAGTGGGGGAAGCTGTGGCGAAATCTCTCCATTCCTTGGTGCCGAAGGAGTTGGCTGCGCAACTGCCTGTTGCCATCAATGGAGTTCTGCAGAGCCCCCAAATGACCCGAACAATATCAGACACAGTCTCGCAAAAGGTTTCAAAACAGATCGAGACCCAACTGAACGATCTTATGCAGAAGCATGTGGTACCGACGTTCAAGACCCTCGCAGCCTCAGCAGCGGAACAAGCCGCATCTGAGGTTGAAGTGCGCTTACGGAATGAGATTCGTCAACTGGAGAATGACCGACGGAATGACCTGACGAGGTTAGAAAAGCTGGGCCAAGTGCTCCAGGCAACAGCCGAGGCACTACAGCAGATGTCCGACACCCAGGTCGCTTTCCAAGGTCAGATCCTGAAAGATCGTCGTCAGCTCGCACTGGTCGGAGAAACCAGTTCATCCCCGGTGCCTGGCCAGGTGTCAACAGCCCGGATGACGCCATCACCTCGAGGCATCCCAAGAACAATAGTCCAGCGACAGAAGACGAAGGAGGAACTCGAGTTGGAAGAGATCAGCCAATTGATGAATGAGGGTCGTTACGAGGAGGCTTCAATTAAATGGCTACAGTCGACCCAACCATCGGAGTTGTTCGACAAACTGTTCATCCACTTCACTCCGGAGTATCTGGCAACTGACGTCTCACCGCTGATCGCCTTTTCAATCGCCGTCACCATCGGCAATTCTCTGGCAACGAATACGGCCCAACGACTCGAGTGGATATCTGCTGCGTTCAATGCGGTCGATCTTGCTGTAAGTGCTGGTCAAATCCTTGTTCTGTCTTCTTGTCCTCACGCTTTGCTTTAGGATCCCGAAATCTCCGATCTAGCGCAACATGCACCGGCACTTTTGAGCTCCTTGATCCAGAAACTCGAGCGCCTGTACATGACGATCGCAGAACGAGATCCGACCGATCCAGCGCTGCAAATCATGCCAGTTGTTTCAAGGAAGGCGAAGGAGATGAGGGCCACTCTGGAGGGACCAGTACGGCATGGTGTTGATTTTTAGCTTTGCAATTGGGTCTATTTGGTTTGAAAAGCTTCAGATGCCCTGAGGAGTAGCAACAACCGGGCTCATCACCGGAGTAGAGGATAAGATGAACATGAAGGATTGATTGCTCAGTGATTACTGGATACATTGAAAGTGCTTTCACAAGGTGGTCCCAAGGTGGTAAAAGTTTCGGCATTCAGAGTATGTGCTGCAATCCCCGTTCTCTCTCTCGCCACTAGCCCGACTTTATGCCGGGTTCCCTGTTCACATCTGATGTAGGCTCAAGGTCGCCATGACAGCTTTCATGCGGGTTTGGCCTTTGAGGATTGCATCAGATACCGAAGCGCCTAACGCCAGTGCTGGCGGCCGACATATCAAAATCCGCCAAGTCTGAACTTTACCCTCTCCCTTTAAAGCAAGACCACTTGCCACTGCTCAAGGTGTGGTACCATGTTTGCCTGCTGTTTCTCCTTCTCTGCGCTGGCGCAAGGGTGAAAGGCTACTCGGACCTCTTTCTTTAATCGAAGGCTGGACAGCACAAGCTTGCCTGCCGGGTGGCCTCTGACTCCTCCACCTCTCTACGCTAGTAACAACTTCTCTTTCAGGACCAAATCACTGAAAATTCAGCAGGTGGTTCGAGAGTCGGCGGTTCTACATCTACCCAGAGAAGAGAACAGAGCCGGTTCCTTGCTGTGGCGTGGTCAGTAAGGACTGGCAGAGGTGAATGAAATCCGCTGTCGTGGTGCAACCGTCTCCTCGGTCTTCTGTCTCTGATATGAAAGTCTTAGTTTGTCGCTTCTTTCTTTCGCGCCTCGCTCGAGCTCGAGCCCGCAATATCTGATCGAGGCCTGGCACACCGTGTTCTGAAGACACTTCAATCGTTCCTGGCCCTTTACTCACTCTGCTCGACTTGTGACTAGTACTATGCCTTCTCTCGGCAGGGAAAATTGTATCACGGGTGGACGCGGACGAGAATATTCTCCAAGGTCTCGCATCCCAGAGGTCGCAAGAGTACCAGCCGATCGTTCCGACCCTAGGCAAGCTGAAAAGACTGGATAAGCCTGAGGTGGCCATCTTGGCTGATCTTTACCGTGAGGATCGGTGGCGCTGGACCATAGAATATGTCTCCAAGTGGGAATGGCTCAGGACTTGCAGAATCGAGTTCGCCCATTTAACTCTTCCTAACGGTGACCCCGACCCAAACGCCTCTCGGGGTTTGGAAAAGCAAGAATACGAGTGGCTTTTGTCACAGATATTACATTACAAGTTAGGCTTTGCGTGGACTCCTGTAAGTGCCTTTCCTGCTTGACAAAGTGGCCGTTCCTTCGTCGGCAAATTTATTGTCCTCAGCGCTAACAATGGTTTTAAGATCGATGCAGTGGCCAGGATCGCAGCTGCTGTCCGTTCAGGCAATGTACAGCAACCACGCGAACTTAAACATCGTGCGCAGAAGCTGAAGGAGGTGTTCCGTGCTTAATGGAGTCTCATGAACACAGCAATGCAGTCGACATAAGCAACCAATGAAGAGATGAGTGACTCAAGAGGCGGTCACGAAGATGTTGAGATTGAGGCTGGAGTGAGCACCACAAATCCTTCAGTGAAATCGCATGTGGCGAGCCCGCTATCGTCAGAAAAGATCAGAGCACATAAAGGTGCAATTGCCGTCCCCCTAGTGAAAGAGACAACAGTAGCGACGAAAGAAGACCCCAGTTCCGAGAAGAAGAAGCTGGGCGCGATAGCAATAACTATGAAGGATATGCAGACAAGAGAGGGACGGCTGTGATTGCCTCGACTACAGACCCCCAGGAGACCCATGCGGCCAAGAGATCAAACGTGTCCGATCCAGTGGGAAAGCCATGTGTCTCTCACTCGTGAAATATTCTTAGGTCCAAGGATCCGCTCCCACCAGAACCGCGACCGGTCCATTTCAGTGAACAAGTCGATATAGATAGAAAGCACGCGAAGACCAATACCATATCCGCACCAGGAGAAGAATCCCCAGCACAGCCGAAAAGGACAAGAGATAGAACTTTTGCCAAAGCAGGTGAGTGCCAACGCAGAAAAGAACAAAACCTCTGTTGCAGCTCCGTCTCACAAGCCTAGATCATCAATGAAGACGTTGAGGTGCCAATCAAATTATGATGCTGCCGCACTGGATCGAAGAACGACAGCCTCACTGGAGGAAATTGATTAGCCTCCCGGTGATGAGGCAAGAGCTAGACAATCTCAACATCATGTTCTACAAAAAGCCGCACAAAGACCGAGCAGCACTCCCTGGGCCTAGGATGAGACGCCAACAAGCAAAGGAACAGGTCCGCCAATCTCCTGTTTAGACGGTCCTAAGTCGTTTCAACACACAGATGCTACCCCAACAGCAAGAAAACTGAAGCAAGTCGGCCAACCAAGCGAACATTCTCCCGTTTATATCGTCATTGAGGATTCGGACAGCGAGCATCTCCCAAAGCATCCTTGCAGGGTGGCAAGAAGATTAAAAAGGAGGAAGTCTTCGGTTATCGCCACGAATATGCCTGTGAAATCCGATAGAAGGAGGTCAAGTTTTCGATCCCGCCGAGTGACATTGACGACGATGAGGGCGCCCGATTCGCAAGTCGACGGAGAAGCTTGTACACTGCACCATCTAGGATCAGCACCGAATTACCTCTTGCGAAAAGATCAGGCGCGAATGCCGGTAACACAAAAGACAGGGGTCTCACCAAAGCACGAGAGAGTGCGTAAGGTGTGTCTCGATCTATATCCCAGATCCTTGCATGTCAAAAGCACAACACAGCTCTGCAATAGATAAGATCTCGGGGAAAAGTCCAGAAGCGCCGAGGGAGACGGGCTTTGATGACAACGCCACTCATATTCCCGCCGATACTGCGAACCTGAATGCCGACATATTTCGATCGATTGGGGGCGATTCCAAGTAGGAGCCATCGTGGAACTGACAGCGCAGTTCAGAGAAGAGAATGTGACTAGAATTGTGCATGCTCCAACAGTAATTGTCAACATTTCCGCCTCAGCCAAAGTCTCTCGTCTATAGGTAGCAGGCCCTAACCGGAAGTCTGAGGACAACCGCGCCCCGTAAATGCTACACTGACGGGGCGCAAAACACAACATGGAGATGCCTTACGATCTGCCTTTGCAGCGAATGTCGGCCCTCACACACCTAAACGGCGCCCCTTGCCAACGAAGCAGAATCTTTCTGGCTGTGTCACGACCCCCCCTCCCCCCACACCTTAGGGGGGATGTCCCCTGAAACTGTTCCGAAGGCGCACACCAACTTCCATTGCGCCTGATCAAACTGGAAAGTCTGCTCGAAGAAGGTGAAGCCCAAGAAAGCAGAGGGCCCCGCATAACAACCACGAACGACGGACACAATGCTTACAGGTTTCGATATCGATATCCTGAATGCGACAGTTGAAGCAGGCCGGAAGAATGTTGACAAGGCCGGAGAAGAGCTTCTGCACAGTTCCCAGACACTCAACAATAGCCTGAAGGCTCCACGAGGAGACAAAAGACCAGTACGAGATAACGAGGTACCAGAGTTTGCGAAATTGGAGTAGGTTATGGACTGCGATGAACACGGCGTTCCTGCAAAACGCGCCCCTTTCCGCCGACCTACCCCTCTCACTCACACCCTCCGCGATCAAGTGGGCGACCCTCTGCCTCACGAAGAGTCGTCCCGTAGGGAACTCCCGAGGAATGACCAAGAACAGCGACGCAGGGATACAAAGACAAGAGTGAACTTTTGGACCCGATTTGCGAGGCCATTTCCCTCAGAGGAAAGGGAGAGGCCATCAGGCGCAAGCAAGATAGGTCTGCGAAGATGCCGTTAAGAGGATCTTGGCCGAGGAGACTGTGGACAGGGTGAACAAGGGCAAATGATTTCCACAAAAATCCCTGCTTGGCGCCTGCGAGGTTGGTAAGGGCTACTCAAGAGGACATTCAGGTTTGCATGCACCGAGCAAGGCTCAGAGAAAGAGGGCCACATTCACGAATGTCAGAGAATGGAAGATACGTCGCAAATGCATATGATCGACGATCCTTCGACTTTTCTACACGGATAGGGTACGCGTGTTCTCCACTGCACTGGCTGATGTTCTCGTCATCTCGGGTATAGACGACGCTATGTATCCATCCGTATTCAATGCATGTCCATCAAGGTCTAGACCGGCGATCACGCAGAATTTAATACCACGGAACAATATATAGCATTAAGGATGGCCCCCTTAGTGTGAGGAGACTCCGTATAATGGGGGACTGGGACCAGCACCGATGCCCGTGCCTCGGAGGGAGCAGAACCTGAATTTGAATTGAACTGGACTCCCTGCTGAAGACTATCACGACACGAGAGTACTATTGAGAGATCCACGATCCGCTTTGCGAATCACCCGCATACCACATTCGTTCCACTTCTCGGAAACGTCGGATCAACTTGATCTCATCTCAACCCCTTTTATTCTCTTCGTTCTTCCTTTCTATGGGAGGGGGGGGGGGGGAAACACTCCTACGTAGTCACTTTCCTCCCCGTCTTCGTTTTCTTTTCCCTTTCCCCTATTCTTTCGGTCAGGCAATCAAAGCACGACCGTCTCCGCATCAACCACGCCGAACAGCTCCTGCATGGGGTCCTTGTAGTCGGTAGCGAAGCCGCAGAACGGCGGACTCACGCTGTAGCCGAGTAGGCGCTGGGCCTTGGTGGGCAGCGAGCACGCCACTGAGGGCGGCACCGTCAGGTATTGGTTTTCGACTTGGCGGTACATTCCTGCATAGGCGCACTGGTTAGATTGTGTGAAAGGAAGGATGGAGAGAATGAGTGAGGGAGAAGGGACGATAGGGGAAGGGAATTGGACTGTGTATCTTTATTCCCCCGGGCCTACGGTTGGTGTAACTGAGGGGTGTTTAGGTCAATAGGAGGGTTTGAAAGGCAGGGAAACAAATCCTGGAGAAATAAGGTGATCGCGAAGGCCAAAGGGAGAAATTCCCTAGGAAAAAGCCAACGGGGGGGGGGGGGGGGGAGGAGAATAAGTAGAACAAGGGGGAAAAGAGATATCAAAAAGCAACCTTTTGTGAGAAAGATACCAACCGTCTCCCGTACTTGATCTCTGTTTTTAGAAGATTGGTTAGTCCTGATCCACATCGTGAGACTCCAAAGGGCGAAATGAATAACTCTCAAACCCGGGCGGGGTACTGGCGAAACTGGATAGTGGAAACTTGCGTTGTTGTATTGGCACCACCCGCATGCTAGTGCGAAGTAGAGCATGTCAGTCCTCCGGCAAGGACGAAAGATGTGCGGGCGGAGCACTTACGTATGTACTCCCCAGGAAGATAGTGGCATCTCCTGGCTCCAGCTCAGCGGGAATGGCCTCCTGGTCATACGGGCAGCGGTCGTCCTTCCATCGATGCGAGCCCGGGATGAGGACGGTCGCGCCATTCTCTCGCGTGGTCTTGACCGTCGCAGCCACACAGCCAATCAGGACCGAGTCATGTCCCGACCGTATGTGGTAGTCGATGTCGTCGCGATGAAGGCCCTGCTGGCGGCTGCCGGGATTGACCTGGAACCCCACAGTGCTGGAAATCTGGGGCTTGGAGACGGCCACCTGCTTCTCCTGGCCGATCCAGTACTCGAATTTGGAGGTCAGGAGTCGGGACGCTACCTCGTTGAAGAGCGGATTCAGGGCCAGTTCCACGCATGTGGGCGATATGCCCAACAGGCCGATGGCTCGCCGCGTGGTCTTTGGGAAGAAGCCGCTCTTGTCGCCGCCGTCGGCGTCAAAATGCGGTTTGAGATCACGCCGGATTTGCTCGGCCTGTTCGCGGCTGAGCAGGTTCGTCACGATGATGGCACCATCTCGTTCGAGAACCTCCTGGACCAAGTCGGCCGTGGTGCTGGGGTCTCGGGCGTCGACCCGGGTGAGGGATGGTGCTGCAGGCGTCGCAGTGGAAGACACCGGGTTCGCCATATCCAATTACGGCGGAAACAGGATCTTCATGCGGTGCAGTTGACTAGTTTGTGCACACAGGCAACGCCGCTGACAGGGTCTCGGGACGAAGAAGCAGGAAAATACACCGGACCATATATACACAATTGATATCAGTGGAATGAACCATGATAAAAAGAAAATCGAGACACCGCCGCATGCCAGACGCACTTCAGCGGCCTCTAACCATTTTCTATCTAGGACATCCCAGCTAATGATACAGACCTTTTACATGAACAGTAGTTCCCACGTTCCGCATGAAGGGATGACACGCAATATTGGGGGGGTTAAGTGACCTAGACGAATGCCACCGCTGGGGTGGGGAGAGGCTATCGCGCCACAGTGTAATACTGTGATAGGTCAAGGAAAAGTACTCCTCTTTGGGAAACCGCCTGAGGACGCCAAAAAAAGGGTGGCGACCAGCCCCAGACGACAATCTAGATCTTGCATCATCTCTGTACTGGTACAGTCGGTTGCCGGCATTCGTAGGGAATTAACTCGATCGCCAATATGGTTGCAAGTGGCTCGAGATTGTTCAGGAGAAGATGTCGAATCCCGGGGATGATGGGCCATGGGTTGAAGTATTTGGGATAAAGATCCAGACCCGGTATGAGGTAGAATCGGTAAGTTGTCTCCTCCTTGCTGATAGCTAGGATGACTAACAAAGCGGTTCGTCCGCGCATATCCGATGCTTGGCAGTTCGGAGCCGAGGGTTCGTGGTGGTTGGGAGGGATCAAGAGGGATGTCGAGTGTGCAACAAGCCCGATAGCCCCATCAGTTCCGCTCATTGTGGAGGATGTCGCGTCTTCGCCAGTAACAAACAATGGAGATCGATCTTGCTATCTCTCCCAACCCAATCTTCTTATGTACCCGTCAATCTCTTAGAGTTGGCTGACGGGCGCTGGACTTAACCCGCCATCCGCGCTCAAGTCTCCAGATTCTCCTTCTGATTAACCACTTTAGCTTTCGTAACGGGCGTACGTGATGTCGTCGTTCAACGGTAACGCACTTCTCACATGACATACATTGGGATGGGTAGAAGGATCAACAATACTCCGACTCGGTGATCGGGCTGCGCAACTGAGTGGAAGGTTTTGTGCTAAGCCAGTATAAGAATGTTCAAGGCTCTCGCTTGCCACTTGGACCAATCAGAGGAAGAGTCGTAGATCTTAAATTAACATTGTGTCAGCCTCGTATGGCTTGGCATTATCAGAGTCCTCTGTCTTCATGTACACTTCCTACATCATACAGATATTCACAGAATCACGAGACCGAAGACGCTCGGTGCCAGTCAAGAGTAGATACATTTGGCATTAAAGAGGCTCTTTGTTTTCCACCCGCCGCTTCACCATTCAATATTCATAAGTCGTCAAGATCATCATCAGCCGTGCTTGAATTGTTCAACGGCTTTGGTCATGGCAATAACACAAGTTCGAGAACCACCGCCTAGTTTCATGAGTGGGACAAAAATGTTGCATTGCCCCCACGCTTCAAAGTTCCTGCCCCGAGATGAAAACCAAAATTGATCAAAATTTGTGTGGGAAAAAGAAGGGAGGACCAATGCGAATTCAACCGTAACGTCGGGTTTTGCGCCTGGGAGCCTGGACCTCGTCTTCATCGTCATCGCTGGAGCCATGCCATTTTTGACTCTCTGCATATTTGCGTTTTGACGTTGGTTGAGAATGACCACGTGCGCGTGCGCTCCGAGGTTGGTGTTGCGACGAAGCATGAGATTGGGGTGTCACCGGCTTCTTGAACTTTGCCAGCAATTCTTTCCTTGAGTGCTCGTTGTCGTCAGAGTTTCTGTTTTCTGTAGCACTGGAATTCGTCCAAGCCCACCCCGCGTTTGCAATTATAGTTGTTTCACGATCCGGCTCGCTAGGCTTAACTTGCGACCCGCGGTCGACGTTCATCGGCGGTGCCTCAGCTTCAAGTGATATTGCTCTTCCATCACTCTGTGGAGATAACTGGCGTGGGTGATCGACTCTATTCGACTCTTGGTGAATGATATGACGCAGATCTTTTACGCTCTTGTCGCCCAATTCGCGATAAGCCGATTGGTCTCTCTCGTCTCGGCTACTCGAGGGAGATAGGTCTTCCATGTCTTTCGCCTCTTTGTTGAGCCCTTCTTCGAACCGCTTCTCCAAAGCTTCATGCTTAGATCTAAACCGTGCATTAATGCCCTCAGTCTTCTCTTGATCAGCCGCAATATTTCTGACCGTGATTCGCAAGCTTTCCAACTGGTCACGTATGTCTCGCCGATTGGCCGCCACTTCGTGAAGCTGTCTTTGCATAAGTGACAGAAGTGTATTTATGACATCCACCATCTCACGAGTCCTCGTAATACGCTGGTCGAGGCCGAAGTACAAATGCGCCAGCTTGTCGCAGTTTCCCAACAAGATAGAATCCTGCTTCTCCACGTGCCGACCTATATCTGATGATGCTCGCCTTTCACGTGGGTCTTGAACTTCCGGTCCCCAATTTTTGAGTTCATGTTGTATCTGTGCCAGCTCGCCAACTAGGAGCTCATCATGCTGCTTTTCGGGTTCCCGAAAGGTCTCGGCATACTTGGCTAATTGGCTCTTGAGTATTTGATTCTCTGTTTGTTGCTTGTTCGCTTGTTCCGCAAGTTGTAACCGGAGAGCTTTCAGGTTTCCGCCATATTTCTCCGCGAATTTCTCTGCAAACTTCTCCTGAATGAATACCAAGAAATTTTTGAGGTTTTCCATGCGAACCGTGTGCGTAGCCGAGTCCTGTACAAATTGCTGCCGAAGCGAGTCGAACTCTGTAGGAAGATTTCGACCGTCTTGCCAAATCGCCCTAAGCTCTGCAACATCTTGCTGGGTCAACTCTAGGTTTTGGTGGTCTGTCTGAACCTGTGCGCGGACTGCCTTCAAACTCTCCACTAGGCCTTCTACGTTAGTCAATTCCGTCTGCAGCGAGTCCAAATCTTCACGTGTCGGCTGTTGACTGAGTTTTGCCTGGGTCGATTTCAATTCCTTGGAAAGATCCTCGAGCGAGGACGCCACTTGCCCAAACTGCCCCTTATTTTCTTCCTTCAATGAAGTGAGCTTACTCTGCACCGCAGTAACTCGTAGCCAGTCGTCTGCGGTGGAGGCCTTGGAGGTTTCGACAGCTTCTCCGAGAGTTGATACCTGAGAACGAAGCAGGTCTAAGTCGGACCGGAGAGCGGTACAGTCGTCCTTCAATGCGGAATGCATATTTTCAACTTGGAGATGAATGTTCCTACGGACTCGATCAATCTTCTCAACCGCTTCTTCTTGTGGCGCTTTTGACTCGTTTTCGATCTGCTGAATCTCTTTCCTCAATTCTGACACAGATGCAGATACGCCTTTCAAGCCTCCGAGACACGATTCCATTGACGCTGATTTCTGTTCTAAACTTTCCACCCGCTCCCGGAGTGCCTCATTCTCCGAATTCAGCTCTTCTAGTCTTTGCAGGCATCTGAGCAGTTCATCAGACTGCGGGCGAGACGAGGCTACTGCTTCCGATTCCGAGCGGAGATCTCTCACGTTCTGCTCAAGAGTGGCCACATGATTAGCCAAAGTCCTAATTTGATCATCCTTGGAGGACTCGAAGGTGTCTCGCAGTATTCGCCTGAAGTTGGCTGCGGATGCCCGTGCCGTCACTATGGAGGCGTCTCCCTCAGACCTGGCTGTCTGATACTCGGCGTCGATTTGGTTCTTCCTTTGTAGAGACTGTTCAATGAGTATGGGAAATTGATTGCTCCTTTTCTGTTCTCTTTCGTGCTCCTGTTGAGCGCCCTTGGCCTGACGTCTGAGAAAATCTAACCTGCGCGTCCAATAGTCAACTTTGATGACGTCTGCGACATGAGAGAAAAAGGCATTTTCGAATTCATCTGGTTCGGACAGCGTGCGAGGAGCGTTTTCAAGTTTGTCGCTAGGGCTTTTCAGAGGAGTGGTCAAAGGGGTGTCCTCTCCTTTCCTGTCGACGAAGTGATCCCTAACAGCATCAATACCATCGGCCGCATGCATGGAGGAGGCGCTGCCTCTGGACCGGGGATCTCGTGAAGGTAAACGAGTATCAGGAGCCGGAGCCGGAGCCAGACTTCGCGAAGATGACTTTTGCATATTAACAGCACAATGATCACCCCGTCCCCCTGAGTAGCGTGTAGAGACGCCCAATGTCTGGCGGTGGAGCTGCACAACTGAAATATCGTGCGCTCTGGTCCATGGGTCGAGAGGAGAGGTAGCGGATGATGGTCAAGAGGATTGGCAAATCTTGAGGCGCAGCTTCAGAGGGGGAAATTTGAGGGATCCTGACCGCAGGGAATTGGCGTATAACATCGAAATGTGTTGATGGTGTGAGAGAATGTTGTTGCTTACTCCAATTGTTGTTTGCAGTTTGCCATCCATTTCCTCAATGCAAAGGACCTGGCCGCTAGACCGTTGGCTTGTACCGAGTGACGCAGGTTGCGCAGGCTCGTGAAACGCGTCTCCCACGAATGGAAGGTTGTCCGACTCCGCGAACTTTTTGAGAATCTGTTCCCATTCGCCGTCTTGCCCATCACCAACCCATCGAGTAGTGGACTGGCAATATTAGTGCTTGGTCTTTGTCGATCCGCCTTCGCCAGAGCGGCCGCTTCATCTTTTCATCAAGTTCTTTTGTTCTCACACGATGGCGGCGGTGAGTGCTCCTCGGTTGTTTTGGTTGTTGCTCCACTGACTTGCCCTAGCCTATATCAACCGTATCCGAAAGTCGCGAGGTTCGCGGCCTCAATCTCATTGCTGCCCATTCTCACATTCGAGGTCTCGGTGTAGACCTCGCGACATTAGAACCGAGAGCCTCGTCCCAAGGACTAATCGGCCAAGAGAAAGCACGGAAAGCGGCGGCAGTCATCCTACAGATGGTGAAAGAAGGCAAGATTGCTGGGAGAGCAGTTTTGGTTGCTGGTCCTCCAAGCACGGGAAAAACTGCAATCGCGATGGCTATGGCACAATCCTTGGGTCCCGATGTCCCCTTCACGATGCTTGCGTCATCCGAAATCTTCTCCCTCGAGATGTCCAAAACGGAAGCCCTAACACAAGCATTCCGCAAGTCCATCGGTGTGAGGATAAAGGAAGAGAGCGAGATCATTGAAGGAGAGGTGGTTGAGATCCAAATTGACAGGAGCGTTTCAGGGGTGAGGCACAATTCAAGGGTCCATTCATGCCGTGATTGACAAGATATTGCAGGGCAACAAACAAGGCAAACTCACGATCAAAACAACCGATATGGAAACCGTCTACGACATGGGCACTAAAATGATTGATTCAATGACCAAGGAGAGAGTCATGGCTGGCGACATCATCTCAATTGATAAGTCCTCGGGGAAAATTACGAAACTAGGGAGATCATACACGCGCTCACGAGACTACGATGCAATGGGTGCAGATACCAAATTCGTGCAATGTCCGGAAGGAGAACTTCAGGTGCGGAAAGAGGTTGTCCACACCGTTAGTTTGCATGAAATCGATGTCATCAATTCGAGAACACAGGGGTTCCTTGCCCTCTTTTCCGGCGACACGGGCGAGATACGGAGTGAGGTACGGGATCAGATCAACACCAAGGTCGGAGAATGGAAAGAAGAAGGGAAAGCCGAGATCATCCCCGGCGTGTTGTTCATTGACGAAGTGCACATGCTTGACATCGAGTGTTATTCATATATCAATCGTGCCTTGGAAGCAGATCTGGCACCGATCGTCATCATGGCAAGCAATCGAGGATTTACTCGCATTCGCGGGACGACATACAGCTCGCCGCATGGCCTCCCGTTGGATTTCCTGGACCGACTCGTCATAATTAGCACTCAGCCGTACTCGGCCGACGAAATTTCCCAAATCCTCGCCATTCGTGCCCAGGAAGAAGAAGTCGACCTCTCAGTAGACGCGCTTGCCCTTCTCACCAAGATCGGCCAGGAATCTGGCCTCCGATATGCGAGTAACATTATCACCACATCCACATTGCTGAGTCAGAAGCGAAAGGCAAAAGAGGTCGGCATTGAAGATGTTCAACGAAGTTACAGATTATTCTACGATCCTGCGAGGTCAATCAAACTTGTCAACGACTTCGAGAAAAATTTCATCAGTGACGCTGGGGATGTTACTTTGGCGGTCAACGGTTCCAATGGAACGATCGGCGATGCAATGGACACGGCGTAAAGAATCGGGCAACACCTAGCAAATCCCAGCTGTGTTTGACAATCGCTCTCCTTCCAGTCGCAGGCCTAGCGCTAGAACCATACACATGTCCGGACGTAGTCCGTGAAAGATGCGCCAGAGCAACCGTTGCCGCAGCAGTACGTACCGACATGGGCGTGTCGGCTGCGATCCACTTCGTTGGTGCGCGGTGGAACAAAATCAAGAATCGAGGCCGCGAGCTTGAAATCTTTATCCATTTGAGTGGTCAATGCTGGACGAGATCGAAAACCGAGTTCAGGATGGCGAGGGGCTTTTTGTTGCCGGCTACTAGTAAGTGTCCAGCAATGGAGGATGACTCTAGATGCTCTGCTCTTTTTTTTTGTCTGGACTGATTTGTAGTCTCAGAACCGCCCTAGGTAATGAACGCCGTATGCCATGTTCGGTCAAGCCCCTTCCTCGTCACTCCTCCAGGTCAAGGATGTATCAGACATTACAGTCTTCTCCGGCCCTCGAACCGACGTTACTGTGAGGCGACAAATGGCCCGATTGACTGATCCCACATAATTCTTCTTTTCCATCAAGCAATCTTCTATGTTCTCCACTGCGGCTCAAGCTGTTGCTACCCCAGGCGAACTTTAGACTATGTGGGGTACCCCGGACAAGGCTGTGAAGCAGTGATCGCTAGCCTTGGTTGCCTTGGGATGCTCCACTTGCTCATGTGGGGCCATTTCTATTGCCAGGTCAATCGGTCTTTGTTCTGTATCCCGACACTGTTCGGAACACACATCGCAGTCACTGACTTCACTGCGGTCCTATATCTATCTCCCCTGGAGCACGGATGTTTTTGGATGCTGGCAAGCAACGAAGGCACCAATACGAGGTCCTGCTGAAGCGGTGGGGCTCCTTGAGGCCCGAAGCATAAAATTTCAATGAACTTGGTTTGTGATGCCACAGTCAGGTGGCCCGGACTCCGAGTGTTTTGTTGATTTACGCTCCATCAAAAACACTTCGGTCTAAGATCGCTCCTCTAAGCCATCATATGCCACAATATGTCCTCCGCAAGAACTCACTCAGTGGCGGCCAGATGAACATCATTTGTTCAGCAGATGATGATCGAGTTGCCGTGACAAGGCAAAACTTCATTCCACGTCTCCAAATTCACTTACTCTAAGGCTGACTTCCTTGCCTGTGGCAGAAGGCCTACCACAGTTATTATATTATCATTTACGAGGTGGGGATGTAGTCCCTCTCTCTTGGAACGCGCGGTATAGAGTTGGAGAATCTTGGAGCATATTCACATTGAGACTTGTCCGTACCATATTTCAACTTGAGGCTTCAGCTCATCTCTCCCTTTGCGGCCCTTTACTGGTGCCCTTTTCAAAAGGGACTTTGCTGTTGGATACGAAGTAATTGTACATGATGTCTGCTTCGCTTGAAGACAAGACACCGAGCACCGAAGTCGAGGTCATTGAGCAATCTCGCTCAGAGGCTGGTCATGTCTTTGTCCACGAAATCCTGCTCGGCCTGGAAGACCGTACAAAGCTGCCTTGGTAGATACAACAATCCAGAGAAGGCAGAAACCTTGACATGGACGATGCTGCTTGTCATAATAGTACCTACAGAGCAATCTATGACGTGTGATTGACTTTACTAACGTGTGATGCAAGTCCTTGTCCTTCTCCTACCTCTCCAATCTCTTGTGGCTTTGATCTAGTCACTGGAATTCTAGTGTCCATCGGCACCGACCTCGGCGATATTTCCTGGATTGTGGGTGGATGGAGTATTGACTCCTCTCTCAGCTTTTCCCTTGCAGCTTCCTTGTCAGACGTCTTTGGTAGACGATGGACAATTGTTGCTGGCGAGGTTATTGCAGTTGTCGGCTCTGTACGGTGACACTACATCGCGCTATTGAGGGAAAAGCTAACCACTTCTCCAGATCATAGCATATGACACCAAAGCAATGCTCATGCTTGCCACCGCGCCAACAACTATTGGTTTCGGGTGCGGTATAATTTTCATCAGCTATACTGATATCTAGGAACTCGTCCGTGATAAGTGGACAGCTATACTGGGTCAGGGGAAGCTCTCAATTCTTGTCCCATAGCGCTGACACTCAGTTCAGGTCTCACTGAATGTGCCATGGTGTTACCGGGACACTTGCTTGGACACTAATAGCGACGAGTTGAATGCAATACGGCCGCGAAATGGCGATGGTGCTGTGAGCTCGAATAGCTTCCTCTCTGTGTTACCTGCTTGTCGTCCGCATCCTGACTGATTCTAGGTATCATTTACGGCAACTTAAGTTTGATTGGGACTCTTCGTCTTCTACTGGCCGCCCATACGTCCGCAGTATGAATTCTACGAATCCCGTTAGCAGCAAGTGAAGGAAATCGACTATATCGGCTTTTTGTTGTACACCAGCGGCTTGACGATATTTCTAATCGAGCTGACCTATGCCGGCATCGACGGACATGTCTGGAAGTCTGCGTCTGTGGTTGCGCCGATCACCGTGGGTTTGCTGACGCTGGCTGCCTGTTTCGCTAAAAGTTCATACTGGCGAAACAGCCATTCTTTCCGTACTCTTTGCTCTGACAGCTACGCCAGTTCGCCGTGCTTCTGGTCATGGTCTTCATAGTCGGTGAGCACCCTTCAAGTTGAAATTCTGCGGCCGGCAAAACATTGCTAATGTCCCCCAAAAGTTTCTTATTCTTTCGCAGGCTTGCTGCCCTCAGGGATCGCTCTACATGTTGAAGAGCGATCCCATCCAGGTTGGAGCCATCGTCTTACCTAATGGCGTCGCGCAGATCCTCTTTAGCAGTATCGCTACTACACTTTTCATGGGCAAGTCAGCCATTTGAAGTTCCAGGTAATTGTGTTACTGGTCTTTCAGATGGTGTTTACGGCTGTTTATGCTGGCGTGGTGCCATCCGATTGGGCGGGATGGGTCCTTTTGCCATGATTACTCTACCTTGCCATGTGCTTGCGGGATTAAATGTCCCCTTGCGTCACTTGGTGATTGCATCCAGGTTAATTGGGACACTTCAAAGCCGTGGCGAGAGCGTGGGCAACGCAGGTATGTTAGTCTCCACTGGGTCTTCAAACCCCCAAGCTCATAAAAGCCAAAGTCTTTCATACGATCCTCAACGGCGTGGTCAAAAGCGAAATCCTGAAGGGGATTGCAGAGAACGTGACTGCTTACGGCCTTTTGTCAAGGCAACTTGCGGCTCTTATCCCAGTCACGGCACTGAACGCTGTTGGGGTTCCAGGCGCCTTCGCTACGGTGCGGGAACAACTTCGGCGAATAAACAGGCAGCGGCAAGTGCATACAAACAGGCATATGCCTTCGCATTCAAGAGAGTTTTCTACTCCTCTATCCCTCCAGAGTCATTGCAATCATCTGTGCACTCTTCATCAAAGACCCTTCTCAATACCTTACCAATCACACGGCTGTTCATATGGTTCGAGCAGGGGCCCTTGGAAAGACTCCTTTCTCCAGAATTCGAGGCTGAAGATGAAGTGAAACTAGGCTGGAGTCCAACACAGATGACTCTTCATGAGGCGCTAAGCTCCTAGCGGAAGCGGGCGATTTGAAAGACATGTGAGAGGACAAAAATCTACGTTTAGAAATATACTTGTGAACCAGACGAGAAAATCCTGTGCGCAACAGTCGTCACGGCAATGATGGGTCGTCGGCCCATCAAAATATATATTTTTGTTGCAGTATATAAACCTCCTCGATGAGCTTTCGTTCTGCAAAGTGCAAGAGTCTTGTACGGGTTCTGTTCCCATCAGCACCAGCCATGCCGTTGAGGTAGCGATTGACACGGCTGTTAACCGTCATCTCGGGATTGTGTACTGGATCAAACCCTCTCTCCAGCATCTGCTCGTGTTGTAGCTGGGGATGTGGAGCTGCTCCGCAATTTCTCCCACGGGGCCATTTTTGCATCACCCGGTTGGAGAAGCCTAGATTCTTGGTTCCTACATAACCTGCCACATTCATGATGGGGCAATTCGCCCAAAGGCGCCCGGCTGTGTTAGTTGTAGACGGGATCGTGACGGTTTCACATCTGGTTGACATCTGCTTTTGCATTCAGCACTGACTGAAGAGGGAATACTCTCCTCAATGGCCACCAAGACCCTTCGCAATAAGAAATGCCTCTACTGTGAGAGGAAATTCGGCAAAGCCGAACATCTCAAGCGTCACCAGAGAGCTCATACCGGAGAAAAACCGTTCAAGTGCTCGCATTGTAACCGTGAGTATGCGCGAAGCGATGTGCTCATGCGACATATCAGGAATCACCACTCGGGTTCTGAGAAGCAGACTGTTTCGACTTCACCAGTTGAAACTTCGCAGATGCATGGCACCGAGGCAGTGGAGAGATCCGCACGCCAGTCTTCTGATCTGCGTCGAGACACTCTACCAGCGAACTCGATGCAGACGCCGTACTTGGACGATGGCAGTCCAGCGATCCTACCAGACCGCCACAAGCAGAGTCTGGCAAACATTCAGGATGAATCCCATTTGCAGGCTTCGCAGCGCGTCAAGCCCTTGGTCGTTTCCGATAATCCTGTGGATCGACGAGCGGCGGCTCCGCTTGAAGGCTTTGAAGACTGGCTGGGATCTCAAGATCTACCTTTGGCCGCCAACATATGGGATGACTTGTCACATTTCGATTTCATGAGCTTTACGAATGATGCACGGCTTAGCCTCTCTCCCTGCCGCCCTCGCCAAATGCTCCATTCTCCGCCCAAGGACAATATATCCGATGAAAGATATGCCAAGATAGCAAGCCTTTGGCCGACGAAGAAGCAGACACCTCGACGTTTGATCGAGACTCTCTGGCGTGATGTGGCTTCTTTTCGGGAGGACAATATATTCTCCCAGCCGGTCGAGACGGCCGTCGATGGGAGTACATCATCACAAACTTTCCCAGGCGAGGTCGCGGAGTCTAGATGGGGCCTGGACGAAGAATGCAGAGCAAGATTGATGGAAGATTGCGCCTCTATGAACATTTCACTTGGGCAAAAGGCAAACAGAGGTGTTGAAACGAGCCTCAAAAGCAACACGAGCAACTCGCTGAGTGAAGCCAGCCGCGTGCCTGCCAAGTTTCCATCTTCTCAGATTCTGGATATCAGCCTCGACATCTTCTTTCGTCGCTTCCACCACTTCATGCCATTCATTCACGAACCAACATTCTCCGCGAAGAAAACTTCGAGCACCCTCCTGTTTCCCATGTGCCTGATGGGTTTGACAATGCTGGACTCTGTTCGTGCGAAGAGATTCGTGTGCTCTCATCTGGGCGACGCAATCGAGAGATGTAGACGCGACCTGGTTGTGAGCTCGCGGAAAGGAGGCCAACTCAGTGAATTATTGAGCGCAATGGCAGCTTCGATCCTGTTGCTGGCTCTTGCTGCGATCAATCCCAAGCAGCCACTTGCGGAAAATTCTCGACTGCTTTACAATGAGACAATAAATGCTGCCCAACGACAGGGATTGTTTGTCTCCCAAGAAGGCGAGCAGCTGTCTTCAGTCATATTTCAGTCCTTGGACAATGTTGAAATGTGGAGGGCTTGGACGCGGATTGAATCGGCTAAACGATTGATTCTATGCCTCATCATGTCTGACTCCTTCTTCTCAGCCCTGGATGATCACCATCCCATCATACAGACCGAGCAGCTGCATTTCTATTTTCCTTGCAAGACAGAATTGTTCCAAGCTGCCACCGAAAGACGATGGTCTCAGATGGTCTCCACCGGTGCGTTGACAATCATGCCTTTGATGATTCCGCAACTGGAGGCTGCCATTCTCCCCCCAGCTTCCGATGCCAGTGCAATAGGCTTCTTTGGTCTTTTCTCAACAATTTGGGTTCGAATGTAAGTCTCACCGGATATGGGGAAGCTCAAAGTCAAATTCTCGCAAACTGCAGTTTTGAGAGGTTTCTGACCAACGGTGCTAACTCGGCTCTTTTTTCAGTGTGGAAGCAAAACATCGATATGCTCTTCTAACTTCCGAACGTGCAAATCTCCCGATTCCGGCCGAGATCTTCGCCCACGATGAGCACGCAGTCTCGATTGCCCCGTTCCTGATGAAGATGTGGAGGTGGTACGGTGAAACTATGTGCATAATCAACCCCAATTGCGAAGCTTTCTGGCACCATTTGAACATATCGATGACGGCTGATCTTGGAGTATTTGAACTTGCTTCGGGAAGGGAAGGAGCCGAAAGAGCGAAAAGTGCACTTGATGATATTGTGACCTGGTCTCAGACTGCTGCTGCTCGACGGGCGTGTCTTCATGCAGCGCAGACCTTCTCATGCATGTCGAAACGACGGCCCATTGATGGGACGTCCTATGAAGCGGAGATCGCCTTGGTTCACGCTGCCTTAGTGCTCGGTCTTTATGTCTTTGTGATGCCCCAGCCGGACGAAACAGAGGACCAAGATCAGCAAGAGCATGGTCGACTCGAGGCACTTGAACTTCTAGACGAAGTGGATTGGAATCTCGTAGGCCAAGTCGGCTTTACCAGCTACGCGACCGCGAACGCCGACGTCGACATGGCCATAGACTCGACCTTGTGCGCTGCGAAAGGGTTCATCGAGAACGGTGGTCCGATCTCCTTCTCCGGGATCATCCAAAACGGCGGCTACGCCTCTGCCAGGAGGGTCCTTCTCGACTACGTCTATCTGTTGGAAGATGTGGGCACCCGCTACAATGTGATGGAGTTCTGTCACATCTTGCGCATTTTGAGTGATGCGCTTATAGATTTGGACTCTGGAGGTGCCGACTAGTAGCGAGCACATATTAGCTAACACTGGTGAGGTGTACGAGGTAACCGTCAGTCCGTAGGCTGGAAGCGGGCTGAATGCTGAAGTCCCTGCTGGAGGCCAGATTAGTCCGAGAAAACAACGTGATACTGTGTAAGTACGGAGTAATCAGGCCTCCAGGTGCGTATTCGGTAGATGATTTTATACTCGTACCTGACAGGTGTTTGCAGGTGTCTACCTACTAAGTACGGAGTACGTAAGTCCGCCGCCCAGGAAGTGCAACACCCTGTAAGTACAACACCAAATACGAGGTAGAGCGCTCTGTATACTCAGTTAGTCCTCTCGCTTTCACTGAAGACAGTCATAAAAGCTGCCACCGCCGCCTCTACCTCTAGAGCCTCTAGTACTGACGTTGACGGAGCGCTGAGGGGAGCGCATTTTAACTTGGACAGTGGCTGTAAGGGATATCTGGGCTTTGTAGGCACCATTCAACTTGCTTGTTTCCACCTCCGGGATATCGATAGACGGAGTCATAATGATTAATGGGGGGTATTTAACGGTATGGTTCTAGGCATGTGGGCCTGGCCTTTTTGAACTTGTTAACTTCGTCATTGGCAAGCAAAGAGAGGTCTCATCTTGGTCTCATATAGCCTTCCAGAATTGCTGTCACATGGGGATCTGTCGGCGTGGTGGCGAAAAGGGGATCAATGTCACGAGCTTTCGGCTATTGAATAGCCGCCGGCAAAGGGTATCCGCGAGCCCGGTACGAGGTAAGTGTGTGAGAAACGAGCCAAAAACACCGAGAATCAATCTCACTTAGAATGAAATAATATTTCCTATCGTCATCGGGCGTATTTGTCCTCTTTTCTCTCTCACCATCGAGGCGGAGACCAACTTTTTTGGTGTGTTTCTCTATGCATTATCGAGGAGTCCAAGTGCTTCACGGAAGTCACCGAGAAAGTGCCAATAAAGCTTCGTACGCCACCCATTCTTCTTCCAATTGTTTGCGACTTGCGGGAATAAATCAACCATCCCGTCAAGTAAGCTGGTATCATGGGCGTAAAGAAATAGCACATTGTCGTTCGCATCCGCTTCCTGCACCTTTCCGATAGTGCGAATCGCCTCTGGGATGTCTGACCCAAGGTGGGGGTCAAAAAAAGATTGATCAGCCGCTCGAGATCTGCTTGTCAGAAGTTCTTCTAATACAGCCCCAGGGCAAACTTGGCGCAGGAATTCGGGTAGGATTTCTGGCGCCATTTCGTTCGGCAGTGGCTTATACTTGGAAGGCCGTACCTCGCCGGCATGGTGGCAGAGGTCGCCCCCCATGAAGATGAAGGTATCTGGGTTCTTGGTGGTTCGAACGAGGCCACCCAAGTGACCTACAGAATGTCCCGGCGTATCAAGAAGGTAGAAGGAGCCGTCTCCAAAAAAGTCGAACGCTCTCAGGTTTCCGAACACCAAGCTTTCATCGAAGGATATTTCTCTTACTTTCCGGCCCCTTGCTATGGCTTAGCACACTTTGATGGATCATACCTAGCAAAATGGAACAATCGCACTTAACGTCTGCGTCCCTCAAGAACGAAGTTTCCTTCGTAGGCCAACCCGGTAAGTATTCTTCGACGAATCCTGGTCCTACCACAAGCTCAGTTGAGGGTGGAAAAGTAGTTGGATCACCTATATGATCCCAATGGTGATGACTTCGGGCCTCAATCGTTAGTGACACGTTGTCCGAGGGACTGCACAATCGATACTGTTCCGGTGCACGAACCTCCAGATGATACTATTAATGGACTCTCTGGGAACGCCACCGTCTTCAATAATGTCTGCGACGCTTCGATCTGCAGTGATATGCCATCCATTCGTGGTTATTCGGTCAGACACAATAGGAGCATATTGTCTCCAGTCGATCGCGATACCCAGGTCGAAAAGTACTCGGGTCCCAGATGGATTTTCAATTAAGAAAGACCAAGATGGATGCGTAGGCATTTTTGAGAACCCTTTCATCGGTGGCACCATCAAATAGTCCACAGATGAATTAGCAATTCGCGAAGTTGTGTCAATAATTTTCACTATAGCAATTCCCCCGGTAGGGACGGTGAACAAGTGATTCCAAAAAGTCATCTTGCGAACTTGGCAGTGAGCGTTAATGGGACTGATTCTCTCCAAATTGTCAGAAGAGTCCAAAGGGGGGGGGGGGGGGGAATGTTGAGGAAGGAGTCGAGGCTTTACTTTGTTTAATAAAGGACCGTCTCCACTATGGACAGCTCGCTCCCAATACAGTGTCCAGGGTTCGTCCTTTTTCTTCTGGCGACATTTCAAGGAGAAAGAAAGCGAATTTCGTCCGCAGGTTTGATTTGAAGGGAAGACCAGTCATTTAACCGTGGTGCTGTGATTAAGCGGTGACGGTTTAGAATAGAGGGTGCTGCAATCTAGGGCAAAGTCTCTCACAGCGTTCAACTTCATACGGCTACACCCAAAAATCGACAGATAAGGGGTGACTGCGGAGAAAGGGTGGCGCTTCTGGCGGTGTCCAGCGTGGAGTGTCTGATCGCCGGAGCTGTAAAAGGCTACCAATCACGAATTTTTCATCCTTGGTTTGGCGGCAATCACAGCGATGCTCCAACTAGGTTGGTTGAAGTTGAGCACTGTTAAGAAAACACGACGTTCCCTCAGCCCGGGTTGATCAGGAACAATGACTTCAACCTGACAGCTCTGAAGCATGATTCACCGGACGGAACGTAGCGAACGGCTGGAAATGGAATGTATATCGGCTCGAATTGTTGATCGGACAGGTAAGGCACCGAGTTCGATAATTAGGCGTGGCGTCACAACCGCCTACTGTAATATCTACCCCTTCGTTGGCCCAATCTTCCTATATAATGCCGTCCCGCCTAGGGATCGGCGAGGCGTGCGGCCGGCTGTACGACATATAATGAGTAAATGTGGGAACATGTTCGGCACTTTTCAACTTTATTTGCCTCTATTAGCCGTGGTGAGCCTAGCCTACCGGCTGGTGGAGGCTGTCAATATGGCCGAAATAGCAACTACCCCAAGATTCGCCAGATCAAGTGTAGGTCCAATCTGGTGTGTACCATGCGTTGTCAACAAAAAAGGGCAAGCTCGATTTTGAGGCCTCGAAGATCGCGATGATGCAAACTACCTAGTCATGCGCGATTTGCCCTGGTTGTACCTTCGAACGTGCAACCACGGCGAGCGAGATGTAATTCGACCACGTTTCGCAAAAGGGGTCTAGGAAAGAAGTTCGAGTGCCTTTTGTGACGGACGAAAAGTTCGCGATAACTTGATTGATTGACTACAGGAAAGAAATCTATCTAGTCCTTTGATGTGGAGAATTCTGCGGTGCACGTGATCGGCAAATATACCATTCAGGGTTAGGACTTGCCTAACAAAAAGGGGTCTGTGAGGCTCTCGAAGAGCACGGCGTTGATGCAACATCCATCAAAGCGATTATCTGGAGCCACTGGCATTGGGACCATGTCGGCGACCCGTCAACATTCGGAATGTCCACTGCCTTGATCGTTGGGCCCGGCTTGAAAAGTATGTCTATCCCAGGATATCCGACAAACCTGGGGGCTCCTGTTGACAGCGATTTTGCTGGTAGAGAGGTACGAGCGCTAGATTTCAATGGTGGGGGCAACGTAAAAGGTGGAAACTTCGACGCCATCGACTACTTCTGAGATGGCTCCTTCTATATCCTAGATGGGCCGTGCCATACACTGGGCCATCTATGCGCTGTGGCTCGCGTGACAGTGTCTCTCCCATCCTTCATCCTAATGGGTGCAGACGCTTGTCACCATTCAGGTGAATTGCGGCCATCAAAGTGGATTCCTCTTCCACCTGCGATTTCTCCAGACGCTCTATCGGACGATGCGACGCCTTGCCCGAGAGCATTGTTTGAACATCTCCTTCAAGATAAGGTCCGGCCAAAACCGTCCCGGTCTGATATTTTGTGACCCAGATATCGCAGATCAAACTGTTGAAAAGATGCAGGAATGGTGTAGGCCACACAATAGTTGTTGTTGCTTACGACCTCCATATACTGGGGGTTGTCGACGTGTTTCCGAAGTAGGCAAACAATTCCTCAGCTGAAGGTTGGGTCTCGAAAACGCGGTGGAGGTTTTCGCAAGACGTTCGAAAAGCTTTAGAGTAAGCTCAAGGTGGTTGGACACGCCGGAATAGCATTACGATAACCGTCGTCGCTATTTTTTTTGGCAGATCTCCTTATGTGTTTGAATATATAGTTTGACTGAATAAGATTTAGAACAGATACGTGACTCGTTAACAAGCTCCACACGTTTCGTCTTCATTCTAAAGGATGGAAACAAATTGTGACTCGCGGTCGAATCATGACTTTCTGGCGGCCGGTCGTACAGAAGGCTGCAGTCACCCGTCTCTAATCTTGGTTAGTCTCAGATTCAAACCGTCCTTTGGCTTCACAGTGATCACTATCGCAGGCTCTATTTTCTTATTTTGATCAGCCAGTGTCCATTCAAACATGCCGACAAAAGCAGCCACCAGCGCCCTCAACTCGGCCTTTGCAAATTGCTGGCCAATGCAACTGCGGGGCCCGTGAAGAAATGTCATGAAAGCGTAATTTGTCGACACACCACCGGTCTGATTTGGTTTTCCGGTTTCACAATCTATCCCCCTGTCTGGTTTGATTTCATGGACGTCAGGACCCCAAAGCGCAGGAGAGTTGTTGCTCACCCAGGGCGCCAATGTAAGCACGGTACCTGCAGCGATGGGATGGCCTAGCAGCGTATTGTCTTTTGTACTTTGACGCAAAGTGGACGGAACGGGTGGGAATAGGCGGAGCGTCTCAAGGCAAACGCCACTCAGAAGAGGCAGAGATTCGAAAATCGCAGCAATGTCGGAATCGGGACTTCTGCCAGGGGCAAAGCCACTTGGTAATGCAGCATGTATTTCTGCACGGACGCGCGATTGAATGTCTGGATGAAGGCTGAGAAGGTAAGTGATCCACGTAAAGGACGATGAGGTGGTTTCATGGCTACTGAGAATATAAGAATTCTTCTAATGTTTGTGATAACGGCAATGGGGATAAGACTTACCCGGCAACAAGGATTGTCAGAAGCTGATCAACAAGTTCATTGTCAGAGAAAACGTCTATCTTGATCAGTGCCGCCAGGGTATCGACCGATGCATCCTCTACTCGCTTTATGCACTCCTTTTTTCTCGTACGAAACTCCTGCAAAGAGACTGGATTCCCTGCACGGCATCGAAAATAACGCGAGAAGCTGACGGTAAAAGGAATCTCGTCAGTCGCCGACCAAACAGTATGAGCGATGCAGCCACCATGCGTGTTCCTAAAGAAGGCATAAATAAATCCGCGTAGAGCTTGGCGATTGGGTCGTCAGAGTTCTCTAGTGTATTGAAATCTCGACCCAAGCCCGCAACACCTATAATGTCCAGGGTAGCTTTCGGTGCCCATCGATCAATGTCCGTGAGCCCAACTAGCTTGCCTTCAGCATTTGCTGAAGATTCCCGTTGACTGAAGACTTCATCGTCAATCACTTTTGCCATCTTCATGGCCTTATTCCAGGATAGGGGATAGAGGTCTTTTATCTGCCAGAAACTGAAACTTGGCATGGCATGCTTTCGCTGGTGCTTGTGGTACTCGCATTCAGCGACAACCATCCCATCACCGAGACCAGTGCGCAGAAATTCTCTGCTTCTCTCCGGCTTTGGGAACTCATAAGGCTTAGTGACCAAAACTTCAGCCTGTGCCTTGTGGCTAGTTATTAAGAGCTGGTCCGAGTTGAATAGACCTCTGAGACGAATGAGGCCATCGTTTGGAGTTTCTAAGCTGCACCTCAAAAGTTCTTCGCCTCGGTTAGCTTCCAGTCCAGTAAGAAAGTGACCAAGAAGTGGAAGGGCTCCATATGTTTGTAATACTTTAGTTCGCGGCGCAAAAGCATCATCAGGCGGTCCGTGGCGTACCTTTGGAGTAGGAAAGTGTCGAATAGGGCTGACAAAATTCAGATATATGAAAACAACATAGATGGTGTGTGCGAAGACGTTCAGCACCAGAAATACTACGAAAATGCTCGTCAAGCCACCGTGCGAAAAGAGCTGCGGTCAAATGGATCTTACCGCGATGGCCTGCAAAGCTGCAGACAGCACCAGGAAGAGTGGTTTAGGAACGTCCAAAGTCATGTCCACAGGAGCCGAAGAACTTTTGACACAAAACAAGCTGGTCAACAAGTAAGCCTAATCAAGATTGCAAGCCAACGTCGACGCATTATGGCAGTATTATAGAGCCGACCATGAATGGGTCTTTTTAACGTGTGCAGCCTGCAGGCACCGAGACGCTCTCATGCAGAATACGAAATACGATGCAGCAAATGAAGCCCCGGCAAAGTCCTTCGGCTAGACGGGTTTCGGACCTGAATATCCGACATAGAAGCTGACATAGGGTAGTCTGCCGAAGTCTAATTCAAGCACAGCTAAAGTCAGGTCAAAACGGAGCACTAGCAGGATATTTCTGGGCTATACGCATTCTGTCTTTCGATACCAGAAATGGCGCCGATGTTGCTGCTTGACTTAAATACTCCATTGCCGCCTGCCCCAGGCAGACTTTCTGTGTGATATCATGACTATTTAAGCAGGATAGCATCGTCATGGATGACACGGCCAGGAAACACTTAGGAATGATCCTCTTAACACATACTAAATGTCTAACAGACAGACAGATATCTCTGAGGAAGGATCAACGTTCTCAACCATCTGCACAGTTCTCAGTCTTGCAAATAATGCCATCTAAAACTGGTATAGGAGACTTTACACAGGATGCAGGAACAGGACCAAGGAAGAGAAGTAAGGACAACAGAGTACCTATGCAAATGATCGCTCTTTAAGAGTAGCACAAGCCAGACTCATCAACAGACGTGAATCAGTCCGAAGAGATCTCGATAATAAGGGTGACCTCGTACACGTGCAAGATCAAAACCTCATCATTAATAATTACGCGCATGGAATCGAAGCTCTGATAAGTATTGAGAGGCAGACTTTGTTGTAGTCCACTCAAAATACACTCAGGAAAGGTCTCTGTCTCGTGTAGGCGCGGTGGTGGGAGGAAACCCAAACCTAGTTGTATGCCAGCCACCCTCATGGCGGTGCTCTTTTCAGGCGCTTCGAGGCCTGAACAAGGCCATTCTACTTCTGCTGGCGTCTCAGAGGTGAACATGGTCGGCAAATGGGTCATGGTCACAGGTGTAAACAATGGCATAGGTCGTGAGGCAGCGTTGACCTTTGCGAGCTGGGATGCCAATGTGCATTGGCGTGCTGCAATCCTCCAGTACACGAAATGCACCCCTTTCCCGTGATAGTGGAATGTCAAGAAAGAGCTCAAAGAGCGGGGCAAAAATAATGCATCGAGTGGGAAGAGGTGGATTTCACCGACCCGAAGAGTGTCGAGAGCCTTACCAAGTGGTGGTTGGACACCGGGAGACCACTTGACATTCTCTGCAACAACGCCGGCACTAGCTACCCGCCGGGGAAGAATTTCAAAAGCAGCAAAGATGGCTTCGAGCTCATCCACCAAGGAAACTTTCTCTCGCATGTCTACTTGACGGTTCAGCTTCTCACATCACTGGCGAAAGCCGAAGCGCCTCGCACAATCTGCACCATATTATGCGTGATCTACGTAGGACAGCTTAGAATCAAAGAAGATGGAACGGCTGAACCGACTGGAGACTTTTATGCCAACAACAAGCCTTACTTCCAGGTCTGGTTGACCGAGCTGCAACATCGAGTGCAAAGGCACGAATAGTTCAAGCACGTAATCATTCACAGAGTTCATTCAGGATATGCCAACACAAGAATATTTGTTCCCACTGAACGAATCCATTGTATTGAGAACTTCAAGTTGGATTTTTGGGGATCGGACAGGCAGATATTAGGGTCTCGTCCAATCAATGACTGTGCATGCGGGTTAAAAACGAGCTAGTCCCCTATTATGGGCATGGTCCACACAAGTTACATGTTCGCAAGGTATGCGGACGCTAAATTTGGCCCGCCGGCTTTGTATTAAAAGTGTGTGATATCACAAATCTCAGCCACGCTCAGACTTGTGTGCCTCCTGGGACTCTGCAATCTCATCCACCCCTTTTAATTTCAATTATTTCTTAGTATGAGGTATTTTCTCCTTCTCTCTACCTAGTTTTGGCGGCTCTATGGAGGTCGGTAGCTCGTACGCAGAAAGTGAGAGAGGCAAAGCTCTGGAAAAGGTGTTCTATGCTGGGGAGGTCTCTCTGCCGTCGTCAGGATTCAAATTAGCAAGGATTAAGAAGTACGACTTAGGATCGCAACGAGCGATCCTACTTTCAGCGATTGCTTTCCAGAGAACCTGTGAGAAGCTGAGAACTGTCAAATTGGTGGAGAGCATTGATCTATTCTCAGAGATGTCTGGCCATCTGTCCTTAAAACGAGCTACTTCCTGTTTATATAGACATTTGGCCTGTGCCAAGAGAGCCATTCCTGAACGCTTTCTGGTGACGCGATCCATGGAAGTGATATATGGAAATATGAATGCACTTAGAGGGGATATTACTAAGCATGCGAGCTGCTAATCGACCGTGCTGCGACAATTGCAGTTCGCTATACTTCTATACGTCGACAATTCGAAGATAGAGACGAGACCAATTCTTCACTAGAATTGGTTGTCTCAGGCTATCTATCGGTCCAGATCCGTCCGCTTCCACTGCTTGCAACGACATTCGCTTCGCATTACAATGGACAAACCATGAGAAGACTTTACGAGATTAATTGTGAATCGATTAGTCAGAACGACTTCCCAGAGACGCACGCACTTTCCTCAGGCCTCAAATCCTTGGCTGCAGACGGCATTGAGATAAGCCGCCGTACACTAGGCGGGCACGGCTTTGGTGAGTGCAGTGCTATGATCCCATTGAACAGTGATTACTTGTCGAAGGCTACAGTGGAAGGAGATAACTATATGATCACTCAACAAACCGCAAGGTATTTGATAAAGGTGATGGGCAGTGAAAAGCAAGTCAACTGCAAAAGCCGATGCAACAGAGAGAATGTATCGGGAATATCTTTACCAGCTGTCAACGGCTCCCCTCGATATCTACAACGACGACCCGTCAACTGTCCGATCGTTTCAGCATCGCGCTTGCTTCGTTGGAGCTTCGAATAAGCGTGGCAAGAGTCGAGAAACGCCGAGCTTGGACAAGTCTCATGATTGAATTTCATGGGCTGAGTACTGTCCATTCAGAGATGCTGCTAGTGAATGATTTTTTCAGTGCGCCGAAAGCCCGACCCTAGAATCCCTTGCAAGATTCCCCACAAGGTGTGATGAGACTGATGTTCAGGCTATTTTATCTTCACATAATTTAGTGACGACCGACCAAGTTTTTGGCATCCGGAGCAGTCACACTAGGTGGTGGAGCCAAGCTAAATGACGGGGATTCCTTCGGTCATGTCTCGAATCCGACCTCATGTCGACAGCCTTGTTGACGCATGGTCAATTCTAGATTACCTCCTCCAAAGTGCTTTGGCCAAATATGGTGGGGACGCTTACTATACCCTGACCCCTCTCGACACGCTAACTTTTGAATGTAAATTGGAGAAGGGAAGAGATAGTGCTTGGAGAGAGGGAGCACACATCCAGAAAGAAAATTGAGCGTCTGGTACAAAGAGATTTCGTAGCTGCAATGAATCCCAGGCTCTCAAGGGGTTTCCATAATGAGGAAGACCTGGTGCGGGTTTTTAACTTCGTACGCTAAAATTATACAGGAGCACGCAGTTTTCACGACGAACGCTTAATAGTCCTAAAGATTTGAGTGTATCTTCCTGTCTTCCTTTCGGTCCAGCATCTTATACTTGATTGGCTATTCAGTTCCAAGATTTATTGCTTACTGGGGTGACTTTGCTGTGAGGAAGGGGATCCCACGCGACTGGGATATTGAGCCCAAGGGAACTGATATGCCTGGAATGAAGTCTTTACCAAAGGACCATCTGCCGTACGAGGGCTTTCCGTCGCAGTACTAATCCTAACTTCAATATATGGCCGCGTGCGCTCACAGCCTCGCATCGGCTACGCTGTGTCGATAAGTATGCCAATTCTCTCTTTGCAGGGTTGTGCGGAAAGCCTGGAAAGTGTAAACTTGATGTATTGAGGCCTCGGCCACACCATCCCTTAAAATTTCAGCCGACCCCGTTGCTATACCCCGTGGGGAACTCTCGGTAAAATCAGTTAGCCCTGATACACTTTTACGATTAGTTAGGTCAGCATGGTTAAGGGCTTTTATTTGCCGAGATGTAGTCTAGCATCACTTGTATTAGTGCCGCCCGGTTGGTTACACATAATCAATTCAAGGTGCCGTTGACTATTCACCGAATGGCTATGGTGTTAGCCGAACCAGCGCCCATTCGTTCAACGAGCTGTTAGTCCTGGGTCGCAATCACCAGGATTGTGGCAGACCGAAACTACTTAAACCGCGTGCTCAAGCATTTACCCACATCATTCAATTGGTATCACTGAAGTTTATCTACTTGGTCAATACCACCTTAATTGACAAGATGGCTTTCGGAGACCCGAAACCCCTTGTAACCGAGCTTGATCATATCGAGGTCAGAAATGAGAATCTAGATGCATCTATCGACAACGGTGTCGCGCTTCTGGATCCAGATGAAGAGCGCAAAATCCTGTGGAAAATTGACAGGCGCCTGGTGACTCTCACCGGCCTAGGATACTGTGTTTGTCTTCTAGATAGGGGCAACCTCTCCGCAGCTTCAATCGCAGGGTAAGTATTTAGCCTCTTTGGAAGGTGGAAAACAATGGAAAATTACTTACGGATATTAAGGATGACCATCGACCTGGGACTGCAGAATAATAATCGCTACGTGAGGGGGCCTACCTTTGGGCGTCGAGGAAAAGGTGGCTGACGTTAGCAGAGCATCATCCTCCTAGTGTTTTTTATCCCATATGTTCTTTTCCAGCCACCAATGACACTTCTCACTCGCAAAGTTGGTGCCAGGATGTTTCTCTCTACGATTTCCTTGTTGTGGGCTGGACTTCTAGTGGTAGTTACTCACCCTACCCCTGAACGTTTATACCTTGACTAACCACCAACTTAGGGAATGGGATTTGTGAAGAGATGGGACGAGCTTGCGGGTTGTCGAGTCATCCTGGGAGCTCTTGAAGCGGGATATTTCCCTGGTTGCGTTTATTTGCTGACTTGCTGGTACTGTCGGTGTGAGTAAAGGCTTGGGCTGAGCCCGATATAGATTCAGGTCGCTGATACTAAGAACAAGTCGAAATCCAGAGGAGAGTGGCTGTATTTTACGTCTTTGGATGCTTGTCCTCCGCCGCCGGGGGCATTCTCGCTTATGGACTTATGCAGTTGGGCGGAACCGCCGGCCTTGGGGGATGGCGTTGGATCTTGATCGTGGAGGGTCTGGTACGAAGCATCCGCATCCCACTCTTTTCATCGAAACCTGACAAACTGTTCAGATCACCGCAGTGATCGCCATGCTCAGCTATATCTTCCTTGTGGATTTTCCAGATTTAGCCTCGAAGTCGTGGAACTTCCTTACGGAGCGAGAGGTTGCGCATGTGATGTAGAGACTGCACAGAGACCGTGAAGATGCGGTGCCCGATGCCTTCAGTCTAACCAAGTACCTGGAATATGCCAAGGACTTCAAGATCTGGCTGTTTGCCATGATTTTCTTGTGAGTAGTCAAACCCCTTGACCAGAAGGACATTGCCATTTGACCGAAGAAACAGGGTGACCAACGTAGTCAATTATTCCATACTATACTTCCTGCCAATTATTCTCCGGGATGGCATGGGTTTCAGTACAGCCGCTGCCCAATGCCTTGTCACTCCTCCATATGCATTTACCGCCCTCTGGATGTACGCTACCGCTCATATTGCCGATCGTTACAAGATGAGAGCACCGATCATCGTCTTCAACTGCGCTGCTTGCATTATAGGCCTCCCAATCATGAGTCTGGCAAAGACTAGTGGAGTCCGATATTTTGGCATCTTTCTCGTCACCGCCGGGTCCAACTCGAATACACCGGCTGCTGTAGCTTACCAAGCAAACAATATCCGTGGTGTGTGGAAGAGAGCTTTTTCCAGTGCTACACTCATTGCTTTCGGTGGCATTGGTGGCATTATCGCAAGCACCGCTTACCGGGCTCAAGACGCGCCCGGCTACCGTCCCGGAATTTGGACTTCCTTTTCGTGAGTTTCGCCTCCAGGCTCCCGCGCTAACGACTAACCTTATTGTGAGACTCAATTGCCTAAACATTTGCATCGTTGGAATTCTGACGGTCTACTTCCGGCACTGCAATAGAAAGGCCGATGGCGGCAAAATGGTCCTTGAAGGTCTGGAGTCGTTCAGGTATACAATCTAAGCCTGTAATGCGACATGGACAGTTCTGTTCACCCCACGACGCTCTGTTCCACTGAGACTCATTAGTGAACAGACAGGAGTATATGAAGTCGTGAAACGTGGCTCGATTGTCCAGGTTGTGGTAAGGCCTTTCGACAGCTGTGTTGGACCGACCTATGAGAATGATAACATGTATTTGTCTTGGGTCCCAATCGATTGCAGTAGCTAGATGGCGAGCCAGGTGACAAAAAAAGTGGCACAGCTTGCACCGTCAGACAACACCACTTCCATAACTATAGATCTTCGAGATCAATTTCCACCTGATATTTTTTATATGGTGATAGATTATATTCATATCATTGAGTAGCCCAAGTCCTTAAGACGCCGTAACAGAGACACAAATTTCCCCACGCTGGCACCATGCCCAGTAAAATCCAGGGGAGCAGGTCCGGCAGCAGCAGCTTCGCGTTTCCACTCAGGGGTTTTGAGAACCCCCTTCAAGTCCATGACCCACATGCCTCGTCAACGGCTGCGCCTGATCTCGTTGCAGGTCCGTTTAATGAACCTAGGAATGTCCCGGATAATCGGTGCACTCGATCCACCGAATACAAGTGATTCATAACATAAAGAGAGATGCTTGCATGACCTGTGACACAACGTGCTGTTGATAGTAATCTTCAGCTTGCAAATTGGCCCTTTCGCATTACCGTTTGACAACACAAATCTGTCTCTGTCGAACCAGTCGAGGTCGGCAGGTTTGTATTGCATGATGTACTTCCACAGTGCAACCCCGATAGCCGCCATCCCAAAAGCTGAACGCGGGATACGGGCCGTCTGTAGAGTATCGATGATCAGAATCATAGACGGGTATAACATTAACCACTCACAGTAGGACACAAGGGGTGGCAGAAAGCAAGCAATAACGCTCACCCTCCCGCCATCTACAACACAGCGTACGATTTGTGATGTCGCTTAAGAAATGACACCGTTGCAATGCTGCTGGTCCTTTTTGGGAAGAGAGACTAAGTCGAGAAAATCCGTGGACTGGCAAGAGGCAGGATCCAAAGCACTTTCTGACAGGGTTGACATACCCCATAAATCTCCACAGCAGGCGCAAAGCCTTATTCTCGCGCTTGGACCCCATGGGGAAGTAGAAAAGCTAAGTGTGACCCACGCGGACGGAACTGGAAGTGTGATTGAGAGCCTCGCGTCTTGGGCGGGATGATATTTGACTTTGATTGGTCTTTGTGGGAATTAGGGAGCGGCCAACGGAGGCTATTTGGGGAGATAATGCACTCCGCATTCGGTACTCGGTGCTGAGGTGCCTGCCTCGCATTCGCTGGATCTTCGGCTGGTGCCTCACTCAGGACGACTCCAACGGTAGAAGCGGCAATAGCCGGGACAAGGCCAACGAGACCCGCCGCACAGCAAAGGCCGGTTACAGCGCCTTGTAGGAATCTGCGCTAGGTGTTGCTATTTGGTCCAGTAAACAGGTTGGTGACAGGCTCGGCATATCAGTCTTTGCTGGTGCGCCCATCAAGCTGCAAGTGGTTCTTTTCAATGCAATCAATTTGAGGGATTTTTCTATCTGGTAAGGCTCCATACACTGTATGACACCGTGCACTTGAGTCACGGGGCGGCTTCACTGCAGAAGCACGAATAGTCGACTAGATGCAGAGCTAAATCGAGATATTATGGCCAGGTAAACCTTCGTCTTGAGACGGTGTCGGAGCTTCAGGAAAGATCAACAAGGATTTCTTCTGTCCGACTTGCTGGTCTAGCTTGTCTATCGAGCGGGAAGTTATGCCAGGTATGCCGTGACTGGACAAAGAAAGGCTAGGCTTGGAAACAACATCGACATCCAGTTTTACACAAAAGACTTTGTCTGAAAGATGTTCCAGAGGCGAGGCAGGAACCAACCTTTGGCAAAAAGCCCCCTTCCACCCTCCTCCATCTCCCTCCTTACCGCGACACGGGATGCGCATACTGCCGCTGTAGGTCAGGCCCCGTCGCTCACTTCCTCTATGACACTATTTCAAACCGATTGACTCAGCTCTTTGTCACAGAAAGCGGCGGTACGATGGCCTCAAGCCTATATACGCACCATTCACAGCGAGGAACATATCATGTCAGTATTATGACCGTAGCAGTAATGCTCTGCAGCTGGGACTGAGTGGCCTTCTACTTTTAACATCCCACCTCTGATTAGCGCAAGGTCTTCATGGCCGGCCCGAACCAGCCCTGTCGTCGGAAATCATTCGATTGAAGTGATCGAAAGTCTTCTCTGAAGGATCTGCAACATTCATTTCGCTCCCCAAGGGCTAGCGCCAGCATAATCCGCCAAACTCGGATGCTTGTAGCTCTATCGATTCTCACAACAGCATCCTTTCCAACACCGTTGCTGACTCGATTGTCTCACAACCCAGCCCCAGCCGTTCGATCCCGAAACGGCGGTGTTCGAAGCCCAAATCACCCTACTTGCAAGGACAAACTTCGGAGTTCCGTCTCTGACCATTCCTCCGGGCCATGAGGTCAGTAGCAGTGCTCTTCTGAGTTTGCCGTGGTTGAAAGTATTAGCTGGAGAATTCCCAGATGAGTCCTTCTTTCGAGTCGAAGCTCATCACGCAAAGATCACGGACTCATGCTCCTCTCATATAGTAACTGCAGACTCATCTAATATTCCACAAGGAGGACGCGAGACTGCAGACATGTTCCTGCAAGCTTTCTTTGAGTTAGTTCATCCTTTCCATTTCCATCTTCGAAAGGAAGGTTTTTCTGCGTTCTATAAGGAGACCTTTTCAAAGGGTCTATACCGAAATGAAGAGTCCGGCGTTTTTCTAGTTGTTCTAGCCCTAGGCGCCGTGACGAGTGAAGATCCCGATGGCAACATACCTTGACCGGAAGCACTACTCCTAGCCTACACTACTACAAGGATGCGCAGCAAATTCTGATGTCGAGATGGACACAATCAATGGGAGGAAATCTTCTACTTTCGCAAAGATTGTGCGCATGGCTCGTGATAACTTGGTGAACAAGGACGATATCGGCAGTGTTCGCTTAGCGGAGCTGCGCCTCTGACCGCTGAACTCTTCTGGAGAGTTTATAATGCCTATTATTCCCATCAATCAAGCTTACGGCTGATCAGAAACGTCTCCAGTGACACATACCCAGCCTTGGGATGAATGGGAGAGCTCGGCTGGTAGCGTCGGCAAATTGTTTCCTAACATGACTAAAATATTCCTTTCATTCGAGGGAGAAGTTGAGCCAGGTGCCTTCGGGGAGCTTTAGCTTGTAGGTCTAAACGTATTCAAAGGATATTGGAAGAACGACGAGGCCACAAAGCCGGCCATTGTGGAGGAGGATGACCTCAGATACTTGAGGGCGGGCGATATCGGTTTCCAGGACAAGGGCCACAACTTCTTCATCACCGAACGTGTATCGTGGATACGAGCTGTGACGGACTGGGAGTTAGCGAGGAGACATGCATGCCCGAAGATGGGTTGAGCAGAGAGCGCGCCAAGACAATCATAGACTGGCTTGCAACGGGGTTGCAAACTACAAGAGGTTAAGGGGCAGTGTAAGATCTGTCAACGCGATCCCTAAGAGCGCTGCGGGAAAGGTCTCGAAAAATCAGGTCAAGCAGATGGCAAAGAGGGAAGAGGCCCTGCAGAAAGCAGCGAGACTTCAGATATATGTTACAATTCGGCTAGGAGTTTTTGGCCTGATGAGGTTGAAGGGTTAAAACCGGCTGAAGGTTGGGTGGATGATAAAGTTTAGCCGAAGTTACCGAAAGGAAAATCCGAGTTGAATCAGAGCGAACAAGGCCGCGGCAACTTGCTTTACCCCAAGTCAAAACCAACGCAAGTGATCGGGTTTACAAAATCCTTTCCAGATCATGCGAAGATAAAGCAGGTGCCGGAGTGTGATTCACAGGAGGACATCATGGATTTCTAAAAGGGGCCGGGTAGGACCCCCAAGGCCCACCAGCCCCCCAAGGGCCCCTTACCCGGCGGTATGCAGCCTTGTGCGGGGTGGTATCCCCGGTTAATTTACCGGCGTTGGGAATGCGGGGAAGAGAGGGAAAAGGTCTATAGATACATATAGAGAATGCACTCTACATGCCGTATGAGCTGACCTTGAACAAGGCCGCGCAGATAAAGATAAAATCACGATTCCCTCCACTCCGGCCGGTCCTTCCATCCTACCTGCGTGCCTGTCTCAAACTCAGGGCGATTCAGTGACACTGCAGTACCCGTGAAACCCCAGGTTTCGCTGTCCGCTAGCCATGGCGGCGAAGAAAGTCTTCCTCATAGGACCAGGCCTGATCGGCACTGACCTGCTAGAGCTCCTTGTGGAAGCCGGTTATGAAGTCACCACGATGGTCCGCCGGGAGGCACACGCAGCACAAGTTAAAGACCTCGGCGCCAAAGTGCTAATGGGCACTTTGGACGACAAAGAGACCATCCGCAAATACGCCGCTGCAAGTCCTATCGTCATTCACACCGCCACAGCTGACCACTTGCCTTCTGTCGAAGCCGTGCTCGATGGCGTGCGCCAACGTGCCGAGCAAGGACTGGAGACGATCTACATCCACACCAGTGGAACGAGCGTGTTGGTCGATAATTCCAAGGGCATGTACAAATCCGACAATATCTATTCGGACGAACGTCCCGAGGACATCGATGGCGTGCCTGATACCGCGCCGCACCGTGAAATGGACCTCGCCATCATCGCAGCGCGAAGGGATCTAGGCATCAAAGCGAAGATCATCATCGTGCTTCCCTGCCTTGTATACGGGATCGGCAAGCGCTCGGGGAGGCTGTCCATGCAGCTGCCAACCATGGTGCGATTCGCGTTGAAGCACGGCTGGGCCCCAGTCATTGGCAAAGGCCTCTCGGTGCGAAGTAACATCCACGTTCAGGACTTGGTGCGCGGGTACACGGTCATCTTGGACTGGATGCAGCACAGCAGCGCGGACGAAGTCCTTCTGAACCCTTACTTTTTCTGCAGCACCGGGCAAGACATGGCGTGGGGGGATGCTGCGGCCGAGATTGGAAGGCTGTTATACGAGGCGGGCAGAATTAAAGATCCAACGCCGCGACCTGTACCGCCTGAGCTCTACAATGACTTGTTCGGGGTGTATAGTCCGACCACCGCTGGAGCGAATTCCAGAAGTCGTGCCGATAGGTTGCGGAAGATGGGGTGGAGTCCGAGAGAAAAAGGGGTCTTGGAATCATTGAGGGAGGATGAGGTGCCGATTCTGTTGAATGAGACGGGTGCGTTCAATGGGTACACGGGCCTTGCGTCTTCCGGTACCCATGTGCTGAAAAGCTTGGAATAATCATGGAATAGTTGCAGGGAATAGAACAGTACTAGAGAGGATAGGGAGGGCAGGATATATATCATTGGCTCCTATTCGATCAATACGTTCTGCTCGCTGTATTCATCCACGTAAATAATGAACCGTGATCCATATCCCTTGCCAATCCTCTCGGCACCGCGTGGACGCTGCTTCGCGCTCAACGCCACCACGTTTTCTGGGTACAAATTCCCTAGAAGTGCAAGACAAACCACTGGGTCTACAGCGGCAATCACATGCCACTTGTCATTCGCATCGGTGGCCATGCCAGGAAGGGTCAGAATATCGATATGGATGTGTATCAGGCTGATTTTTTGATAGACACGTTGCAATCGAGAAATGTCGTTCCTTCTGGTTGCGCGGGAAGGTCGTGTACGTGATATTCGTAGCGCCGGCCTGGAGTTATCTGGCCTATATCAATGAAGGCCGTCGTGCCGTTCTCCAATTCGAGTTCCAACTTGAAGAATCTCGGTCGAAGGTCGTTACATGGCTCACTGGCACTGCCCCCGCGTATGTTCGATCTTCGAGTCCATTCCGTATGTGTGGTAATTCTGGTCCTTCAAAAAGGAGACTAGCGTAAGTATTTACTGCGTTCATGTTGAGAGGCTTCAGCGGCGGCACGCTCGGGTGCATTGACAAGGTCCAAACAACGACCATCTGCTATGGACAAATCATAAAGGCCCGGGTATTTTCACAAAGAAACTAGGATCCAGTTTCAGCACCTATCGGTTTATTAGTTGCTGGCAATAAGCACTCGTCGCTGCTTTTGTCCGTTTCAGCGGCCCTTCGCTCCACAGGTCGTGCGCCGTGCCCCGGCCAGCCGAATCAGATGGATCGAGGGCGGTTCGTAGCACTGTCTTAACAAGTCTAGTCACGCTTTTGTACGATCCGTTGGTCGAACCGTCTCGAACGGGGATTTCTTTCTGCAGCACGAACGGCCTATGCATGTCGCGAAAGAGTTGGTCGACATCATATCCATCCGACAGCATTAGAGTGTTGCGTATACTTGGAAAGGGAATCCAGTCAATGGCAGAAGGGTGCGGGAACGCAATCTGAACGGACGTGGGAGTGTTCGTGGCAGGAAAATCGTCCAGAGCTTCGGCCGTACGTGTAACTTGCCACCACAGCACCCATCGGACCGTCGTGTAGGAATCGGTGATCTCAAGCCAGCTCTTCGCGTTAGGCCAGCATTCCTGAAATAAAAAAACAACCGTCTATCATGGCGTTGATCAGCTGCGGGGCCCTGTTTTATTCATCCCTGTCAGTACCGCTGGCTCAGAAGGGAAACCTGGTTGGGGCAGCAAACTGAGAAACATATACCGAGTGCGTTGGGGCGCAATTTCCCCTCGTCTAAAAATCTTTATTATACAATCCAAGTGTGCAGAAAACACAGAAGTAGAAGTCGATCTTTTTGTATCTCTACCACCCATCATCGCCATGGACGTTGTAGGTGAAAAACTGATATCGAAGCAGGTGATATCGCAGGCACTCCCATTGTTGTCACTGACCGTAGCTGTGCCCATCGCCCCGGAATCAAATGCGTTTAAGGGATTCGATGTATGCGGGAAAGATAGATTCGCTACATCTTCCGAGAAATCAAACGACGAGGATTCCAATGCTTCCGAAACTTTGTCGCTCTGGCATTGTACCGCTGTTTAGACTGACTATGGTAGCTGGAGTCTAAGCGAGGAAGAAACAGATAGTGGTTGAACAGGATTGCTCTGGGACGCTAAACTCTGGTCGCAGCAAGCAGACCCAGGATTTCCTCTTTTCGTCTGGTGCCTTGCTTATGCAACTCCCCTCGTTCGCGTCAGATTGTTCGCGATCCGAGAAGCTTGCTTCGTGCTTTTTGCAATGCTCTCCAGAGTTCAGCCCCTTCTGTTATCAAGCCCTGTAAATATGTGCGAGTTTGCATTATCTCGTTGATAAGATGCAACTTGCTTCTCCAAATCTCGAATATCTGTGGCCTTCCGCTCTCTGGTCGTTCTTTGTGACAAAAGATTTCTAATACGTCTTCAGCGTATTAGTATCCAATCCCGCTCCCTAATGAGCGTGTCCGGAATACCTCTGGTCTTTCGCCTCTGGCGGAGGATTGCCGGTCCCTTCGGGACCTAGTGAGCTGTGCTGGCGAAACAAAATGCGGATTTCGCAGATCAAGCATTGAACCGAGAGAGGTCGCTCTCCGGAACGAATGTCTCTTCACGATCGAGAGGAGGGAATCGACCTACTTTTTAATTCTGCTAGTATTATACATGAGTCTTGTAGTCTGACTGACGGCATTGAGCAGCGGAGGAACTTACGTTAACATTACGGGTTGGGAGGCAGACGAACGTGCAGGATTCACCCTGGGACTTACCCAAACATTCATTAACCTGCTTTTTCGCGCTCAAAGTATGTATTTTCTGGTTATGGATGTCACACACAAACGAAGATTTGGGCGAGATCATCGAAGAATCTGTAGCTGGTAAGGAAATCCTATAGAGCTACCACAATCCTCTCTATACGAAGCTTTCTGAGAGATTGGGCAAATACAAAGTATCTGAAAAGCTCATTACTAGTCGGATTCAACTAGGTGAATGTGGTGACCAAAGTATTCTAGGAGCTGGTCAAGAATGAAGTCAATCATGTCAAAACCATGGTGACACCAAAGCAAGAACTGCTTGGTGCGGCGTGACTGCGTTCCATGGCGAAGGCAACAATTTCTACGTCTATATGAATCTTGCTGTCTACTGAATACAGCTACAACCACGACGAAGCGGCTATTTTCAAGGCAAAACCGAGCCATATCAGACTGACCTTACAGACTCACGCGAGGATAGAAATGATCCTCATTTGCAGATTACTCCCTGAGTTCTAGATCTGCGGCTAGAATTCACCGGCTGACCACCAATTGTCTGCCGCATTTCTTGGGTATGCCCCTGAAGTATACGTTTCTGTCAGAAAATAATCCCCAGCCTCTTCATTTTTACAGGCCCCTCAAGGGTATATAGGTGGCTTGCTTCGCTCTCAGTAGATAGACCAAAACCACAAGTGGGAATACTCGCAATCTCTGACAATTCCATCCTCCCTGTATAAAGACAATAGCTGAGGGACTCTTGACTTGTTGAGAGCCCCTCTAGACTGAACTTCTTCCTTTACTGCCTAGAATGACAGACGTCCTACAGCCGCTTGGCGCGGTCCCAGAAGATATTCAGACACAATTAGATCTCGAGATTAAAGTGGTTGGACCAAATGGCCAATTGCTCGATGATAATAAATGGGACAAGGGAATCGCAACTCTGCATGGAGCCCAATCAAATGGCTTCCCCATCCTGTTTTGGCTGGGGCTCGCACAAACTGGAGCCACTCTCCTAACCAGACTGCCATGGTCGATGAGTTGGTGCAGCATATTGCCTTTATCATTACAGAGGTCGCTAAAGGGGTCAAAAAGGACGACAATGATCCGAGGCCTAGCAAGAAGTTCGCCTTCGCTATTGAGCCAACCGTCGAGGCAGAGTCCGCTTGGACCGAGCAGATTGTGGCTGGCGCATCGGCATTCATAGCTATGTCCCGCTATGTCCAACTGTCCCCCCAGCTATTTCAATGTCGAAGGTGAATTCTACAATCTTGCGGCTTCTGGGCCGGAAGCCCCCGGAGAAATTAGCAAGAGGATGCACCAGGATAGTCAGGTTCTCCTGAGTTTCTCATGCCTAGTCGATTGCAAAAATCCTCGCGCTCAGGAAAGCCGAATAAACTTCATCTCTGGTTCTGCTGCAACCCATGCCACATTGTGGATAACACCAATACCAACTCGGTGTGCATATTTTCCCTCCCATCGTAGGACGAGGACATTTCGCATACATCCCGGCTCTCCCTCTTTTCCTTCTCTTTGGCTTTCGGTCACGTTCTTTACGCTCTCCTCGCCGTTGTCGCCGTTGTCGCCGTTGTTTCCTCCTTTCATTGGTTCTGTATCATCGCCCATGGCATGTTTTCTTGGGTTGTGCATGTGGCAAAACGTTGGACAAATGCAGGGGCACGTCACAATTTGGTCGTGGTCTGGGCGACAACCTAGGGTCGACGCAGAGAGCAGGACGAATTCCCACTCAGATTTGGCATTCTCCAACGTGTCGGCATCAAATCCGAGAAGCCCACCACATATCCAACCATCTTTCGTCACAACAAATGCCCGATAATTGGTACCTTCTCCTGATACTGAACTTAGTGAAGGACTTGCTGGGCAAGGTTTCGCCTTTTCGTAGCAAAAGGATTGTAGTGGTGTAGTGAAGCTCCAGAAACGAAGCACGTTCAATTTGCCAGAGAAGACTTCCTTGTCCAACCAAGCCTGGTCGCGAATGGGAAGTGTCGGGTAAGCCTCGCAATTCGACGTCAACGAACCCCCCACCTGCGTAGTGGTACCTGGAGGCATGATACACACGAAGTCTTCAGATCCGCGCAGAATTACGGGCCCATGGAGAACAACTGAGATGTACGGTAGGTAAATGATGCCGCCTATCCATCCACTCCAAGACCAAGACGGGAAAAGGTTCGAATCGTCGTCATAGTTGCGCCTGCGAATGCCCATGTGCGGATGGTACCACAATAAAGCCGAAGCGAACAGGCTGCTTTCCAGCGGAGAACCACAAATGAATTTGAGTCTCCAACGATGCAAAAAGAACGAGCATAGTCCTGCAAATCCATTCAAGATATCGGAGTCGTAGCTCAAATTCTTCATAGAATATTCTTGCACAAGCAAAGCGTAACAATCGTCAAAGATTTCAGAATGACGACAATCCCTTGACATGGAGTAATTCAAGAGCGTGAGTTTCCCAAACCCATGCTGAATAGAAGCAAATTCGTTGTACGAAATCGTGTGGCATGCCCATGCATCTTCCCAACGATCCTCTGACCATACTGTTTGTTTGCATTGGAAAAACACCTGTTGCCGCGAGAAATACATGCATCTCTTAGACAGTAGTCGCTCCTGGTAAGTCCAGGCACGGGTATTGTGCGTCGACTTCAAAACAGAATCTTTGAAAGGCTCTCTTTTGGCCACGTAGATGCCGGAAGATACGGCATAGTCAGTCACCTGCCTGGTACCCGGATGTACGCCACATAGGCCTTCTGCAGCACTACTGCTCGCAGCAGCCACGATAGTGGCTAGAGCGCCGCCGTAAATCGTTCCCATCTCGCAGATCTGCCTGTGCTTATGGATTGGGTCATCCTGCACAATGCAAAGGGCATCAACCCAAAGGTACTTTTCTCCAATGGCAGTAACAACGTGCATGGCATCTCGAATAACCTGGGGTATTTGTTCCCAGCGTTTTTGCAGTGCTCCCGGTACAAACAGCTCTTCTCTTGTTCCCAGTGTCAGCTGAAGCTGCGGCATATTGCCCCAGGCATAGCTGAGCGCAAGGTATCTGCAGGAGTTACCTGCGTTGACAAGCTTTTTCTGTTGGACGTCAACAACTATGAAATCTATCTTGGCAGTAACGGTTTCGAGGAAGCCCGACGCGCAATATCTTCCATGCTGGCTTTCGCAGAGATTTAGCCATCCGCGAAGGATATTCATGTCGACTTGGTCCATAGGGCACACTCGAATAGGGCAGTTGGTATGAGTCCCGATCTTTATTTGTGTCGTGCCGGGAGAAAAGAGGATCACATCACCCACACTGGTAATGCCATCGCCTGCCAGGCGTTTCGGAATTGGCTGATTGAAATCTGCCAACGCGTGTGGCGACGGTTCATCTACCTGTTGACATCTTGCCAACAGAAGTAAGGAACAAAGCGGGCATCGCCGTTCAATCGTGTTTTGGAGCATGGCCTGAGGGTTGCCATGATAAGACCAAAGCTGATCGGCTATCTGTGCACATGTCCCACAACTCTTGATAAACGACGAGCAAGAATCACAGAGAGTACCCGGATTGTACCAAAAATCAGTGAACACGATCGGCGCTAAAAGGTATCGTTAGTGTATCAGTATGCATATCGGTATTGTATATATCCTACAATGAGCCAACAATTCAGCGCAACGGGGGCAATCTGGCCGTTCACAAGGCTCGGGATCATCTTTGACAGGGCCTACAAGGCCGGCTTTGCCGTAGATAGCCATCTGTTGTCTTCAGACCCCGAGCACTGGGAGCATCTGATATGCTTGAGGGAAGAGCGGAGAAGCGTTGAGAGAGAGCGGCCAGACAGAAATATGGAATGAAGACAGTAGGTCACGGCTGAGAAATGAGGTTCACTTGCGCAAACTCGGTAGTATTCTTTGCCTAGAACGACTTTCAGTCTAACCACAGCTCATGTTTCAAGCAGAGAGGGGCGAATAGACCGAAATACGTATTTTCCTAGACTAGAAATACTGGATGAAGGTGATTCTAACAAAATTTTCTGTTTTGCATATGTCTGTGCTTAATGATGGTCATGATGAGGCTTACCAAAGGTTTCCGTGTTGGTCGCTAGTGGGGCAGAAGGGGGCCAGGCTCACTAGGCTCCAATGCAGCATCACTGACAACCTTTGACACTTGGCTGGTCCCTGTCTAATTGTGGTATACCAATAAGATGTCGCCACGTGCTTCGGGCGTTAATTCCATGTCCGGTTCCCAGTCTTTGTCCTGTTACCACTGACAAGACATGGCTCCTGGGAGCGAAGACGTCCTGGGTGGTCGTCCTTCAATTCTTAAGAGAACACATCACAGCAGGTGTCTGCTTGGCGGCAAATGCAGCCATTGTATGGTACCTTGTGCTTCCCCACGTGCAGGAAGACAAAACGACTCGATGCAGGGCTATTTATTAAGAATTTTCAAGTACACTTTGTGCCGTTGAGTCCCTCTTAATGAGAATCCAGGAAGAGGAGTGTGGCGAACAAGGGAGTCGATTTTGGCTTTTACGGGTGGTTCACGGTACCCTAAGACACCACCGAGCAAGGAGTTCGGGCGCTGCGAGTCCTGTCTTCCGAAGGGTTGTCAACGGTTTAGGTACCATGTACCAGGACCGTACGCCGCTAGTCTCAGCTGCGTCATCTTCTGGACGCACAAGATCTTTGTGAATGGCTTGCGTTGTTACTATCCAGGCACTAATTTCTCTATTCAACCCTTGAGCTCTGCTTTAGGACTGTTTGAAATGGAATGTTAAAATATGAAACAGGCGTTGTCTTCTCTGCCACGGGTTCTCCCCTCCCCAAGTCCGGACCTCTGTGGCTTTCCGGTTCAGCGCCTCGGTTACAGGACCTTGCATTCACATGCAGGTCTATGATCGGCCTTCTTAACTACATCAAGTACAATAAGCTGGACCTCTTGCGCACAAATTCCCTTCAGGACAGCACTTGAAGGATGAGGTGATGCCAGGCCATTGGCTGGTTCCGTTGTTTCCACCATAGCAGATATCTGCGATAGGAACCATGCCACCGTTGGACTTAAAACGCGTCGGTGTGAAAGCCGCCGCAATTGAAATCTCTGAATCGGGGGTATTAAGTACATTGATAAGAGACGGTAGGAATTTTCATAGACATACGATCAGAGGATGCACTGATCCCCTTTATCGAAACCCATTTTCGCGAGTGTGGCGTTGAAGTCTGGAAGATCGCCGTTGAAGGTATCTAAGTAGCCGAGAACCACGTTCGTCAGTGCCTTTCATTGTGCTGGACATTGAAACAGTGAAAGCTCTCACAGCAACTTCCATCTGCCTTCGCCGGAAATTCTGTAAAGATTCCCCCTTTGTCTAGCACTGCGAATCTAAATGCATTAGCGCCGGAGCGATTCAGGAGAATAGCCAAGAAGTCGGAGTTCAAGATAGGACTTCATGGTATCGTTTGATGTCTTGCGAGTATTCTTGGCTATCTGGGTGACAGCAATTATCGAGAAGGCGACTTGTGATATATTGATATATCAGAGAGAAGGGAAGGAGAGAGATCTTGAGAGAATACCTGGCATTTAAGGATCAGTTTCGAGATGCTTACAATCGCATTTCGCTGCCTCTGAATAGACAGCAACGGCTCTGCAATCTCCCGTTTCTTTCCACTCACGCTTAACTACACAGCGTTTCAGAGGAACTGAAATCCTTTCCAGGAGCAGAGTAAGATAGTGCTGACGGGCACGGTTTCTAGTGACTCCACCATTCCACGGCGGTGGGCTGAGCAGCACCGCGATTCTTCGGAAGCTCTCTCGGAGAGGAAGCAGTTCACGCCGCTCAATATCCAGGAGTCTGGTTTAAGCCCGAGCACATGGGTTTGAAGTCCAAATGATCTACTCAGTCGAGGCAGATCTTCCTTGTTGGATTCCACAATCACGTCGCCAAATTGTCTCAGAATAAAAGATATCTCAGACCGAGATTGAAGGGCTGCTAGCCAGGAGCCTTGTCGGCCACAACCGCATCAATTGGCGGTGTGTAGCACTCCTTAAAAACATAATCCAGGCTACATCTGGAGCCAGACATGCTGGCTGAACCACATAGCCGAGAGTGACCGAGGATCGAGGATCGTCCCGATTAGAGGTATTGATGACAGTGGTTGCAAAAGTGAGTGATAAACCTTAGGCTTAAACTGATCGAGATTGCTGGCACGTTGCCTATTGAGACTCAGAGAGTAGAGTGACCCTTGATGGCCTATCCATTTCAAGAAATTCTTTGGACGACTCTCACTCGACGGTGGGTGTCTAGAGCGTCTGGACGCCTTATGTATTCATTTCGCAATGCGCAGAGGCCAGAAGGATGAGATGCAGCTGAGCCCCGAGGTAATCAATTACTTCGTTCGCAAAAGATTAGGAAAATAAGCCTTGCCTAATAATTAATTAGCGGGAGCGAGCCCGAGAAAAGTGAGAGAAAGAATTGTAGAGAAAAACCAGGCTGTCGTGGTGCAGCGCAGTATTGCCATCTCAGCTCCAGCAGCTGTCTCCTCTTCCCTGACAGTGGTTGCGCTAGCTCAAGTCTCGTAGGTGGAGATGTAAACCGCACGAGAGCTGACTTGGCAATGATATCTAATCCTGCTCCGAGACATAATTGAGAGAACCGCTCGCAGCATATACAACGAGGGGTCTTAGCTTTTTAGAAAGCTTCGGGCCCCTGTCAGGTTAGAAAGGGGGGCTCGGGATGGGCAAGAGGCAGACAGGGATGAGGGTGGTCAAATCACATACATCATAAGGAACGCAAGTCAGGAGTGAATTAATGAATGCAATGGCCTTTCCAGCAAGATAATGCGATGGAATAGTTCCGTCTGTTTGCCGCTGCTTCCTGCCTCCCATGCATTGCGATCATCAACGACGGCCAAGCGGCGAGTGAGATTTGCCGGAAGAGACTGTTTATATTTGATCATCTAGGATGCGGTGAAACTCCCGGACCACATCTTGGACGACCTGATTCTCAACCACCCCTTCTTGCCACGAAAACCCCAGCGTCAGTCGTCCATCTCTACCAGACACTGCGCTGACCTTGATGGCTCCACTACTCGCGCCAGCACTCTGACTGAAAAGCAGGCTTTCGATCTGATAATCTTTGTCTGCTTGCGACGGGCCCAGATGTCCAACATTCGACAACTCCAAGGAAGTAGTCCTTCGTCGACCCATCTTCCCCTTCATCCAGCTCTCGAAGTCTGCGATACGTGATAGCTTTTCAAGCAGGCCATCTCCTCCCTTCTCCTGCATGACCTGGTCAATCCTGTTCTTTATCCTTCTGGCTTCCTCCCACGTGAAAGGAGCTCGCTCGTGCGTCATGAAGAAAGTGTCGACAAACACCCCCATCGAATCTGCATTGATGGGATTTGGGAGCCACTGGCGCAGAGAAACGGCGCAATCGGATTTGATTGTGGTATAATCAGGCGGTACATGTGTGAAAAGGGCTGCAACGAGCATGGCCTCCAAGGTTGCCGTCAAGGACACGCCATGGTATTTACTGACCTGCAACAATCCCGTCGTCTCTTCTTGAGAAAGCCACAAGGATGTGACCTTAGTTTGTACAGGTAGGTGTTGTACTGCGCCTGACCATATATGCAATGACTGCTCTTGATTTTCTGACCCATTGCGCTCTGCCAATCCTCTCAAGGCCTCCAACGGTGGCAGGAGTGGTAAGTCAGGTGTGTCCACCACAGAGACTGGCTCCCTTTCCAGTGAATCGTTAAGCGCAGTCTCGACAGCCTGGTGCAGCACAAGAGCACTCTTCGTATCTCCAATGCAATGATGGAAGAAGTAGCACAGTATGAACTCCGAAAAATTGCCTCGATTCTGGAGGACATGCATCCGCCACAACGGTAATGACATATACTCCCACGCCTGGGTATGCTCATGCGCAAGAAGGGCATCCAGAGCAGGAAATCTTCCATGCTGATCAGCAAGCTCATCAAACTCAGTAAATGTAATGATTTTGTCCAGGTCGATGATTGGTAGACGGGCGAAGTACGGTACTCCTGAGTCAACGTCAACAGACGTAACTGAGAGACTCGGATGTTTCGATATAACGGCAGCCAAAGCAGCGAACAAAGCAGGTCTCAACGTCTTAATGTTTCTGCATCTGTACCTCGCGGTGATCGCAACCTTTTGATAAACACCTATTCGACTTCGTTTGACCAGATATTTTTCTAGAACACCTACTTCAACGTTAGTATAGCTCAGATTTCAGCCTGGGTACAAACCCAAAGATCGAAGTGGCTGGAACTTTGGCTTCTCTTGAGCCATACTTAGGTCTCCTCCTGTTGAGATCCTCTGAAAATCCTGTACCACAGTACGAAGAAAGCGAGCTGTCAAGAAGATGAAGCGTTGTTGGGTGAGCGGATATAACCGCGATCGATTACCATCTCGCAGCCTCGTCGACGTACTCTTCCGCGTTGAGATGAGGTAAATCAACACCCAGCCCACCACCTTTTAGGCTAGAGCTTCACTTTGGCACCCTCAAACAAACTCCACTCACTGACTCACCGCTCACCCCTCCTGCTCGTCAACCAATACCAATTCGCTAATATTAGATCGATACCTAATCACCAACAGATCTTAATTACCGCGGCATCGCTGGGAAGCACTACTGTACGATATTGGAAATACCGCTTTTAGGTGGAGATTGTGCTCCGGGATTACATAAAACATAGTACAGAGGGCATACGGTGTACCACACAAAGGGTATTGCTGTGCCAGAGGATATTCTCTGAGCGGAAGGTAAGCATTATTTAAAAGCGTCGTAGGTTGGGTGAGACGCCGGGTATCGATTTACTTACCTCCCGAGTCGTCATTCGTCGCCAAGACACGGACTGCGTAACTCGGCGAGTCGGTAGCTCGTACTGGGTAGAACATCGAGTCCTCCATACTCCACACCGCCCGCCACAACTCCTTCAGCACAAAGCAAAGTCCCTCGACTCCTGAGCTCTCCATGAATCGTTTACACCGCTGCGGGTACCGAGTCAAGGTAGCACAATGATCAAGCTGAAGCCACAATCGCATTCCTTCCTCCAGCATGTTCACCTCCCGCCACCCCGAAGACCGGTTCCGCCTTCGCACGCACCGTGCCCGCTCCGTCGACCTCACTAACGAAGAGCTCGTCGAAATCCGCGCCGCACAACGCACCTTCGAGGGTGCATACATTCGCACGTCGCTTTCCCAGTTTTCGTTCGCCCTTGTGGTCCTCAAGATCTTTACCTCGGAATTCTACTCCATCGGTGCGCTTTTCGCAGCCTACGCTGTAGGGCTGCTCCTAGTTAGTGCCTATCGAAGACAGCAAGGGAATCGACAGTTTTTTAATGAGGTCGGGGATGATGGATTGGGGAGGAAGAGATTTCGCACAAGTGGGAATGTGGTCATTGCGCTGACGGCACTGAGTATTGCGGCGTATGTGAGTCTATTGGTCTTGACGCTGAAGTTGGAGACTTGATCCAATAACACACGGCGGCAAGCCATCATGACTCGGACGATGACGAAGCGGCTATGCGATGACTCCCTGTCACAAGAGGAGACCGAGCCAGGTTAAAAATGGAAGACTCGCTGTGTTTGGTCCCCGGATACCCTCCCCTGGCCAACTTCGCTCTTCGGCTATGCGGCATATCATGTCTCTACACGGTCGCTGCGCTGGCCGCACTGGCTGATGTTTGTTGTTCCTCCACCGGTTCCATCTCGACGAGAAAAGCCTGGTGCGGCTATTGAGAGACCATACCGGGAAATTTCTTACTCGAGTTTGCAGTGCACATGATGCATTAAATTTTGGAATTCTCGACGTTCCGGATCTCCCACCACGACAGCCACGCGGGCAAACCTGCGGAAAAGTAACTGGAAAATTTCACTGGGCCTGGAACAGCATGTCATCATACAATGCGATGTTGATGCCATTTTGATACCATGTCTCCATCTCAATGACGCAGCCATAGATTCGGACGACTACCCTATATCACGGACTCTAAAGGCAGGACGGATCCAAAGGGCTTTGGCAATCAGTGGGGGAAGAGGTGGTGGCACAGGTTGTCGCCGGGAGAACATGATGCCAGTACGCCACCGCAGGTTCTCGAATCTTTCGTGGCGGCGGAGGGGGAATGCTTTGGGTGAGGTCGACAGAGCCGCACAGCCTTCTCTTCTATCCGTCCCTTGTAATCACGGCAGGGAATGGTCATCGATTACCGGAGAAAGTGTTTGACTTCTACTAAGATGTGTGTGTGAGGATGGTCGGCCATATATCAGAATAGCCTTAATGTCTTGGTTTGCTCGTTTGATCTCCTCGCGGAACAACGTTGATCCGCCAAGCCTCCAAGGCAACTTTCCATTCACTGCCTCAAGTGACTCGATGAGAAAAAAAACAAAAAAACAAAAATGGCGTTGAACAAATTCGATTCATCGATTCACTCACCTAGCCGTCTTTAGTTCCCCTCCTCTCAACTGTATATAGCCTTTTTTTCGTTTTCTACACTCGGTGTCGTGGTAAGCGTTTAGGCTCGATGCTGCTGATCGTCTTCTTCTCTCCATAGAAGTTGAGCGTTGCACTTTCCTTGTTTGCAAGTCGGGAAGGTCTCGGCCCTCGTCGTTGCTTCCATTGTCACCTGTGACTTGTCACTTGTCACTCTGTGAGTGAGCGGATCAGTTCCTTACCGCAGGTGCAACTGCCTTCAGTAATCCTCACTTGCGCAGGCTGTTGCCTCCCGCCTCTCACTTTCCTTTCTCTTCCTCTGCTTCTTCTTCGTCGTCGTCGTCGAATCCGCAGCACCTCTCTACTCTACGATGCATCCAAACCCCAGCAGTCTTCAGATATGGCGGAACAAGTCTCATTCGTTCTCGAGCCATTGAAGACGGTTCATGAAAATCGCTCCGAGGAAGTATTCGGTACAGCTCCCTTCTACTTTTCTCCATAAGAACTCTGCCTAACTGAGTCATCCCAGTCCAGGCCTTTGTCATCGAAATACCGGCTAAGTTGACAAGCAAGGCATTGGGGTGCGTGACCCAGAGACCCTCATGGATGAACCTGAGCTGACCAGAGTGACCAGCATCGTCAAACCCATTATTCCCAGCGGCGGCAAGCACCCTTCGTTCAGCCATTTTCGGCGTGTGTGCACTCTTTCACACCTACCTGTGGACTTGACATGGCGCCGTGACTATGACGCACGAGGTCTTCAAACCGTCTTTTTGTTGGTGCCCAATACCATCGTTCCATGGGAGGATATCAAGGCCACACTCATGCCACATATCGATGTTGAAGGTCTCCCTCGTTGCTTCGATGCTGTGGTTCCACGCCATGCACCTTTGACTGCCGAGCAAGCCGCCCTGTGGACCGAACGGTATTGGCCCTCGATCTACAACCCTGCTGCACAGGTCATTCAAGATGCCCCGCCTCTCCACCATCTTCGACGGATGCGAACAGTACTTGAAGTCCCGGCCACAGATAAGTACATGGAGCTTGCGAAGATGGCCGCTCATGAATCCAAGGAGTACGGCCACGGAAGAGGAGTGGGTGCCGTTGTGGTCGAACCAGAAACAGCAACGGTCGTAGCCGTTGCGGGCGACGCTCGTTGGTGGTCCGATGATCCGCGGACTCATCAGGGACTGATAGCGATCAAGGGAGAAGGAAGACCCGAATATCACGCTGTCATGCGTGCTGTCGCCATGGTTGCCAACAAGGAACTGCGTCGACGCATCAAAGCCGGCGGTCACCTCAAATTCAAGGACACATGCTCCGAAACCCCATCTGGCCGAGCTCTCACACCTATCGAGAGTCAATATGAGGACGACGAACCAGTCCTTCGTGACCTCACAGCCGGGCTGGGTAATGTTACCCTCGAGAACAACGTGAGCGATACCGCCTCAGAGAAAAGATCAAGCCCTCGGTCTGAAGGCTATCTCTGCAGCGGACTCGACATTTATCTGACACACGAACCTTGTGTGTGCTGTGCAATGGCTATGATCCATTCCAGATTCCGTGTCTGCGTCTTTGCTCGCAAGATGCCGGGCAGCGGTGGCCTCTGCTCCGAACCCGGTGGCAACAGACTGGGATATGGGCTGTTCTGGCGTCGAGAGCTCAACTGGCGAGTCATGACCTTCCAACACAGGCAAGCGGCTGCTGTCGAAGGCGAAGAAGGCCGAACGGACACAGGAATATTCCATGCTTAGGAAGTCAATTATTGGGAATATCACACATCAACATCATCTTCATCAGGCGAAGTCGGCCACTCTGGTCCAATCGCCGCCGCCGCCGTTTTTTTTACGGAACTCAACACCTTCACCGAAGTAACCAGCATCATTCCATTGCTTCATCGTATGGCCGTCGAACGGGCCGTTTATTACTCCGCCGTCCCTAGCATCAGTCCACCTATACTCCCACAGTTGTACCATGGAATCATCAGCATGAGCATGAGCGTTGAAGGCCTCGGGCTGTGGAGGGTCGTTCCAATCGTTACCAGTTTCTCTTCGATATTGTCGAATGAGCAATTCTCTTTCTGTGTCGTAAACCTCTGCTTGGCCTCTGCCCAACAAGATGGCCGCTGCACCGCTGATCTTTTCGACCTTTGCCTTTCGAGCCTTCTCTGCTGTCTCATCGGCTGTAGGGTGCCCTTCTGGCTCGCCATTTTGTTTCTTATACTGACTCCTTGGTTGCCATTTGGGCTTCTTATCCTTGCCTTTTGCAAGACGAGCAAGGGCTTCCAGGACGGTCTCCCCACGTTCAAGGAGGGGGATCAACTCAGCTAGGACGTCGCCCGTTGATTTCGCGTCTTCCTCTAAGTCGCGCTTTCTCCGCTCTTCTTCGCGTTTGTCGGCAGCCTCTCTTGCTCTCTTCATTTCCTTCTTGGACATCCCTTCAAGCCAGATATCATGTATTGCGTCAGGATCGGCCGCCTTGCGAACATAATTTCCCTGATCATCAAAGCGGCCCTCCTCTTGCTCCGTGCGCATATTGAAAGCATCCAACTTAGGAGCATGTAACTTCTTGCTTCCAGCTCCAAGTTCGGGATCGAGTCCGCCGGTACTTGCTCGTGTTTCGTCGTCCACTTCGCTTTCACTGCTACTCTCGACCTCGTCGTCCTCTTCTTTTGCCTTGCCCTTTCCCAGCCCATCGAGTGAGAAGTCGGCAGAGACATGTCCGCCACTTTTTGAGCTCTGGATTTGTCCTTCTATCTCATCCTCGTCAATGAACCGTACGGCCTTTTTCTTGCCACCTCTTCGCCCGGCATCGCCGTCTGAATCGTGTTTGAAATCCTCCTCTAGATCAGCGAACATGTCATTTTCATCTTCCACCCTGGATTTCTCTGCTCTTGCGTTCGCTTTGGCCTTTCGATCGGAGCGGGATTCGAAGTTGTCATTATCCGAGTCCGACTCATAGCCGTCGATGTTTACTGCACCACGTTTCACCTGCTGCCCACGTGTACCAATGACGTCTGCTTCTAGGATAGCATCCTCTTCCAGTGTATCAGGGGCGAGGGCGGAGGGATTGCGAACATCGAAGCGCGGTTTTTTGGTAGATTGGCCATAGAAGCCTTCGTCGGAGTGGGTTGTGCGGACGTAGTCTTCGGCGGCACGTTTAAAGCGAGGGGTATTATAGGCCATTGTCGCATATAGGCGAGGTAGAAGTGGTTGCAATCAGAACCCGTCTCTGAGAACAGGAAAAGTGTTTCTGTTTTGAGGTCGAATTTGTGAAGCTACAAAACAATCAAATGATAGTCTCCGACCCGCCGCTACGAGACCTAACAGCGCTGCGTCACACTTCACGGATGGTGCCTGGCCTAGTCGCGCGTCATCCATCTCGCCCAGCTGCGTATCACCAGTTTCAAAAGCACTTGGTCTCTCTCCCTCTTCATTTCAGTCAGTTCCCTAGACACTCTGTTATCAGGCATCGCCGACTTCCTGTTTCTCTCCCTTCTCATCGAGATCGACCCCTGCCCTATTACAACTCAAAATTTCCCCGCCGCGCGTTACTACGACCTTTAAACTCCTCCAGCGTTTCCTAGATCTACATAACCTTTGCCCTCCTGTACCCTTCAGGACCTCTCACATCGGGCAAAGCTAGTCCGCTTCAAATGGTGAGTTCCGTCTAGAGCCTGTGTCTGCACTAGCCAACATCTACAGTCTTTCTACCACGACCCGATGGACTACCCAGCCTTTATGCGGCCCCCTCCTGTTGGCCGCTTGATGGGCCGCTTCGACGAATACTACCGCTGCTACCCCGTAGTCATGATGAGCGGGCCTGATCGAAAGAATGTCAACTATGGTGGAAAGGTGTTCTTGCCACCCTCGGCACTGGACAAGCTGACAAGACTTCACATTACATATCCTATGGTATTCGAGCTGATAAATGGAAACGCTGGCAAGAGCACACATGCAGGCGTCCTTGAGTTTATTGCAGAGGAAGGGAGGATATATCTGCCGCAATGGGTATCCCCTCTGGCTCACGACGCTGCAAGGGGAGATGCTGACACTTATGGACAGCTAATGAAGACTCTCGAGTTGGACCCCGGCGACCTTCTACAGATCAAGTCCACCGATCTCCCTCCCGGCAAGTTTATCAAACTGCAACCCCAGTCACCTGCATTTCTTGACATCTCTGATCCACGAGCCGTCCTCGAAAACGCATTCCGAAATTTCTCCTGTCTGACAAAAGGCGATATCTTTACATTTGAATACAATGATCAGACGTACGATATTGCTGTATTGGAGATTAAGCCGGACACGGACTCTCACGCCATCGTAACAATGGAGACCGACTTGGAAGTCGATTTCGCAACCCCCGTTGGATACGTCCCTCCAGAGCGAACGAGCGGCACGAGCACACCTCGGAGTGGCGTGGGAAGGCCACATGGTGGGCCGGTTCATTTCCAGGGAACCATGGCTCAGTCAATCAACTACGGAAGCATTGCCCCGTCATCAAACACAGCTGCCGCCGGTGCCCGCGCTGTCTCCTCACACTTCCTTTCAGAGGGCCACAAGCTCAGTTCGAAGAGGGGATCGAAAGCACCCACACCCAATGCATCTACACCCGTCGGCGGTGTGTCCACAAATGCCGTAAAACCGCCACCGCTGAGAAGAACAAATGGGCCTCAGCCTCTGCGCCTAGCACCTGGAAAGCTGTTCTTCGGGTACGAAGTCAAACCCTTGCGCAAGAAGGATGAAAACGGAGAGCCAGTTGGAGGGGATGAGGTGAAACCTCGCTTCCAGGGACAGGGGCAGACGCTACGACAAAAGAAACGAGCCGCTGGTGGAGGGTTGGATAGTGGGACGGCAAGCGGCGTTAATAGTGATGCGGAGGGGAAAGCCAAACCCAAGGGCACTGGACGGAGATAGGAGATCACGCTTGGAGATGGTCGCTTGATTCACGGAATGCACTGATGCATAGCGGAGGCGTTTCTGACCTCGACGCACGTCGAGGGAATTGGGTCACGGGAATGCAAGGAAAGCAATAGATCCAGACACAGGCATGAGCAAGGTCGAGTTACGGGTTCTCTTCCCATAGCTATCTACATGAATCACATGTTATCGTGAAGGCCGGAAGACTGTTTCATAATGTCATAGCTATCCAAGTACCTTGCGTGCGGGGTGCTGAATGACGAGGCAGACTCCCACATATTGGTCACAAGGCTCCAGCCTCGTCCGGCAAACAATAACCCGAAGTCCGTGCCACGGGCGAGGTACACGACTACGTCATAGTCATCAGTTCACGTCTCTGGCTTTGCAGAAACATGAGACTTTCAGGTCAATGTGTCTCCATCTGTTTACCAAAATACCATGCCCGCTCTTCCAAGATCGTTGTCACCAAGATGCCGGTGATAGATCCCGCAATTGCACGCGCTCTACGCCTCGATGCAAGTACCACCCACATTTCCGCCCACGGCGGCTCTGGCTTTGCCTCCACATTTCGCATCACCACGCCGAGCACCTCCATCTTCGTCAAGCAGTCCCGCTCACCAGGCGCGGATGTAATGTTTCAGGGAGAGCACGCCTCTCTCAACGCCATTCATGATGGCGTGCCCAGCTTGTGTCCAAAGTCCTTCGCGTGGGGACAATTGGAGAAGGGCGGCGGATACTTCCTTGCTACAGAATTTCTGGATCTGGGTGGACGATTCTCGTCGCGCACAAGGAGCGGAAATAGCGAAGGCAGCGGGATGTCTCTCGCCCAAAAACTAGCAAAGCTACACACGACTTCTGCTCCCGTTCCAGAAGGCTACGATTCGCCTCAGTTTGGATTTCCGGTCACGACGTGCTGCGGGGATACCCCTCAGGACAATACGCTCACCTCGTCGTGGGCCGAGTTCTTTGGCAAACGACGGCTCCTCGCGATCCTCGAGAGGGCAGAGGAGAATAATGGGAAAGATCCGGAGTTGCGACGGGTCGTGGAGAGAACTGTCCGCGAGGTAGTGCCGAAACTGCTTGGTAGCAACCATCTGGGTGGCAAGGATGGGATCAAACCAGTCGTTGTACACGGTGATCTGTGGTCAGGAAATAAATCCAAAGGTAGCTTCGTTGGCCGCGACGACGCCACACCAGACATGGCCGGCCGGATAGAGGATGTGGTTTTCGACCCCTCATCCTGTTACGCACACAACGAGTATGATTTTGGTATAATGCAAATGTTCGGCGGGTTCTCGTCGTTCTGGCAAGAATACCATGAGCTGGTGCCGAAGACGCAACCGGCAAGTGAATATGAGGACAGGGTTTCGTTATATGAAAGCGTAAGTAACCCCTTCAGCTGCAAGAGAATCGCCGTCTATCTGTGGACCTCCTGAATTCCGACGCACACTGACCCACAATTGTAGTACCATCACTTAAACCATTATGCAATTTTCGGTGGTAGCTACAAGTCTGGCGCTCTTGGAATCTTGAAAAAGCTGGTGAGAAAGCACGGCGAGCACTAGTAGAATACGAACAAATGAGTGAAGATGACATGCCTGGCGACTTTGGGGGAAGAGACTCGTGCACAGTCGACCGATTTAACTTGGTCGTGCCTCTGACCCAAACCAGGAAATAGTGCCTCGAGACTACAAGATCTCGTGCAACTATCGATGTCGGTCGAAGAGACGATTATGGTCAGCCGAGACAAAATTCACCCTGACGAAGTCATTCGCAGCCGTTCAACAACAAGAGGTGCCGTGAACTTGGGAGATATAAGGCACCGCGTCAACCTCTCCATCCATCTTTAGCTCCCTTAGAGGATGCGTGATCGCAATCAACCAGGAGTCAACCCAAGCCCATCCAGCCCAGCTTTCGCGTCAGCGACAGAGTCTACAAGGGCCTCTATACGGACTTGCAGGTTCGCAGCGTAGACAAGACGCCTGCTATGTCACTCTTCATATGACCGCTCTAGATGAGAACTGTCTTCGGGGCATGTCCGGCCGGATAGCCATGGTAGCCGTGTCCCCATGTGTGTATATATACCCCAAACTGTGCTTTATCCCTTACCATTTTCGTTCAGGAAAGGGAGCGAGGCCGCTTTAATCGTGCACGTATCGGAGCATCGAGGAGGCCCGGCCGAGCACGGGAGAGCGTCGTGAGATCTACGGCAGAGTACGGGGGAGCGCGCCCGAGCACTGGGCGAGCCACAGGGAGCGCTGCCTAATTCCTATTTGTAGAAGCTAGTTCGGGCTTAGAGGTTCTCTTTAGGTCTTAGCTGAGCACTCCTTAAGCACTTCCTAAGTAAATACACTGGGGGCCTAATCTGGTCTCTTACGATCGGCTATACTTATCTCTTAGTGTTATAAACCGCTTTGCCACGTGAGGTGTCACCGCGATAGTAAACAGGGTTTACTTGGTGATATAGGAGTGGGGCTATACAACTAAGACTAAAACCAAGTATATAGTGAATGAACTATACGCAAAGGATATAATATCGAAGGAACTTAATTTTATAAAGAACGAGGTTAATGTTAGGGATTCCTTAGTAAGTAGGCAGAGTCTAACGATAAGCGTATATATAAGTCATCCCTATAGTATATAGTCGATACTATACACGACTCAAAGTATAAGAGAGAAAAGAGTGCGCCTTCTATGCGGGGAGTGTGCTAGTAATAAGGATGCACTCCCTGAGCCGCATCTCTTGGCTGGTGGCCTGATTATTCCCCGATGTATTAGGCGTCCGTCCTTTCGATGTTTAGCCGAATCCGTAATAGTTAACTACGAAGGTAACTATAGAAACTATCTCGTATATATTGAACTGGGGAGAGGCTACTAGCCATGGGCGTCAACTCGTACGGCGGTGGGCTAGCCTCTTCACAGCATACACACTCAACCAAAGGAAGTTCTCCCGTTCATAACTTAATTAATTATTCTATGAATGATAGTCCCCGAGGACTATATAAGAAGAACCTTAGTCTAGCGTCGACGCCTCAGCTAATTATAAAGCTATTCCTCACTTCAAACTTCTTCTATTACATCCCTTCCATTGTCGCTCGCTTTCTTAACGACCTCGCTTAAGACTTAACTATAACCTTCGCCTATTCTCTTAGAAATATTAACTCTTCTTTATATTCTTTAAACGCTCTATAAAGTTATTTAATTATCTCTCATCTAATCCCTTCGGACTCGAGCCCTTTAACGTCTCTAGATCTTTACTACGCTTCGGTTTCCGTATAATTATCTTATAGATCTCTAAGGCGATGACGAAACGATCCTCGATATCGACTTAAGTATTAAATAAGATAATTTATAAGCGAGTCGTCTCGTAAGTTTCCGTATTAATGATCGCTAAAGAATTCTTAATTATCTAAAGCTTATAGCTACTAATATTCTACTAAAGATTAAATTTTAGCCGTATTTCCCGGGGTAAAATATTAAAAACGCTATTCTTTAACTACCGAACGAAGAAATCGAGTGCTATCTTAGTCGTATCTAATCTATCTTATATAAAATTAATAACTAAATATAACTATATTATTTTATCGACTATAAAGATTAACTAATAATACTCTTTATTTATTAAGTCGTCGTTAAAGATAATAAGTTGTCTTATATTATCGTTAATATTTTCTTAAGCTTTAAATTCTATCGATGCGTTTACGTTTCTATATTAATTAATCTAGAAAAGAAACGCGACGTCTAAGATAACGATATATCTTATATATAATTCTTTTTAACTTACTATAATTTCCGTATTAATGAAAGACTCACTAACTTATTCATTATATCTAGAGCTTAGTAGAGCGCTTCGAAGAGTACTACTTAAGATATCGATAACTCTATAGTTAGAATAGCTAAATAGAACTTAGTAATTTATAGTTCTAAACTTTTCTTCTCATTACTTTATTAATTATTCGAGATTCTTTATAAGATCTTTATAAGGCGCGGCGATTCTTTCTAATTTTTCTAGATATAAGACGATCTCTTTCTTAGTTATATATAAGTAGACGAATATATATCGTTTAAATATATATTTAGTAAGTAAACTTAATACGTTAATTATCTTTTTAGCTTCGAATTCGTAATATCGTTATATATTTTCGTAACTAACTAAGAATAAATTCTTTTCGTAATTCGTTTATCTTATATACTTTTAAATCATTAATTACGCGAATACGATAGAGCTTCTAGAATTCGAAATTAAATTTAATAAGTTATCGAACGTATTTCTTTTAAGAAAGTATAATAATAGAACGACTTCGAAAGAGCTAATAATATATAATTCTTAGTTTATAAGTTACTATCTAATCTCGATTTCGTAAAAGAGCTTAAAAATTCTCGACTTCTTTATACTTAGATTATAGTCGAAACTTAGAGCTATAAAGCCTAGATCGAAGATTATTATTTATAGTCTCGGTCTCTTTATAACGTCTAAGATATTAATCGAATTATTTCTTATTTAATTTACTTATTCTTAATTTCTAAGAATAAAGCGTTCTTCTTTTAGTTTCGTAAGCTATATTAAACTTCTTCATTCTATATTCACTAAACTAAGCCGTATTAAAAGAATACTTTATTATAGTCGTATAGAGATTAAGATAATAAGAGTAGACGTAGTAAAGATCGCCGAAGTAGAAGTTTAGTCGTCTTAAGTAGTTCGCGTATTTAGACGTCTTATAGAAGTATTAGAAGAACCGATAAGACCGGCGAAATTCGTAGCTCGAGATATAAAGAGACTATTAATATTAGAACGAGTGACGAATCGATGAATTACCGAGCCTAAATTATTCTTAGTAATTAAACTTTACGTAGTAAGTAGTGCCACTAGTTTAAGTCTTTCTTTAGATATAATTAGATTATTATAGTTTATAAAAAGAGCGTTTATCTAGTATAGCTCGGCCGCTTCTATAAATCCGTATCGACTAAGTATATCTAATTACTTAGAACGGTTACGCTTAGCGATTTACTCATTATCGTTAAATATTTTACCGTTGAGAACGATCTAAATATTCTTCGTAACTAAATATAGCGAGATATTATAGTATCGATTCTATTAAATTCGAATAAAACGAACTATTATTTTATACGAGACGACTTATAGTAGTCGAAGAGATATTACGTTATATTAAAGTAAGTATTTTTAAGCGAATTAATATTAATCTAAAAGTATAGTTATATTCTCTTCGTATAAAATAATTAATTCGTTAAAGAATTCTATTAACGTCTAAGTAGAAAGCTTTACGAATTCTCCGCGCGAAATAAGAACGTCTCTCTCTCTATACTTATAATTAAAGAGACTTATATTATTTATTTAGTCGTATTTAGAAAGTAACTTATTACGTATCTCTACGCGATGATTTCATTTATTATTAAACTTTTTCTTTTTAGCGTATAGACTAAAGTATTTTTAAAACTCTATATTGTAACAAGGCAAGGTGGCTGTGCTGTGATGGGCTGTGCTGGGCTGGTAGAGCGGTGGCAAGGTGAAAAAGTTGTCTAGTCACATGTCAAACCTAAATGGGCTGGCAGAGAGGAGGTGCGGAACAGTTTACAGTGCTGGCAGTGTGCCATTCATTTTTTACAGATTGAGCAGAGTATTATGAATTCCATGGCTTTTGGTGCCGTCTACCTAAATCCTGAGAGTGTTTTATCAGTCCTGTCCTGTTCCTCGATGCTGCCGCTGTGCTAGGTGTTCGTAGCCCTAGCCGCTGCCTCTCTGGGTGGTGTTGGTGGTGTTGTTGTCAGTATCAACCAGAAACGCGTTCCCGATTCCCGATCTGCTGGACAGGCCTCTGTGCGTTGTTGCACGTGCACGCCAAACCCTGAAGTGCTCTGTTACAATATAAATATTTAAAAGATCTTTAGTAAGATCGTAGACTTATTAGACTCTAAAGTCGCGAATTTTTTCTATTTATTAATATTTTAATTTAAGAGAGCTATAAAAGTTTTTAACTCGATCTATATTATTTTAGTTTATAGTAGCTATAGTTTCTTCGAGTATAACTTCTCTAATATAGTTTAAATATTTAATAGTAAAAATAAATTAGTTTTCGACGGTTTTAGTATTAAATACTTAATATTTAGTATCTCTATTAATAGCGATTATAGAAGTAAAATTTAAACGAATTATTAAAAATCTTAATAAAAGTAGTCTAAAATTTCTAAATATCTTAGTAACGTAGTGAATCTTTAAGATAAGAAACTAAGAGAAAAAGAAGAAAAGAAAAAGATAATTCGATCTAAATTATAGTCGTCGAAATACTAAACTTAATAATAAAGTTATATAAAGATTTCTAAGCTTATACTTTTAGTATCTTACTTAGAAAGATAATTTTAAAAGTAAAGAACGAGTCGAGAGAGTTTAGAATAATTTAAAATAATATAAGTAACGAAGAATTAAGTCGTAAAATCGTAATTAAAAGAAAGATTAATAAGAAGATAAGAACTAAATATTTATATTTATCTTTAATAAAAGTATATATATCTTAGCGTCTCTATAATAAAATCTCGATAGTTTTCGTTT